GTGGATGCTCACCCGTCGGCACAAAACATTTTGTTTGAGCATTTTGAATGCTGCTTTAGACTGACTCATCATGAGACCGACTGTAGTTTCCTACTAGTTGAGTTTTAATTGAAATTTACAATAATGGTGACGTCAATGTGTCCTCTAGAGGCTGAAATGCACATAATGCAAGATAATGTCCACTACACCGGTTTGACGGAGAAACTATTGGTAGTTGCACGGAAATACGTCCTAATTGTTTGCTTTTCGTCTATTGGTAGTGGTTATACTTGACATTATTTTATGGACTTTGAAATGGGGTGCCGTTTATCCCGACATCAATCAATTTCAACCTAAATCGCCGTGACCTCTTCAACGGCCTGGGGCTGGTGGTGGTGGGGAGGGGGATTTCTGTGGCCACTTTTCTGTAAATGTAGGCCGTTCAAAGGCAAATATATTTTATCGAAATTTGGTATTTGCAAAGATTCAGAATATTTGTTTTTTTTTATTGAACCAAGTTTGTAATTGTCTCGTGTCCTTAAACAAAATCACCCACGCCAAGGGGTACAACGACATGGTCATGCATAATGCGTTCGACTTTATTTGACATTTCGTTACGGTACATCGGCATTCATAAAATTGCCGTCGCCGTATAAGCATCAACTGAAATCACATAATATAAAGGCTCAGTAAGAGAAGGGAAATTGCGTCATTTACGGTAAAAATGGAGCAAAAATCATAATTATATACAGCAATGCAGGTTTCGCCGCGGGAATGTTTTGGGCGCGCCGGCCCGCGGGTTAAGTCAATTTGAAGAGGACAAGTCTAGGCTCAACTAGCCTGCCGTTATGTGAACACATCCCACAGCTGTCAATGAAAAAACCCGGAAGAGCTGAAGTATAAACGAAGTTGTGACTAATTTTATATTTACTAAACAGTGAAAGAGGGACGGGGGTCTCATTCGGTCGTTAGAATATTGCATATACATTCACAAAATGTTTACATGGTTGCCGAATGTCATTTTGCTTTTGTCTATTGGGCGGATCCAGTTTTGGAGGGGGGTTAGCTTCCAAGAGGGGGCTTTAGCATCCACATGTTGTGTTTTTCTGCATGATATTCCTTTTTTTTTCAGCCAACGTTTAAACCCCCTTATTCCCCTATCGTATAGAACCGTTACTGTTTTCCAAATGAGAATCTGTCTTCATATCTGTTACACTGATACTCTAAGATCTCTCCACAAAAAAGTATAGCTTTTCTGGTCTACAATACGTCCTCAGAAATCGCAGGAGAGTGGGTCATAGCCTGTACTATGGTACAAGCATGAGATCGTGGGTTCGAGTCCCACTCATGCAGGCTTGTGATTATTTTTGGTTTATAATGCTCGGCGTCGTTGAAGATCAAAACTCAAGTTTAAAATGTGCACCTCCTCGACGAAACAAACATTTCATCACACGTTACCCAGCGAACATCAACATCACCCCAAAATATTATTTTATTCCAACTAATGAAACGTATAATGATGATACAATAATAATGATGATAACATAAAATGATCATGTTGCGTGTGACCCATTTCCCCCCGCTTGCTGATTTTACGAGTAACTCCATACAAGTTGCATTGGCAATGGGACGTCATCACGTCAATCACTGTATTATAAAAACCGTCATTCCATAGGCCTATATCGTTAATTAATGATTAATCAAAAGTCCACAATAATGTCAGGATTTGTAGAGACTGTTTAAACAGAGCTTCAAAAGATTGGAGAATCACGCCCAACGACAACTAAGAGAGATAGTTCAAGATCAATGTCAATGCATTCAATCAGACTAGACTCTGACCATTGAGTCAGGCTGGTACAAGGCGGCACCGTATTCAGTTTCTGACGCGCAACCAAGATGAAATAAATACCAGCTCGATTGGAGCGAGGTGATTATTTCCACGACTGCACTCGACCGTGTTGGAGCTGAACTTGACACAAAATGGCCGTGGCCTCTGTTTCATCAGAGACCCGAGTGTCTCTGCTCTTAGCTATCATCCTGTTATTAACCTTGCAATCGACTTCTGCACAAGGTGAGCGAATTATAAGCGACCATGCATGATTCGAAAACATGCGAGTAAGGGAGACGTATGCGGTCCGATCCGCAAAAAGTTGTTTAATCGACAATAATTTGCGTTGTGTGATTTAACCCGTAATTTTTGTTTTCGAGCCGCATACGTATTCCGTACCCACACCATTTTTTAATGGTCCCGATTAGAAAAGGGACAAATGCGGCTCAGAAAAAATGTTCAATTGAAATCATATTTATAGTTCACCAGGCCCACATTATATATCTGAACATTTTTGTGAGATGCACGTTGCCAAAAGCGCACCTGATGGGAAAAGGACGCGCAAACTGGTGATTTAACAAGCGAATTTGTCCCGAATTATGTGTATGTCTTCCTGGTCTGAGGAGCTGCCTTTAGAAGTTGTGACGTCATTTCGAGCAGAAATTTGGCCAAAGCTGTTGACTGGTCAATAGCTGCATGTCATGTTTTGCCATACAACATCGGCTTATAGAAGGCACCCCTTCATGCATGGTCAGAATCTGGAGACGGTCAATTAAGACGCAGTGGCCGGCAAACTACTGCAATAAGTCACGTATAAAGACGCAAGTCACACATCCAAGACCAAAGACCAAAACCCCGCCAAGACATGAGATTTAAACATTTCTTGGAAATCGTACCAAATACGTAGGAAGTGTGGCACCAAAGTTAAACTTCGTCTTCCGAGCTCCAATCTGCAGACAATGTTCAGAATGTGTTGCGCTGTCGTCCCGAATACTGCTACGACTCCGAAACGACCTCGAACAGAATATTACGACCTCGCTACGACTTGATTCCGTTCAACTGAATTTTTTTTTTACGACTGAGTCCCGATCTCGTTAAAACGTAACCGACAGAGTACCGACGCAATCGATTGAGTACCGACACAAAAGACAACCGATGCCGAAACGACTCCGAAACGACAGCGTGACGTCATCTTCGGAATTTCACGTTGTAATGGTTGTATCAAAGTCGGCTAAAGAAAATATGGCCGACCATGTACGACCACTGCCGATCTTGTACTCGACTATTGCGATCAGATCCGTTTTGGATTTTTTTCCGACCATCACGATATGTTTCAACTGTTAAAACCACTGCTGACCATGCACGACCTGTATGCCGAAATGACGCTCAAGAAGTCGTTCCGATACAGTTCAGATGTCGTTCCGAGTCGTACGATGTCGTCGAGTCTTCTTGCATCTCAGCAATGTCTTATCGTGATTGGGAGGCTACATCGTGACAGTGTGACAGGGGCCTAAAGCCCCTGTCACATCATGACAGTGCGACAGGGGCCTAAAAGCCCCTGTCACACTGTCACGATGTAGCCTCCCGATCACGATAAGACAGTGCTGAGACGTACGCAAGGCTCGACGACATCGTACGACTCGGAACGACATCTGAACATTATCGGAACGACTTCTTGATCGAGCGCCGTTTCGGCATCCTTCAGGTCGTAAGTACATGGTCGGCAGTGGAGCCACGATTACTTTCAACTGTTGAAACATCGTGATGGTCGGCAAATAATCCAAAACGGATCAGAGACTGTTCTGTCTGTACTCAAACGGTTGTGTCGTAACAAAGTCGTAACTAAGTCGTAACGATATCGCAATAGTCGAGTACGAGATCGGCAGTGGTCGCACATGGTCGGCCAAACTTTTTAGCCGACTTTGATACGACCATTACGACGTGAAATTTGGAAGAATACGTCACTAGCACTTTGTCGTTTTGGAGTCGTTTCGGCAAAGCAGTTGCTATAACCGTTGTTTGGTTATGTTCGGTTGATGTAATAATCATGAATTCCGTCATTGGGTATATTTTGTTTGATGTAGCATCGATCAAACCAAAGATGAAACCAAATAGTTTTTGTTCGATGTTAAATACCTTTTGGTTAATTTGTAACAACTAATTTGCATGTGGCAACAAATAGTCATTTTTGTTTATATTTTGAACTATAATGAAATTCAACGCCTGTAAAATTGTGTACAATACTTTTAATAATGATGTTTTAAAAATCCAATTTAACAGAGGGAGTAATAATTATATAGGCATACAAAGCTAACAAGCAGTGAATTTTTGTGTAATATTAAAGGTATTTTTTTTGGTGTAATATTAAAGGTGAATTTTTGTGACATATTAAAGGTATTCGCACGGCGATTTTCAAAATTAACTAATCATTATATTGTTTGGAAGCCGCCATGACACAGGTTTGGGTCACATAACAAACCCAGAATTTACATTCACGGAGAAAATGGGGGGGGGGGGGAAACCAACCAGGTTGTTTGCATCAGGTCAGCGACGAATTCCTTTTGGATTCATAAATAAAGCCATCGAGTTTTGAACAAATTGAGACTTGCGCCGTATGAGATGCAAATCATGTGACAATATCGGGTCCTTCCTTATCACCAAGTTCGCCGAGGCGGTGGATTTAGGACACTTAATTGGCCCACTGCTCGTGTCAGTGAGAATTCCACCTCGGCGGGGCCCGCAGCTTACCCCAGTCGGCGACTTGAACGCGGGCGTATCAGCGGGCGTATTAGCTCGCAAACGTCCCAAGAGTATGAAAAGAAACATGTGACATGATTGTGACTTGGATTACGACGAGCGCTCTAACCCCGGTTCGGTTTTACGGTATCACTGTGCGAACGCGGTTCGCAATTGTTGAAATGATCTTTCCTCCATGATCTTTCCAACTCGTGGTAAACGCACTATACTTCAAATAGAAAATGTAAAAACAAAGATCATGTCCTGCCCATTTACGTAAGATGTAACTTTGCCTATGAGTTTGCAAACGTTCAGCAACTATTTTAAGAACCGTTTAAAGTTTTGCCATTTGACGCCTGCCCATTGGGCGGATCCAGGAATTTTTGCAGGGGGCCATCTCCCCCCCCCCCACCCCCCCCACACCGCGAACACAGCCAAATGAGGGCGCCCAGCCCAATATAGCGTTCGCGTTTAACGCGACGCGAGAGTGATGAAACGAAAGATCGTTTAGCGGGAAAATCTTTGGTTTTGTACTACATGTAGTTCAGAATTCTCTTGCATCTTGTCTCCTTTGACCTGCCAGTGGACATAGTGAGGGGGCCCACGGTCATCCCACTTGGTTTTCCCCGTCATAGGTATACTTTTGCCGTCAAGAACCCGAAAGTTTGGCTAGCTGGAGCTCCATATGGTATAAAAATAAAAAAAAGTAACTAGCATTAGCAAAGATTCCAGGCGGCGCTCACCACGTGGTCTGGTCGTGTAACTAGTACGCGGTATTTATAGCATGCCTACCGGTAGCTTGTCTAACGTGTTACGTAGCTTGGAATACCCAGGAAGGAACCATCTGTACTCGACTCTAGCATGTCTATGGGAGATTCGCCAGTAGTACTGACGAATTTCCTACGTCATGTACCGAAAGAGCTGGGTGCTTTTTGCAATGGATCGAGTAGAAGATCGTGCATTGGTATTGGTCAGCGAACCGACCAGGCGCTACTGCAGCATCCCGCTGGTAAACTAGTGTTTTCTGTCGAACGCCAGCTAGATTTTATATGCCCTCCTTTTAAAGGGAAGATACAACATTTGCAAACATCACAAAACGAAATTATCACGAAATACCTTACTGGATTGTTCCTAGGGAACGACAGTCTAAAGCATCCTGTAAAATCGTAGTGGCTCCTGGTGTGCTGAAATTTTTTTTAAAGATGGTAATTTTTCCAACGCTGGTCGGCCGACCAGCATTGGAGAAAACTTCTTTTTTTTCTTCAAAACCGCCTAACTTTTCATAATTAGTTATTCTGCATTTTCTTTGCAATTGATTATGCGCCTATCAATTGTTTCCCCCACCCCTTCCCTGTATTGCTATATCATGGAGCAAGGAACAGAAGGAGTATAAGAACTCTTGGGCGATTTACATTTTTGACCAAACCCTAACCCCCACGGGGTATTCTCTAGGCACCCTGCCAAATGCAACAGAATGCATTGCCAGCCTTGGTACCAAGTTACCTATACCCTGCCAAATGCAACAGAATGCAGGCATGGAATGCATGCAGATCAGGACTGTGCTAAATTGCAACAACTTGCAACAACTTTTTACTACTGGTGCATTCTGTGGCATTTAGCAGGGTTAGGGTTCCAATCCTCGGGAATGTCCATAGCTACAGCACTGTGACCGCAAGCCCGTACCATTCATTGCGTGACTGCAAGCGGCCATTGAACACGATGATCATCACCGCCTTTTTGTAAACCAACAACCTTTCTATAGTCATGTGACGTTGTTGCTCTATTTTGGTTTTAACAACTGTGCAGTTGTTGGAAGGGAGTTATGAAATCAAGTTATCGATGTGCAGTTGTTGGTCCTTGAAAGCGCTGTCTGTTCCTGTCATTTGAAGATGAATTAAATTGTTTTCCGATAAGTTATCATGGATTTTCGACTTTTTTTTTATTGGTAATACATCATTTATGAAACATGACATTTAGGGAAATTTCCTAACGCTTCCAACGGAAAGGATAGAGCATATTTTGTTTGTCATGAAATGATTGTTTCAGTGATATTGACCACATTGTGGGCCAGTGTTAGCCAACTCCGAACAAACACTTTCAAAATCAATCATTTTTGGCGATGTATGACGAGTGCGCCTACGTGTTACCATAGTGCTATCCAAAAATCAATGCAAACTCTTTCTTCAAGCTTAAGTGAGCGCGGATCCCAATAGGGTAGTGAGCAACTGAATAAGCTGGCCGCCTGGTGCTTTCTATTGTTGCTTTCAAGGTGGTGACGATCATAATAACTTTGAAGTAGGGTAGTTCTGACTCCTGTTCCTTAATTACTCCATGGTCATATAGTGTTCCAATATCTGTGACTGGAATTGACTCGACTCGACTCAACTCGTCTCAACTACACACTGATTTGACTCGATTCGACCCAACCTTCTTGACCTATATGACTCAACTTGACTCAAATCACTTCTTTAAAAGTGTGACTCGACTTAAGTCACACAAATCAGTGACTCGTTACAACTCTGGCTGCAGCGCAGCTGGCCATATTAGCCTAATATTAAATTATTATGATGGAGGTTCGGCTTGCTTTAATTGCTTGCGCCCCCAAAAGGCAAATTTTCCTCACTTTCTTTTTGTCACAGGTTGTGCCAGTGGGCTGGGCCTAGGATAGGGAGGTAGTCCAGTTCCTTGGCCCCTTAATGCGGGCACGTGCTCACTGTAAATTCACGAGGCCCCCTTCAATGGAGATTGGAGAAACCATTGTGCACGTACGCTATTGACAACAAAGCAACTGCCCCTGATGATGGCTTATCTGAGCAATAATACTTATGCCATTGAAGGGAGCCCAGAAGTGATAACATGCCCAGATTGGCCTATAGATATATCCCTAAACCTGGGTAGATGATGATCATTTGTATTTCATTTCACAGACAACACAACCTGTGGCAAACAGACTGCCAACCTTGTACCAGAGACTCGCATCATCGGAGGGAAGAACGCCCAGGAAGGGGAATGGCCCTGGCAGGCTGCCATGCTGCTTGGCGGCGGACAATTTATATGCGGAGCATCTCTGATTGATCCTGAATGGATCCTGACTGCAGCACACTGTGTGTAAGTTTTGCCAGTTTCCCAAACAACATCTGCATAACATGCAGTTCGACAGCTCAGTTGGATAGGATCGTGATTTTGTACCTTAAGGGATCCTCTTGATATAGGTTTGAATCACCAGTTGTACCCGAATTTGTTTTCTTTTCTAATCTGAGGCATTGGAGAATTATTTTTAAAGGGAACCAAAGTCTGAATTTCAGTATGTTCGAAAATACTTTTTTATGCCCCGCGGCGAAGCCGAAGGGGCATACTGTTTCCGCCTTGTCCTTCCGTGGGTGGGTGTGTGGGTGGGTGTGTGGGTGGGTGGGTGTGTGTGTGTGTCCGGACAAATCTTGTCAGCGCGATAACTTGAGAAATACTTAACATATGAACTTCAAATTTGGTTTGTGGATTGTTCTTGGTAATCCTAAGAAGCCTTTTCCATTTGGGGCCAAAAGGCCAAAGGTCAAGTTCACAGTGGCTAAAACAATAGAAATCTTGTCAGCGCGATAACTTGAGAAATACTTTACATGTGAACTTCAAATTTGGTTTGTGGATTGTTTTTGGCAATCCTAAGAAGCCTTTTGCATTTGGGGCCAAAAGGCCTAAGGTCAAGTTCACAGTGGCTAAAACAATAGAAATCTTGTCAGCGCGATAACTTGAGAAATACTTTACATGTGAACTTCAAATTTGGTTTGTGGATTGTTCTTGGCAATCCTAAGAAGCCTATTGCATTTGGGGCCAAAGGGTCAAGGGTCAAGTTCACAGTGGCTAAAACAATAGAAATCTTGTCAGCGCGATAACTTGAGAAATACTTAACATATGAACTTCAAATTTGGTTTGTGGATTGTTCTTGATAATCCTAAGAAGCCTATTGAATTTGGGGCCAAAAGGTCAAGGGTCAAGTTCACAGTGGCTAAAACAATAGAAATCATGTATTTATTCTGAGAATATAGGGATTAGGGATTAATTCATATAAAACCTACAGAAGACACTAATGCTGTCAATGAATGTTCCATGTGACCAAGGTACATGTAAGTTGATGTTAAAAGAGTGGTGTTATGTCATGGGAACTGTCACCGTTGCGGGGCATTTGTGTTTGTAAACACACCTGACTTCTTTCCTTCTAATTTTCCTTTTTCTCATTTTTTAAGAGAAGTAAAGTCCAAAATGTCATGGCGTGCACCCCATGGGGATGTCATGTGGGAAAAAAATCTCTGGCTTGCTGCATGCTGTGTATGTTATATGAATTTGAACGTAGTACACATGAAATAAAAACTTGTCAAAAATGCCTGTTTATGGCATGTATGGTTTACACTGAGGACACAGAATAGAGAATGGTTGTGTGTGTCTATGGTGTAAATCGAGGACACACACATGCAACATCATCGATGAATTGAGGACAGGAACCAAATCGAGGACAACCTCGATTAGAAAACGTGTACACCAGTGAGAGCTGTTGCAAAAAAGCAGTGTTGTAGTCTGCAGTGTTGTATACTGCACCCTGTGCAGTATCAGTGTGCGATATGTGTGCGATGTACGGCCAGCCTAAGTGCCAGCCAGCCTCTTTTTCTGACCTACCGACCCTATTTTGGAAGGCATGTAATCGGAAGCAGAAGTATGTGGGTGTGTGTGTGGGGGGGGGGGGGGGGGGGGGGCAAGGGAGGGGGTAAATACATTGCAAAATGTTGCCAGAAGGGAATGTTCCCGGGTTTCCATTTCTTTAGTGGATACACACCTGCCCAGAGTTGTCCATACTTTTATGTAACAGTGCAGGCTGTCAAGTTTAGATGGAAATTGGCATATTCTTTTTTCATTCATCAGTGGCCGCATGGCAGCTGTGAGGCCGGCCAGCAATGTGAAAATTAATCTTCTCTTTAATCAGACTTTATAACATATGTGCTCTGGTCGGTGGCTAAAACAAAACTGAGTCTTTCCAAGCTAAACTGAACCACGGGATGTTGGACTGTGTCTCACACATTTCTGGGCAAACCACACAGCGATCATAACCAAAGTAACTTCTGTATAAGACAACCGAATGCATAATAATCCCCCCGAGGGCTGAGGGAAAGCCTTATTTTTGCACAGTGGTTGTACATGTTCTAGGATGAAATTACAAAAAAATGTACACAATACCACATGTGGGAAAAAAATCCATTACAATTGGAATTGAAAATGATCCATAACTTATAAAACCATACCATGGACTATTATTTTTAAGTAATTCAAAACTTTAGCATCCGCGTTATCTATTCCTAAGGGAATAAATGTGTGCTTTGCCGGTTTTAAACACTTTATAAGACCGATTGGAGTCTAGATGCTGATATTCGACTCGGGTCATTATCAGCATCCAGACTTGTAACAGTCTTGTAACAAATCTAAATTTTTCGGTCCAAAAGTCAAAACAATTAAGTAACAAATTGTATCTCCAACGATTATTAACAATTTTACTTCGTGTTTTTCAAATCGCCCCTCTAGCTATGCTATGATATGGCCTACTCGTATGTAGATGGCGTGCACGTCGCGTGAACTGAGTGATGTGGCACAGAACGAAGCTGTGCCGGTGAAGTGTGAATTTAGGACTATGAAATACCAACTCACCGGTATTGCAAATGCCTACGTGAGGATTGTCAATATTCAACCAAAACAAAATGGTACTGGCACCGGATTTAATTCATGTGACAGCCGAAGAGTTTAAGACCAGCCAGCCAGTCTTTATCAACCGTTTAAAAGTGGCCACGTGACAAACTATATTGACCAATAGGAATGAAGGGTAAACTGTCTGAATTAACATTTAAGTTGTTCAGATTTTACAAGAAAATAATGAAAGAAAATCATTCAGACACAACTGAGGTATTTCACAACAAGTTTGAAATATTTCACCGGTTACATTTACACCGAATCACAAGAATCATTTTTTTTAATGGACAATTTTCCCACGACAAAATTCATGCCCAAAGCACCAGCAACTAATGTGGGATGATCCACTTTCCAATTCTTTTATTTTTCAGAGTTACAGCAACGGAACATCCTGAGTTATTTGAATTCAGAATGGGAGTCAGCAATTTAAAAAACGAATCTGTTCACATGCAACAGCGTAGGGCGATGGCCTTGTATATACATCCCGGTTACAAGGTCAGTTACGGGTTCAACTATAAACCGCCCTTCGATATCGCGCTCTTCAAGCTGGAGTCAGCCTTCAATATCACAGACTATGTGAGGACGGTGTGCTTGCCTGAGGAAGGGACTAATATTACAAGTGGTGCAACTGTTACGATAACTGGATGGGGGCTCACAGACCCACTGGTCGGTAAGCCTAATCAGATGTGTTTTTGGAAAAATGTGGCTGTACAGACTGCTTCTACTTAAGGGAGCGTCTCATAAGTTGGAACGCTCGGAACGTTCTTATTGGAACGGCGTGTTCCCGAACTGGAACGCTCCGGCGTTCCATTGGGAACACGGGACCGTTCCGTTGGAACGGCAAAATCCCTTTGCGAGTACGGTCCAGCGGAACGGTCGGGCACACGCGTTCTATTGCGCGTTCCAGCGGAGCGTTCCCAGCATATCGCGTATACGATGGCCCAGTTTCAAATATTTGCCCATATTGCGTCAGGAAAAATGGCGTCGCGATCTCCTGCAAACTGTGCGTCACTGAACGGTAGGTTTTGCCTGTTTTTGAGGATTTATATATAATATTTGGACGTGACTGTGAAATTTCTGTGATGGTTTGGGTAAATAGTTCAACACAAGGTACGAGTGAGCGTTAATGCGGATGGAATCTTGGTAAATCCAATGATGTAAATATCGTTTCTGTGGTGAAATGTCGGTAGCCCCGAACCTCACATCACATGCAATCGCTAAGCTATGGTGAGTGTGTATTCACATCAAAGTATGCTTGCGCAAGAACAATATTTTCTTTAAATAATACTTTGATAATGCGTACTAAATTAAGGGAAAACTCCCCAAGAAATCGTAGATAGGGTAGGGGCGAGGGGATTTCGAAATATTTCTAGTGAATTTCTGTTAAATATAATCGATTACGAAACGCAGTGGCTATTGTTACGGCAGATGTAAAGTTCTTTAGTGAAATTTCGCCCTGAACTTTTACATCGCTACGGTGATTGTGAATTCACGTTTACAATTGATACAGGGCGCATGTTTGTAGAATGCATGCAAGAACAAAAATTGTCTTTGACACTACGTAATAGGTTTACTGAAATTACCCGACAAAATAGCGTAGAAGGAGTGAAGGATTTTGAATTAAAAACAAATCATTTCAAAACAATATAGCCTTCATCTCGAAAACAGCCCCGCAGATAAAATGACCAAGAGCGCCTGTATGTTTTGTCATGGTACTACGCTATACTTTTACGAAATAAAACTAGAAAAAGATAAAAGCGGAGCTTACTATTGACGATATACTTTTTGTCAGACAAAAATCTACGTTTGAGCATAAACTCTGACTCCAGGTCCTGCTGCACGGACGTACTCACGTATACCCGAGCGCGAATACCCATCCGTGCAGCGTTCCGCCGGGAACACAGTGTTCCCTCCCCGTTCTAGCTGGACCGCAGCTCAGTGCGTTCCCTTCAAGCCGCGGAACGCACCCGCGTTCCATTGGGAACACGGCACGTTCCCGTTGGAACGCCTGGCGTTCCAACGGAACGTTCCATTGGACCGCGAACGTTCCCGACTTATGAGACGCTCCCTAAGTGATTGTGTTTAAAAGCTATGGCAAGTTGGAATTTTTTTAAAGTATTTTCTAACAAAGTTGGAAATGCCTCTACAAATTTGCAACGACTGATTATCATTGACGTAATATATGATGAAGCAGGGGTGTCAGGACTCTGCATTCTACTTTTACTATCTTTGTTGGTCTGAGACAAAACTCGCATCAGTTTTATTTGTTTTGCACTTACATGAAGTTGCATGAGGTGCTCACTGTATCAGCAATACATCAAGTTATAAGTCTCTCTTATAGGACGCCATCTTCATAGGAAAATTACAACTGCGTGTTCAACGCCATCAGGTGCAGGTGCGCCAGTGTGCAAAATGTTGTAAACACACGCGCATGTTCAAAATTTCTTCAAAATACGGTGCAGTTGATGCGCATCACGAAAATTTGACTCCCAAAATGCCGATACACGTGGCAATCTGTAGGAAGTGCCCTCATTTGAGAGAGACCTATTTGAAGTTGCCATTCAGTTATTCAACTATTACAGAAACTTCTCTTGTAGTATGAGTAGTGACGTTTTGGGCATAGTCCTTTGTAGACTCTGTACATAAGCAATGGTAAAGTGACGGTGGGAGGCCTTTAAAACAAAATGACTCCCCTCTCGCCACCCCACCCCCCCCCCCCCCCCCCCCCCCCCCCCCCCCACCCCCCCCCCCCCCCCCCCCCCCCGCCCCACCCCTTCCTCCCAAGGGTAGCCATGTTTGCAGACATGACTTAGATCATCAGTCTCACGTTGTTTCTCAAACCCCAGCATTGTGTGCATCTCCAGCTTCAAACACCCACCCCCTCCCCGCCAGTTATAAAAACATTCTCACTACTCTAATGTGCACGAGTACACGGTCAATAAGTATCAAGGAGAGATACACTTGCATTGCATTGAACCTTGCATCGATGAATAAAATGCTAAGATTTTTCAGATAAAATCTGTCGTGAGGTAACTTTGCATCACTTGCAAATCAGAGAGTGCACGCAGTGTCTCCCACATCTTGAAGTTCTTGTGAATGGTGACACAGACCCTTTAATGGTCCATAAACACTGTTTATGTTACTCTGTTGGCTCTTACATCCAGGTACACCTGCTGAAGATCTTCAGGAGCTGGAAACAGTAGTAGTGGACCAGAGCGCATGCAAGTTAAACTGGGAAACGATGTTTGACATCCGAGATGAAATGCTATGTGTGGCATTGGCTAGTGGTGACGGCTCCTGCTATGTAAGCATAATTTTTCTCATCTTGCTTCTGGGTTCCCTTCAACTACTTCATCTAACTATAACTAAAGAACATGGAGAGAGCAACTTGCATTGCAAATTGATAAAAGTGGTCAATATTACACTCTGAAATAATACAACAGCCATTACTGAAATGGATGGATTGGGGGTTTTGTATTTTATAGAAAATATTGCTTCACTCGAACTGTTTAAAGTATTGTGTTTGTAGATGCTGGAAAAACCAAGAAACAAGTCATGTTCTTGTAGCCTAGTTCCCTGACCCCACTTTAGATGAAACCGAGCAATTTATAGACGACGGGGAATTGTAAGGCCAGGGAACCAGTCTAGCTGGCTTGTACCCATTCACCGATGTGTAACCGATGGAAAACAATGGGACTAACTAAATTTTCCACTTTCAAATTATAAGGCACTTCCGGTTTGGACCGGAAGGAAGGGTCACATGCTCAAGCACACACGAGATAAAATGAAGATCCTGGATTATCAATTTCCGCAAACGTCAAGTTCAGGTCTCTCACGGTTGATTTTATATTGATTTTTGAAGATTAAATCTATAAATTTTAAACGTGACGTCACGTGACCCATGGTGACGTCATCATGACGTCACTTCAATTTCCATCTATAGCACATCCCAGTCTAGGTACAAACATGAACCAACTTTCAACCCAATCTGTTTTTGTGTGTGTTATTTTCATTCAGTGATAATGAATGCACAAGAGGTTTGCTCATGCGTTTCCCTGTAGAACAAAAAGCACATATCTCAAATATGGCTGCAATTACATGCCAAAAGCACATTAGTCTTGGCCCGAGACGTCACATTGTTGCATTGTTGAAGAGCTCTTGCACAAGTTGCACAAGTCTTTTTTTACTTTCTCACACTTACGTCTTGAGATAATCTTGAAGCTATGGGGGAAATAGTCGTTTTATGTAAATTAGACAATTAGTGTATAAAATATTAATATCTTCGAACAAAACAGCGGCTTCCCGTTTGATACCTGTAGTTACACTCGCAGGGGTATCACTGTGTTTCATATCTTCTGAGCGATGCTTGATCACCGCACATAGCGCGTATGTTTACAACCATTGCACGAAGACTATAAACTTTACAAAAAAGGCTACAGCGCGGAACGTTTATTATTGCACGCGCGACTGAGATAAACCATTTCGCGATCACTAATTGGTTCCCTAGGAAAGCTTAGAGAGAAAATAAATTATAAAGTTAAACGGCTACTACAGGATTCCGAAGTCTAAGATATGAACAATCCACTATCGATTACTAGCGTCTTGAGCCAAGACTAAATGTACATCAGCACCAATGGAAAACAGGAGTGTACGACCTACCGGTATGTCTTGTTTTGTTGGCAGGGTGACAGTGGAGGACCATTGGTCATGAAGACTGACGAGCAATGGGTGCTTCACGGAGTCACTAATTTTGGATTTCCTTATTGCTCATCCAGCAATGCTCCCAATGTCTATGCCAGAGTCAGCTCTTATCTGGATTGGATCCAGCCTGTGTTTGAACAAGGGGAACCTGATAGCCGTAAGATTATGAATAGCCACAGATTTATCTTTGTCTTAACTACTCTTAATTCTTAAATCTAACCCTTGATTATACAGTATTTCGATGGTTCGTGTCAGCCACTTTTACATGGGGCTGGATGTCCAGTGTTTTAGTCGAATCAGTCACAAGTCTTATCACAAGTAAATCACAAGTCTGGTCACAAGTCTAGTCACAAACAATAGGATATGAACAATCATGAATGCCTTTATCACAGATCATTGTGTGGCTTGAAATGTGTATGACTTCATCTACTTGCGATGGACTTGACTACACCACCACTGATGTCCGTATTTTGTTCTGCCGAAAAGAATGTGGCATTGGTTTACTGCATAGTAATGGTTGGTACATTCAAATATTTTTCTGACAGAAATGTGCAGGGAGTTTTGCTTAATATCACTTCTAGACCTTAAACACACTAATGTTTCCTCTGGAGAGTCTGACTTTATAAGAGATATGGGAGTAGCCAGCAAGGTGTTAGGCTGAGGTTGTGGTACTAAGGGATATGCACTTTCCCCTTTCTTTGTTCCAATCAGTGTTTTTGAGGTATCTTAACATTTCTTGTGGAAAGACTTCAGGCTTTACACAAGATTTACACAGAATGTGTTTGTTTGAGAAACTGCACAAACTCCAGTCTGGTTGGCAGAATGGAATGTTCCCAACCATCCATCTCTTTGACCCAGGTTCCAAATATGAGCTGGGTTTTCATATTCTATTTGATAACTTGGGATTTCTTCAAACCGTAAACTAAACCTAAAATTGAATACGTCTTCATCTTTGTTTTCTGGAAACTTGTCATATCTTATAATGCATCTTAGGACTTAAGACGAGTCCCTGCTCTAAGATCAATCCTAGCTAAGATGCATCTTAAGACCGATTTTACTAATCGCATCATAAGCAAGATGCATCGAAATTGCCAATATGCTAGCTATATCATGTTTGTTTCTACCACCTAAAGAAATGGCCATTGAAAAAAAAGCACAAAAACTAACTTTCCTGCACGCGTGCAAAGAAGCCGACCCTTGGAAAGAAAAATTGTCTTCTATATAATATAAGTTTACACGCATCACAAGATATAATTAAAATTAGCTACAGAAACTAGGCGAAAAGTCATTTTTAATTGAGAAGACGGTACAATCATTTTGAAACGATATGCATGTTCAAATCAATGCACAAAGTCATATAAGACGACCCTAAGGTGAGTTCAGTAGCATTGCTAAGGAAGTTAAGATGTGTTGAATGAATAAAACTTTGGTGACATTGATCCTAGGACAAGTCCCAAGTAAAGACGAGTTACCCATCCTAAGACACGTTTTAGTGTTTACTGTTACGTCAAATTGGCCTGTGAGCTATGAGTACCTTGTGAAGTCTGAATAACTGTGAATAACCTGTGGTTTTATTACTACAGATATTTAATTTGCACTTATTTTGACAATGCTAAATCCACAGAGCCTGTTAAACAGTTTTGTACATCCAACGACTATCGATGTTTACTTGGAGCGTGCCTCGACCGATCTGTCAAGTGCAATCGTCAAGCTGAATGTATTTCCGGAAGTGATGAGGAGTTTTGTGGTATGATCAGATAACATTTTTCATAATTATTTTATTGTTAAGTTTATCACGCAAAAGCTTCAACTTCAGTGACAATTCCGTGTATATATACACATATTGTTTAATTGGAAATCATCATAAGATGGAATTTTGTGTCGGGATGATATAAATCAAATTATAGGTGTTGCCCTTCACCGACGTTTAAAACACTGTATACTCAGTGTGTAACCTCCCGAGTGAAAGTTGGAAAAAATCACTCGGGTGGGACTTGAACCCACGACCTCCTGCTTTCTAGTGCAGATGTCTTACCACTCGACCACCGAGCTAACGGGATCGGTTGGCTGGTTCGAATCTGATGTACATAGCAGCGGGTACCGCATAATTGGAAATCATTTGACTTAAAGTGGTTGTGTAGTTAGTAGTGCAGTGATATTTTCCTTGCCATCCACTGCTGGGACCCGGGTTCCAATCCTACCCAGGCCGATATGTGAATTGGGTTTCTGTCCCTGAGAGATTGTGGGTTTTTCCATAGAAAAGCATTGTGGGGTTTTCCTAACCTTTACAACTGAACAGTACTTCATTTTCTCCTCTCTGCATGATTACCTTGTCTTTTGAGCCATAGTGCCTGCACAGTATTGAGGAATACTTGGTTTCATTACCAGAAAGAATTGAACTTACCTGGGGATATCAACGGTGTGTTCATGAAGTGACAAAGACCTAGAGCTGTATCCTGCAAAATGTCACCCTGAGATAATTGCATAATCCGTCTGGAATTACATGTACTGAGTTATTTTTAATTGACCCATTACAGATGGATTGATGATCCTCTTCGACGCTTTTTACAATGTCCGCCTGAACGACACATCCATCCGGGAAAGTGTTCCAGTCAACTCACCTGAAGAGTGCGCACGCATCTGTCTGGATAATGAGAAGTTCCGTTGCTATGCATTTGATATCATTACCATGGATAACGAAACCATCTGTGCAATGGCTGAGGAGGGATATGCTGTGACATCTCATAATAGTCCATTTTATGACAGGAGTGTAGTACATTTTCAGTTGGATCCAACTGTAGGTAAGGTTAAAAATCATCTGAATTTTTTTTTTTTTAGCTTGGTATAGTTTAATACAGTATTTACTGCAAAACACTCCAGCTGTCCATAATACCTATCGCAGCATGCAACTTTGAACCGGCGTGCTTCGCATGCAACTATTGACCAGTGAGGAAGGCAGCTGCAGCTGGCGTGTGTAAGACTTAATTGGCAAGTTTCAAACATTAGAACATTTATTCAGGTGCGGTTTCTCGTAATCGAATACTAAATTATTCAAAAGGGACAGCTCTAACATTAGTTATTTTCCCATAGTTTACAAGGTTTTTATGAACAAAAACGAGATGTGCTCAGTCATTTTTTGTAATGCAAGTGCATTCTCAGTTTGTTTGATAGCATCTGTGCCATATTTGCATATTCATTGCCATTTTCCTGTTAGTTTAATGATGAAACTGAGGTCAATGACCAAGTCAAAGTGCAATAATGTTCACTTTGTAGCAACGTCGCCAGCGTCTGTCTGCGACCAAGTGCCGGCACTTCGGCCACAACTATAAAGAGCGTGTAATATTATCGGGTGTCAATTTTTCAGTCATGTGCAATATCTGTCTCTCTGCATATTGTCCACCAGTACTGACAAAGTGGCAAATGATTCTTACATTCTGTCCCTCTTTCCCACACCCAGGAATCGTGATAGCCCATTTGAAACCCATGAGTGCAAACAAATGGTATTCTTTGTCATGACTGATAAAGTTGTGAAGCTGCAGCCATAACAAACTAGTTTGCCTTTGCCACCACTGCATCACCAGAAGTGCATCTGTGTTTCACAGAAACATTTGAGATACTTGTCACAAACTATGCAATGAAGACGTTGTAGTAGAGTTTTGATTTGACAATAAAGAAGACTGTGCTTGGCCGTTCAAGTTATCCTCTTGTTTTTAGCAATTGCCTTGAAACATTCACATTTAAAAAAAAAATGTAAGAACTTTATGACGTATGTTTGTATTGCTTAACAAGTTTGCTGAGAGTGGTTGTATTATTTTGCAATACCACAATGCATTTTGTGTTTTTTCTTCACAGACAGCAATCCTAATCTAAATATGACTCAACGTACAGGATTCATTAGCACACCCCTGAAATTTAGTGACGAATATGAAGGCCCAGAAATTGTCAGATTAGCCCTGTCTATTCACCCGCCGGGAGGGGTCAACCAGATCACCTTCACGTTTGCCGGAGTCGAGACAGACGAGGAGGAGGGAGTGGGAGACTCATGCCAGAATTTTGTTGAACTTAACGGGACGCAGACAGACAGCGTGATGGCTACACAGGAGCGTATCTGCCTGTACGCCTTGAAGGAGAACAACGTGGTGGAAATCAAAGGCTGGTCATTTAAACTGGCATACAACACTGCCAACATCACAAGAAATAAATTTGTGGCTATATTTAAAGCAGGTATATCTTTGCAAAGTTCATCAAATTTGTGAGAATTAAGGAAGTCTCAAGCAGCCTTTCACTAACAAACTTGAAACAAACAAAAACCATGATAAGTTGAAATTACTTCAACAAAGTGAGATTCTAAAGTTTGTATCACTGTGGCAAATCAAACTTGGTACAATGTTAATCTTCGTGTGGTAATTAAACACTAATTGGAACAACAACCAGTATCTGACTGTGACATTACTGTAAACTTACAAATTAACTTACAGAAGTAAGAGAAAAAAACGGCCTGTTGTTTATGATAAAACATTGAACAAACTTTCTCTTTAAATATTTGGTCAATGAGCTGTAGACAGCCCTGTTATAAAAATTAAAAAATCATTCATAAATACCTCAGACAGTTTAGCTATTCCTATTGGTCGAGAGCCCGTCACGTGGCCGGTCTTAAACGGATGATAAAGACATGGCTAGCTGGTCTTAAACACTTTTCCAGTGTCACAATAAAATGTGGACTCCTAAAATCCAGTGCCTCTTACCGTTTCATTGGTTGAATGTTCACAATCCTCACGTAGGCATGCGCAACACTACAAGCGAGTCAGAATTTTATAGTTCTAAATTCAAAACGCAACGCCCCAGGTGCGTTCTGCGTGACATCGCGAAGAACATGTTACGCGCGCGTCAATCTCCATAAAAGGGTTGTTTACATCTTACTCGCCAGCTGAACACTCCATTATTTTGCTAGAGGGATGTTTAAAAAAGCATGAAGTGAACTTGTTGAACAAAATCGGGATTTTTTGAACGAATTATTTGATATTTTTTTACGGATAAGGTATTTATGAATGGGAATAAATATGTGCTCGGTCGGTATTTATCACTCTGTTTAATACCGCTTAGAGTCTGGGTGCTGATAATTACCCTCGCCTCCGGCTCGGGTAATTATCAGCACCCAGACTCTAAGCGGTATTAAACGAGTGATAAAAACCTCCGGAGCACACATTTATTCCCTTATTATAATATGTGTGGACACTTAGCCGACATAAAGTATTAATACCAAACCATAAAATATTAGTATAAAAGCAACCTGTTTTGTGTTTCTCTTCATAGAATGGAAGTGTGATGAAGCAATCATGGTAGACGATGATGATGTTGGCTACATTACATCTCCTCTGTACCCAGCCCCTTATCCATTATACCTGAATTGTCACACTCTCCTGATGGCACCTGAAGGCGCCCAAGTGGTTCTGGAGTTGGTCTACTTTGATATAGTCTTGTGTTCCTCTGGAGACAACATCGCCATTTATGACGGCCCTAGCGAATCGTCTGAGCTACTCATCAGCTGCTACAGTGGTGTTTCGGAGCCACCCCAACAACTAACCAGCTCCAAGGGGGCGCTGTTGATTGTTTTCACGTCAGATGGCAGCAGCATTTTTCCTGATAATCCAGGATTTAACTTGGCCTACTACAGCCGTGGCGAATTTGATCGTGGTAAGTTATAGGCTAAGCGACAGCACAACAGTTCTTACAGTTTGGGACACAATCTCAGTGAGGAGATCCAAACTGGCACGGAGGAAACAGTCAACATAATTTTCTACATTTTTGTGGGCAACTTCTGATCTGGGGCATCAGATGTTTTTTGTCTCGCCTGAACGAAGTTCAGGAAAGAGACCATGCAATCACTGTGTCTGTCCGTCCGCTGGGATGTCCTTCCGTATATATGTATGTCGGTATGTATGTGGTATTTTGGTTAAAGATTCAAGTCCCATTGAAACCAAACTTGGGTCATAGATGCAACATGGCAACCTTCATATGATAATGATGTCAAAGGTCACATACCAAGGTCAAAGGTCATCTGAGTTTAAGTTGTAAAATAGGCTGAAATTGTAAATTGGTCTCATTTCAACAGTTGCAGTCCTATTTGAACCAAACTTGAGTCATAGATGCAAAGTGGCAACCTTCATATGATAATGATGTCAAATGTCACATACCAAGGTCAAAGGTCATTTGAGGTCAAGTTGTAAAATAGCCTGAAAATGTAAAAATGATCTCATTTGAAAAGTTGAAGTTTAATTGGAACCAAACTTCAGTCATAGATGCAGCATGGCAACCTTCATACATGATAATGCTGTCAAAAGTCACATACCAAGGTCAGTTTGACTTTTACATACCACATCCTCCAAGCTTAAATGCGTGACCGTTGAGTCTTCACTTCATGCTGCAATTCAGTGTAAAGGTTCTATATTAATTAACAGTTCATACAATTCCACCCTCATTACTACCCACAGTTATTTCTACACTGATCAGGGCCCTCTCATCCTCATTGTACTACCCCCTGCCATTGCCACCCTACAATGTACACCAGGCAGTCTGGCCCTGAGTAGTCACTCTTTCAAAAGAATCAAACAGAAAACAGGCGAGACACGTGTTTCGAGAACCACCTTGTTCTTGTCAACTCGTAATACCCCATTATTTGGTGTTCAATTTCGCAGACAACACAACCTGTGGCCTGCAGACTGCCAACCTTGAACCAGAGACTCGCATCATCGGAGGGAAGAACGCCCAGGAAGGGGAATGGCCCTGGCAGGCTGCCATGCTGTTTGATGGACGCTTTGCATGCGGAGGATCTCTGATTGATCCTGAATGGATCCTGACTGCAGCACACTGTGTGTAAGTTTTGCCTACTTCAATCTCAATCAGGGTTTTTTTCGTTTCACCTGGGGGATCGAGAATGGGGAGATGAGGAAGGAGTTTGCATCCCACCAACTTTCCAATCTTGGAACTGCAGTTGCTGATTATGCAATGTTTTAACTCCATGCAGAGTTGTATTGACTCGAGTCAATGACTCGACTCAAGTCCGACTCGAGTCGCAATTTTTGGTGACTCGACTCGACTCGAGTCCCTAAGGGCAAATGACTTGACTCGACTCGAGTCAGTGCAAGCAAATGACTCGACTCGACTCGAGTCCTCATCAGAATGACTCGACTCGACTCGACTCGAGGAAGGCTAATCAGACTCGAGTCCCAAAAATAAAAGCAAAACTTTGCGAAAATAGTTGCAATGACTTACGCCAGTGCTGGTTTTTGTTCACGTCACATTACAATGTTCGCGAATAATGTATACATATACGTACGTGGTTTGATCAGTGTCCCCATTAGTTGAATGGCGATATCAGCTGGCACCCCCTTTTTTATTTTCATTAAGAGTCAAAATGGTGTCACCACATGTAGTAGCCCGAATGTAAAACTAAAACAGCCAAAAAGTGACTTTCTCTCTTGTGATTATTAATTGTATAGCGTTAAATACTTGACTCGACTCGACTGGACTACACACTGTGACTCGACTCGACCCGACCTTCTCGACCTAATGACTCGACTCGACTCGAGTCTCTTCTTTAAAATGACTCGACTCGACTCGAGTCACAAAAATCAGTGACTCGTTACAACTCTGGCTCCATGATCACAAAAGAAAACAAAGACTTGAATTGTGATCACGTATATTCCATGAATGAGTGCCAATGTCATTACACAGTCAGTTGCAAACAAAAGATTTTGAAGGACCCAGGTTCAAACTTTGACAATTTGACAAACTTTGACAAAACACACATTGATTTTGTTTTTCTTGAAGCGGCACTGCTACAGCCCATCCTGAGCTCTATGAATTCATAATGGGGGCCAACAATTACCGTGAAGGATCAGAAAACATGCAACGGCGCAAAGCAGTGGCCATGTATGTGCACCCAGGATACAGTATCGCTGGGATCAACAAGTACGACTTCCACTACGATGTTACACTGTTCAAGCTGGAGTCAGCCTTCAACATCACAGACTACGTGAGAACTGTGTGCATGCCCATGCAAAATATGACAGATTTTCCTGAGGATATGGTTGGTACGATAACTGGATGGGGATTCATTAGTTTCACTGGTAAGTATAGGGGAGTATTTTTGTCTTTTTCATTCAATGATGCAAACTTGATCTGATATAATTTGTTCTGCAAAGGAGCTTTGCATTACATTAACATTGAATGGCTTTCTCTGTTATTAAGAAAATTAAAAAAAAAATATCATATTTCTGAATTGATTTCAGTCCCCTTGACATGGGCATGCTGTAGAGGTTACCTAACCTGTGAACAGGATCTATTCCAATATTTTAATGTAAAGCAACAGGAAGGAATATGGTCAGAAGTCCTCAAGGATGTATAATGTCATGTGCCAAACATGAACAACGTATTCAGTTGTTTGGTTACAGCACCTTCTCACAATATATCATGCAAACCAAAATATATCATACTAAGGGCTATTGACCTATCGCGGTAGAATGGCGTTAGAATCGCGTCAACGCAGCTTGTGAAATATTGTCCAATTACATGATATACAAATGGACGCAGAATGCGCATAATCTGAGACAAACAAAACTTAACGTCAATTCCACGCACAAGTGGACTTGGCTGAAAAGTGGACAATTTATGAAATCTTTTGAACTACAAGCATCACAGCCTCAAATGTGGTATCAAATCAAAGAGGACAACAAAACCTTTCATTTGAGTGATGTGCCGGTGAGATGGAGTATGGTCAAATGTAATTTTTCAACAAAAAAAAACCTGTTGTGGGAGCTAAAATTGTGGATTTTAGGGAGTCATTTTGGTATCTGTTTTCACATGCAAATTGCAAGTGTTATTGTGATTTTGTTTTGTTTTAAGACAGAGAAAGGTTCATATTCTATGGCAAAAGGGTTTTTTGGGTTAGATTTTTAGTTTGTTACTTGTTTTAACTTGTATCAAAAGATGGGTGGACCAACTGTAATACACAAATATATATGAGTGGATCAGCGTGGAATGGGAGGAATATTATCGCAAGGTAAAATCTGGACCTTTCAATTTCAACTGGAAAAGTCCAGATTTTACCGAGTGATGACATTCCTCCCATTTCACAATTTAATGCCACTCAATATTTGTTATATAAATGACATATCCTTGTCATTGGATATTTTAACTTTTATTTCAATACAAAATTGGTGGAAAATGTATTTCTCTCTTCCAAACCACCCCTTTACAAAAATGTTTGAACCCAACGCTGTAGCACTGGCTCTTTGGAACAATACGCGCAACGCTGAACGCGCACACCAGCATGCATTTGCACACAAATACCGCATCATGGAACAAGACTGATCCTAACTGTTAAATAGTATTTCCCATTCCCCATGGGACTTTTTGAGCCCCGGCGTGAATTGGAGCAATAACAAATGTCACGTGATGTGAGTTCCACCAATCAAATGACAAGGATCTGTATGTTGGTTATATAATGCTAGTTATCGCATGTTACCAAAATGTACCCCCTAAAAATCTCATGATTAGTTGCCATATGATAAGTTTTATGGTAGCAAATGACTTACACCCCAGTGAGAACATTTCCAAATGCAAGATATTTAAATTTATGCCATTTCCATTATAATGGTTTAACAATTAACTCGCTATTGAAATTTGGTATTCAAAAACTCTGATATAAACCGCTTCAAATTTGCCACTTTTTGTGATCACGTTTGTGCGGGGGAACATGCCCTTTTGTAATAAGTTTGTACCCCACTTGTCCATGTGCTGCATGTAGGCTCGGTTAGTGAACATCTTCAAGAAGTGGAGTTGTTCCTGGTGAACCATACAACGTGTGCTTCCCAGTGGCTGGAGTATGGTGGCCTTATCTCTCCCTCGATGGACAACTTAATTTGTGTGGGACGTCCCGGCGATAATGATGGCAAAAGCGCATGTTTTGTAAGGGCCATACTTTATTGATATTTCCTTTTAGATGTTTCATTTAGCAATATTACCAAACTTTCAAGAAATTACCTTTAAAGTGCTCAAAACTATCACTTATAATCATTGGCCCATCAGTGGAGATAGATATTGAGGATTATATATTTAATGATTATTGACTGCTGTGCTGTGGGATATGGTGTTTTTAGGGTGCATGCGTGGCACCCAAGGCAAAGCCGAGAGTGTTACGCGTCCCAAGGGGTTAAGAATGCCATATCCCACATCACAGCAGTCAACAATTTTGTTTTATGACATAGGAGACCAGACAACAACAATCCCCCTTTGTTTTGATTTGATTTGATTTATTCGCCATTTCCACACAATGGTGATACAGATTTAATATAAGTTAACAAAACACATCAAAATTTATCTAAAATCGTATAAAAAATAAAAAATAAAACATAGAAAATCCACATACAGTAGAAAAAGCAGGGATAACACAAAAATGTTTTAAAAACCTATTCCCATTGCGGTCCCAATTGTGGTGTTGGTCATTGTGTCCCCTAAATCTCAGGAAATTGTTTCTTCTTGTGTCATGGAGCGCTAGTCCACAGAAGGGGTACTTAGTCATAGAAGCCCTAATATCCTTCGGAGTAAAAATCACAATGCTAGCAACATTAGTAATGCTACAAACATGAAAATGAAAAAAAATGAGTGTTGATATGGAGTTCCAGAGGATGCAGGTTCAAATGATCTATATTCCAGTAAGTTTCAGCCGTTTTTCAATTTTAAAGTGTGAAAAGTTCAACCCCGTGTTTATTTTTAAAAGTGTGTTCAAAGAACACGGGGGTCATGAGTGTTTTTTGTGTTTCTTACAGGGTGACAGTGGAGGTCCATTGGTTATAGAGTTAGACGAGCAATGGGTGCAGCTTGGAGTAGCAAATTTTGTGGGTAATGGCTGCTCAACGGAGTATGTTCCCAATGTCTATGCTAGAGTCGACGCATATCTGGATTGGATCCAGCCTGTGTTTGACCAGAAGGAACCTGAAGGCCGTAAGAAGAAAATCACAACAGATAGTTTCTCGATATGTATTGCAACTTGACATGATCTTCTGAGATTGAAGTTCAGCAATATGAAAAATTCATTCATTGTATGGTTTTATGAAAAACAAAAATAAGGAAAATATTTCTAGAGGAGCCGTGTTTAGATGAGCTTTTGGGAAGAGTGGGGAAAAGGTTAGACTATAAGGATGCGCATTTTCAGGTAGTTTGGGAACAGTGTACCTGATTGCAAAAACAGGGTTACCCGGGTACCCTTTAAAAAACGTTACCCCAAAATTCCACATAATAATATTACTCAGCAGTAGCACAGCAAGATACAAGTACAAACAGTGACCTTTATTAGCAAGCGTCATGAAAATGAAATATGTTTTGTTTTCCCATGTAGCCTGATTTTCTTTTAAAAAATTCCCCACAAATGACGTTCAAAATCTTTCTTTTTTATTGACTGTGAAGTTAAAGTTGCATACGGGGACCTGATCTCATAATCTGGAACCGGTTCCTTACATTATTGGTCAGATACACAGTTATCTGATTCCAATGTACAACCCTACATTAGACAACAGTAGAATGGGAAGGGGTGAATTGATTTTGAAGAAAATTGAATTTGGATAGGGATGGAAGTAATTGTGTATTAACCCTTCCCTGTCTTTCTACTCGGGCTCAGGTTCCTTAAAATTACAAAGTTTATTTGGAATTTAGAAAATGACGTTTTAAATTAATGATATCAAAATTGTTAGTGGAGTTGACCTTAAACTTAAACATGTGCTTCCTGTACCATTGCTTGTGTGAGAATTACAGTGGGTAAAACATCATGTCTGTGCAAAGTACTGCGCAGTGTGTAATGCTGTCTCGTTGATTACGACTCGTTCACAGAGCCTGTTTATGAGTTTTGCCCATCCAAGGGCTACCGGTGTGAGCTTGGAGCATGCTTAGATCGATGGGTCAAATGCAACGGCCAAACCGACTGTACTTCTGGAAGTGACGAGATGTATTGTGGTAAGTTCAAACATGTCAAACAACACCCTTTCCACATCCTGAACAAGTAGCTAAATATTAATATATTAGGTTTTGCCTTTCTTCTGATGTAAGCTATAAGTACAGTAAACTCTGGCCAAGTCGGAACTCTCGAGACCCGGAAATTTGTGACGACTAAGCGAATGCCATCATTTTGCTTCGATTTACCTTTGTTTATCTCCTTAATGCTTGTGTTGATTCCAACAAATTAATCCTCGTATTGTATCATCACGTTTGGGGTATTGATAGTGGAGACCATGTATGTTTACAAAATACATATACATGTACAGTTACGAATTAAATGCATGTGTGGTATTGACTGCATCATTCAATAAGACGACCCCCAAAATGGACAGAGCGCATGCGCACAGGACTGGAGGGGGTACTGGTAATGCTCACGATGCAGTAGTGGGAAACCCCTTGGCGCGCTTGGCTGTGCAGCGACACCAATGCATGCAGTGATCACGGGCCGTGCCGCACTGGCCAAACCACTTTTCACTGGACATTTCTTGCCAACCGCAGTGCAGGAAGTTGATGCCAAAGAGTGATTTTTTGAATGCCGACTTACACAAAGGATTTTGTTTCGCTTTTTATGGAAAGGGGACCGAGAGTAACGCGGCGACTTGAGCGAATTGGCGACTTATAAAAGCCGACTTAGAAATAAACAATTCAATGGAAATGCATTACAGACAATCAGGGCTTTAGGCAGACGGCCGACTTGAGCGATTTGACTAGTTGTATGATGTCGACTTGGCTGTAGTTTCTGTAATGTGTACATCAGTGCCCTTAGATCTTATGATCACATTTATTTGTAATAGGTTTCAAGGCAGTATTCCAGTGATTTTAAAAATCCATCTAAAGGTTTGGGTTCCTAGCTCTTAGTAAAAGGTTTCCCAGTTTGGGAAAACAATTGATGCATTTGATCGATCAGGGTAGTTAATAAGTCAATTTGCTTTTTTTTTTTTATCAATTTTTAATTTGATTTTGATCACTTTTTTTTTATTCTTTCATTATGTTCTTCAATTGTTGTTGTTACATGTATTATTTTTTAACTTTCCCCTTTGTGGTGTTTTTTTACTTCCTTTTTATTGATATGCAAACTGTTTTTACCTCTGTCTATTTTTAATGTTTTACATGTAAATGTGCCCTTATTCAGGCTTTGGGCTCCAACAGGAGAGTGAAATAAACCATTGAATAATAATAATAAAGTAAAAAATCCACTGTTAAAGATCAGTCACATTAATGTGGCAAACATGGACTAATTTGGAAGATTATATATAAAGTTATTTAGGACAATCATCGTAGATTTTTTGGTTTTCCTATCTCAAGATTGAAAAAAAAATCAGTCAGGAGGGGAATTTATATTTTTTATTTTATAAATTCAGCTTCTTCACATCGAAAATGAATTGAGGGGACAACATCTGATAAACTTAAAAGACAACACAACAAACATGAAAACTACTTAATGGGGCCTGATAGTACCAGTCAGCTGCAGCGGCGTAGCTTCATGGGGTGGGGGGGGGGGGGCACGCGCCCCCCCCCCCCCCCCCCCCCCCCCCAGTTGGCTCCCACTGAAAATTGGGCATCCAAGAAAAGCACAGCCATATGAGTTACCATGATTAGCTGGAAGGACATAAAGTCCTTTTTTCTCGTGATTGTGGGCATATTTTTCCCCCAATGTTTTTTTTTTTTAGTGAGTGGCTGTTTGTAACTTCCCTTGGAAAGCAAATAATGGTAGTTATTGTCTAACCATGGTCTAATGCAGCCATGGTCTAATGTAGCCACGTTTTGAACAGCGCCCCCATGGGAAGAGTGTTCAGCCTCCCCCCCCCCCCCCCCCCCCAAATTTGATTTTACGGAGGTCGGGTGTCTGGTGAAAAAAACCTGTCTACCTTTCAGCAAATTTTTTTGAGCGCCCCTCCATTGAAACCTCAAGCCCCCCCCACATGCCCCCTTAGGATGAGAACCCTGGGTACGCCGCTGGTAAACTGTTTAATGACCTAGGGTTTGCGTCTAGAATTTAAAAAGGATAATGAACCTCACAGCGCAACCGTGCCTGTGGATTTGGTGAGGAAGTTTTCTGGAAAATTCACTTTTTTTCATGAAAAAACACATTTTCAGAAAAAAATATAAAATAAAAAATAAATCAGGGCGGGAGTGAAAATCAAGGAGGGAGGTGATGAAAACCTAAAAATCAAGGTTGATTGGCCTTAAAATAATCTACAACATCGAACGTAAATAAGGGGAATTTCGGCCATAAAAATTCTTTAAAAGTTGCCTCGCCCCCTCTGCTAAAAGCCAGAGTGTAAAATTATATCAATGAGGACAGCAAACAGAAGAAGCCTGTTTGCTTGCACTCCCACAACAATCGTGGCTGCTGGGCCTGTATTGGTTTCCCACAGCATTAATAGACGAGATGAACAGGTGCTTCTTTTGTCGTTGAATTCTCGATCTTCCCAACTTTTGATTAATTCTGCCAGGGAGAACTTTGCAAAAAACTGTGCCCCTCTCCTCCTTTGTTGAATCTTCGAAAATAAACGCGCCGTCAGACAATGAAACCAAAATTGTTTCAATTCATGACAGAATCGTAAATCGAAATGTGTGAAATGCCTTCATTGTATGCATGTAGAAGTATGGCACAAAACAGTTGTTTGATTGTAGAGCCGTACCTTGATGTCATCAAAATGGCTTGTAGCAGATGCTCCCGATGTTTTCCTTTTGTTTTCCTTCTAGTTTTTAGCAGAGCTTTTTTACTTTTAGTCGTTATGGCTGCTACACTCCTCATTTCGTTTTCGATGTAGTAGATTATTTCAAATATAAAGTTCAAAATTAGTCCAAGTTAGTCACATTCACTTAATTCCTGTAGCGCAGTGTTCAAGAAAAACTCTATAAATACATGTAATGACGTCTTGGAATAAGTTCCAATTCGTGGACCATAAGTTGACTAGTGGTTTGTTGTGCCTGCTATATTAAAATGTAAACTTTTTAAGTAAAACATTGATTAAATTCAGCCACTTCATTCCAGATTTCCACGTCTATTGTTACATAAGCAGCGACCTACCCTTAATTATAGGTCCCGAATCCTCTAGACTATTTTTTTGAACAATTGCCAACTATATAGTTTGTGGTCAGACTTGCACACAGATTTAACTGTTCATTTTTAATTGTACTCATTTACAGAAGGACTAATGCTCTTCTTCGATGCATTTTACACTGTCCGCCTGAATGACACATCCATCCGGGAAAGTGTTCCAGTCAACTCATCTGAAGAGTGCGCAGGCATCTGTCTGGATAATGAGAAGTTCCGTTGCTATGCATTTGATGTCATCACCGTGGATGGCGAAATGATCTGTGCAATGGCTGAGGAGGAATATGCTGTAATGCCTAATGAAGCTGTGGTTATCGGCCAGCGAAACATGGCCGATTACAGAGTAGTACATTTTCAACTGGATCCAACTGTTGGTAAGTATCTAACGAAATGCAGAACTGACAATTAAGGGCAAAACCTAATTTGATTTGACAATGAAAACTTATGAACTGTACATGGCAAAGGTCGAGGGCCTAATGCAAGGAGGTTCAAACGAATTCTAATCCTCTGAAGAAAAAGAAGATGTTTCCCTAATAAAACAACCACAAAACAGAACTCTTGGATTTGTCTTTTGGGCATTTAATATGCACCAGATTGCAGGAGTTGATGTCCTTTTTAAAAAGTGTTCCCAGGGGAGCATTCCTCCGGATCCAAGCCATTGCATTTCGCACCCCCTTCTGCCAATCCTGGGTACTCCCCTGAAGGTATTCATTTTGTATATTTATCTCATCCTACAGCTTTCTCACGGCCTACGGCCATGTCACTCATTCCATTACGGAAAACACGTCGCCTCTGTTTACCTACATTTGCATATCAGCGCGCATGTGCACAAACCTTCGCTGAAAAGAATAGACTTGCCCTCCGCGCCCACTACATGTCCCTTAAATAGCCCTGTATGCTTCAGTGTGAACATCATGTGAATGAACATACAAACACAAACTGAACTCGCTGTGCTCTTAACAACGGCAGATGTCGCCAAGACGAAAAAGAAAACTGTTCGCTCAAGTCATTCTTCTGGGAAATCACCCTCCAACCTACACTCCAAGCGTGATATTTCCGCCACCACAACCGGGTCTAATCCCCGGTTTCGATTGTAGGAAATACCCCGGGAACAGGCACTTCTCCAGCAAGAGTCACTGCAAGATTCCCAACAAATCCCGCACATTCGACAGAGCACATGCAAGCAGCAGAATGAGAAATCGACACTCATGTGCTTGCAGGTAGGTGAGGTTGGCGTTCGATACCCAAAATGTCCCTCGGTAATTCGACTAGCCCGCCCAGTCACAGAGGCAGAGCACCACCTGACCACCGCCATCCATCATCTAGACATGCAAGTACACACCATGATCAAGCTTTCCGAGCGAGCCACAAGATTTTCTCCATTGCCTTCAGCCCCAGGAGTCAACTTTTGCGTATATTTTTATTATATTCTGACTTTGGAAATAATATGGTTTGATGTACTTGTACATTTTTTTATTTGTGAACACTGTGGAAATTAATGAATTGAACTGAAATTGGAAACTTAACAAGGACTGTATCGCAACACGATGCATTATTTATCGCTACATGTACACGTTGACAGTGTGGCCACACATAAAAAAAAATGGAAAATTCCCAAGAATTCCCAAGGCAATGGAAAATCACGCTGTAGCCTTAAATCATATAGAATTATGATGTTTTTACCACCAAAATCCCACGATCTTGGGAAAAATCACAAGGAGTGGCCACACGTGGTTTCACCATTAAAGTCTGGCCAACTGAGGGCGCACTTTCTTAACCACTTAAACGACCTTGCGTTATTACCGATGGGATTTCCACTCGCCGTGTCGTCGTTGGATTTCTCTGTATTCTTTGAATGATCTTGGGGTTCCTATTTCACTCTGAGACAAAGATTCCATTCTCCGTGGATTTACACTCCTAGGAACGCATCGTTGTGGAATTTCTCCACATCACTCCGGTGACTAGACCAGCTGCTCAACACCACAGCACCGGGAGGACCGCAGGCCCTCCCGGGCCCATTTGCGGTTTTGACTTGCGATTCCACTTGGACTCTGATAGAGGTTTGACTTCGAGGATTGTCTCGTGATTCCCTGATTACTCATGGTCGGAATCCCAATATTTGGAGTCGTCTCCCTTGGAGTTGTTCAAGATTGCCTTTGGGTTCTCTCTTCTAATTCCATTTATTGAATGAATTTATGATGACAGCATCACTAAGGGTAAGCAGTTTCAGTCTTCCCTCCTGTCTGGGTTCAACCCTCTTGTCTTCTACCATTGAAATGCAGGCTCACTTCAATGGTAAAAGACAAGAGGTTTTAGTCTTCCCTCCTGTCTGGGTTCAACCCTCTTGTCTTCTACCATTGAAATGCAGGCTCACATGCATTTACGCTTCAGCTGCCTTTGGATAGAATGTTGCAACCTGATGCCACATTTCATCTTATACTTAAAAAAAAGGCTTGACTCTCCATAGACTTGTACTCAAACGTTTACTGGCATCGGATCTTTTGTGTGGGAAAGCAAATTAGGTTTTGCCCTTCACCAACGTATAAACACTGTATACTCAGTGTGTTATCTCCCGAGTGAAAGTTGGAAAAAATCACTCGGGTGGGACTCGAACCCATGACCTCCTGCTTTCTAGTGCAGATGTCTTTGTGTTGCGCTGTGGTCCAATGGTTACGGTGTTTGACTCGTGTGCCGTGGTACGTGGGTTCGAATCCTGACCGTGGGAACATGGTGCTTGTGCTCTTGAGCAAGGCACTTTACCATTATTGCTTCGTCCTTCAGATGGGACGTAAAGCCGTAGGTCCCGTGTGTTGTGTAATGCACGTTAAAGAACCCAGTAACACTTGTCACTAAGAGAAGGGGTTTGCCCCGGTGTTTCTGGCAGTGGCAGCAATATGCGCCGCAGCACCTAGCAAAAAGGTGGAGAAGCACCTAGCAAAAAAAAAAGAGGAGAAGTCTTTGTGTTACAGGGCTAAAGGGACATGTGGTGGGCGCAGAGGGTGAGGCTTGGGCGCTATTCTTTCCAACGAAGGTTTGTGCGCATGCACGCAGATATGCAAATATAGGTAAACAGAGGACTTTAGGAAACTCAAGTAGTGCAATACTCTCAATTATCAGAAGCACTATCAGCAGATTACTATTACTATTGGTTTTGATTACATTACAGTGGACAATGCTTTTGATGGAAGTCGGCATGCTGGATTCATAAGCACACCCCTGAAGTTTAGTGATGACTATGATGGGCCAGAAATGGGCATATTCCCCTGTTTATTTCACCAACTGGAGGGGTCAACCAGATCACCTTCACGTTTGCCGGAGTCGAGACAGACGAGGAGGAGGGAGGAGGAGACTTATGCCAGAATTTTGTGGAACTTAACGGGACGCAGACAGACAGCGTGATGGCTACACAGGAGCGTATCTGCCTGTATGCCTTGAAGGAGAACAACGTGGTGGAAATCAAAGGCTGGTCATTTCAACTGGAATTCCATGCTGCCAATGTCACAACTAATGGATTTGTGGCTGTATACAAAGCAGGTATGTGTGATTTAGAGTATCCAGTGGCTCGTGTAAGTATGAGTTACACACCAGCTTACATTTCAATGCATATCATTACAAGTACTAGGAACAAAAAGAGTTTGCCATGAGTATGAGTAGGAGTACTTTACAATGAGTACGAATACTGTGCCACAAGTATATGATCGGGTTATGGAATGAGTATGAGTAGGGGTATGAGTCAAGTGCTTTCCATGAGTATGTGCACAATTCAATGGGCGTGCATGTTCACCAGTGCTTTATGCTGTCAATCTAGGCATTAGACAACGCAAAAGCCTTACAAACAGAAGAAAAATTGTTTTCTTCCTGCATGTACCTCTTTAATCATTTACTGATTAATTATTTATCAAAGGAGAGTTTCTCACCTATTATTTGTTTTCTCTTCATAGAATGGAAGTGTGATGAAACAATCATGGCAGAGGATACCGGCTACATTACATCTCCTCTGTACCCAGCCCCTTATCCATTATACCTGAATTGTCACACTCTCCTGATGGCACCTGAAGGTGCCCAAGTGGTTCTGGAGTTGGTCTACTTTGATATTTCCTTGTGTTTCTATGGCGATAACATCGCCATTTATGACGGCCCTAGCGACTCGTCTGAGCTACTCATCAGCTGCTCCAGTGATGTGTCGGAGCCACCCCAACAACTAACCAGCTCCAAGGGGGCACTGTTGATAGTTTTCATGTCGGACGGCAACAACGCTTCTTCTTCTCTGAATCAAGGATTTAACTTAACCTACCACACTGTTCCCGGCCCTGGTAAGTTGGATTGAATTGAACGATCCTTTAATGATCAAGCCCTACCCCAATCATGCTTTGACCAATCACAGCTGTGATTCCGAGGCACAGAGCATGCAGTGCATATTGCAGTGCTACCCGCAGATGACGGCCTGAAGCCGTCTGGCATCTAGTCTGAGTATCACCCGTTATCCACGGAGCAAGACTCCTGCATAACGTCTGATATGTCAAAGCATGCAGATATATGCAAGCCGTGTGCCAACCAATGGGGGTCGACTTTACTAAATCGTGACGTCATTTCATTCCTAAATCAGGACTAAATGGTTTGATTGGTCAGTTCGAATGCAGTGTTTTGTAATACAACAGCAGCCGGGTGCGATATCCCGTAACATGATACAGAGCGCGTGTATCGTGTGACACATTTTTTTCTTCCATTGTCTATGACGAGCAGCGGGTGAATGACTGAAGACCCGATATAGAAAGTGCCCGCTGATTGGTCAAAATCTAGGAGGTCAAGAGGCGGGGTCTTGCCTAATTAATCAGCAAATCTGTTCATATGTGATAAACCACAGCATTCTTTGTGGTCTATTATTACATAGACTATCTGGCATCAAGGTTTGTGAAAAATAAATCCTATGCCTTGGTCTGGTCAGTGTCAAAATAATCATGGCGTGAAGTGGTTAGCACAGCACACCAACATAAAGGGTGATGTATAATACCCGCTGGGATCGACCAAAAATATTATGCATTGAGAACCAGTGGCGTAGTCAGGATTTTTTCAGTTGGAGGGGGGGGGGCACCAGCATTTCATGAGGGGGCACCAAGGACAGACCCAACAACATTTCCAGGCCACCACAAGTGCTGCAAATTCAAAAGGGGGGGAGATGCTGGACCTCTTTTCTTGCTAGAAGGCAATCTTTTTGAGTGGTCGGGCACAACCCGACCACTGTTTAGAATTGTTCTGATAATTGTTCTTTCTTAATTCTTTCTTTCTCTTTTTCCGTACAATTCTCCATGGGTTTTCTCCTAAACGGTATATGGCATGAACTTGTAACGTTCAACATAAATCAACCCTCACCCCTAGTGGTGCATATCACTCTGACGTCATCGGGTGTCAAATTACAAGCCATTTTTCGATGAAAGATGCATTTTTTTTTACAAAATATTTGGTTGTACTGGAACAGTTAAAGTTTGTGATCCTTTGTTCTGACATAACAATATTCATAACTTAACTGGGCAATGTCTAATGAAATTGGTGTCTACCCGACCACTCTGCGTTTTTTATTTGTATTAATTTATGCACATTTCATAAAGCTGTGCGATAAGGGAAGTAAAAAAAAGATATCTAGATTCCTCTTCGTTTTTTGGTGGGGGGCACCGGGGGGGGGGGGGGGGGGGGTGTCCCCCCTCACCCCCCTTGGCTCCGCTTCTGTTAAGAACCCCTTAGCTGTTAAAAACAAGAGACGACCCCCCCCCCCCCCTTCCAACAATCAAAACCATTTCTGAAGATAGTAATTTCTTTTATTAAAGATGCAGATGCCTGTGGCCTACAGCCAGCCCTGTTGGATCCGGAGAGCAGAATCATTGGTGGTCAGCCAGCACAGGAGGGGGAGTGGCCATGGCAAGCCGCCATGTTCTATGATGGACAGTGGACATGTGGGGGCTCCCTCATACATCCGCAGTGGATACTCACTGCTGCTCATTGTCTGTAAGCGCCTGCGTACTTTATGATCACTATGTTACGTACATACACTGACTAGCATGGCCTCCGTGCAGAAATATGCTAATCTGTCAAAATTACACACACACACACACACATGGTCGTGTTCACATCGTCGATCTAGACGTCCTATTGTCCCTCTTTTGTTTGTACTCTGAACTTTTTAGGAAGACTCCCATATGTTTTGTACATGACCCCAATCACGGACGTATGCTGGGAAACGTGGACGATATTGTTCTCTTTTGTTCTCTGGTATTTTTCGTCCATGGTTGGAATAGCTGAACACGCCCATGTACACATTCTGTGTAAAAATGCAAGGCATGCACTACTTTTTAAGGACACTGGCAGGCCTCACTGCGAAACCTTCAAACCTATAAAATCTATTTTTATTATTGCATCTTGGTGGCCTAGTTTATATTTAGTCTGACTTGCATGTTGGAAACTCAGCATGCGCATATATAGAAGTTGCCGGAAAACACAATTCGCTTTATTTATGTTCGTGCTGAAAAATGGTACCCTAAGGACCTATAAAATGCCTGTAGTTGGAACTTGGGGAAACCTTAACAAATATTATGGTTTTTGAAACCTATTAAAAAAACTTGCATTGGTGAAGAAGGGCACTGTAAGATACATACCCACTTGACCACCATTATTGCAGAGTATCTGTTACCATGTTGTTCGCTTTGGAATATCCTACAAGTTGTGCCCATGCATTCATCTGAAAATTGGTTGCATACGTGCTCTGCACACTTTGCTGTACACAGAGTTATTGTGTCATTTATTTACTCACTGTTTGTTGTAATACCCAAAAGATTATTCATGTCAATTTTAGTCAGCAAATCGCACCATCTACCATGTCTGACAAGAGTTGTAATTCTTGGTTTTCTTTCCCCAGAATTACTTTAAAAAACAGTTTTGCAAGAAATAAGACTCCAAATCTCACAAGTGTTTGAGTCAACCCGCATGCTCATGTTGAAAAAGAACAGACCGTTGACATTTTGGCCAATCACAAATGTGAGTGCGCAACCAAAAAGTCTGACATGCTTGCAGTTGCGCATGACTGGTACGACTGGAGCCCTACGACATGTGTAGCGATGCATGGACCTCATGGTCAAATCTGGAATGGTCCATTATGGTTGCACCTTCAGTATTTATCGTTTCGTAACACTTCATTATTTCACGTTTTTTCCAGGCAAACTGCCATCAAATACCCAGAGATGTACCAGTTCCGAATGGGCAGCAACAACATCAAAACCGACTCAGTAAACACCCAGTGGCGAAGAGCTGCAGAGATATACATGCATCCTGACTTCAAAATTGCCTCCGCTGCCGATTTCGACATTGCTTTGTTTAGGCTGGAGGTTCCCTTCAATATCACCAATTTTGTCCGGACTGTCTGCTTGCCTGAAGACTCAATGCTAGAACTTCCAGTCCAGTCTGCGGTAACTGTTACTGGATGGGGCAAGACCAAACCTTTTGGTAAGTAAGTTTATAAAATAAAACAAATAAAAAATCAGGGATGAATTTGACAAATGTTAGGTGTTTAAGCTCTTTTACTGGTAATGAAACTTTTGTCATTATCTAAAGGCCAAGACAAATTCAGAAAAACAGAGAAGCTGTGCTGTTCTCAAGTTATTTCATTTTATACAACACCTGAATAAATCCCCGTCATCTGATTGGTGGATCGTTGATCACATGTCATTGAATTATTCGTCCCAACGCATGGCGCGCGTGCGGCGTGCAGCGCTCAGTGCAATGGAAGTTCTCTTGCACGGTGAATAGAACTTCCATTTCAGTGCTGCCGGTGGTGGCGCTGTGACACAAATCTATTTCACAAAATACGGATGTTACGCGAGACTGAAACACTGTTTGTTCTCCTAACAGCAGTTGAAATATCAGAACTTGTAGGTGATGCTGACGCTGCTAACACAAAGAAGCAATAAAATATGTTGCCAACAGGAACATCTGTTGAAGCATTATACTGATTTACAAATGAACAACTTCTTGTCGCCATTTTACTCAGGACTGAGAAGAGAAAATGCGGCACATTATATCAAATGACGAGGATTTATTCAGGTGTTATATAAAACAAATAATGAATGTTTCATGTTCGTGCAATGGAAAGAATAATTTCATTCGGTGACAGATGAAAATGTTCCAATGGAACATTCCATCTGTCACCTCATGAAATTATTCTTACCATTGCACTCACCAACATTAATTATTTGTATACATTTCTTTATATTTCTGAGTGTTTTTCCTTTGGCCATCAGGTGAAGCTAGTGACTACCTACTTGGGGTAGAGTTGTATGTTGTGAACCAGACGGTGTGTTCTGCACAGTGGAAGGAGTATGCATCTTATGCCATCATCACTGATAATATGCTGTGTTTAGGACGACCCGACAAGAGCCCATGCCAGGTAGAACTGTTCATTGTTATGGTGATACCTGACTACGTCAGTGTAACAATAATCACAGTATAGGAATTCTGCTTTGTCAAGCATCACGATACGAACATCTGTATGACATTTACTGCTGGGCGAGTAACTCGATCACTCGAGTACTCATGAATAGTTTATGGTACTCATTGTTCTACTGTTAGTTTTGCATCTACTCAAGTACTCGTCCTGGCGCAGGTACATGTACAAGCAGGCGCTCGCGTGTAGCAGTTAAGACTTTAGGGTTCATGGCTGAATATGTCCCCTGCATGTGACTTGCACGCTATTTACATGTGAATTACTTCACGTCGTACTAATACGTATACATCATTTTCTGCTTTTAGGGGAATTTGATTAAATCCTCATGAGCACCAAACTACTTGCGAGTAATTTCTTTGCGAGTGCATGAGTAGAAAAATCCACTACTCACCTACAATCCCGGCCAAAATGGTTGGGACACTTGGAAATAAACGTAGCCTCCAACAGTCACCAACTCCCCCGCTCCCCCGGTCAATGTTGTTCTCTCCAGCTGATGGAGCACATACCGCGCAATGAGAGACAACATTGAGTGGGGGCTGGGGGGTTGGGGGCCCAGTGAGATTTGGCCAGGATTGTCTGAATTTTTTCATTTTTCAAAATATGCATGACATGCCGTTTGGGGAGTTGTTTTCTTTAGTTTTGTTTCCAAAATATGAAATGGCGGCCGAAGGTTGAATGAAAGAACACATATTTAGGCCAGATAATAATGATTGATAGTAATACAAAAATGGAAATTAAAAATACAAATGTTCCAATTCTTTAAAATCACAACTTTATTGTTGTGTGCATCGTAACGGTTTGCCATGACGGTTCACCATGCCATTTTGGCCAACAACTGTACAAAATACTGTTTGTGTTTAACTTAAAAGGCTCATTATGACACACAAACAATATACAATCCTTGTCAATTTGTTTGTATTCACTCATTCCGTTAATTTGCCGAAAAATCCATCGGTGATTCATCCAAACCAAAATATAAAGGAATCGAGGGACTCTGCTCTCTTATATGATTTACAGTGGTGAACCGTGGTTACACTATGGTTCGGTTGGATTTTTCGTGAAAGGGGGATTAAAAATATATTGAAGAAGATGATACGTTGTTTGTGTATCCTAATACGGCTTTCACGTCGAACACAATCTGTATTTTGTAAAAATATAGGCCAAAATGACATGGTGCACCGTCATGGTGAATCGTGTGCATTGACCATGTTACCAGCGCGCGCGTGTGTATATTATTATTTGAGCGCGTACTACACGCAATATCCTAATCCAATATCAAGGCTATTGTACATTCAGACAATCCCGGCCAAAATGGTTGGGACACTTGGAAATAACCTTAGCCTCCAACAGTCACCAACTCCCCTTCCCCGGTCAATGTTGTTCTCTCCAGCGGATGGAGCACACACCATGCAATGAGAGACAACATTGAGCGGGGGCTGGGGGGTTGGGGGCCCAGCGAGATTCGGCCAGGATTGTAGGCCTAATGACAGTTCCTGGCTGTGAATTAGTTTGGACAGACGTACTGATTATTTATATACTGGAAATGGTATTGGGGTTGACCTTGGGTATAGGGGACCCTTTAGTCATGGGGATCGAGGCTTGGGTTCTTGTGTGCTAATTTGATGAGCCTTGTAACCATTAGATTAAAGTTCAGCCTTGTAGTGGAGTTCTTGTTGGAGATTGGTCCTGATTGCAGATCTTGTATGCTTGTCTGACAATGGTGTGGTTAGACTGATGACGTGATCTTGGGGGTGGTGGTGAGGGTTTGAGAGTCTTGCTCCAAATGTATATCATTGAAAACAAAACAATAATGGTAATGCTCTTGACCATTCAGGGGGACAGCGGAGGGCCAGTGGTGGTGAAGAATGGACAGCAGTGGATAGTAGTTGGCGTGGTCAGTTTTGGCACTGGGGACTGTAATTCCACGGCGTTGCCTGCAGTGCAGACTAGAGTTAGCTCATTCCGGGAATGGATACAACCGATATTTGAAGGAGGGGAACCAGAAAGACGTAAGAAAGAATTATGACTTGCAGTGTAGTAGACAGCAAAGTGTTCTGGGATCTGGGCCGGGAGGGGAGGGGGGTGGTGTTAGGAATGGATGGTGGGGTTGGGATGGTGGGGTTGGGAGGCCCTTTTGGGAAGGGCAGCAAAGGGGAGGATGAAATGAGATTGAGTATTAAGATTTAACAATCTTTCAGCTTGTTTTTTTACTCTTACTTGAATACTGTACTACTCTGTAATACTATAAACAGAAACCAAAAGCTAAATGCAAGATATTCCCGGTTATTTCTGCTCTTAAAGCTGTGCCATCAGCATGGGTGTCGCCAGGATTTTTTTTAGAGGGGGGCATGTATCCAGGTATTATTTTTCCGAGGGTGGGAAGGGACATTCCCCCCCCCCCCCCCATCCCCATTTAATTAGAAGCAATATGACTTCTCTCCTCTTTTTCTGTTCCCCCCCCCCCCCTTTTTTTTGGGGGGGGGTGCAACTTTCGCAGTTTTAACAGCTATACTCTTCAGCACCACAGGATATCACAGTTGTAGCACTGCATTTGACAAGACCAAACCAATTTTGTTATATGACATAGTATTGAACAGGAGTGGGTTGATGCCTTTTCAGGATGTGTGTGTTGTAACCTTTGGCTGTTTTGACTTGCAGAAGACAGTGATTGCTCTGACAATGAGTACTTGTGTCAATTGGGAGGTTGCATCAATCGCAGTCTGAAGTGTAATGGCATGAAGGATTGCACGTCTGGCAGTGATGAGCAATACTGCGGTAAGCTACTTCAAAGCACACTTTGACATTTTCAAGGATAAATGCAATTCATCGGAGAAAATAAACTGGAAGTTTAAGCAACCTGCAGTAATTAATGTCCATTATATGATATGCATTTTGCAATAGATCCGCTTTATGTTTGTTTTATTTATATTACCTCTTTCTGATATAACAAAATGTGGTAGTGGCCATTTGAAATCTAGAATTGCACACAAACGATATATATACCTTCAGTGCCCCCCCCCCCCCTCCTCCCGCCCCCACCCTAAAATTTGGTGCACCCCAGGTGCCCCCTATAAGCTTAACCCCAATTACGCCGCTGACCAGCGTGAGTACATTACCACAAGCAGGGGTACTTTTCAATGTGTATGAGCACATTTTGATGGGTGCAAATGTTTCCAAGGACTTTGTGCTATATTGCATTAAACATTTGCAAAATCCTACCAAATAGTAGAAAATAAGTTCTACTCCTGCCATGTACATGTGCATCTAAAACAATGTTAGATTCCAGTGGGAAAACATTTTCATGTGTGCAAATGGGAGTATGAGTATGGGTAATTTATTTCATGCGTGTACGAGTACAAGTAAGAACAAACATTCACGAGTACAAGTTCTACCACACTGGTTGTCATCAAAGTATATGCAACGTCATACACGTACCTGACCTGTGCTGTGTTGTGCTGATAATACTCAGCCAAAACAGAAAGTCCCCCCCCCCTTAATACTTTTTGTCTAACTCAAAAACTACTGGGCACATCTTGCTCAAATTACGACTGATCAGTACAGAAATTCGTTAGTAATCCAGCCATACTCTTTGTTTGACCCAAAACAGTGATAATGTGTACAAAATTATGCAATTAATGACAAATGGTACCGGAAAAAAGTTGCACCTTTGTATACGTGCAAGGTGAGTGTGAACCACAACTTGCACGTACTCAAAAGTGCAACTGTTTTGGGTATCATTTTTGAGTTAGACAAAAAAGTATTGGAAGGGGGGACTTTCTTTATTGGTTGAGCGTAGCTGGGCCATGCAAGTAGCATGCTTATCATTATGAGAGATTGTTGGTTGCATACAGTGTGCAATTCTGGCACTGCCTATTTAATGGTCATCGTACTGTTAATTATTAAGGGAAAACAATATATTAAAAAAGTGGGAATAGAATGAGACTATTTGAATGCCATAATGTTTCTGATGCAGTTTAGGGCAATACCATGTCAAAAGCATTCCAAATCAGACATGGTTTTTCTTTGGTTTTTCATGGAACTCAGTGATTAAACCTCATTTTTTGTCTTCAAATCTTATACATCTATCTAGTAACGGTCAGTGAGATTACAGACTAGGCGTTTTGGATCGTTTAGCTGAATATTCATTAGATATCATGGTAAATTGGCTCAGTAAGGGACACTACATTTTTTGACATAATGCGGGAACTGCACTTTACTGTTTCCATTTAGAATCACTGGAGCTTGTCTTTGATGCATTCTACGACATCCGCTTGGACGGCTCGTCCATTCGCAAAACTGTGACTGTGCAATCAACAGACGAGTGCACCCAAATCTGTCTGGATCAGCAGGACTTTAGTTGCCGCGCCTTTGACTTTATCACCTCTGGAAGCACGATGAAGTGTGCCATGGCTGAGGATGGGTTTAGCGTGGTGCCAAATGTTAGAACAATATCAGCAAGAAGTTTAGCCATCATGGCCATTGCCGAAAGTGTGGTGCACTTTGAGGTGGTTCCAGTTGGTGAGTACATTCCTATCAGGCTGGGTTTGTTTCAGGCTGATCATTTCAAGATTTCATAGGAGGCCGAATTTCATGTGACACTGGAAAAGTGTTTAAGACCAGGGCCCGATTTCACAAAATGCTACAACGCGTCGCAACCCAAATTACTACGTGTAACACGTAGCAACTCGCGATGGTTGTATGAGCCATTTCACCAAACTTGCGATGTGTTGAACACGTTGTAAGTTCCTTGACAGCGGCTTAAAACACGTCACTAGTTAAGGCATGAGTGCAAGGGCGGATCCAGAACACAATTTTGGGGGGGGGCCAAAAAATTTTTTGGTCCCCCCAAAAAGTGGGTCTAAAAAATTACGGCGTGGGGTTCGGGGCCCGCTTAAGGGCCCCGAAAAATTTTTGGATTCTAGATGCTCGGTGGTGCGATCTGAGGCAATTTCTGACCACTTTAACCAATTTTTTTTAGGAAAAGATGGTGGTGAACTCATTGCCTGCCTTTATTGCGATGTCACATTAAAAAAAAAAAAAAATTGGTTTCGTTTTGGGGGGGGCCATGGCCCCCTTTGGCCCCCCCCTGGATCCGCCCTTGCGTGAGTGATGGTCATCACGAAGTAAGAAGTGTCCTTTTCTTAGCCAGTTTTATGCCATAAAAATTACATAAATGAGACTATAATATCGAGACAATGTGTGTACAGTTGCAAGCGGAAAATGCATTGAAAAGTTATGAACTAGCCAGGAATATTGCAGTTTAAATTCCAAAGTAGCTATCAGTCCACTGTGAGCTTGTTTTCCGTTAAAACTGCATCACACGTTGGACATTTTGCTTTACATTTTAAAAAATTGGAGCGATGATCCGACGACTGTTTGTTGACTATCAGACGACTATTTACTGTATACTGAATAAATACATGCAACAGTCACCGTATTGTGCTATAAATACACATACAACGCGTCACACTCACGACGTGTTTTGTGAAATGGATCGCAGGAGGTGTCGCAGCTGCGACGCATCGTAGGGTAACGACGCTTCGCAGCACTGTGATGCATTGTAAGTTACGATGAGTTGCGTGAAATCGGGTGCAGCCAGCCGGTCTTTTTATCAACTGTTTAAAACTGGCCATGTGACAGGCTCTTTAATAACCAATAGAGCTGGGTAAACTGTCTTAGGTATTTATGAATGTCATATTAAGGGAATAAAATGTGTGCTTAGCCGGTGATTCAAAGCCGGTCTTAAACATAGTGTTAAATACCGGCCAAGAAAATATTTATTCGCATTCACAAATACCTTTTGTAAAAAGTCTTAGCTTTTCAGTCCAAAAGTCAAAACAAGTCAAAATTTGAATTTCCAACAATTTTGTCCAACGTGTTTTTCACAACACCCCTCTAGCTATGTGATGGTATGATCCTTTATCGAGAAGACGTAAACAACTTCTTATATGGGGATTGGCATGCGCGTCGCGCGTACTGCACAATGTGGCGCAGAACGCAGTTGTGCTGTGTAGTGTGAACTTAGGACTGTGAAAAACTGACTCATTGGAAGTATTGCGTGAGGATTATGAACGTTCAACCAGTTAAACTGTTTAAGACCATGTAAGACTGGCCATGTTACAGACTCTCGACCAATAGGTATGGGTTAACTGTCTGAGGTATTTATGAATAGTAGTTTATGATACATAGCTTGCTTTGTGTCCTACTCACTAGAGCTCTTGTGAGTGGTCACGAGGCATCATCTACTATTTCTGCATGGAATCCATATAGACCTTATGCTTTGCAGGTATCTCAGCGAGTGTTCTTTGTTATTTTGATTTGTTACAATGAACGCGCAAATGTTTTACTCATGATTATCTGGGAAATAAAGCATTGCCCTCTATCTCCGCCTTAACCCTAACTCCCCAGCATCATTTACTAGGAACCATACCCATTCAGGCAAATTCAACACTCACATGGGAAATTGTACACACACTGTTTCTGGAGGTATGCCAAACCCAACGTAAAAGACCATCTGTTTTGGGGTTTCTATACCTATCCCAACGTATTTTAACAAAACCTGCTGTTGAACTTTGATGGGTTGAGTTCGGTTAGGGTTAATGCAGAAGGTCTATTCTAAGGCATGGCTGTCTTTATCACATTCAGGTTCACCCTCTGATACTGTGGAGTACCGTGGGGTGATATTGTCACCGGGAAAATTCTCCTCTGACTATACCGGCCCCTGATCGGTGTCTTCTCTGTGTGGATTAAACCATACGGGAAGGTCAACACTCTCACCATCAACATTGCCGATGTGACAACCACCGAAGATGCAAGCGTGGCTGACTGCAAAAATTTTGTCATCGGCAACGGGACTGAGTCTGAGGGCATACCAGGGACGGAGGTCCGCTACTGCCTGCATGAACTGCTGACTAACAGCAGGGCGATCGAGATCAATGGGTCATCTTTCAGGCTGGAGTTCCATTCTGATGACGTCTTGCAAAACCAGTTCGTAACTACGTACCAGGCAGGTCAGTGTGTTTTGTGATAGAAACCTAATGCTCCTTATTGGCAAAAAAAAAATACCAGTGATGGTTGAAATCCTGCCTTATACCGCAGTGCATCATGGCAATAAGTCGTCTAATCAGGTGTTGGGCCTTGAGCCCAACACCTATTGTTATTGTAAGAATTTACTATTATTCTTGTTTTTCTTATTATTCTTCTCGCCAAATTCGATTCCAGAACTGTGTCGACATGAAAACTGATAGGAACTTCAACTGCCAATATATGAATGCACAACCCACTGAAGATGTGATTTTGTGTAATTACGTCATCATGACGTCATCATGGGTCTTGTGACGTCACTTGAAAGATTAATAAATTTAATCTGTGAAATTCAATAAGAAATCAGCCGTGAGAGACCGGAACTTGAATTTTGCAGGAATCGGTATGATAATACATGCTCTTCATTTTATCTTGTGCGCGTAAAATCACGTGACCCGCCTTCCTTCCGGTCGAAAGCAGAAGTGCCTTGTAATTTGAAAGTGGAAGAAGATATGAACTTGCTTTCAACGATGTTATAGTGTCTGGCTGGGTTGACCTTTCAACAACAAAAATCAGTGACGCCATGAAGTGTTGGAACGCCCTCTAGTGGCAGGTTTACATATGTTCAAAATGCATTTTCAGTAGATGTCTGTGGCGAAATTTACGGTAATCGCTTCAAAATTGATATACGTGATGACCTTAATGCAGGCAAGACCTGTGCTTGAAAAAAAAAATGATTACGTCATCAGACTGGAAGTTATAATGAAAAGACCTGTAAACCTTAAAAAATTGCTAAAAAATCAACCACGAGAGATATAATCACGATTTTTGCTTAAAATAGCAAAGTTAACATTGCCCTCGAGCTTTCAGGTAATGACGTCATGACGACGTCATCAAGTATCGTATTACAAGCAACCAAAGATTTCTAGATTTAATCTTTGAAAATCATTATAAAATCAACTGTTAGAAATTAAATTTTGTTTTTTATGGCAATCGATACAATATTGCAGGGCCTTTATTTTTGGTATTAAGTGGAAAATCACGTGACCCTTCCTCCGGGTCGAAACCGGAGGAGCTTCATAATTTGAAATTGGCAAAAGATGTGAGCTTGCTTTCAACGATGTGAGTGTCTGCCTAGGCTGTACTTTAGAAAAAATATTAGAGGTGACGTCATGAAATGTTAGAGCGCCCTCTAGCAGCATGTTGACTAAGTCAAACATGGATTTAAACATGCATTTTGAGTTGATGTGTGTGGAAAAGTTTGCGGTAATCCATGGCCCAACAATGTGTGGTTGTTCCTACAACCTCTAGTTTCGTATTCATTTTGCACAAATTGAAAAGTACTCGGCTCATGTTCACGTTGATATGTTGTTGGTGCCTTGAGTTGAAATTTTCATCATCGTTTTTTTTTCAGAGTGGAAGTGTCATGAGAAAATCATGGTTGATCCTGACTCTGCTGGCTTCATTACATCACCAATGTACCCAGCTGCCTATCCAATATTCCTGCAGTGTCACATTCTCCTGATGGCCCCAGAAGGTGCCCAAGTGGCTCTGGAGTTGGTCTACTTCGATGTCAGTATGTGTGGAAACGGAGACAATCTCAACATTTATGATGGCACCGAGATCGATGAATCCAAAATGTTGATAAACTGCACGACCATTTCGCGGGCACTCCCAAGCATGCTCATCAGTACCAAAGGTGGCCTGTTGATAGATTTCATTACAGATGGTATGACTGTACCTTCCCCTAAGCCAGGATTTAACTTCACCTACGTGCTCCACCCTGAACCTGGTAAGTAGTCAAAGTAAATCTTGAGTATTTTTCAAGCTTTTGGGGAGTCCCCGTATTGTGAGAGTAGAGTAAAGTTAGAGTAATGTATTTGGATCTCTTTTATGAAAAAAATAAAACAGATGTGACATTATTTAAGCAAATGAGATTTCAGGACATCAGACACTGGCCAGTAAGCCATTTTGGACACTCAGTATGTTGTATAATATTAAAGTTGCGTGGCGAGTTTCATCCCGGAAATTTGTTTTCTTTTCTAAATTGCTATTTTTCTAGTGATAGAAAAATTGTTTACTGTTGAATGAGACATGGAGTGAAAAAAAAAATCGGCTTATGTTTAGTTATTGAATTATTACTTTACAGTTTCCAATTATTGGCTGTCACGGACAATAATTCCATTCTCACGGGGTAGGCTGGTTCCCACCCCACAATCAGTAATGATAATGTACAGACCTGGAGCCAGTCTGCTCTCAAAGGGATATCTGTTTATGTCCAAAACAAAAACCTTTTATTGGACGTCCAAAAAAGAAAAAAAGGAATTGTTTTTGTTCAAATATAACCTACAAGTTGAACATTTATTAATAGAAAAAAAAGTCCAGTTTGTTGAAGAGCACAGGAAATGCATTTTTAAAGGCATGAAATGTCAGCAACTTGGCCACTCTCTCCATCAAATCCAAACAACTACTGCCATGCACTGCTCAAATGCTAACTAATATAAACCCTGATACAAAGTATATCAAAATGTGGCTTTCTGTTAAGTCCCATATTCCAAAGCTTAAAATCTAGAGATTCACCTTTTGCGTGGCCCATGTAGATTCAAGGAGCTGATAGGTGCAACAATATGGGGGATTTTGCCCGAGCTTGCTCTTAGATACTGATTAAGAGTTATCTGTGCTTTACCAGTCACATCTACAGCCATGATGAAGACCGATGGACCCATCAAGCCAACCACAGTAATGCAATGCAACCCAGACAGGGAGGCAGAATTGGAGCATCAAGCCAACACATTCAAGTACGCCCTGATCGGTGTGTCCATTGGAGCCGGGCTCTTGATCATCTTTCTGTTCTTCGCTGTGCTCTACCTGCTGGAGTATAAGTCAGACTTGAAGAAGCAGGTGGAAGAGCTGGAAGACAAGAACAAGAATAGCAAAGGTAGACCCGTACCGGGTGGGGGGGGGGGTAGCACTAGGTGCATACCCCCAAAATTAGAAAAGGTCCATATTTTTTAGGTATCCTATTCGTAACGCATCGAACATATTACTTTCACAACTGTGCTCTCCCCCATATATTGTGGTTTTTTTTTCTGGCGGAAGACGGCACGGTGACTATATTGTATCGAAAGTTAATTAAATATTAACAATATCTCTTTCATGATGTAATAGCTTCAAGATATTGATCGTTAAACAACCATTTCATGTAGCAGTGGCAATTCCATTATGCTTTAGGAGCAGCGGCGACAACCTTTACTTTTTAATGCCAGGTCAACAAAGGGCTTTTTTATTTCCTTTTTTTTTTGGCGTGACAATTTTCCATAAATTTCTAAAACTGAAATTTCTTAAAATATTTATCTGTTTTGGTTTTTCAGAGGTTTTTTTAAACTGATCTCATGACAGTGTGAATGTGTTATGCCGAACCTGCTCCGGAAGGCACATTTCCAAAATCACAACTAAAGCATGATTTTCAAAAGTACTTAGAAAATAACTTTCATGTACAAAGATTAAATGGTTACAGGAACGAAAGATGAAAGGGCCAAAACCCTGCTGATGATGTTTTGCACTTTAAAAAATGCATCCAAAAACCAACCAAACGTTACAAATTGTTAAACCTGAAAATTAAATTAAAAAGAGGTAAAACTTGTCATCCTCCATTATGCTGGTTGAGGAATGTCATGGGTAAAGACCTCGGCTCATCTTAACCCCTCCCGATAGACCCTTTCCATACAGCAGCCATCTTGAAGGTGAATTCAGTGATGGTCTACTTACACATATGCTTGAGCAACTTCTGCACCTTCAAGATGTCTGCCGTGCACGGGATCTATTGGGTTTTGCCTTGGCCCAAGGTAGTTTGGTATCATTTTGATCTCTTTTTGTTTCTCTTCAGATGCACGCGTCAAGCAGAATGAATATGAGATGTTGGAGGATCCTGGTTTTGAAGGCATCTCCAATGATGCTTTTGACTCCATCTAGGCAACCATCACGCTATTGCATCAATGCTTCCAGAGGCTTTGGGCCCAAACATTTTGGGAAGCTACATACGATATGACAGGCTGGCTAAACAAGGATCATTAATGAGGTTGACCAGCGCCAATCAATGTTATAGATCCTTCACATTCAGTAACAATGAATGCACAAGATGTTAAAGGGAATTTCATCCTGGAATGCGCCCAATTAGGCTACAAAACATGTGTTAAATGAAATGATGTTTATTGGAAATAACAGTTAAAAGTAGGGTATTATAAACGTCCACCGTCTTTTAAAAACTGCGTTTTTTGTGTTATTCTTGCGAGAACGAATTTCAGGGGTCAAAATTTGACTCTCAAAAATCGAGCCGTTGGGTTTTAGTCGTGAATCTTAACTCGCGTGTTCCACCAGTATATTGCATTCTGCAGGCATGTGAGAAACAACATACATTGTAAATGTATTTGAATAGACAGGGCTGGAAATACGTATGCCACAACATGTCTGCCGTGTCCAATGTAAACAACCAGGTTTTTTGTTTCTCAGGAACGGTAAAGACATTAGGTTTAGTTTCCTTTCAACCGGACATTTGAAATAGGATAAGTAAACAATCCAAAAATAACATTTTGGGGGGATTTCATGCCATAATGCCCCTCATGCAAATACCTTTGGAATAAATGCTTTACCTCCAAAATGGCTGCAGAACAAAGGGTCTATAACATTGTCTACTTACAAAATGGTGCCATCTTCAAATGCTGACCAAAAGAAAAACCTGCAGGCTGTAACATGTAGCATAGATTATGCAAGTAGTATTAGTTGAGAGTGGAGGATGACTATTGTAAGTGAAATATACTAGCATATGATAAGCAAATCTATCATTTCTGTAAAATAGGAAGAAGAAAAAAAACCTAAAAGAAACCAGAACATCCCTCCAGTAGCAATAACTTTATAACTGCAGGCTGTAATGTTTTTGTGTGCTGTGTTCTATATTTTCTATAAAATGATGTTCTATATGTTCTATAATAGTTTTATTCAGTGTAATTTTTATATCAGGGTTCCTGCACCTTTAGGACAATATAATTCCATGACCAAATTATGAAAATCCATGGCCTAGTTCATCAAAATGCAGATCAAAACTGTAAAACTTGTTCCGTGAAAAGCACTCAACAGAAATGAAAACAACAAAACAAAGCAAAAAGGAATTTCAAAATCAAAATGGTGGCATCAGCGAAATTTGTCGGGTATAAAACTCAGATTTCCGATGCCAAATTATGAATGTGCAAAGTTGAAAATTTGAAATAAATTGGTCCTCACAAAATTCCCTGACTTTTGTCATTTTTACAAATTTCCATGACTTTTCCAAGCCTGGAAATTGAAAATATAATTCCATGACTTTTCCAGGCTTTTATGCCACAGGAACCCTGTAATGTTTAGACTTGTGTCTGATGTTCATTGTGTTTGGGTAGATAAATACACCACAATCTTCATCTATTAGACTTGTACTTTGCGTTTTGGAACATAGTAATGGTAGTATGGTTACATAAGACGGAATAAAATAAAGAATGCATGTTAAAAATACTCTTAAACGAAAAGTACTATATTTGAAATTTTTGGTATAAATTTTGTACTTTAAGGAAGCATAACCTTAATAGCTGTGACAAATATTTTCCTGTGTGCTTTTAGTGTTTTTGTTCTTTTAATAATTCAAGGATTTTGCTTCACTTCATCAAGTTACATATTCTACCAACCTCGTCCCCAGGGTGTCAAGCAGTACGCGCCCACCACTACCTGCTCTCTCACCCTGGTATTGGATCATTTGCATGTGCAAGATTTTTGCACACGTATGCAAATGAGGAACAGTCTGGTGCCTGGATATGCTTTACACATTAGCGTTTGTTTTTGTATGCGGTGTCTGGGGTAAAAACAGAGTCAATTCAGTCGAAGCAGCGCGAGCACGGCGTGAGTTACAAAAACACGTTTTTTTAAATCAAACTGTTACGATCTTATCGAGACAACATGCAGTATCATATTTCATATTAATATGAGCAAATTGGAAAGGAAATTAGTATTTTCGAGAAGGCGTGGACGAATGATCGCGAAAACACGTACTGCACGTTGTGAATATATAGCACCAAGTACACGATAAAAATCCATTACTAGCCAATTGCGGTATCCAATCAGGATACAGGAAGAAAGTTTCCTATCCAGGGTTTACTATTGGAAACGCGGTTGGAAATAAAGTAAGCACTGGGGACGAGGTTGATATTCTACCTCTAAAGTGATTGCGTCATGTCTGGGTTATTTTTGCCATGTTTTTCCATTAGCTTTTGTCATTTTTGAGTAGATAAAAGAAGACCGATGTGTGGCCATAGAATGCAATCTCAAAGTGCCTACAATAGTCAGGGCTCTTGCAATTGTCTCATTTCAGGTTTTTTTTCTTCAAATTGTAACATCCTGTCACCATGCATGTGTGTACATGTACATGTACTATAATATACTATACTCGGATTTCAGACAAAAATGTGAGACTCCCCTTACATCCCTGAATAGTGTGCTTTATAACATCATCCAAGAATGGATGAGAATGTGATATTTTCTTACAAAACTGTTTGCATACATTTAAAAAATAAAAATGAACAGAAATGCACCATCTTTCTGAAAATCGCGTCGGTGAATAGTTCTCCTGCTAAAAAGAAAAATATAATGGCCTTTAATTTACATGTTATAAGAGAAATCCAACGCAACCTGTTTGTCAATAAAGCAAAAGGAATTGCGACTGCTATCTTACTTATTTTGCAACTGTAGTCTCTGTTGTAATCTTACTCATGCACAATATACATGTACCTAAAACCGTTCATGTATTGGGGGGTGTTTTACATTATATTGTCCAGAAGAAAATCTTGCATAATTTACTAAGGGAGTAAATATGTGCTTGGCTGGTTTTAAACAAAGTACATGTATGTTTAAACTGGCCAGGGGCCTGGACAGGGATTTCGGCGAGGGACATTATCTGCATAGGAATGGGTAAACTGGCTTAGGTATTTATGGATTTTTGTTAACATTCAAATTATTCATATAAAAAAATGTTGCATACAGGTGACAAAAATATGTTTTTGTCCTTTATTTCAATAAATAAATACTTCAAATTTATTAAATAAGGTAAGTCATGCACTTGAATAACTGTTGTGCCAACGGCCAAATAGCCATCTTGGTATAAATAAATCAGTGAGGTGGTACAAGAAATATTTCAATTTTTTAGTCGAATTCTTAATTAAATTTTGGATCAAAAATTACACAGCGTGGTTGGTGCAATTTTAAAAACATTCACTTTTTTGACAGTGTCCGATGATTCCATTCTTTTCTTAATTATAAATTGCATAACAAAAAATTACACAGTTCAATACTTTTGTTCAACTTTAAGCCGGCCTCAGGTTGACCTGTAATTTGCTTGCGCCACGACTGAGAAATCTGTCTGATTACTGAGAAAGTTGAGAAATCGTCTGATGATTATCATGGAACAAGCGGCATCTGATGAGCACAGAATAATCACAACGTTGCTCATGTCACAATAATCCAATTAGATGATCCGGATGCGCAGAAGCTGACATTTGTCTACTCTTGCGGCTGTTGATATTGTGAGCGCTGACTGATCATGGCGATCCTTTTAATATCGTCACATTACACTCAGGTCATGAAAATGTTCCCGGCGGTCGTAGCTCAGGCGCAGCTTGATCCTCAAAAGTCAATCGTCGACTGTTCTGTGTTGTAAGATCAACCTGAGGGCGGCTTTAAAGACCTTCTATCCCTCTGCACGTCAAAATCCATTTTCATTTCAATGACATTAAAGCAGTTTCATCATGCACCCATGATGAGTGTTGTTTAAAGTCATGGGCAACCTTACAAAGTAGGCTCAAGCAACGCTGTGCTGGAATTGAAGAGAATTGTTTTTTTCAGGAACTGTTAACCCTAACTCCCTAGGGGTATGCAAAATCGTATTAAAATTTGAGGATTCAGGACTGTTAAGGCTATAGTAGTTGTTCCTAGCTCCTGCGGGTCAATCCTAGACAGTACTTCATAGTTGGGCTACTCCAACCCCAACCCACCCTAAAACCAAAAACAGCCCAACTCTGACAAAACTAAGCATCAATAGAGTGACGAACCAAGTTGATTTCTAGGGTTCTACACATGAACTTTTGTCACTTCTGAATGCTGAAATCTCCTGTCACAAACACTGCATTTCCCGCTTGTTTTTCCATCGCGTGGCGACAGACAGTCCCTGCACATGAGATGGGCACACGGCAATGTGTACATGTTCAGGGGCCCGTTGACATGGTAACCCTCCCTTCTGGCTAGTGTTTTATGGCACGATGAGCACGACCATTTGTGGCACAAATTATCTGCAAGAGAGAAATTAAAAAGAGAAAACTGGTGTTTACTGGACCTTAAAAAGTCAGAACTGGATACACTTGTTAAACACATGAAACAACCTGGTTCAAGACATGTCAAAGAAGTCCTGGTTAAAAAGGCCAGAAAAACTGTGTGATCATAACTATACATGGTCTAACTCTAAGGTAATGAGAAGCCATTCTCAGACTCTTTCACTTTTCGTTTTCAAATGTACAAATAAACAGATGTGCCATGTGGTCAGATAAAATTGATCAGGAAGGTCTGTTGATATTTCCTCATTTTTTCCTGGTTCTGACTATTAAAGGGAATGTACAACATTTGCTTTTGCTGAAATTTTTAGAAATAAATGGATTTGGAGGATTAGTATGCTATAGCAAATATTGTTAAAATGACTTGTTTCACTCTTTGCTTGTAGTCTGGTTCCCTGACCCCACTTAAGATGAAACAGAGGAATTTATAGACTTTGGGGAATTGTAAGGTAAAAAAATCAGTCTAGCAGGCTTGTACCTCTTCACAGGTGTGTAATCAATTGCAAAGAAAATGCGGAATAACTAAATATGATAAAGTAGGAGCAGTTTTTGAAAAAAAGCCAGTTTTCTCCAACGCTGGTCGGCCAACCAGCGTTGGAAAAATACAGTTTTTCTTGAAAATGCCAGCACACCAGGAGCCACAACTTTACAGGATGCTTTGGACTGTCATTCCCTAACAATCCAGTAAGGTATTTTGTGATAATTTGATCATTACGTTTTTTGATGTTTGCAAATGTTGTATCTTCCCTTTAATGGGGGGGGGATATCAGAGTAAAATCTTTTCCAAAATTACGACAATATGATGAAAGCTTGTTTACAGCATAACACATCTCCAGTACATTCACTGTGTAAACGCTGTTCAACAGTAGAAGTCCTGATCCCATGTACATGTAAAAGGTTTCACAAAATGTATCCAAAGAGTGCTCAGGGTAGTCCCTAGTCTGCAAATTTGGGACTCTCAATACTGTGTATAAGAGTCCCAAAGATTAAGATAGTAAAAACATGCAACACAAGAAAATAGACTGGCACATGAAACAACCAGTCCAACACCATTTTAGTACTGCATCAATCAACGATGTCAAAGAAACATCTGGTACTCGGTATCTATTTATACACATTTCAATAGTTGTACCACCAGACTATACTGAATGGTCAATCTTTTCAAAAAGTTAAACATGTACCAGTCTAGTCTTAGGCTTCAAATTGAAATCACTTGGCTTCACTCTCAGGTGCAAAATTTTTAAGGAAAGTCTCCTTTACAAATTGAATTGAGACTTGGCTGGTGAAATACTGAGGACCTTGTGTTTGCCTTATGACAATTGTGTAGAATTTTGTTGGCTACAGTGTGAGTAAAGTTGGCCTGATTTTGTTTTGCATGATTTTTTACACTTGAGGTCCCAGTCTGGGGTCAGTTCCGGATTACCCAATAGGCACAGTAGGCACTGTGCCTAGGGCCCAGAAAAATTGGGGGGCCTACGACAATACGCAGTGTGCCATAAAACACATGTATTTTTTAGGCCTGTTATATACCCACACCACAACCACGCGCACAGAAAAGTTTTTAAAAAGTTTCAGGGACTCTCTCAAAATTTTCGATTTCACCAACTGACACGGGCCTGCATTTATGTCTACCTGCTGTACAAACGTATACAATTTACATGTAAATCTTTTCGTTCTGAAGCATGGTGCCAACCATGGGCATTGATCGGTGGGGGCGGGGGGACATGTCGTTCCCCTAACTGTTTTTGTCCCTACATAAATAATTGTAGCCTACATTTACTTCTGTAGCTCAGAAAAGCATTTCAATGACTCCAAACTCGAAAATGATGTTTAAATGAGGATCTTTTGCTAAAGCCTTGCCAGTAGTCATAAATTGCCTCAGATCGCACCACAGAGCGTCTAGAATCCATTTTTGGGGGGGGGGTCCTTAAGTGGGCCCCGAACCCCACACTGTTTAGGCTTCACACTCGAATTAGTTCTCACTGATCAGGAAACACACGTTTGTAACACCCCTCCCCCACACTTTTGAGAAGCGATTGCCGCCCTTGGTGCCAACAGGCTTTTAGAGCTAGGACCTATACCAGTTTGGCCTGGCTTGATTTGTACAGTGCATTGTACGCTGAATTTGGTGTCGGTGGCTAGGGCGGAGTAGGGCCTACGGAACACTGGTGCCTAGGGCCTACAAAACACTTAATCCGGGCCTGTCTGTGGTAGTCCGTACTAGCAAACTATTTTGAGTGCTTCTGTGCCTTACCTGCCAGATAGCTTGATGGTTGTGTCGGCTGCTTGCTGAAAGATGGTAAGGATGACAAGGCACTTTCCAGTGCAGTATCAAGACTCTGAGACAACAACTCCTCATGAGAACTGTTTGAAGCTGAATTAGGAAGAAAAATACGGGGAAAATGAAATAAAGATACATTTATATGATTCTTAATTTAACAGATAAGAGGTTCCGTCAGACGCAACACAGTGCATCAGGTGGAAAAGTCTGGTGCACTTTGATGCATTCAGCTATCAACACCAGCTCATAAACGGCCAGTACTGAAACAACGAGAGCTTATCCTATTGAACAATGCCACAGTTGTATCCTGTTCCTTTCGGCGGACCACGGACTCTGAGGCAGTTTGGCTTTGAGACTTTTGGCCTGATGGATCTTGCTACTCTGGGCAGGCTTGTCACTTAGACAAGTGTGGCATGTTGCTGCGTTTGGCAGGATTTCTAGCCAAAATACCCTGAGGGTTAGGGTTAAAGGGAAAATCATTTTCAATGTTAAAACAAAATCCCTGAAAAGTTTGAGAAGAGAAAAAGAAAGCACAGGTCAGAATTACATGTACATGTACATATGTACAACAAAAATAGCTGTTTTTAGTGGTATTTTAATGAGTGTGAATGCCTAAAAACAATACACTAACTATTTAAACCCTATGTAGCCGTCCCAAATCAATCCCTCCAGAAAGTTTTGGAACATTTTGCAGGATTGAGGGAGGTGGAGCCAAGCCTCCATTGCTTTACATGGGGCTTGATGCCTCTTGACGGAGTGCAAAAAATATGCCAATGTTGCCTTGCACTGTGGAGGATTCAGTAGGCTTCCCATAAATGAAATGCCTAGGGAGTTTATACACCAAATGGTTTACTGCCTATCAATCATTGGAAAACAATAGCTCTCTCAAATGGCATCATTTCCTACAGACCAGCCACGTGCATCGGCATTTTGAGCGTCAACTTGCATAACGCGCATCGGCTGCATCGTAGTTCAAACACATTTCGAGCAAAAAGCACGCATTTTTGGAACATTTTCAACACTGCGCAATGCGTGCTTGATTGCGTAAAATACGCAGTTGCAGTTCTCCTACACAGATGGCCGTCTTTGAGAGAGACCTATTAGTGAGATTTAAAGTCAAATTAAGACTTAATGCTGGTTTGTTGGCTGAGCTCAAAAAGGGAAAGTTTGGTCTGAATCTTATACCTCTTGCTGCTGTTGTTGCTGCTGCTGCTGCTGCTGTTGTTGCTGCTGCTGCTGTTGTTGTTGTTGCTGCTGCTGCTCCGACTGATGATGATGATGATGATGATGGCAGTGAATTGGATAATTGTGCTGATGCCCAATTATTGTCGCATTCCAATACTTTTTGCTCTCTGTGCATACTAGAAATGGGTCTTTTCTTGCTCAGTAACTTCTCATCCAAACTGTGGTCGTTAAGTTTTCTCTTTGGACCTCTTCCAGATCTGAGGGTGTCCATTTCAATGGGATCAGGCTGGATCCTAAATGTGCTTGTAGATGTCTTGCTGGTGCCGCATTGTCTGCTTGACCTTTGGAATTTTTGTCTTTTCTCAGGTTGTGCGTCCAGAAGCTCTTTTGAAATAGTGTTACCAGAAGATTTGCTTTGTTGATTTGTCATTCTGACCAGCGATGCTGGAGTGGGGATGGTCTTGCCAGAAGCCATCCCCCCAGACCTGCCAACATCCCTTGCTGAAGGAACGACACTCCCGACGCCTTTCAACAGGTAACGGTCGAGTCTCTCCTTCAGTTTCACATTTGGAAGCGGCTGCCTGCTCTTTGAGAATGGTATTCCTGTAAACGGATCATTGGGAGGGCGCCCCCACAAGGCCTCAGCTTCGCCGTGTTTACGCAGGGTTTCACTGTCCACTGTGTGGCCGGAGGGAAGCAGTATTGGCAGTACAAGCATCTCAATGGTAATAGGGTCCAGGAACTCTTCAGGGCAATCAGGAGGATCTACATTTCTTTTACAATTTTCAAGAGTTTTCCTACCTGAAGAAGCCGCACTGCGGCAAGCCCTATTTTGTTTTAAACCTGCCACTTGTTCACTTTTTTTTCTGTTCAACTCGGGATTTTCAACAGGCTTTGCAACTTGAAGGAACCACTGCACAGATGGCTTGGAGCAGACCATTGAAGGCTGTCCCCATATCTGCACACTTCTGATTGCAACAGATCCACTTGCAGCCCGGTTGACTCGCACCGTGACGTGACTCACATTAGTCAAAGCACCTGGCTGTGCGTAACGCAAAGACCTTGTGACCACACCCGGTTTTGTATCTTCCTGACGAGCATCACTACTTCCAATTTGAGGATACATTGGCTGATAGCTGTGATTGACAAAACAGAAACATGCTGTTTTACCGTCAACTGAGAAAGCTTTTCCTATGCTTGAAAACACTGCACTGTCTTTCTCTGACAGCATTTGACTTTGGCTTCTCAAGTTTGGCTTCTGGTTCAAATTAGAAGTCCTGGTCTTGCCTTTCAATGAAGATTGACTGCGGTCTTCTTGGCAGGGGGGCATTGACACTGATGCAGTAAACACCTCGACTGCTATTGACATTTGACCCCCGACTTTGGGGTCGATCAGGATCTTCTGGATCCACAAGTTGAAGGGGAACATGAATGTGACGTCAACCGGGGGTTTGATAAAGCACTCAGCCACAAAGCCTTTAGGCTGCCCCCACATGTCTGTCTTGCCCAGTAGGTTCTCCACCTCATACCCATCAGCACTGACTGCGCTTGTGGTGACCACAGTACCAAAGTCCCGCCGGCACATGTTCACAGCCATCTTCAGCCCACTGCAATCTCACTGTTTAACATTCAAGAAGGCCCTCAAGCCATCTGAGGTTGTGCATGTGCAGATCTGAGGTTGTGCAGATCTGATGTTCTGCAGATGTGGTCCCATAAAAAAGACTCTCTCTTGGATCTGTGAACTAATAAAAAGTAAAGGTAAATGTAACAAATACCTATTGAGGTTTTATATGCAAATGCAAAATTAAGAGAGCAACTCCAGGATGAGTGCATTGTTACTTATTTTATTAAAAAAGAAAAGAAAAAAAAAAAGTCTGACTGATTAAAAATAATAAATCCGATTAGTGACCTGCAGTGTTTTGGCGGAAATAGAAATATTATTTAAAAGACCTTATGCGTTGCGTGTATCTCAGAGGATATTCTTTGTTATTTTCATTCAGTAACAATGAATGCACAAATGGTTTACTCATGTCTACCCAGGCGATACAAGTCAAAAGCAGTGGCGATCGTGTAGTGTAGGGCCCCTCTTTAGGTTTGATCAAATTAGAGTCAAGGGTGTGTTTTATCATTAAAAAATAACTTTTCAACCTAAAGCAGACTTCTCTCAATTCTAATGACACTTTTTTGTAATTTTGAATAGTTTCTTGGGGTAGAAATTGGAATTTTCGTACATGGTTTACGGTTGGTGCCGTCATATTATCATCATTTCACCCCCAAATTTCACTAAAAAATTCAAAACCCTACCCTCTATCTACATTATCTATGACATACCTGTTTGTTCTTAATGTCGCCAACTAGTTTTGGTAAGTCAAATAAATTAAAAGTGGATTTTGTTCTCTTATAGGAAACGGGCCCCCACACTACACGATCGCTAAAGAGAGCCATTTACAGCCCTTTTTGTAGGGCTACCTCTAACTTAGACCAGTAAACGTGGCTATATACATAGCCACGCTTCGTTCATATCTCTGAAGTTTCGAAATTTCTACATTCGTGTTGATATGGGCTCCCATTTTTCACCTTGAATTTCTTTGGAATGACACTGACAGATCCTATGCCACTGGAGGGGGGAAACAATTGATAGGCGCATTACATTAATACAAAAGTCTTGTCAAGACAAGATCTAATAATACTAGAGAAACCAATTTCAGACTCATTTTGATCAGTGCTGATAATAATTTGGTAGTGTATATTTTGCCGGAGGTAACGCCGGCAAACTAACGTTTACTAAAGGTTTGCCGGCGGCAATCCATATCAACAGAGGGCGCTGTACTCTTTAAGATAGGGCTGAATTATAAGATGTATTAAATTCCCATCACAGTTGTGTAGCACAGTCGGTGCAGTGGTTCCGCTATAGCTCTAATGAGTGGGATGTCCCGAGTTCGAATCCTGATCCCCGCCACTATTTTAAGGTGTTTTTTTTTCCCATCCCCAAATAAATAAGAATATTCTTCTTTTTTTATTTTAATAATATGTCTCAAACATTTTATTGCAGAGTATTACTTTTTCTTTTTCAGATTTGTGGCTCTGGAGGATTTTTTTTAAAGGGAAATAAAGTCCGAAATTATAAAATGGTCTGATTCCCATCTTGTAAATACAAAAATACAACGATAATATTGGCATGGAGCCAGACTAAAATTTGTCACCGGAAAATGTTTAAGTACCATAAAACAGTAACTGCGCATGTTCAGTGCATATCCGGCAAACTAACGTTTACTGAAGGTTTGCTCTCCCCGGAAAATATCCACTGCCTAATATTAATATTCATTAATGACAATGACATAAATATGCCACTGCCAGTCATGTGTTAGTCCGAGTAACTTGGACCCAACTTATTGCCTTTTTTTAACATTTGGACATGGTCTGGCGATATCGCCAGACCATGTCCAAATGTTAAAAAAAGGCGATAAGTTGGGTCCAAGTTACTCGGACTAGTCATGTGTCATGTTAGCCCCATAAATGTGGCCTATTTACTGGACTGCCTCCGTAAACATAGGCCACACATCCACATGTACAAAAAATGTGTCGACTTTGCCAAATTTTGATTTTCACATTTAGGCTTAGTTTGTAGTTTATTTTTGCTTTAGAAGCATACTCACCCTCTTTATAGGCTAATCAGAAAGTGCTGCCTTTTTCAGATGTATATTTTTCGTGAAATTTCCAGATTCATTTTTACACGTTTGCATATCAAAATTTCAACATGAAATTTCTCAAAAATTAGACATCTGAAAAAGGCAGCACTTTCTGACTAGCCTATAAAGAGGGTGAGTATGCTTCTAAAGCAAAAAAATCCTACAAACTAAGCCTAAATGTGAAAATCAACATTTGGCAAAGTCGACACGTTTATGTACATGTGGATGTGTGGCCTATGTTTACGGAGGCAGTCCAGTAAATAGGCCACATTTATGGGGCTGTTGTGCCCATTCTTGAAAATCACGCATTCTCGAAAATGGGCATGCACATTCTCGAGAATGGGCGCGCATTCTAAGAATGAGCGCCCATTCTTAAGAACGAGCACGCGTTCTTAAGAATGAGCGCTCATTCTTAAGATTGGTTGGGAATATCACGTGCACAATTTATGAATTTTGCCCAATCTTAACAAACATTGCACGACATAATTATGTTAAATGAATTGTATAGCGGTTAAAAGGGAAACAATTCATATAAAGAGGAAAGAAAATGTGCTATGCTTCTGTACTCGTATAATTACGATAATTTGAATCAAATTAAACCTGTTATTATTGCTTTTTTCTGCCCACTATGGGAAGTTTTGTAATAACGGAGGACTGGGAACTAGTCTGGGAAGTGCTTTGTTTAGGCTAGACAAGTTACAAGTCCCTGCATGTATCATATGCGTGCCACAAAAAAAAAACGATGTCCAGAAGCTGCCAAAATTGCTCTTTTGACTAGATAGAATCCAGCTCTGCGACGTTATGGTGGGATGTGAACAATAAATTGGTGGCAATTTAAATGGGAAATAGCATTAGCACTATGGGATGTCGCAGTATTCATTCTCATTCTTCACATTCTTCATTCTTACGTCCCCCCCCCCCCCCCCCCCCCCCCCCCCCCCCGCTTTTATTATCCCAAAAATCAGAATTCTTTGCACTAGTATTATGGAAACAGGTCAACTCGTACGCGAACCAACTCGTACGCGAGTCAACTCGTACGCGGATTGGTCAACTCGTACGCGAGACAACTCGTACGCGAACCAACTCGTACGCGTGCCAACTCGTACGCGAGCCAACTCGTACGCGAGCCAACTCGTACGCGAACCAACTCGTACGCGGGCCGTTTTAGGAGTGGTTTCGAGGATTGGGTTGGCATGGTTGGGAAGAATTTGGGAATAGTGTGACGGGTAGTCCGTAGTTCAATGTGTGACCGTTGTGTGTGATTGGGAGTGAACCCGTGAATGATGATAATAAAGTAACTGATTTTTGTAGTTAGACATGTGTTGTATCGTTTTGTGCATACCTGTGAATAGTGTGACGGGTAGTCCGTAGTTCAATGTGTGACCGTTGTGTGTGATTGGGAGTGAACCCGTGAATGATGATAATAAAGTAACTGATTTTTGTAGTTAGACGAGTGTTGTATCGTTTTGTGCATACCTGTAGCCTTGTCACGTCAAATTTAAATCCATATATTAATGCAACGATGTACCAGTTGCATTTTTCGTGTTTTTTTAATCAATGTACCTGTCAGTCAATTAATTGTCACCATTGTCAAAACATCTGTCCATGTGAGCTAAACCAATCGTCTAAACTCACGCGTACGAGTTGGTCCGCGTACGAGTTGGTCCGCGTACGAATCGGTCCGCGTACGAGTCGGTCCGCGTACGAGTCGGTTCGCGTACGAATTGACCCGCGTACGAGTTGGTCGCGTACGAGTTGGTTCGCGTACGAGTTGACCTGTATTCAGTATTATTATGTCTCTTATATTTTCCCGGTCCCCCCCCCCCCCCATATTAATACGCCTTTACTTATCATATCCACTCTACTTTTCAGAGCCTTGCGTTGCAACAGTATAATTATTGAGAATCAGTGAACGAGGATTCAGCTAGACTTGCCAAGCGCAGCCGGTGCTCGGCATCGACAAGACCGTTATCTTGTCGCGCATTCTCGAGAATGTGCGCTCAATCTGGAAGAGTTATTTTTTGCCAAGATTGAGCAAGGATCCAGTTGCACATTCTCAAGAATGTGCATGCCCATTCTCGAGAATGCGTGATTTTCAAGAATGGGCACAACAACGCTAGTGTCATGTGTGACCAGGTGACAGAGTTTTATCAACAGATAAAGGAGAGTTGACCATTTATGTTACGGATATAGTAAACTCTTCCCGCTTCCTTCGTTGAGCAATAATTGAGCTCGCTCAGTTCAGTATTTCTTGTAAAATTTACCTGGAAACTAACATCTGCGGTTGGTTGGTTTTCACATGCAAAAGCAGCTAGCTAGGGCCAAGGGGATCAGTGACTGTCTTAATAATATTATATACCGCCCTCTGTAGTTTCATGTTTGCCAACTTCTTGCTCAACCAATCAAATCACTTGTTTGATGTTTCCATGGGATTTCTTCGTGCAGTGTTAGAAAGTGCGGAGCGAAATATCAAGTTGAGAATTTCTCTGTTTCCATAATGACTGCGAGATAGAAATTATTATAATATACTAAATAAGGTTGGTGGATGTGTAATATTGCATATTTCTGTTTAATTTCTGTTAGTTTAAATCAAAGCTAGCGTTCAATTTCACTTTGTCAAATGTTTGTGCTTGCTTGCCCAATTTACGGACATTTTTATTGTGAATTTTTTTGGGGGGGTGCGGGGGTAGCTGGAGTTACCCAGCCCTGAGTTTTATCATTGGGTTGTCATCTAGGGCTGGAGCGTATTTTTCTCGTAACTTGTAGTATATTCAAAAAATTTTGGAAAATGTTCAATTTTGTCCCCGTTAGTGCGTTACACACTAATTGCAACTGCAACTCACCCCAAACTTGCCTGGTATAACCATTACACAGGTCCTTGAAGTAAAAAACGATCCACGATGAAGATTCAGCCTACAATTGCAGTGAAAACAGGAGGAATAACCGCTAACTTGACAACCTTGCTGGATTGGCCAGGACCGCAATTGGTTTGTGCACAAAAAAAATTGTGTACAATGAATGGGGGTCAATTAACAGGCACAGAGAGCGATCGCTGTCAACTACTCGTTTTTGCCGGCTGCGCTGGCTGTTGGCGCATGACGTCACGCGGAAGCGTAACACCCGATGACTGTTTCATGCACTAATATAAGGTTTACCACTCGCATCACAGCTTTGGTACTGGAACCGCAACCAATAGTGCATGAAACAGTCATCGGGTCATACGCTTCCGCGTGACGTCATGCGCCAACAGCCAGCACAGCCGGCAAAACGAGTAGTTGACAGCGATCGCTCTCTGTGCCTGTTAATCGACCGCCATTCATTGTACACAATTTTTTTTGTGCACAAACCAATTGCGGTCCTGGCCAATCCAGCAAGGTTGTCAAGTTAGCGGTTATTCCTCCTGTTTTCACTGCAATTGTAGGCTGAATCTTCATCGTGGATCGTTTTTTACTTCAAGGACCTGTGTAATGGTTATTCCAGGCAAGTTTGGGGTGAGTTGCAGTTGCAATTAGTGTGTAACGGGGACAAAATTGAACATTTTCCAAAAAATTTGGAATATACTACAAGTTACGAGAAAAATACGCTCCAGCCCTAGATGACAACCCAATGATAAAACTCAGGGCTGGGTAACTCCAGCTAGTGCGGGGGGTGTTCCCGGTGGGCGCGGGTGACAGAAGGGCCTGAAGAAGGGAAACGACGAATGTTGCTGCCATGCTTTTAAGAATTGGAAAGAAAAGGTGGAATAAATGTTGCAAAAGGATGCCACTTCCGTGATTGTGTACAAAGTCTATAGTACTATAGGCCAGAGTAATAATATTAATAATAAGCCTTATCGCAAATAGCAAAAAAACACTGCTGCGCAAAGGCATTATAAGCAGGATAAGGGGGAAAAGAACCATGCACGAATGCCATGTTCTAATATGCACGCAGTTGCCGCCATGTTAAGCCATGCGGCGTAGGCGTTGACAGCGTACGTATGCGGCCAATACCCCTAGAACTATGGGTCTTGTTACACAATACCCATAGCTAGGCATATCAACGCGAACATGCTGTATACTCTACGAATAATATACAATCAACCTGCTGGAAGTGAGTTTTGGAGCGGCCCCTGTATATTTGTACCCCAAGACTATGCCCAGTACTTATGGACATACTCACGTTCAGTCTGCTTGTTGAATCGATCCCGATGATGCAAAAAAATGATAAAAACAGTCCCATTTCCGTACCGAAGCTACAGTTTGAGTTTTAACGTTTAACGACGCCCCAATAGAAGTCCGATTGCCTCATAGCTCCAATGCCTCAGAAGTCTGAAACAGCGTTTGTCCATTGTCGGATTTATGAGGCAGAATTTATTACTCATATCAGTCTGAGGCGTCGGACTTATGATACGGCCCCGGGTTTTTTTGTGCATGAATAAAGTGTTGGGCTCGAATTTTTTTTATTAGTTTGCACAACTCTCCATAATGCAAAATACTTAATGTCTAAGAATTGTTGGACCCCCTGCGTTATCACCTTCCCTAAATTTAAGCAAACAAGTGAATACAATTGACAGCATCATGTTGAAAGAAACCTCTTTTTCAAACCTTGTAAACAGTGGTTTTCAGAATCTCAGACATTTGACACAATTTACAGAGTGTAAAGTGTAGCTACAGTCGAAGTTGGGACAGTCCCAAGTCATACAGTAGTTGGAGAATATCAAGTAGTTTTGGACTGATTCAGTCTTATTATTATTTGTCTCAAAAGTGATGTGGAAATTACTCAGAAACTAGACATCTGAAAGAAACCTCTTTTTCAAATTTTGTTTAATAGTGGACTGATTCAACCTTGTTATTTTTTTTACTTAAAATTCATGCGGAAATTGCATGCAAGTACAGTGTGCTTCCAAAATAAAATAAAATTGTAAACCGGCCTATAAATCAAAGCAAAATATTGCAAAGTTGTCAGCCGTTTCACCACTGGTGACAGTGAGGCTTAGTATACAGAGGCAGTCAAGTATCTGGGGTCAAGCCATCTTAATACTTGAGTTAAATATTGTCCATCTGTACAGGTTTTCTTTAAGAAGTAGTGTTAAGAGTCTCCTTGTGGCTAGCACCATGTCTCGTGCTCAGGCAGAGAGTGTCATTAAGAACATCATTCGGGAGATTGCACAGGAGTGTGCCAGCAAAGGCCAGGCAGTCTCCGAGACTCTTGTGGCGTTCATGGTCAAGGCGGTGGTGTTGGATCCTGCAAATGAGTTCAACGTTGATAGGACGCTGACAAAAGATGACGTGCAGAAGCTTATCAAGGTTTGTAGACACTGAATGTTTTAGATCTGTCGGTGATTGTCCACTTCCTTCAAGGGTGGCCTCATCAATAGAGTACTGAAGTCTGATGTCAGCTGTCTTTGTTCTGGTTCACATGCTGGTTTGCGTGCTCATGTCTTCATACACTTAAGCTATGCACGTGAGCCAGAATACGCGGCACACTTCTGTACTCTATAAGCACCATCATGGCCATGTGTGCCATCTTGCTGATGGGGGAAACATTACACGTGTTCCTGTCTGCACTCAGCTGATCAAATGCTTTTGCACATCAAGGTCATCATACTGTCAATCAGCAACACTAATTATTAAAAAAATTTGCTCGTAAACACGCTGGCAGGTGTTGTGAAGGCCCATACTTGTTACTCTAAAAAAAAAAAAACTTCAAAGTGTGCTTTCAGTAATTTTGCTCTCATGGATGGAAAGACTCAGTTTATATAAACGACATTTACCCTTTGTTTATGTTTTGAATGTATGATGTGAAGTAACATTTTTTTGGTCTTGTATTTACCTAGATCTGTGTGGATCGTCTGTTGGACGCACGTTCTGCAGCTCTGGACACAGTGAAAATGCAGGTGTATTTTGATATGAACTACACTAGTAGAGGTAAAAACCTTTATATTTCAGAAGGAGTTACCTCAAAAAAGAATTGGTGGGGTAATTTTTGGGTTTAAGAAACTCGGACCCTACTGTTGTATTAAAGCAGATGCGTCAACCAATAAGGCATATATCTCAACCATAGGAAAGGGTTCTTAACAAAGATGAATCAGATCACTTTAAAAAATAATTGAAAATATAACATGTTAAAATGATGGGATATAGTAAATAAAATTGCTAAACAGTATTTGTCTTCAAAGAAGCCCCCATGACATGTGCTCCAAAATGCCTAAAGCTTCGAAACGAATTTGGAGAATAATGATGCCAAGAATGGAAGAATTTGATTGAATCAGTCATCCTCCATCCTCTGCCCTTTCCAAAGCTGACTTCCTGGACGAGCACCGTCGTGTCCTAGAGCAGCGTCTTCAGCCAGTCATCCGTGAGATCACAGACAGCCGGGCACGCACTCGTGATGAACTGGAGAGTCTGTACAGGAAGATTGTGTCTGCTGTGCTGCTACGGTCAGGCCTGGGTTCACCCACCGATATAGCCGTCGTAAGAGAGGCAACAGGTAAAATGTCAAGTCACTCTTGGGTCAGTAGAGAGATTTTCATGCGAGAGGATGCTTCGAGTCAAAGGCCTTAATCGGCCATTGTTTTGTTTATCATCGTGTGCGCATATGCATGCTGATCTATCCAGAACAGCTATCAGCTATTCCATGGTTACCAATGGTAGCAATGTAATCTGCAACGGCAGGCTCCAATGAAAGTCTATGTGCAGCTAATTTGCTTTGAAAGGCACAAATTAATGACAGCAAGAGGTTTTGGTCCCCCAGAACACACTTGTCAACCGTTTTTCCCTTGTGAACTCTTGTACAGCACTGAGTATATGAAGTGCTTATAAAATAACAGCTTTGAAGGGTGAAACCCTTAATTACAAATAATTACATCTCTGCAGTGCAACATTTCATCATAAGATCCAATCTCTTTTTTCTCCAACTTGTTGACAGCGGCCCTTCAGAGTGTGTTCCCACAGACTGAGCTAGGGACCTTCATGTCTCTCGTCAAACGAGACAAGGAGAGACAGCTAGTGGAACTGACCCACATTGTCACCGGTATCCGACTCTTCAACAAAGAGTGTGGCAAGGGAGGAGAAGGCATTGACGATTGTGAGTTAGGAACCAACCAATTTCATGCCATTTCAACCCTAGGAATCTTTTCTTTTCTCTGGCACAGACAGTTCACTCTCCAATGTGCCACTATGTGTTTTGCCTTAAAGAGGTCACCTGCAGACTTCCTGGTTGATTTATTGCATATTGTGTCCGACAGTAAAGCATTGTCCTGTATTACGTCAACTACTGACACAAAGCAATGCACCCGAAAGCCTTGTAAATAAACAGAAATGCAAAGAAACTTTAATATTAAACAGAAAAAAATCTTACTGGAATTATCGCTATCACTTTTTATCATCTTTTGAGTCTATAAGGCAAATGAAACTCAAACAAATGATAATTAAATAAGTCTTTACAAGAATGACAGGATTGTTTTCACTTTGCCACAGAGATGATCGTAAATTAACTTGTGAATTTCATCATGTGAACGGTTCTTAACCAATGACATACTTGCGCATGTATATATTTGTGATTAATTTTCAGTGCCTGCTATTCTGAATGAAGCAGTTCCAGCTACCACACAGAATGTAGATGCTGCCATCCAGCGCTCATGTGATGTTGCCTTCAAGTACACAGGTAAACAAAGCCAGCTCAGACTTGAGATGGAACTTCTTGATGAGGGCTGGAATCCAGGAATTCCTACCCAAAGTTTTGCCCACTGAAGGATTAATCCAGTGGTCTATTGTTTTTACCGAATGTCAGAAAGTGTCTAGTTAATTCACAGTACAAGTGTGATTAAGTGTTTACCTTTTTTCAAATAAACTACAAAGGTAAACTGACTAGTTGCAATATCACATTTTTAAAAGTTGAACAAAGCAATTGACTGTAACAGGGTTAGAACCTGCGACCTGTGGATTACCATTCTGGTGCTCTACCAACTGAGCTATCCAGCCCTATATGTTGGCAGTTCCCCATTATGTCAAAGAGTTTGTTCATGGGGCGCTAGTCAGAAGCTCAGTTGGTAGAGTGCTGGAACGGCATTCTGGAGGTCGCAGGTTCAAACCGTGATCCAGTCAATTTCTTTGTTTCACTTGTAAAAATGTTTACTTTTTGGATGTTGTGGAAGTTTGAAGGAATAAACCTGTTTGTGTTTGATGTGTTAGCCAGGGAGGCTTAATACTTCAAGCCAAGTGAATTGAGTCAAGCGCAAGTCAACCACAGATTATCAGGGGATGAACAAAATATGGGAATGCCTTGGTCAAAATTAATGGGACTAGCTTATTATTTGACTTGACGTTGGATGGCTTGTGTTGGGCTTGTGCGGTACTGGATTTTGAGAGTCTATCGTATACCGCCACAAAAATATGGCAGTATTTGGTATTATAGGGTACTTTCTGGGCTGACTATTGTGTTATTTATTAAATACAATATGATGTGTGATGATAGAGAAACTGCAAACAGGCAGCATGAGCACTTTTAATTTTCACTAAATCAAGATACCGTGACCAAAGTTATCCATATACATGTAGTGCAGGTCTCTTTCACCTTTAGAGGGCTTTTGCGCACATCCGGCCATACTGAGTTTGTCGGTATTACGGTATTTTGACAACATCGTTTGGTATTGTTTAGTGTTTAGTATTGTTTAAATATTGCCACTAATCAACTTATTGAAATTAAGTCCAACCCTAAATTGTGTTGACTGGCGATTTGTGTTTGGCCTGTGACGTGATGACTTGATTACAACGTTGGCCACATGCTGATATCTACACCATGGAGCCTTAACCTAGGTTTTTTATTCCTGTTCTTTTTCCTTGTGCAGCCTTGATTGAGAGAATCATGGTGGGTGAAGTAAAGGAAGGACCATCCATCAAAGCTTTGAAGGAAGCCCTCATCAACATACGGCAGCATGAGTCTTTCCTCAGGATCATCCTTGTAAGTCAGTCTACAACTTTTCCAGAAACAGCAACTTGTGACCATCCACCACTAACTTGCTGTATAATGGGTCATGTTGAATTTGCATGACGGCACCAAAAACTGAAAAATCATTTGATTTACTAGTACAGATGTCTTGCCACTCGTTCATCAAGCTTGCCGGGGTTGGCTGGACGGTTTGAGTCTGATGTAGCATTGGGTACTGCAACCAAACGTTTTTATAAAGATGGCAAAGCCCAAAAGTTGTATCTCCCCAACACCAATTCCATCTTATAAAAACATTTTACAATTCATTTCAATTCACAATTGCTTCCCTTTGCAAAAACAGCTAGTATAAAGCCCTCCTTAAACCAAAGGATATAAGGGGGTTTTAAACTTGTGGAAAACATATTGGTGACGTACATGTGTGTGTACATTTTGTGTATACCTCAAATTTCCTGCCAATATGTCAGATCTAACCATCTGCTAATCATAGGCTGTTTACTTTGGATTCAAAACCCACAATTTCAACTGAATTTACTAGCTACAGTAAAAGCCTGCTATAGAAAACTCTGCTATAATAAACACTGTGCTATAATGAACATCCCCTTTGGTTCCCCAAGTATTAAATTCTATTGTAATTTACAATCACAGTAACGAACTACCACTACAACAAACATTTGTACGGATCCCATTGTGTTCGTTATAGTGGCCTTCTGCTGTACTTACAATTGGTATTTTTTCCCGCTGATATATATTAGAATGATGTCATCAGCTGTGCCCAACAAGTTGAGATGTTAGAGGCTCAGCTTGGATCCAGACTAGAGCAGCTTCAGGCTACAGTACAGTCCAAGACAGCCGTCCCTACAGCACAGGTCTATGTGAGTAGTCCTTTATCAGACTTATTTCCTAATAGACTCCATGTGGGAACAGCAGATGGCGCTGTGCGATCAGTCATGAGAGAGCTCCAACGTCAGACACGTTGCATGCATTTGTTCATGTTCTTACATGTATGGCACGAAGTACACTGGACTTATATTCATCTGTATGTGTACATACTTGTGACGTTCATGTTTGACCTTGTACAATGCTGCAATGGCATTCATCAATCCTGCCTAATAGGCCATCAGCCTCAGTCCAAAATTTTTGCCACTGGTATCAAATGAGGGGAATAATCCTCATAGCGATTTTTGGCAAGGTATACACCTCATGAGTTGGAAAATATGTGACAGCATTGCAGCGGTGGCAGCTTTTGGGTGTTATCACCCTTTTTTTTTCAAAATGTCCATTGAAATGCTTGTTACCACTCTAGGGGCGGTATACCTTAGGCATGCGCGCACTATACTCATTTATGCCCTGATTTGATACTGACCAAACCCCCAGGCTGATGGCCTATAACATTTTCTTTGTCACCGTTGAGGGGGTACTTGTGCACAGTCAATATAATGGAGAAAACAAGTCCAGAGATAAGTCTTAAAACATTCGCATGAAATTCAAAATGGGTGCAACTGCTGAAACTCTTAATTTCTGGCTTTTACTTACAAAGATGGTGTGCCCATACTTTTTGGACTGGCATCCTGAAAAATAAAATAATTCAACCTTAGAATTGATGCTACTGGTTATTTCAATTGTGTTCATGTTTTCTTCTATAATTTATCACCCTTAAATGAAATTAATCTGATAAGGATGGATAAACCAGCTTTGAATTACTGTAAAAGTTCTTCTTTGTTTAATTTGTTTCAGCCTCAATTCATCAATTTGGCACACATCTGGAGCGGCTTTCAAGATGAGATGGTCCTACTGAGTGTGCTCAGTAATATCCTAGCCAGCCTAGAGCCTTTCACCAAGGTAGGCACAAGAATTATGCGTTTCGGTCTGAATAAACTATTCTTTTTTCCAGAGGTGTCTGTAATGAATACCTGAGAACCCCAAAAAATTATCTGAACTTGATAGAATTCAAATTTATGATTTGCATACATAGTAAACTCTGGTAAATAAAAATTGACATTTGTTTCAGAGTTTCCGGATGAACATGCAAAACCAGTACAGAATGCTGTTTCTACACTTCCCATATAATTTATGCAAATTTATGCAGTAAGTGACGAACATTTGTTTGTTCTCTGGATATTAGTTTGTTTCACGCTCCATTCCAGTTTGGATCTTTGCACCCAAAAAAATCAGAAAATCATGATAAACTCTGACTGTCCCATCTGATTCAAAACACTGGGAGTGTTGGTAGGAGTTTCCAGGACTGAGGCAGGTAAAGCACAGCCACTATTATTTTACATAATCCATATTGCTCTTTAAAAGTCAAAGTACAAAGGGTGTCATTGTCTCTCTCTCTCCTGCACTATTGAGAATTTTAGCAGTTCTTAGTATAAAGCCTATTGAGTTATTCAATTTGCGCAATGTTGCCCTTGTTGATATACCAGGGTCACAAGGAAGTGTTCACAGCTGAGATGATGGCTCCGTTCCTGGAGGGTATGCATGTCAGATCTGACGAGGAAAGAATCAGAGACGTAAGAAAACAAAGAGAGTGTTTGTACCTTTGCAATTGTGCGAATGATAAGTTTGAGATGCAAATAAGTTCATATTTCCTGTTCATCTCACATTTTACCGCTCACAGAATTTCAGCTGTATTTGGTTTGCATCCTTTTTTTTACCCCAGGTTCTTTTTCTTTCTTTCTTTCTTTTTTTTTTTTGGGGGGGGGAGTTCAGGATACAAAAGGTCAGGCAAAGAGTTTCAGATGTGAAAAGAAAAAGGTTTTTGGTTTGAAAAAGTGAAGTAAGAGTTACAATGTAGTGAGTGAGTCATTTAGCTGATAAGTTACCCACCCACGGAAGACAGACATATCAAACTCTAAAAGGTCACTTATTGAGTCAGTAAAATATGTATTCAAGTTCGTTGCCATCTGGTCCACAGTGTGCCTTTAAGATTCAGAACCTCTTAGCAATAATTGAAAATCCCTGTTTCCACAGACAACAGGTGAGGGACATCGTGTCAAGCCCTCAGACTTCAAACATGTGGAGTGGCTGTTCCCTGAGACTACCAAAAACTTTGAAAGGCTCCCTCTACAGTACAGGGTGAGTAGCAGCAAACACACCCACCACAAACAACCTAACAAGCCAATGAATAGTAGCAGGAAAACAAAGCTTGTCTTGAGCCAGTATGGCTTATCAGGCCTGTGTTCATCTCTAGTTGCCTTGGCATGAAACAACCACAAGTATTTCCATTTCCCCCAAATGGGATGTCAGTCCACTGCAGGTTACTCTCAGCCAATGCATATACACATTTTCTTGGAGAGAGGTCAGTAAGATAAAGTGGCTTGCCCAAGGACAAAACATGCCCAGCAGATGAATTGGAGCCCCCGACTGCTGTGATCATGAATCACAAGACCTAAGAACCTGGCAACTTCCCCCGCTCCCCCTCTCATTCTGCTGAACTTGCACAGTATGCTTATTTATTTCTGTCTCAGTTCTGTCTTGACTTTTTCCATGAACATTCACCGTTTCCGTCTTGCAGGGCTATTGTGGATGGGCGTTGGCCCAATTTGACCGCCTTCTGCTTCCAGGCAACCCTGACATTGGCGTCTTACGTTACAACGATCGCTACTACGTCTTCTCATCCAAAGAAGCGGCCTACGAATTTGCCAGTGACCCCAACAGGTGAGGATATCATCACTAATAAGCAATTTAACAAAATCAAAGTTTCCAGTATTTCAGAGTTGTCGTCAAATCTATGACAAGTTTGACATGAGTTACAAATCTTGTCAAGTACTAGCGATTGAACAATGACCAAGCAGTCCCTTGCTTCTCACTTTGAAACTTGAGTCTTGAGATTGGACTTGTGTTTGACTTGTGAGGACTTGACTATGACCCTGAAGTCTGAGCCCATCTTACTGAAGACAAGTCAAGAAATCACCACAAGTCAACTATGTCACATACTTATGAAAATTAAATTGCTTAAAAGCCTTTGTCTTTTTTGACTTGGTAAAATTGTTACAACAGTGGTTTGAAGTGCAAGTAGCATGCACAACTGAACCTAGATTTGTATTCACTAGTTTTCCTCAGATGGTGTTACCACTAGAACCTCCTTGGGTTATTTGAGAAGCCTAAAATTTGAAAGTCCTCACTGTTGTCCGAGGACTTGCCAGAAAATTCACAAGTTTACTCGGGTGGGACTCAAACCCATAACCTCCTGCTCATAGTGCAGATGTCTTACCACTCAACCACCGCATTGCTGGGGTCAGCTGGCTGGTTCAAGTGTGATGTAGCAGTGAGTACCGCAACCAAACGTATTGGATTTTGTCCTTTCCCGACAAAGTTTATAAATACTGTATTCTCAGTGTTGACCAAGGGCTTGCAAAAAATAAAGCAGGAGGTTGTGGGTTCGAGTCCCACCAGAGTAAGCTTGTGGATTGTTCTTGCAAGCCCTCGGACAGCACTGAGTAGAAGGGCAAAATCCAATATAAAAATATTGGATTTGCATCTCACAAACAATCTTGTTCTGACAGGTTTATCATGCATGTTGCTGAGTGCGCCAAAGTATCTCCAGAATTGATTCAACTACTGGAACTGCATGCTCAGTTTGCCACCATAACACCATACACACAGGTAAATTGTCAACCAAAATATAGATTACTAGTTTACTAAGGATTCGACCATCACAACCTTTGACCTTTAGGACATGACCTCATGACCATTAAAGACCTTTGACCTTTTTGATAAAAATTGACATTTGAAGATCTGAATTTGACCTTTGGACACGACCTCATTGATTGTTAAAGACTTTTGACCTTTTTGACATGACCTTGTTTACCTTTGAAGACTTTTTCCTTTTGACATGACCTTGTTGACCTTTGACCTCTCACCTCCTTCAGGGCAAAGACCAGGGTCAGATGATTGAGAAACCAATCACTAAGTGTGACATGGGTGTACAGACGGAGGTCCATCCTATTGAATCCAACATTGTCAAGTCCTATGAGTGGAATGAATGGGAACTGCGCCGGAAAGCCATCAAGCTGGTAAGGAATCACGTCAAGATATTGTTGAAAAGGATTGCGATTCCATCCAGAAGTAATAATGAACACTGTGAATGCACAGTAGATGGCGCATTGTGACCAATCGTGAAGCTACAATGAGGGAGACACACTGAGTGTGCATAGTGTGTGGTACACACAAATAATTGTCTTCTGAATGTGCATAAATCGACAGCATCTTTGCTTGAGCGCCATGCTTCAGTGTCAACACGTCTCCCCCACCTTTCTCTTTTTAATCGTTGAGAGGGTACTTGTGCACGGAGTCTATTCTCTTCGGAATCAACTCAAAATGGGGAAAAAAGGGAAGCACCTCCATAAAATCTGCTAAAGATTACATGTCTTCACATTTTAGTCAGCCTGTCTTCTCATTGTCTGAAGGCACTGCCTGGAATCAATCTTGCGGGGGAACTACAATTATGTAGAGTTCATTCCTCAAAAAATAAAAATCATGATTCCTACTCCAAATTTCAATTGGAATCCATTTTTTTTTTTAAAGTGGCAAAGCTTCATCCAACCTTAGCCTCTAAGAGCTTGGTTGCACACGGGGATCATTGGATTATTCCTAGGAAGTATGCTAGATGAACTATTGAGGACAAGTCATTGAGGAGTCAGCCACTTGCAAACCATTGCAATTATTGTTTGACTTGCTATTGGTCGAGTGTCAATTGTAGGGACCCATAAAAAAGGGGTGAAAAAGTGGCATACAAAACCATTGATGAGCTCCCTGAGTTTGCCTGAAAGTTTGGACTGTTTGTTGTTATTGTTCCCATGACAGACTAACCTGCGCAACAAAGTGACCCACTCCATGCAGACCAACCTGAGCAATATGAGACGAGATAACGTGACCCAGGTCTACCTGCCCAAGTAAGTGATGTACACAACCCACCTTTGTAATGTTAATGACTGCCCCTTAGTCTTTGCTGCAAGCTTCAGGCTACCCTGGAATTACTCGGCTACGGTCAGCAATTACATACAGTTGAATTTGCATTTGTCCAGTTTGCCCCCAATCTTCCAAAAATGGCCGCTGATACACAAAGATTCTACGCTAACATACAGCGCGTGCTGTATCGAGAGATGACTTTTATTTTGTTCACGTGCACGTTTTATGATGTATTTTGAAGTTTCGGTCGTGATTATATTTCCAATTGCTGCAAAAAGTGAACTGCTGCATGAAAAACTGTGAACCGTGGGGAACAAAAGGTCAACCGGGTAAACCACGATGTTACTGTGAATCACAACTGCCTAAGAAGGCAACTTGTTCTTTATAGAACACCAAGTGGTCGCCCCAATGTGGTTTCAAATGGCTTTCTTCTGTAGTTCTCTGTACGTTATCCAGTCTCTATATAGAGCTTAGTGGGTTCAACCCCCTCACATGACCAAAAAGCAAAAAGGTGGCCTGAAGGCACTTTTTAAATATAAATTTAACTGAAAGTTCAATGTAAAAACTGCAGGAAAGGGGCATGGAAAGCTGTGTACAAGCGTGTACTGTAAACAGGGCTTTCCATTCATGGATTTCAAATAAACACAGAACCTCATTGATCCCTTTCATGATGAAGGAAATATTCCCAGTGTTCTAATTTTCTAATTTGAGATTCATGTTTATCTTCTACTTTTTTTCTGTGACTGCAGGGACACAGCAAGTCAAACCAAGACAGATGGAGCCAGCAATGTGCCCAAGCCCCAGACATTCCTGGCCGGATTGCGAGGCGGTCAAACTAAGACCACTGTCATGACCAAAGTGGACCTCACACTGGACGTTGATCAAACTTAAACAAATAAAAACACAACAAGAGTTCATGTTGACACTTTCACACAGATCTAGTTTCCAAAAGCGCTTGAAACTTATCAAAACTGATCAAAACTGTAGTCAAACCCTCACACGTTATCCATTCTCAAGTCAAGTTTCTAGAAAGGCATCCTCTGTCATCATTCATCCCCTGTTACTTGTGACATTACTTGTGATTTGGACTTGTGATGGACTGGAGTACCATTCTGTGAATTTACTGAAGATATTTGTGTGGAGTAGATCCATAGGACATGTGAACCTGTCATTACAAAAGAGGGTCAGTTATCGTGCTTGAAGTCATTTCAAGGCACACAGCAATGGTTAGTGTTCAACTACATGAAGGTGTTACATTGTACAGTAATTTTAAAAGAGTTTGTACATTTCTGTTTGCTTTATATTCGATGGTGTAATCAGTAACAATTTCTATATAAATAAAGTGGAACAGTCTCTCTTCACCGTTGTGAAGGTTTCATTATTGAAGATTGAAATGTATACATTATCTTTTCTCACATCAAACATGACTTGAATTTCATTTTTAAAGTGAAAATAAGTTATTATAAAGCAAAGTAATATCCACACTGACGGATTGATCTCCAATGAGTAAGAATTGAGGCTTTGCATGGTGGAGATACTTACGAATGAAAGGTTTGCGGATCTCCAATGAATAAAAAAAGCATACAACACATAACCAGATCGATCTTCTGTTCATTGGTTGTCAAATGTATTTAAATAAAAGTGTTTGTCATTCAGAATGTATAGTTATTCCTTTGTGGTTATTTCCCCCCCCCCCCCTTTTGACCCCTCATCCCCAAGAAAAACTTCTATCGCTTCCATGAATTCTCACTCGGGGTCTTGCAGCTGCTGTGACGGGTAAGATCGCTGTGGCTTGGCTGTGATGGATTCTGTACTTTTCAATGCACTGCCATGCATCTCCCCTGCACTCTAGTTTCTCTTAGCTAGTACAGTTCTTCCAAACATGAAATCTAGAGGTCCAACTCCACTACTCCAAATTTCAACTGGACATCACATCCACATTGGAGTTTGTATGGAGTACTTGGGATACTCATAACAAGCAGAACACCTTGGCTGTTATTGGCATGGTCCAGTGTTGGAGTCCGGTGGAGGTCATATCCTACTTGTCTGTCCCACAATGACCATTGCAATCAGATGATCTCCCTCCTGCCTTTCTTTTTGGAATCTTTCTCCTCCTTTTCCTTCAACTTGGCCGATCTTGCAAATTGCTGTAGGATGCAAGTTAAGGAAAACTAATGCATTTCAATGAAGCAGAATCTGAATTTGAAATTTCGGGAACACCAACTGAGCTCCCCAGCCGCGACCTCTATGTCTTTGGTTCCAATCCCGCCCAGGCCAACGTGGATTGAGATTTATTGTCCCTACCACATTTTGTGGGATATCCCTGGAACATCTGTCCAGGATTTTTCTCCCACCTTTAAAACTGAACATTTCTTCATTGCCTTCTCCCTCAAGGTTTCTTCAGGCTTCCAAGCTACAGTGCCTGTGTATTCTTGAGGAGTCCTTGTTTTTAGTACCAGACAGCATTGCAAACAAAAATCACTAATTTTCCCACCTTATGGAATAGTTTTTGATGAAAATGGAACAGTGTGCACACACATAATGATTTAAAAATGCTTTCTGGAAGGATACCACAACGATGGGTTTCCCTTGTAGGATGTAAGCGTTGGTGTCTCGCAGTGCCTTCTGTGCTGCAAACTCGCTTGGTAGACCGACGAAGGCCTGGCCCTTCATGCGCCCCTGGGTCATCAATTGGATGGTGAACCTGGAACGGGTGGACAAGCATGGAAAACGTGGATGAATCCGAGGATTCCTCAACAGTGCACAAGCAATGTAGCTCCCAAGCCTGAAGAACTCACACAAAGTGAAGACATCTCAAGAAATGTCCATTTCTAAGAAGTTGGAGGAAACCTCAGGAGAAAGGGGCCTAAAAGACAGCTATGAACTCATACATGTCTACGTTACATACCTAGTGTGGACATTCCTTTGTTTTCGTTTAGTTAAGAAAAACCTCTGAAAAAACTAATTTTACTCACACTGTGAAAACTCTTTCAACCCGCATTTTTTTCTATGATTCCCTTTAGTGTTTCTCTTCATTTTGCCACCGATAAACCTAACCCAAAAATGCCTCTAAACCTGTTTTCCAGAGAGGGGGAAACCGTGTGTGGACGTGGGCAAGTCCACACAACGTCGCTGCTACCTGGTTTATGTAGACCTCTTTTGTTTGGAAGTCCACACAGTGAATGTAATGCTTGTACATACATACAAGTTTATGATGAATGGTGCTTCTTAGTGTCACACGATTTCCACTACCCAGACAATGTCAAGAATTTTTTTTCTGGTAAACCTCTTTAACAAATGTTGTGGCTAAGTTACAGCCAAATACTTACATGTCTCTGTCAATTGGTGATGACCAATCCACATAACGTCCGTAAATATACTTCAAATCCTGTAACCAAAAACAAGCAAAAATCATCATGAAAAGAAATAGCTTAATTGAAAATAATCACTTTGAATTCAAACTGGAAGGGAAATTTTCTTTAAAAAGATACTCACTTTTTCCTCCACCGTTTTGGCCAGATTCTTGAGGTATAACCGTGTGGTGGGTTCACCAGGCTCATACCGCTTGAAAACTGGATGCCTCTTGATTTCTGCAAAAATAAACATGTGACCCTGTCAAAAGCTGAGACCTACTGTTTTAACACTCACAGACAGTCAAAAAGTCCATCCACTTCCCTGCCATGCCTTTTACACAGGCTTGTCACCAACAGTCAGATCATATTTCAAGCAAGCACTCTGACTAGCTAAACTCAGTCAATAGACAAACGCAGGAAACTGGTGGCACACTGGCTTATTAATCACCTACAGTTAAAGCATAGCTGTATCAAGTTACATAAACAGTCACAGTCAGTCAATCCTGCTTTATGTAGGCTGGGAATTTTTAACTATTGAAAACAGTCACTTGATTGCTTTTGACTGAAAGGATTACTTGGCACAGAATGTATTTTTGCATAGGAGAGTTAAAGGTAGAGTAGATCATTTGCAGCTATCCAAAAAGTAACTGACAAAATTATTGTTGAAAAGCTGACTTGGTTTAAAGATAGTAATGGCAAAGAACTCCCTGTGAAATTATTCTTTCTGGCATGCTGTTATTTTGAAGAAAAAAAACAATAAGGAAGGCCGTTTCCAAAGATGCATCAAGTGACGCATTTGGAAATTTCCATTAATTTGTTGAATCCATGAATTGGTGCGTGCAAGCGTTGCTATTATTCCTCAATTCAGTGCGTTATATCGCGTAGCTGCAATTGACTGAAAAACGTGTCCCGGACGTTGATTTCGAGTGCAATTCAAAACAGGACTCGGCACCTTTTTAATCGAAATCGAAATCCTAGAATATTGATTTCTCAGAACATACAGCATTCACCAAGCTAACACTCAATCAGGTTAGTTGTTAAGCACCCATCTTCAGATTTCCAGCTCTTTTGTTGCTTCAAACGAAAAAAATGCACAAATGACAAATGATGAACTCTACCTTTAAACAAAGCATGCCATGTGCTATACAAAAAATGCCATCCTTGCAGCTACACGCAACTGAATGGAACAAATGGCTTGTGATTAACTTGTGATCACTTGTGATTGACTTGTGACCTCCTTATGATGACTGTTGATTGACTTAAGATTGACTAGTGACTCCTCCTAATAATTTTATCATTGCCTTATAACAACTTGAGATGTTGACCTATGACCACATATGATGGCTTGTGATAACTTTTGCTGACTTATGATTGATTGAATTGTGATGATTTGTGATGACTACACACAGAGCTATGTCAGCTATTTACCATGATCTGGGAGTCTGTTTCGGAGCTCTCGTCTGGATATGAACTCTGTCACCTTCCCATCATCTTCCTCCTCACCCTCTTCCGTCTCATCTTCCTCAAGTCCCTCCCTCTTGGCAGGGTTTGCCTCTTTCTCCGTTGTGGGATGCTCAAAGGTTCCAAAACCAGACACAAGGGAGGAAGATCCTGGGTTGGCTTCTGCCGGCTGTTGGTCAGTCCTTGGTTCACCAGACCCCGCAATCTCCTCCCCTATGACCATTCAAGAGTCATGAAGTAGATTCTGTTAATAACAAGTATCTGATTTGCACTCTGTGTGCCATGAACCATGTACTTTAGTCTTTGGTTTGTCATTTTAAGGGGTGTTTCATGATCTTTAGTGCTAATTGATAGAGATTTCAATATTAATGAGCAAAACAGTAATACCATCTAAGAAAGAAGATTCAGATAGCTGCTTTGGAAATAAAAGTTGCCAAATTTCTGCGTTTTTTTTCTGTGGTTCAATTCTATATTTTGTGATTTTGTGTGCTGAGCAAATTTTCCATTCTTATTGCCCTCATAGTTTAAGTTAAATTGACCCCTAGTGACAAAATTACTAAACAATTTTATTGTCTAATTTTTAGGGTAAAAAATATTGCACTGACCTGTAGTGGAATGCATCTGGTTGCCATCCAAAGCTCCAGCCATTCCCTCCGTCAATCGGAACTCAATCCTCTTGCCGATGGGAGCCTGCGACTGCTCAAAGACATCCACTGCCCTAGCTGGCTGAGAGGGGGGTACTGCCCCGCCTACTGGAGGGGCCTTGGCTGGTATCAGAGGCTGAAGTTTGTGCCGCTTGGCACGATGTGGGTTCTTGGTCTTTGATGGCCGCTTAAGAGATGATTGGATAGTCTTTGTTCTGAGTTTAACAAAAATCAGCCATTTGAAGGAAAAAAATGTTTGCCAGTATTGTATGTGTACACTCAATTGTCATACCTTTTAAAAAAAATAGTCGATATCAGAAATACATGTAAGCCAGTTCATATTCAGACTTTCCATGCATACATCTAGTAGCGTAACTTGGCCTCCATTTGGCGAGGGGGGGGGGGGGTCAGTCACACGCCCATCCCCCTGAGTTTTGCCAATCCATACATCAAGATTTGATGATTTTACTTTAGGATAAACAATCCATTATACGCTAGCAACATTATAGATGGTACCAATCAAATAACAAGTTCCTATTTGGGAGCAAGTTCAAAATACAGTATCTTTACGATCCAACTTATGTACATACTAAATTTTCATCTTCTTGTTGAATTGTTTTTAACGCATGTGATTTGGTGTATATTTGGTGTACATTATGCAGATATGCTGTCTGATTCCTCCAATCGTGATGAGCACATTCTCTCTTGGAAAACCAAATAGCTCATTCAAATTTATGTTTCTCTTAGAAGGTGATGATTTCAAAAACGTTCCATTTGACTCACTTTTCTTTTTCATCTGGGTCACTCTCAATTTCTGACTCCTCACTGGAGCTGGACATCTCCATGGCCTCCACTGTCTGGTTGTTGACAACAGAGGGCGGTGGTACATCCCGGATCTGCAATAGTGGGAAAACAAATTTGCAGTGTTCACTGTAACTTCTAAATGATGGATTGGGTTTTGTTGCGATACTGCGATTAACTTTAGCAACTGGGAATTCACAAAGACGAGGAAATTCCTGGCTGGGCCGATTTGGATGAGCATAAAAGGGAACTAACCAACGGGGGAGCAGGGGTGACTGGACCGAAGGGTGCTGGCAGGTTCATCTTGTTCATCAGGTGCAGGACCTGGGTATACAACTTAGGCACCGAGGCCAGACTGTTGACAATGTTAGTCAGGATGCCGACAGAAGGTGCTGGGTAGCGATAGCGAAGCACTGGGTTCAAGGGAAAATCAATCCTGATCAAAAAAAAGGAAGAATAAAAAATAAATGCCATTGGTTGACAATTTAGCCCGGAAAAATGCAGACAATAGCACCAAATTTCAGAAGTTTCTTCTCACTGTTAATGTTTTGATGTATAACAATGAAACTTCTAGAATACTAAGAACCTTGTAGAATATATGTAATTCACATCCAAACAAAAATTAAACAGTCATGTAAAACACACAATCATAAATTAAGTCTTATGTAAAGTAATACTATCTTGACTTGTACTGATTCTGAGTCCTGCACAAACAGCTGCACAAATACCCTGGCAGGCCTTGGGGATCTGGGAGGGCAAGGGTAATGTATGGTGTCCTCATAAGGTTAAAACCTGTTTAGAATAACTCTACATACCCATGTCTGGATGAGATGCCAATCCTTTGCTGCAATCCTTTCAGTCCATCCGCAATGGTGGAGTTCCCATATGCTGCTTTCTCGCTTTTATGCTCCTGATCAAGATTACAGCCATCAGTGCTTGAATCAATGGCCTCCCCATTCCTAATGAACACAATACGAACCAAAACAACATGACAAATACAAAATATGGCTCACCCCAAACCAAATTCATAAAATTATCATCAGTTGGTTTTTGTGCTTGTTATATTTTGTATATTTTGTACTGAAATTGCTGGTCCATTTTGGATTAAAGGTGGTTTCCAAGATGTCACATGACTGTTTTTAAAGGACAAGAAAAAACATTTGTTTCCAGTTCTGACATGTCTGAATGAGTAGGAATGCCCCCATTTGATCATAATCTTCCCGTTCTCCCACTTGCCCACGGGTCTCATTCTACACTTGAATTCCTGCAAACGACGGGGCGCATCACCTTACATAGCAAAAGCACAATACAAGGGAGCGTTCCTGCCTGGCCGATGGGCCAATGTTTCTGCCCCTTTCTACTGTGGGAGAACGGTCATATTGTTAGCTTCATTGCCTTCTGTGCCAAATGAGAAAGAACGCGTATCCACGCGTGGGAATGGGAAAAAGTTTTGGTCTTGTCCCTAACAGGTAAGAGCTCCCAGCCTACATAAAGCAGGGTTGGCTGGCTGTGACTGCAAGTAACTTGATACAGCTATGCTTTGACAATAGGCCATCGATAAGCCAGCTGTGCCTACCACTTGCCTGTTTTTGTCTGTTGACTGAATGCGACTAGTCACAGCACTTGCTTAAAATGAGATCTGACTGTTGGTGAGTACATGTAGCCTGTGTAAAAGGCATCGCAGGGGCAGAATATTATTTATTTATTTTTACTGTTTGTGACTGTTCACACAGCTAGAGGGTTAAGCCATCTAATATGCTTCATGATTATTTAAAATATACCTCCTCTCAATACTGCTGGTAGCAGCCAGACCTGCCTGAGACGCAGCATTGCTCTTTGCATATTCCACCACCAGGGTGTGGCCCAGGACTTTCAGTTGGTGTAGCCTTGTGAGAGCCTACATGTAGAAACAAAAATGTGGTAAAATGGATACAATTTGAAGCTTGGCATTGTGATGAGAGCAATAAGAGGTAGTTGACAGTGTAACAAATCTCTTCTGTGAGTTTGTGAGGGTCTGAAAAGAACCAGGAAAGCTCCACGATTCTCTGCTTCTTCCACACAACTGCCCTCTACTGTTGGAATCTCTGAGTCTCCAGACAACGGGCTGAGCATACTGTCTGAAACATTAACTTTCCCACGGCTCTGTTCAGAACCTCACAACCTCACACAAGAGATTTTTGCCACATTGGTGCAACCATTATATTACTCTTTAGTAACTATGGAATAGCAATTTTAACATTCACCACAAAGAATTTAAAAATTACATTGCAAAAAAAAAACAATCAGTATATATTAAAATGTGAACCAACCAATTTATCTGATTGTTTCTTCTCCATTTTTTTGTAGGCTTTAATTCTGTTTGATTTATGTTTAAAAAATCCCCGATTTTCTTACCTGTGCTGCAGCACTTTGATCTCTGAAAGTTGCAAACGCAGCATGTTTCTGAAAGTAAAAAGCCCAAACAGGGAAATGCATTTATTAGATGGCGGTAGCAAATTAACCAAATTGATAAAATTTGGAGGATTGTCTCAGGAAATTGCCTGGATGATGAAAACTAGACTTCTTGCTGTTTTACATAAATTTACAAGTGGGATGTCTCCACATGAACAAACTCTGGCAATTACAATTAAAGCAACAGATAACCAAGTAAGGTTTGTACATGGGAATGACCTTGTGTTTTGGGGCGTGCTCGTAAGTACGTACATTAGTGCATTGTGCATGCACCGATGTATGTGGTATGGCCACATGTTGCGGCCACGCCGCGCGCACGCCTAAAACCATTAGGTCATGAACTGTGTCATGCATATTCATAATTTTGCCCGAGTGCGCCTGCATCTGCATGCATACATTACAACACGTTCCCTATTTTGAACTCCCATGTAGGCACATTTTCGGGACGATGTTCGTGGGAGCTGATGACTGATCGTCGTTTTTTGGCCAGATAAGATTGATGAAGTTTTTGAATATTAAGGAAAGTGTTTTCGAAAAAGGTATGAGTTCCTCTACAACTAGGAACCTTAACATTGGAAAATTCTGCCCTGGATGAGAAGATAATCTCAATCAAAATCAGAAGCAAAATTGCTACATCAATTTTTAGCATTTAGGGGAGCATTGGCTGTCTGGCCGTACTACAGAGCTTGCGATAGTACTGTACGGCCAGATGCAGTCAGGCTAGGGAAATACTTGAAAAATGTTTGTGACTCTCATAGTACTAGACTTTGTACGCGGCCGCGGATGAAGAGCGCACACAAATGGCACACAAGAGGGCGCGCTTCACTGCAGAGGGCTTCAAAGATTTTGGAATGACAGGCAACAGCCGCGGTGGCGGTGCACTTTGCCAACGTTGACGCACGCTCAGTAAATGACTAAAGTTCTTGTCTGGTTCCCTGACCCCATTGGCCTTTTGACTATAATTAGGGTGGCCGGGAAACAGTCTGGTAAATATCACAGACGCCATGCTTTTTCAAAACCGTCTGCATTCTTTGACGAATTACCATGATTTTTGGATAACCAGACCTCTGAAGGTACCGAATTTAATGATTTTGTGCTATTTAGCAGTCATACTAATAGCTGGGTTGCTTTTCTGCTGACAAAATAATTTTGATTTTTAATTAACTTTCGGCTCCCCTAGCAACGGGGACGCTACGCGTTTATACCACAGGTGGATGTGTGACGTTAAATACGGAGGTAGTCCAGTATTTCCATCACATAGTAGGACCGCGGTACCGGTGTCACATGAAAATCTGACTCCTATAAAAATCGGGCCCCTATTTCCCTATTATTGGTTGATCCCTCGCACTAGCCCCACTAGTGTGGCCGCGGTATGCTGTGCTGAACCTCTGGCCACACACCGTGGTACCGCGCACTACTGAGGGCGTTTTCATAAAAATTACGGTCAGTTTCTTACATGTATGGTTGTGTTCTATGATGTCCCATCTATCACTTCTGGGATGCTTAGGTGTAATGATGTTCAATTTTCTGAGATATTCTTGAATCTTTCTGGAGCCCATATGCACTCGTGAAACGTCTGCTGATGGCAGCCATTTTGAATGTGACAAGAGATGACCTCAAGCTGTGACGTCGCGTTTAAGCTGTATGCAAATTGCTTGTCGAGCGAGGGTGCAAGTTGCAAATGCAACGGCTGTTTCCTGTGCCGTGGATCCTGAATAGAGATCAGTGCTCGTGGCCCCCAGACGATAAATGCATGGTACAGGAAACAGCCGTCGCATTTGCAACTCGCGCCCGCTCGACAAGCAATTTGCATAAACACGACGTCACAGCTTGAGGTCATCTCTTGTCACATTCAAAATGGCTGCCATCAGCAGACGTTTCACGAGTGCATATGGGCTCCAGAAAGATTCAAGAATATCTCAGAAAATTTAACATCATTACACCTATTAGCATCCCAGAAGTGATAGATGGGACATCATAGAACACAACCATATGTAAGAAACTGACCGTAATTTTTATGAAAACGCCCTCAGTAGTGCGCGGTACCACGGTGTGTGGCCAGAGGTTCAGCGCAGCATACCGCGGCCTAGCCCCATAAATGTGGCCTATTTACTGGACTGCCTCCATAAACATAGGCCACACATCCACATGTACAAAAAACGTGTCGACTTTGCCAAATTTTGATTTTCACATTTAGGCTTACTTTGTAGATTTTTTTTGCTTTAGAAGCATTCTCACCCTCTATATAGGCTAATCAGAAAGTGCTGCCTTTTTCAGATGTTTAATTTTTGTGAAATTTCATGTTGAAATTTTGATACGCAAACGTGTGCAAATGTATCTGGAAATTTCACGAAAAATGGACATCTGACAAAGGCAGCACTTTCTGATTAGCCTATACAGAGGCAGGCCTTCATTTTTAGAAATTCGTGGAGCTCAGTTAATCGCTCTCCTGGGAAATCCGAGGAGCTCAATTTGAGCACCCAAAATTGCTCTCCTAGAAAAGTCCGAGGAGCTCGATTTGCATGTTTTGTGCTCAAAGTAAAAAAATGAATCCAAATCATTTCCTGAAGCCTTTCATATCATGCACACACACTTGCATCAGAACTGAGAAACAGATGCGACTGTTCACTACAAATTGAGTGCTCAATCCCTGTCAATTTAATAGGTTTAAGTTTTACTTGTTTGTGAATCATCCTGATGTGGAAATAAAAATGAAAAACAAATTGGAGTTGACTTGTGGTTCTTTATTAGTGTTTCTATTTTGTTCTATTTTACTTCGTTTTTATTATACTCACTTTATTTTATTTTTATTTATTTACTGTTTATTTCACTTTTTATATGATTTTTTTTATCAAATAGTTTAATTATTTTGGTTTACTAACTTTACTAAAAACCTGTTTTTGTTTAAATTTGCATATGTATCATGTGGTGTAACCGTGTTTTTGAGGGTTTCTAAATTTATATCCAAATTGATGAATAGAACCCCCTCCCCCCCCCCCCCAAAAAAAAATTCAATTAAATTAAGTCCGGTCATGCATCTGTCAAAGAAATACTTTTTTGTCACATAAATCCTCAAAATTAGTAAAATAGAAAAGGAAAATAATTATATGAATATTTGGTTTTGGGCACAAAAAAATAAAAGGATCGAAAGTAAGGTCACAGAAATGTACAAGTAACGCCATTACAAAATGTCCAATGGTACTACGCACAAACAATGTCACCGTGCACATGTGGCCTGTTGACCGGCCGCGCTTGCGGGCATAGCCCGGTAGTTGACACACGGAAAATCGCTTGCACTCTATCGTTGTGGGACAAATGAGCTCAACCTTTCGTAAGGTATTTCCAACCCAAACTTGTCAAAAATTAAACACTAGTTTCTTGTAGATGTACCGGAGATCATTCAAAGTGCCGTTCAAAAACTCTGGCTCCCTTTGGAACATCACAACTTCCAGAAAAACGGTGTAATTTCACATAGGCCTACCCACTGTTATCTGGCTGCACAGTATTAGATGCGATGGCGCACAACATCGCTCACACACTCGTGTACTTGGGCCACGTCCATTTTATCGAAAATAGGGGTGTTGGTATTACAAAGTAGGTGCTCAGCCCATCCATTTCATAATTGTTTTGTGTTTTCACTTCATCGGAGGTTTATATATTTAGTTTTACATTATAAATATTTATAAACTAATTTATAAACTGATCTCAACCGTAATTATTATTTCATTTTATTCACTTAACGACGGTGCACGTCTGAATGACGATCCTGCCAGTACCCTTTATCATAATGGACCGTGCTACATGTCGTTGACGAAAAGAAAATGGCTAATGTGTCCATGTACATGATGTATGGGTTGGACCCGCTCGAGTAACTGCGAAGTGCGATGTTTACAAAATCCTTCCGATGATTATGGGTGGAATTTACGTAGGTATTCGACTTACTTTTGTAAAAAATATTTGCAACAAAATCGTTCAAACATCGGGATGACAAGTTAAGAAATCAAGTATATAAAATTTGGATTGACAAGATTTTACTGTTGCGAATTGGCTTTATGTAGACAAAAACTGGAGTCGACAATAAGCTTACAAATTTACCTAGGAGCGCTATTATTCGCGCGCCTGAAACCGTGTTAAGGAGCGCGTAGGAGCGCGATCGCGCTCGCGCTCCTTAAAAATGAAGGCCTGCAGAGGGTGAGAATGCTTCTCAAGCAAAAAAACGTAAAAAGTAAGCCTAAATGTGAAAATCAAAATTTGGCAAAGTCGACACGTTTTTTGTACATGTGGATGTGTGGCCTATGTTTACGGAGGCAGTCCAGTAAATAGGCCACATTCATGGGGCTAACCGCGGCCACACTAGTGGGCGCAGCATACCGCGGCCACACTAGTGGGGCTACCCTCGCACAGTGACAGGTCACTCTCCCGAAACGATCCTCAAAATAGCATAGTATTGTACTCACGCGTGCGCAGTGCAATGAGTCCACATTTCATGGAGTCGGATATTCACGCTACACCGCCCAGTCATGCAAGTGTCCGGAAACTAGACAAACTTGCTTAACTATCAAAGTATCATGATTTACTTACCATTCGTCCGAAATTTGATAAAACCCTTACATGAACCGCCCCAAAATACTCGAGGAATTCTTGCTTCTCTACATTGTTCATTGAGCTCGGTAGGTGACGGATGATAAGGGTATTTCTCTCAAAATTTCCATTATCCATATCCTTGCCCATGGACGCCGCCATTTTGAAAAAAATAGTGAATTGAAGCCGCTTGGAGGCGCTATTTTTGTTTTCCAGCCAGCACGCAAATGCCCATGATTGGTCCATACTTCACAATTCCTTTTCAAATACTCAGAACCAGTCTCAGAAGGTATTTAGGCTGCACAGAAAAAATGATGATCAACATTCTTCGTTTTCTTTTCATTTTTGTTTTTGTTTTGGTGGGTTGACCATTAAAATAAATCATGCTTCCACATACAAATACACAGCGCTTTTAAAGAGATCTACTTGCCCAAGTCATACCACATTTTAATTAATTAATTATCACTTTTAAAAGATGATTTATCATTTTAAATCAGACTGTATAATGGTGTACTCGTTTGTATTCATATTGTGTTTGAGTGTGATTGTAAGCTGTTTTGATAAATTGTTGTGGATTTGTCTTGTCTTTTAAACTGTTTTGAACACACGGGGTGTTGATTTTCATGTTTTTAATCATGATGGTTAATAATAAATTGAATTGAATTGAATTGAATTGAAAATTCTCACCCAAAGAAGACTATACCCCTATTTTTTCCCAAGGCGGGAAAAAAAACAACTTTCGAGCCCATCCAAAATGCTCAAAATTGGAAGTCCCAAATCCGGGCCAGATGTTCATTGCCATAGCTCTTCGATCGATCTGTTGTGGCTTTCAGAACTCTAGAATATTTTGAGGGTAGGCCTATAATTTGTATTTATGAGCTAGCTCGGCAAATGGGTTTAGGCCATAGAGCTATTATACCGCTCTATGGTTTAGGCCTATTTACCGGCGTAAACCGCATTGATTACGACGTCATTACAACTATAGCGCAGCAATCATGCATGCCAAGTTCGCGCAAGGACTATAGTTGACTTCGACTGTACTAACGCTTGCCAATCAGGTCCTTGCCCGAACTTATTGGCAATCATTGGAACGGTTGGAACCGGAAGTAGTACAAAGTGGCAAGTTCCATATGGTCATGGAGCTATAAAACACAGCTCCATGATATGGTTTAGGCAATGGGCGCTAGTATCAGTGGTGCGAACGGCGGATACCGGATTGTACCTGCGAACCGGAAAGTCAATAGAATAACGTCACACTTTGTTTACATGTGCACTTTAAAAAAACACCAGATGCAGACCAGTAAATAAACTTGGACCCCAATGGTAAATGCCCCCACTTTCGAAATTCGGGGGGGGGGGATTATATTTTTTTTCAACGTTACGTATTTTTCCTTTACAATACATGTACATTTTCTAACTGTCCTAAATGTCATATGTCGTTTCAGAGGTTTAAGTTACACTACAGGACGTCATCACACACAAAAATCTTGCCGATATTGCAGTGACTGTTGTATAATTTAAACGTATGAACCGAATTCCTGAGTGGGACTATTTCTTACTTTTTACAAGTGGATGAAGAATGAAGATATCATAGGCCTACCCTGATATTCTTTGAACTTTCACTAAATTGAAACAAGTGTGAAAACGCTTGACCCATTTTTACGCGAAATCAATTGGAAGTTTTGCGTAACCGGACGACCAAAATCAGAGACAAACTTGACAATTCCGACCACACTCCAACGTTTTGGTGAAAGTTCATTCGCTTGTTACCCAAGTATTTATCATGGTTGACGATTGAATCCCCCTCCCACCAACAATAACACTTTCGTCACTTGGAGGAGTTGCCTGTGGCACCGACAATTACCGGGCATTTGCTCTTGAACCTCTAGAGCGTTAAGGCACATATTTTATAGATCATCAAAAGCTTCCAAACTGACCTCATCATATTGAGGAGCTAGGCAACTGATACAATGGGCCCCCACACAGAGTCGAAATTGTCGGATGAGTATGTTACATAATAATCACCTGATAGTGATACAAACATTGAAATGGATCACAGCATGCAGGCAATCATAATGAAATATGAGCCAGGTTCCAAAATCTCACTGTAAATATAATTTCTTGTGGATATTCCCAAGAAATGTGCAACTTCAGTTACCCGTAGTTATTATGTCTAGGATAACACATAACATTCAAAATGTCACGGCTTGATCTTTGTATTCCACCCCTCCCCCGGCCCCACCCCTCAAACACCATGTGTTATGCAATGGTAAATACATTTTTAAAAACGTGAGCACAGATGTTCTTGTTCACATAATTACGGTAGTTGCTGTTTTCAAGTTGGTCAATAATGATAAATAATTGTTGCCACACGGCATTCTCGGAAAGCAGGAGCTCTGGTCATGGTCACTAATGTGGCCAAAGTGCTGTTTACAAGTTGGTCAAGATAGTGATTGTTGCCAGTAAAAAATGAAGGCTACAGGCATTATTTCTCGGAATACAGGAGCCCTGTGCGGTCACTTATTGGTACCCGTGACGTTGTGTTTACCTTGAAACGATTGACGTTTTCTGATGCGCCCCATTGTGTAACGTCATCCGTTAATCGCATTCTCCCTGCTCACGGTCAATCCATGGCTATTCGCTCGCACCGACGGCCCGTGTGAACACCGTGGTTGTGTGAACTCAAGTTTTAAAATGGCTTGAATCTCCGAAGGGAAGCAAAATAAGAGTACTGTTGTTGTAACTGTTGTGGTGACTATTATGTTGAAAGTAGTTACACATTTTCAGTTAATAATTTGTGAAAATGTTCTATAAAAGTAGGATGTAAAATTGCTGTCTTTGATTGTGTGTACTAAACGTTATATTAGTGTAATACATTGTACGTTGATAAGGAATACGCGTGAACCGTTGCCGAGGAAGTGACCTGACCTGTGGGAGGTGATTTTCTCAGCGTAATATCGCACATTCAACAGCCCCCCCCCCCCCTCAACATGTCTGCAATATGTTACGTGACCCCTTTTTGCAGTTCCACAGAATGGACCCTTGTCCAGTAGCGTGTTTATCCCGCAACTGTGGGTGGTGGTGGGGGTCGATAACATTATGAGGAAGGGGGTAAATTCCAACCTAACTTTCGCCTGATCGGCCCACTTCTGGTAAGAAAACCAGTTTATAAAAATTATTCGTAAAATGCAGTACGGCACACACATTGTATAGAACTTTCGCGTACAAGTTTGCAATGGATTCCAGTATTCTCGAAACATCACCTTTGTTGTTGGGATCAACTTGCACGAAGTCCACGAACTCGGTCTTCCCATAGGGAAAGTTCAAGTGCTGACGTGCAAGGTTCACGCAAGCCACGGACATGCCCACAGCTCTTGATGACAATACCAGTCTTTATACGCATCATGTTTATCTTGGCCATGTACAAATATGTCTTGTACGCCACTAAAGGAATCTTACTAATGAAAAATTGACTATGAACTTCATTATTTTTAGTAAAGTCTTTACTCTCCTTTTCTTATCTCCCGTAAACTGTAATAATGTATAGTCTTAATTGTTAGTTACTCGATTTGAAAGTGTGGAAATAAAATGTCTCGCTGAATGAAAATTCAAAATAAAATTCAAAGTAAAATTTTGGATCGAAATGATCATTATCGATGAACGTAGCTTTGCCTCGCCCGCTTTGCAACGGAGGAGGCTTCGCAGCACGGTCGCCCCTCCCTTTCGTGGACGACCAGTCGACCACACCCAAACCCACCCACCCTTTGCGCTTTATAATATAGCGGTGATTGGCATTGGTTAAAGTTCTAATGATCAATATTTTACATTATCCAATATTTGCAGCAAATACGCTTGATCGAATAACATGGAATTAGTTAAACAAGGGGAAAACATATCATGTCAGATATGGTTTAACTCAAAGTCCAAGTCAACATGTCAGATGGAGATGACACACAATGAGAATGGCAGAAGGTGAAGAGGACAAGGTTTCACAGCTGGAAGTACGCTTTCTTGAGAAGCTGACCCGAATATACGTCTAGATCAAGGATAGCCTCCTTGAATCGAAGAACCCTCCAGTCTATAAAAGGCGGAGTTGCATCAGACTTGAACCACAGAGCTCCGAATCAGATTCACAAAAGCAAAGCAACGCAGTGGCACGTACCGTCGACGGCATGGCTGTGATCAGGTAAATGATATATTTCCATGATCCAGAGTGACGATTTTTTTTAAGGTAGAGTAGGCCTACATATCATTATTTTGTCCTTTGTGCATTTTGTTTCGTTTGAAGCAAAAAAGTGCTCATATCAAAATCTAAAGACCGGGGTGCTTTACCTGATGAAGTTTTAGCTCTGTGAATGCTGTACATTTCGAGAAAACAATGATTTTCTCGGTCGAGTCCTGTTTTTAATTGCGTCCCGAATTCAGCGTCCGGGACACATTCTCATTCAGCCGATTGCAGCTACGCGATGCAACACATTAATTGAACCGACAATAACAACCGCGCGCGTGTGCGTCGTGTCAGCACTTGCGCGCACCCATTCACGGCTTCGCCGAATTAAAAACAAACAACTTACGGAAATTAAAAAAAAATGCCTCTTTTATGGACGCATCTTTGGAAATGACCTTCTTGTATTGTTTTCTTCAAAATGCAAGAAAGAATAATTTAATTGCTTTTCAACAATACTTTCTTCAGTTAATTTTTTGATAGCTGCAATGATGAGTCGACCTTTAACAGCATTTTAAAGCAATGGAACACACTGTGAGAGGCAAAAGCGCCCATTATTATCTGAACGACAATGAACAGTGATTGTGAAATTATACAGAGTGATGACAATGAAATACTACACGACAAAACGATTCACAGTAGTGTGTTGTGTATTGATCAAAATTCAGGAACTTAGTTTTGTTTGTCTTATAGTTCCTGCCCATAATTTGTTTTAAAGGTGCATGTCCACCCTTACGACAAACTGTTTATCAAGTATACGAATTAGTTATCAAAGTTATTCTCACTCTCTGAAAACTTCATTGTAAAAAGCCAATCCAAGGCTACGTTAAATTTGGCAGCTGATGAGTAATATAATACTTTTTTATGAATACACCAAAGTTGATGACTTGAATGTTTTTGTTATTTAAAGGGTAATTTTCCTTGTTGCGTTGGCCGTGGTAGTGGCACCATCTGCACACGTCTTGGCTTGCACCTCGTCTGTCTCCGTGAACATCGGAGTATCCGAGGCGGCCCAGTGCGCCTATGTCTTCAGCTTGGACCAGTCGCAAACTTGCGGTGCTTGCCCGACCCTACAAGAGGCAATGCATCAGTGGCTGGCTCTCCAAGGAGGCCTGATTGGTGAGAATATAATCAGACACGTCTTATGAAAAGAAAAACAATTGCCTGAACCGTTTTCGGCTTTTCAATTTCCTTTCACGTTAATGGTGGCATTATATCGCTGTGATTAGTTTCAAAATTCGCTCATATTATATCCTCGCTCATTTTTTAACAGGCTGATACGATTTCACTAAATTATTGTGTCGAACACCATGGGTTGTGGATGACCAAAACTATGGACTGAATTGTTGAGAATTCAGTGTTTATTCACGCCTTCGTCGCCTAATTAAGACGATTCAGTCTTATAAAAAAATGCTTAGCGCCATAGACTTGAGAACGAAGTTTCAAAATGGTGCTTTCATAATTTAATTGAAGGAACTCAGACTCCTTACAGTTTCCAATAAAAAAGTGTCCCATTCAAGAAACACAATAAATATAAAGTTCGTTGAAACTGTATGGTGTAAGGGAAATTTTCTCGCGTTGCGTATATATGCCGCCGGAATAATTAGGTAGGCCTATAAGGGTGGATGGGGCGTTGTTTAATAATGAGTCGCGTCTGAAATCCGACATGACGACGATGTGATGAATTAACCGCCACAAAATTATTTTATAATTTTTCGTCTTTGGAAAAGGGCTCCGAGTTCCACTAGTCCACATGTATTTTTAGATTTTCGGAATTGAGAGGTACATTTTGGGCACAATTTTTCATGTCGTGCGAGTTTTCAGTTTCCATAAATTGAGATGCTATAGTAACAATTTTACTTTTTCGAGGGTGATTTTCCTAAGAAATCAATGTACCAAAAATAATGTTTAAAACTCCGACTTTTACACACTAAATTTCCTATTCGAGGGGTCCGGAAGCGCGCCACCATGGGTCAACTTTCAAGCTCTATTCAGCATCGAGCCGCGTCTGAAATCGATATGAAGATGTGAAGAATTAATCCTCAAATTTTTAAGTTTTATGGTCATCATAGTTTCAATAAAAATGACACTAATTTTGCTTTTCTTGGTTTGTTTAATATTTGCTCAGCTCACTATAAATTCGATGAGAACCTCTTGGATTCAACTGCCAACGAACGCCACGGGAGTCTGGTCGACAGCGAGCAAGTCACGTATGCTGACGGGCAATGCGGTAAAGCCGCCGTCTTCAACGGTGCGTCTAAGGTCGTCGTGGACGCCTTCCGTAACCATCCTTGGGGCTCGCAGTTCAGCGTCAGCGTCTGGTTCAAGCGGACCGAGAACAGAAACACCTACCAAGGAATCGTGAACACCGGCTTCGGCAGCTACGGTTCGTGGGAGATCCGCATGGGGCGAGAGTTGAGCGGGGAGATGCTCGGTGGAGGGGTAGTGACGCTCGATAGCCCAGCGATATGGAACTACATCAACCTGCGCGCCAGCTTGGGAGACTGGCACCACGTGGTCATGACGTACGATGGGAGTCAGCTACTCTTTTACCTGGACAACCAGCTGCAGTCTGGGGACAATACCTGCTGCCATGGAAACATCGTATCCAAGGACACGCCCTTGACCATTGGCCAGGCTGGGGTCGGAACGGCCATAGAGTTTTTCGTTGGTTGGATCGACGAGGTGAAGATCTTCAATAAGGCCCTGTCCAGATGCGAGGTTGACAAGCTGTTCAACACTCCATGCTCCTCCGAATAGAAAAACCACACTGAAATGACACGGCAAAGGCCATATTGGCTTCTTTTTCTATATTTCTATACAGTTTAATCATTTGATCTTCAAACAGTGCATGGTTGATTTCCGAGTACATGGTAGTATAGCGGATTGATTGACAAGTAGTCAAACAGACGCTGTCATTTTTGTTTCATTTCCGAAATTGTCTTTGAGAAGGTTTGAAATATCGAGATTATGTTTTATCAAATGTCCCCGGTTGTACTCTGAGCGATTAGATGGCTAAAGCGCCCTCACCATCACAATTCCTATAAAACGACACAGTGACAGGCCGAGCGTAAGAGGTTGATTGTCATATAATATATTATATTATAATATGGATAAGCTTGATAGCTATTAACAACCGGCGATTCTTTTTGTAGCAATTGATTTCGTTATGCTGTAGCTATTGTTATAAACTTCCATAATGGCGAAGTCTTGAGTGGGATATATGCATTCTACGCCTCAACAATACCATCCCAGCATAGTTTTCACGGCAGGAATCATCAAAAAAACGTGTCTATTTGCCGACTAAAAAAAATACAAGTTAGTTATTCTGGCACTTTGCAGCATGTGTGACCGACGTGTACATACGGCATGTTTCGCTATATGAGAACGTCTCCCTATTGTGATAACATTTTGGGGGAGGGGTAAATTCCAACCTTTCGCCTGATCGGTCCTCTTCTGGTAAGAAAAACAAGTTTGTATTCGTAAATTGCGATACGGCACACACATTATATAGAACTCCTCTGAACAAGTTGGATATAGATTCCCGTATTCTGAAACATCACCTTTGTTGATGGGATCAACTTACACGAACTCTTTCCATTGGGAAAGTTGCTGACGTGCAAGGTTCATGCAAGGTAACAGACATGCCCAGTTGCCCACAGCTCTTGATGACAATACCAGTCTCACGACCTATGTTCCGAAACCCTTATGTTCCGACTTCTCAACCTCTGTTCGGACACCCCTATGTTCCGACTGCACATTATTCTTATCCCTATCCCTATCCCTTACCCTAATCCTAATCCTAACCCTAACCCTTACCCTCACCGGGAATAACAATATGTAGGCCTACAGGTTGTCGGAACATAGGGGTGTCGGAGCATTGGGGTGTCGGAACAGTCACCCTCACGAGTCTTAAAAATAATGTGGCATCCGAAAATTGCATGTCTAGATACGCATCATGTTTGAATGTTATTAATGAAACATTGGCTTTGAATTTTATTAATTGTAAAGTCTCTGTTCTCCTTTTCTTATCTCACTAAATATTAATAATGTATAGCCTAGTCTTAATTGAAAAAAAAGTATTAATTGTTAGTCTTAATCCTAGTCTTAATTGTTAGTTACTCGATTTGAAAGTATGGAAATAAATGTTTCGCTGAATGAACATTCAAAGAAGTAAAACTTTGGATCTAAATTATCATTATTGATAAACGTAGCTTTGCCTCGCCCGCTTTGCAACGGAGGGGGCTTCGCAGCCTGTCACCCCTTTCGCGGACAATACAACTATAACCACGCCCACCCATCAGCCACCCTTTGCGCTTTATAATATTGCGGTGATTGACATTAGAAAAGTTCTAATGATCAATATTTTACTGTATCCAATATTTGCAGCAAATGCGCTTGATTGATAAACATGGAATTAGTTAAACAAGGGGGAAAACAGACTCCACTTATTTATTGATCATGTCAGATAATTTGACTCAAAGTCCGAGTCAACATGTCAGATGGAGATGACACACAATGGGAATGACAGAAGGTCATGAGAACAAAAGGGCAACATTGTTCCGGTTTCACAGCTGGAGGTACGCTTTCGTGAGAAGCTGACCCGGATATCCGTCTAGATCAAGGATAGCCTCCTTGAATCGAAGAACCCTCCAGACTATAAAAGGCGGAGCTACATCAGACTTGAACCACAGAGCTCCGAATCAGATTCACCAAAGCAAAGCAGACGCACGTACCGTAGACGGCATGGCTGTGTTCAGGTAACTGTGTGTTTTTTTTTTGCATGATCCAGAGTGACGATTTTTTTATAGGTAGAGTACATGTATATCATCATTTTCCTTTGTGCATTTTTTTTTCGTTTGAAGCAACACAAGTGCTCAAAATCTAAAGAAGGGTGCTTAGGCCTAACAAATAACCTGATGAACTTTTTAGCCCTGTGAATGCTGTTTATTCAGAGAACGTAATATTTTAGGATCGCGATTTCAATTCAAAAGTTGCCGAGTCATGTTTTGAATTGCACCCGAATTCAGAATCAGGGACACGTTCTCATTCCACCGATTGCAGCTATGCGATGTCACGCACCATTATAGTCGTGTTCCCTAACGTGGCGCACTTCGAAGCTTACCCAAATTTCCTCGTATAGTGTTGCCAAACCTCTTTGTTGACAAACCTCAAATTCATGCAGTAAAATACTAGTACTTTTACCTTATTAATGCTTGCTATTTAACCTCTGTGAACAATTTCGGTTTCATAAAATTTAATCCGAAATTCAAAAACGGTGGCGTCCGGAAATTGGGCACAAATTGGCGGAGTGTTCCCTAACGTGGCGCACTTGAATAAATCTCGGAAAATTCCAGATTAACATTTAAGAATTTCTGTAAACTTGATAAATTCTGATAAATAATTATTATCTCTACTTACATACCCAGCCAGATGTTTGTCAGAAAATTATTTTCTTATTTTTCGGGGCATTTTCAAAGGGTTCACTTTGCACTTGAAAATAAAATCGGAAAATCACGCCAACATAAATTTTTCTTGTAACTTTGATACGGGTAAATAAACTCGCGATTTATGAACAGGAGTGTTTAGAACTTGATGAAATTTCACTTTCTGTGAAATTTCAGTTAAAACTTTTGCTCTAGGTAGGCGCTACAGGCGAAAAATCAAAGTGCGCCACGTTGGGGGCCGCGCCAAGTTAGGGTACATCAACAATATAGCAACCGCGCGCGTGTGCGTCGTGTCAGCACCTGAGCGCACCCGGTTCACGGCTTCGCCGAATTAAAAACAAACTACTAACGGAAATTTAAAAAAATGCCTCTTAAGACGCATCTTTGGAAATGACCTTTTTTTTGTTGTTTTCTTCAAAATGCCAGAAAGAATCATTTCACAAGGAGTTTAGTTCCATTACTATCTTTAATGCTTTTCAACAATAATTTCGTCAGTTAAATTTTTAGCTGCAAATGAAATAGTCTACCTTTAACAGGTTGTTTGTTTGTTTTTTATAGTCCCACGATGTGAACTAGGTGATATGTATGTGGCCTATTTTCGAGTAGTATAATAGGGGTGTAGGTGGCGCCACCAACGTCAAGTCCGCCCCCCGAAAAAAAACACCAATTTTTTTTTATGCGGCCAACAATTTTGGGCACAATTTTTTTTAGGCCCCCCCCCAAGACAATCCTGGGTGCGCCACTGACCTTTAACATCATTATTATGCAATGGAACACACTGTGAGAGGCAAAAGCGCTCATTATTATCGTAACGACAATAACGGTGATTTTGAAATTATACGTAGTGACGACAATGAAATACTACAGAATATAACGATTCGTAATAGTGTTTTGTGTATAGATCCAAAGTTCAAAAACACCTTCCTTTATTATTTTTCCAGCCGGAGATATTTTGTTGGATAGCTTAATTTGTTTTTGCTGTAAAATTGGAGATCCCTTTCACACCAATATTTTCCATCTTATCTACAAATACGAAGTCTGTTTTAGTTTTGTTGGTCCTAGTTCCTGCCCATATTAAAAAAAAAAAAAAAAGGTGTCCACCCTTAAGACAAACTGTTTATCAAGTATTAGTGAATGAATTAGTTCTCACAACTATGCTCACTCTATGAAAACTTCATTATAAATCCAAACTTGTCACAAATCTAACGGCAGCTGATGAGTAACATATACTTTTTATGAATACATCAAAGTTGATGACTTGAATGTTTTTGTTTTTTAAAGGGTAATTTTCCTCGTTGTGTTGGCTGTGGTAGTGGCACCATCTGCACACGTCTTTGCTTGCACCTCGTCTGTCTCCGTGAACATCGGGGTATCCGAGGCGGCCCAGTGCGCCTATGTCTTCAGCTTGGACCAGTCGCAAACTTGCGGTGCTTGCCCGACCCTACAAGAGGCAATGCGTCAGTGGCTTGCTCTCCAGGGAGGCCTGATTGGTGAGAATATAATCAGACACGTCTTATGAAAAGAAAAAAACAATTGCCAGAACCGTTTTCGGCTTTTCAATTTCCTTTCACGTTAATAGTGGCATTTTATGTCTCTGTGGTTAGTTCCAAAATTCGCTCATACACCTCGCTCATTGTTTAACAGGCTGAAACGATTTCACTAAATTATTGAGTCGAAACACCATGGTAGGTGACCAAAACTATATGGACTGAATTGTTGAGAATTCAGTGTTTATTCACGATATACTTCGTCGTCTAATAAATTATAAGACGATTCAGTCTTTAAAAAATCCTTAGCGCCATAGATTTGAGAAGGAAGTTTCAAAATGGTGCTTTCATCATTACTTGAAGGAACTCAGACTCCTTACAGTATCCAAAAAATATATATCAAATTAAAGAAACACAATAAAAAAGAGTGCGTTGTAACTGTATGGTGTCAGGGAAGTTTTCTCGCGTTGCGTATGCCACCGGAATAGTTAGGTATATGGGTGGATGGGGTGCAATAATGAGTCGCGTCTAAAATCCGACATGAAGACGATGTTATGAATAAACCTCTAATTTTAAAGCTTCAAAGTGGGACTTGGAGGAACTCAGACTCCTAAAAGTTTCCAATTAAATATTACAAAAAAACATTGTGTGTCCCAAAAGACATTTAAATCTCCTATTCAAGTTCCGCTTTCTACCCAATTATTTTTCGTCTTTGTACGAATGTTCCGAGTTCCACTAGTCCACATGTATTTTAGATTTTCGGAAGTGTCGGAGGTCAATTTTGGGCACAATTTTTCTCTTTCACGTCATGCGAGTTTTCAGTTTCCATAATTTGATGCCAGTAACAATTTAAGGCTTTTCCGAGGGTGATTTTCTTAAGAAATCAATGTACAAAACTAATTTTAAAAACTCCGACTTTTACACGCTAATTTTCCTATTCGAGGGGCCCGGAAGCGCGCCACCACGTGTCAACTTTCAGGCTCTATTCATCATCTTCGCTCGTACCCCCGCCCTGCAAACAGGACGCTGGGAAACTCTGATGTGCTTCACAGAATCTTGTGAAGGAAGTGGCCCATGACCTATGTATAAAGCATCTGGCTGCAGCTGTTCAAGACCGCGCAGTTAGACTATGTGTGCAAATGCTATCCGAAAACTTCCCATAGAATTGGGTACATTCCAAGCCGGATGTGATTTCTGTTTCATTTCGGACCATGTGGACAACATTTTGAGCGTCGCATAATGCAATCCGACCGTTCGTGATTCGAAACAGAGCCTGAGCGAGTGACGGGAATTGTAAATTTACAACACAGATAAGTTTTACAGAATTTCCTACATTATTTCGCTTTTCAACGAGAAAAAACATCTTTACGGCCGTTTCAAACCTTGCAGAGTCATGACCTTGATGACGCGCAGGTCACTGGTCACGCAAAATCCAACCAATCAGAGCGTGAATTTATCAGAGTATCCCAGCGTCCTGTTTGCAGGGCGGGGGGTACGAGCGAATTCATCATCGAGCCGCGTCTGAAATCGATATGAAGACCGTGTAAAGAATTAATCCTCAAAGTTTAAAGTTTTATGGTCATTAGTTTCAATAAAAATGGCACTAATTTTGCTTTTCTTGGTTTATTTAATATTTGCGCAGCTCACTATAAATTCGATGAGAACCTGTTAGATTCAACTGCCAACGAACGCCACGGGAGTCAAGTCGACGTCGAGCAAGTCACGTATGCTGACGGGCAATGCGGTAAAGCCGCCGTCTTCAACGGTGCGTCTAAGGTCGTCGTGGACGCCTTCCGTAACCATCCCTGGGGCTCGCAGTTCAGCGTCAGCGTCTGGTTCAAGCGGACCGAGAACAGAAACACCTACCAAGGAATCGTGAACACCGGCTACCACTCCATCGGATCATGGGAGATCCGCATGGGGCGGGAGTTGAGCGGTGAGATGCTCGGTGGAGGGGTAGTGACGCTCGATAGCACAGCAACATGGAACTACGCCAACCTGCGCGCCAGCTTGGGAGACTGGCACCACGTGGTCATGACGTACGATGGGAGTCAGCTACTCTTTTACATGGACAACCAGCTGCAGTCTGGGGACAATACCTGCTGCCATGGAAACATCATATCCAAGGACACGCCCTTGACCATTGGCCAGGCTGGGGTCGGAACGGCCATAGAGTTTTTCGTTGGTTTGATCGACGAGGTGAAGATCTTCAATAAGGCCCTGTCCAGATGCGAGGTTGACAAGCTGTTCAACACTCCATGCTCCTCCGAATAGAAAATCACGCTGAAATGACACGGCAAAGGCCATTGGCTTCACTTTCTATATTTCTACAGTTTAATCATTTGATCTTCAAACAGTGCATGGTTGATTTCCGAGTATATGGTAGTAATACGGATTGATTGACGAATAGACGAACAGACGCTGTCATTTTTGTTTCATTTCCGAATTTGTCTTTTAGAAGGTTTGAAATATCGAAATTATGTTTTATCAAATGTCCCCGGTTGTACTCTGAGCAATTAAATGGCTAAAGCGCCCTCACCATCACAATTCCTTTAAAACGACACAGTGACAGGCCGAGCGTAAGAGGTTGATTGTCATTAATATGGATAAGCTTGATGGCTATTAACGACCGGCGATTTTTTTTTGTAGCAATTGATTTTGTTATGCTGTAGCTCTTGTTATAAACTTCCATATATGGCGAAGTAAATGGAAATTAACGCGTTTGTTTTAGTTTAAGTTAACATGCTTGTTTTAATTTGGAAACTTCAGAATTTCAGCTTTTCCTTTAATCATAGATTAAATAACCTGCCTTTGTTATTTTGTTTTTATTCGAATTAAAAACACATTCTGCTTTGTAATGTGAACAACTAAATAAAATCGTGTATAGGTGGTATCAGAAGTTCACTTCGTTTTGTAGAACCACTTAAAACGTTAAAATGCTTCATTTTTTAAAATTATGATTAGGATTCACTAAACGACCGAAGTGTTGAGTGGGATATATGCATGTTACGCCCCAACGACTGTCCCATTACCAGACTAGACGGAGGAATCGAAGCCCTACACAACTGCGAGGAAGCTGCCCTGGAGTGGCTGGCGGAGAGAGCATGCTGAACGCATACGACAACAACAACGCCCCAACAGTACCATCTGTCCCAACTTAAGTTGGGTCTGTCCCAACTAAAGGGCCGGCCCAACTACAGTTGCCTGGGCTCAGCTTAGTTTTCACGGAAGGAATCATCAAAAACGTGTGTGATTTGCCGACTACAAAAATATAGAAGTTAGTTATTCTGGCACTTTGCAGCATGAGTGACCGACGTGTCATACGGCATGTTTCGCAATATGAGACCGTCTCCCATAGGCCGAGAGACAGATACATTTAAGTGCGTGAAAATCAAATTTGCGGTGCCTTCTCATGGGAGCCAGGCAGGGAGATAAGAGCCACCAAGCTCCATATAGCAAAAGAGCATTATGTAAACAAAGGGTGACGTCATTATATTCTGGTCCAGGCGCGGATCAATTTTTTTTTTCATTCCCCCCCCCCCCAAAAAATATGATAATTATACTGTAAATAATATCCGTCTGTGCACAGAATTTTGTCAGAGCCAAAATACAGGCGTATTTCCACACTATTCTGTAATATAGTGTTGATGATCGTCGGATTTGAACAGCGTCCCCATTGAAAGTATGGTACGAGCCCCACCCCCCACCCCTTGATTTTACGGAAGCCAAGTGTCTGTAGAAAAAAATGTCTACATTTCAGATTTTGTTTTGCTGATGAACCTCCTCCCCCCTGCAAAATTCCTGGATCCGCCCCTGTGGTCTATTCCATCCCTTCCCTCCCCTAACATGATAATGACAAACCTCTCAAGTCCTCCGCCCCCACAGTTCCCTACCCCGAATGTTGGGGTTTTGGTCGTCTTTTCAGTGCCAATGAAACTTGCCCTCCATGTATTTTTACAGGCGATGATGCGCAGGGTTGCATATGTTATAATTGTCGCCAAGTGACAACTCCCATCCCAATGACAGGGATGGGAATACGATCAACCTTATGCGTAGCAGCCATCTTAGAGGGCAATGCCTTTGTTTTGCTGGGATATCAACGGGGTGAACCTTTAGTGCTTTCAATAATAATGAATTAAAAAAACAAAAAAATGCCCCCTAAGATGGCCGCCACGCACAAGGTCTATTGCAGGGTTCGTTTTTCTAAATTTTGTTTTAGACAGAATAATGTATCATAACACTTCTGTTTACGTTCAATATCAACATACGAATGAAATCTTACAGGAACTTAGACTTGGGAAAAGGCAAAGAACAGTTGACTACACATACCACTGAGCCGGAAACAACCAACAAAAACACAGTTTTTAAAAATATAAACGGGACAATCAACACAATAATTGAGTATTATTTTGTGGAGGTTCAAGTGATCCAGTGTTCAACTAATCAAATCATTGTGGCAAAAAAAAATACAGCTTGGGCAAGTTGCGGTGTGTTAAGTAACAGCGAATAGTGTAGTGGCGAGTTTCAGCGATTTCACACGGGTATCTTCCTAGCAAGGCAACACAAACGCACACGATACGTCAAAATGGATGGACGGTGACGCAGTAACCATACGCATTGTGACGCATCCTGCAAACAGGTCAACGCGCTGTGAATGTTTATCGCGCGCGCGTTACGTTAAACATTCAGCAAAAATAAACACTTCAACCAACAAAGCACCAAACACCGTTAGAGTATCAAGAGAAACAGGTTACAGGAACGGAACAAAATCTGCGTAGAAAACAACTCGGAACAAAATGACCGTCACACAGATGAAGTAAGTAAAAGCTACTTAAAAAGTTATCTCAGAACGTTTTTGTGATTTGTTTTACTTTTAATTTCCGATATTTTGCTTAATCAAAACGGAAATGTACACAAGCTTACTAAGTTTTACCAAGCGTGGAGCCTTTGTGCTGATATTGACAACTTAGTAGGCCTATACAATGTATAGTGCTAATTTGAAAAGCTAGACATGTGACCGATTCTCAATTAACTTATCACAATGTGCATATCTCTCAAAGTATTTGGTTTCATCAAACTATAATTATTGATCGTGTGGGAATTTTACAACGAGGGTTTCTATTCAAAATCTCGTTCATTTTTTGACTTGACAGCCGCAAGGTTCGAACTGTGAACAAGGATATCAGCAACATCCGTACGCGTCAGATCCAGACACAACTCAAATTGTCTGAATATCAAGAGGTAAGTAAAGTTTGTTTTTCAATTTCCAAATTGTGCTGGTCGAATTTGGGGAGAATGTTTATGCTTATCAGTCTGAAGCAGCAATATCATATTTTTTAGCAATCACCAAAAGTTCTGAAGACTTGCATTAAAAAAGCCGAAAAAAAGTATCAAAAATAATAACTCCTTGACGTGAATGCTTCCCTAATGCACTCACATCACAACTTATAACAAAGCATTCTACTGCGGCATGTTATTTGTCGTTAATAAAGCAATACCCTCCATTGTCCAATGACGTCTCTTGACAGTCGTCACAAGACAGTCGGCACAAGTCATCTAATCTCAAGTCATTTGACAAGCTATTCAAATTTATTGTAAAAATGACATTCCACGGAATTCATTTTTCATTATTGTCAACTCCTTTGTCGCTTGCCTTCCGACTTGTGATCGACTTGACTCAATTACAACTCTCACATTTCTGTCAGGCGTACGTAGCCTGGCCATGGCAGCCACGTCGAGAGAGCATGCGCCCCGTTGCTAAGAAGACCGTCCCCGCCAGCCGGCCAAAGCTCAAAACTACCAACCAATGCGCCTACGTAGCTCACAAGGTAAATTTGCTTATTCTAAAATAAACAAAAGACTTCGGGAGATTCGGAAAGCTATAGAGGGGGCGTACGAATCAGATAAGTTTTTGAAAAGGGATTCAAAAGAGGACAAAGAACGCGAAAAGAAGGTAAAGAAGAAGAAAAGTTGGGATAGTTAAAACAAAAAAAAATTGACAATATAATGCATATTCCTCTCCGGCGTGGTCCAATAATTCTTCATAAAGGCTTAATGAAGTTTCAAGGGGGAGAAGGGCTTCAACGCATTTTACTGGGGTGTCAGACACGAAAGTGACATTCGTTTGCCCATGAATTACGAGGTACTATTTACAAACGAAAAAAATTGTGAATCGATAAATTTCACACGAAGACAACTCAGCGACCGAAGGCGACATGCAACAAGAAGGGCTACCGTACCCCGACCACCAAAATGCTGACGGAGACCACGTACGACACGGACTTTACCAAGAAAACCGCCAGCCGGCCGGCCGCGTTCAAGCCCGAAGAGACGGCGGTATCGGCCCCGGGACCGTTTGCTAGCAAGACGGTGTACGAGAAGACATACACGGCCTGGACACCTAAGCAGCTGGAAGAGTGCAAAGTGAAGCTGCAAGTCACCGAGGACAATCTCAAGACCGGAAACCCGGGGAAGAAATTCCAGGCCACCACAACTGTCAAGGTATTTACACGAATGCATGGAATGATTGTATTTGCCACGGAACAAGGAAATATTGGGTTCCCCCTTTGATATAATGTTATTAGTCAGGCAGATTGGTGCACAATTATGATGGAATTTTTCATTTGATAATAAAAGCTTGAAATTTGGCGTGAAAATTAATAGCAGCAAACGTCTGCGCCTCCCTTGCGCCATTTACGAGCTCACTTAGCACTCAATGCCATGTCAATTTTCAAAAGTCAAGCCATCTGGATATCTTCTGAGACAACATAATTTGTAGGAACCCTGCTGAAAAAAATGATCCACAACAACGTCTTAAAAAGAAACCACCTTCTTATTTGTATGGACAAACACAGATATTAAATGCCAACTACACATGTAATGTACAACTGCGAAAAGGTGGGCTAAGTGTACTACTAAAAAGTAAAATTTGTGCACGTGTCAAATGTATTTACAATTTTTTTTCCCCCCCCCCCGGTGAAAAATATAACAGACAACCACTTAAACAGGTATCCCACCTTGTCAGTATGGAAACCTCGACGATTGAAATCCATTGACTCATTTCCCTGATTGTAACTCAGGAGGATTACAAAGACCACGGCAACGTCGCACCTGCAAAGTCCACCAAGCCCGCTGCGAAACCGGTCCAGAGCACGGCGCCCTTCACCGACGAGACCACGCAGCGGGCAGATTTCACGCCCAAGACGCCTGCCAGCGTGGAGGGGTTCAAGCCAGCGGTGGAGTACAAGTTCAACAGCGGGCCGTTCGACGATCTGACCATCTTTCGCCGTGACTTTCCGGAGCACAAAGGCGTGAAGAAAGAGCAGAGTTACAAACCGAAGAACGATTACACGCCCAGTGGTGAGTTTGGTGAAGCCAAAATTCATGGTCGGGGTGGGTGCAGTCCGTGGCGTTTTTGTTGCCAAGACTCCTACCAATGAACTTAAAGGGCTTACCATTAGCAACACCATGTGAAGTAAAGAACCTGACTTTTAATCACTATAGCTAAATCAATATCATAATAACGATTGTTGAAATGGTTTTTGGGAGAACTCAAATCAATGAAGCTTGAATATTGATAAAGTTTGTTTCAGGGAAAACTTTTGAAATTCTCTAAGAGAAGTTTGAAGAAACGCGTTCCTCTTAAGTTCATTTCTGACTTTAAAAAGTTTAATGTCACTTTCTATTTCGTTTTGTCGTTTGAATCGCGCGGCCAAACATTATAAATAGGGACCTCACAGGGAAAATATAAAGCACAAACTGCAAGTCCCTGTTCTCTTTCTTTGAAGCCTAACCTTGTGAACTATTCTACAGCTTCAGAGTTTGACGATCGCACCACCCAACGATTGGCCTACCGAGCCTGGCCGATCCCTAAACGAGAACACCTGCCGTGGGCTGATCGTCCAGGCTACATGCCGAACCGCGCCAAACTGCAGTTAGTGACGACATACCAGGTGAGCATCGCATGTGACGTCATAATGACGTCATATCGAATGACAAAAGGTAGGAACAAAAAAGGTACCAAAATGCCCTGTATAACCTTAGGCCTATTCCAAATGTTGACGTTCTAAAATATTACCGATGAACCGACTGATTAGATGATCGAGAAATCGATAAATACTTTTTAAAAAATAAGCACTCCATTCTTAGATGCCTTTTCTCTTCTCGCCGAACGTTATAGAATGATTTTGAGGACCCAAGCTACCTGATCCCCAAGGCTCTGCAGAAGTGCCGTGCCACGCCCTACAAGTACGAGAACAACCTGGGCGCGGGCGAGTCAGGCCCGTTTGATGACCGGACCGAATACCGATCCACCTTCATCGCTTGGGAAGGGGTCAAACGACCAGCATCCTACAAGGTTTCAAACTTCTTCAGAGTTTTTCAGATTTTCCCTTCCTTTGCGACATTTTGGATTCCAAATCACCACCAAGTCTTACTTATCAATGAACATACGTCCGCTGTTTTTCTAGCCACTGGCCATTCTCCAGTTGCGCTGGCGTATATTTTTTGGGGAGAAGTTTTGGGATTAACCGTATAAACTTACTTTATGTACTTTAAATCTCACTCTTTGTTTATTAGATTATTGAGAAGTTCCAATACCCCAAGACACCGTTCAGCGGCGAATCTACCTTTAGCAGCCACTTCAAAGGAGTTCGAGGCTTGCCGGCCAAGTCTTGCCGTCCGGCCCGCCGTCCTCACTCCTCGGCGGCCGGTATGATCAGCTTCGACACCACGTACCGTGCCACCTTTGACAGCGGTCCGTCTACCCGTGACAGACCCAAGAGCTGCCCAGGACCACGCGGTGCTGACAGCGACGGAGGGGAATATGATGAGGGGGAGATGGTGGATGGACCTAGTGGGGAGGGGGAAATGGAGGTCAAGGACGGCGGTACTGAGGGAAACAACGCGGTCGAGGAATAATCTCTCGGGACCAGGACTCCGACAGCAGGGATTGTTTTGATATCACAATTTTATGCGAGAAATAGAATTCAAACAGTAATCATTTGAACTAATCATTTGAATCAAAGATGGATATTCTTGGACTTTCAAATCCTTACAAAAAAAAATTCAAGGACGGAGCAGAATAATTTTTTTTAAATTGTTATAATGAAAAAAAAAATGTATTTGAAATTGAAATGTGTATTCTGAATAAAACTAACTAAAAAAAATTGTATTCAATCTTTTGTAAAGGTATGCCTCAAACCATGAATTCCATTCTTACTTCCAATTTATTACATTCACCCAAGTTCAACTGAAAAGAATTAATAATACATGTAGATAATAGAGAATACTGTGGTTTAATCATCGAGTCTGAACTGTCCGTTTTTATGCCTTATAACATTGAGGAAAAAAAATCATGTAGATTTAAGCAATTTTGTATATTCAGCAAAGAGTCGTGACAATTTGACAAATAAAAAGCTACCAACAATCAACAATGTTTTGTTTCTAGTTCTTTTATTGATTAAAATGTCCCTTGTAATGTGCCATCAAAATTACTTTACAAATTAAACAAGCACTTGATCTATTTGAAAACCTCAGCTATGTTCACTTTGATCATTACGCAGCTAATGAAACTGCTTCCCTCGGCCTTCACCAACAACTTGAAGTTTACGGCCATTCCTTTTCACAAATAAAATAAAACAAAATGAAAGATAAACACAATTTCAAAGCAAGTACAAGGTGGAAAAAGGCAAAAATACCACATGTAATGAACTCCTTGCCGTTGTGACGATTAAGACAAAAAGCTGAAGTAAGGGTGTTTAGGCTACAATCTTTTTTTCTTCTTCTCCATTTTACATTCTGACCACACAGTAAGTCAGCAGAGAGCTGCAGTGGTCGTTATTTAGATAATGTGCCTTATTGTAGCCCAACTTCTTAAAAGGCAACCATTTACTGCCGGTTTTTAGAGAGAACACTTGAGAATAAGTTGTGAATAGAATCGTTTGATGTGCAAAGTAAAGGCTTTGGAAAGCACAGAAATCGCTCCGATTATATTAAAGAAAAACGGTACTGATCTGAGTGCTTCATTTCATCAAAATAAAGTGAAACCTTTAAAAATCTATTTGGTATTTCAAAATTGCTCATTTTGGGACGGGTTGACACAGGAGAGTTCTGAGGGCCATGAGAGGCGTGGCCATCAACCTTCTTGTTTCTTAGTCTTTTAGATATTTCTCCAAAACATAAAACATGATCATGGGGATGAGATGACAGAAACGTTCTGAGGCAATGGGAGGCATAGACATCAAACCTCCTTCTTGTTGATTTCTTTTTGGATATATCTCTTAAGACATAAGACATGATCAGTTTTATTTGGGGATGAGACGACGGGAGGGTTCCGAGGCTGTTGGAGGTGGGGGCATCCCCTTCTTGTGAAGCTCCCGGATGTAAGTCATGATCATCTCCAGGCGCTCTTCAGGCACACAGTCCAGGATCAGGTAACGCTTGTCCTTCTCAAGAACCTTCTCAATGTCTCGGAGGTGCTGGTCTGACTCCTGGATCAGCTTCTTGGACCTGGGATGAGGAGGAGGAGCAGGTATATGAGATCACGTCACATCAAATTGATCATGCATGTGGAATGCGTGTGAGCGTGGCCCCAACTCAGTAATGGCAATAAACCTTATACGTTGCAGGTATCTCACGGGTGTTCTTTGTTAATTTACATGTAATCTAACTTAATAGCCAGAACCATCTACCCCTTAATGCATAAGGTCTATGGCAATATTAGTCTATAAAAGAACTATTAAGGGTGCTGTGTGGACATCTTATAGGTCTCTCTCAAAGACGGATATCTCTGTAGGAGAACTCCAACTGCATATTTCACGCAATCAAGCACGCATTGTGCAGTGCTGAAAATGTTCCAAACACGCGCGCTTGTTGCTCGAAATGTGTTTGAAATACAATGCAGCCGATACGCGTCATGGAAGTTGATGCTCAAAATGCTGATGCATGTGGCTGTTCCACAGGAAATGACGTCATTTGAGAGACCTATTGGACGAGACTTTTTCTCATACTTATATATGAGGACAGGCAATATTCTTAAACTTCTGAAATCATATTGGATGATAAGCGATTTAATGAAAGTACCTTTCCTGTAGTGTCATTTGAGACTTAAAAGAAACATTACTAAAGTCACTCTGTGGATGCAAAATAATCTGGCCATAAATGTACAAACCCCTAGTGTATATTGTTGCCCCTTCTTTGTTTAAACCATTAGTCACTGTACTTTCTCAAACTCCCCTGCCTAGTGCCTATCACACCCTGTAGGGCCTGCCACCGCCTCAGCACTCTGTGACTTCATGGATTCATCAGGAAATAGACACAATGTGATATAATGTAATACACTTGCTAATGGGTTAAGCACCAACAAAGTTGGACATCCCTGTTAATTTTGGAAACGTCGGATTCACTTTTGGACCACAGGAACAGACAGAAAGAGAGAGGGCAGAAGCAACTTACTTGTACGTGATAATCCTGGTTTCTGTGAGCAGCGTTCTGAAATCCACCTTGGCTTGTAGGTATTTCTCCTTGATGTAGTCACTAAACTCCCTTTCCCTTTTCTGTAAAAAAAAGGGAAAATCTTTTATTTATTTTTTTGCATCTTAAAACAGTTTTTGTTAAAAAAATAGAAGGCCTGCTTTGAGAATTCTACTCACTCTGTCGCTGGATGAGAATTTGGCAAAGCGCGGGTCTTCTTTGATAAGTCGGCGGACTTCCTTCCACGTTGACGTCAGAGTCACCTACGGAAAGGAAGATTGACATCACAACTGAGCTGAATTCAGTCCAAATTGTGCATCTATACGCTTGTGTTGCAGATTTGGATGAGGAAACGCATTTCAAGCTGCAGCAAGTGTGAATGCCAAAAGAAGTTGAAAGTAAGGAAAGATCTCTTTGAAAATGTGCTCAATTTATGTGTGCAAATGTTTACCACTGAGATCATTATCTCCCCAGGGTCATCATTACAAGATCATTTCTAGATAGCCCTCTCTAAAAACAACAACAACATAGCAATACATTATAGACCTTTGATGTTCAGGGAAATCAGGGATGTGCAAGAAAAGTTCACACATCCGTATGGTGCAAACATGTTATCTGTAATATACACAACAATCCTGAGATCCTGTACTCGCAGGACTTACACCCGATTCAAAGTGGAGTTCAGAGTCATGAACAAATTATTCCAAAGTGTTGAACTATGAACAGTTTTAAACCCGTTAGGAGCAACTACATTGAAAGATTAACAGTTGTGGCTATTTGGAAGGATTCAGTTGACTTCAAATGCAACACTGACATTTCATACATTTCACCTGTGGGAAACCGTGACTTTACTCACTCTCAAATGTTTCAAGTCAGTGCAACTCTGCAATGCAAGACCAAAATGAGTTATATCCCTGGATGTTGGAATGAATTCAACTAAACCAAATCCTAGCTATAATGCCTGCATACCCCTGGTGTCTCGTTCAAGAGTTCGTTAAACTTCTCCTTCTTGCGATAGACCAGGGAGGAGGTGTGATTGGTGAAGAGCCGCTCTCGGTCCTCCTTGTCCAGTAAGGAGGCTAGCTCCCAGCGATGGTCTCGCTTGAGCTGCTTACGGGCATCCCGCCATGTCATCTCAGAATCACGTACCTGAGAGACCAAACAAATCAGTATAGACAAGGTGTAATCAGGCATGCAACTGGGAAGTCACACAAAAAGAGTTTGTACAGTGTTTTTCTATTTTTAATGGCACACATGGGAAGTAAAAAATGAGTAACTCAGCTGATCCGAGGAAAATTTGCATGCCTGTTGTAATGGCCAGGTCAAGAATGGCTAGATGCAACTACCTTGACTGCTTTTAATTATGGATAAACAAGCTTCTCAACATGGTTGTTTGAGTGGTCAACTTTCCTTAAAACAAAGCCGAGACAATATTCAATGCTCAACGAATAACTGAGGGAGAATGAAAATTCACTTGCATTACTACATATTGCCTACTCAAAACACCCAGTTGTGCTGTTAAAATGAGTATTTGCCAGATAGAGTTGTAGTCGAGTTAATCACTCATTGCTTCTTCCTACCCAGGAAGAAATGGGTACCTGTGATTGATTTCAGCTGCTTTGCGCCGAAATGGCAGCATCGAGCTGTATACTCCCCAGGGTGCTAAGATTGTCTTATGGAATGTTTCATTGGCCCAATGAGCAGGGGTAATAAAGATGTAGAGTCTTGAGCACCAATACTGGTGGATCGTGCGTATTATAAATACACATTATTATTTGTAAGAGTTGTAGCCGAGTTAATCACAAGTCCTGACAAGTCCATCACAAGTCTTCCAGTCTCCAGCCATTCATAAGTCCCAATGAGCTGAGACAAAAGGCATTCCTTTGTTATTATTCATCGCCTGTTACTCATGACTAACCTTAGAAATTGATTTGTGACGGTCTCAACTACCACGTCAGTATTTGCGCTTTGAATTTGAACACATCTCAACAGCAGAAAATATTCCGAGAAATTTTACCTTGAATGCTTCATGACGTTAAATTAACTTTGAACACATAAATTTAGAAGGGATGAAACATTGCATGTGTGCACTCGTTCGGGCATGTGAATGCCCAAGACCAATGCTTGCATTAATGGCACGTGCAGACAATCCTTAGACACTACAAGAAGTCAGCATGGCCAGAGTGTAGGAAAGATGGCTGCCTTACACACATGCACTGGTTTGTGTAAAAAGAATAGCGAAAAGTACAACAATGTACAATGAGTTCCTCCACAGTGGAAGATTTGGGAGAAATCATGAGTGTTCATGGCCAGACTGCCTTAACCTACTAGATCAGTAAGTAAAGCCTTGAAGTGTTGCACAGCCTCCTCCTTCTTGAACTGTCCTCTCTCCCTGTCTAGTTCCTTCTGCTGCTCGCTACGGGTGCGTTGCACCTCCTTCTCTCTCTCCCTCAGGCTGGTCTCCACACGCTTCTGCCTCTCAGCATCTTCATCTTTGACCTATCACAATCAGAAAGTACTTTGAATAACTATCACAAAGGCGCTAATGTGAAGGCAACAATGACAGTGGCAGTAAGAGTGAAAGTAGCAATAATAACGACAGTTATCAGTGATGGTGAAAATATACCAGGTAGTAGAAGTTTTGGTCTTGTATATTTATTACACCACCAAACATGTGTCCAAAGAGGCTAATTTTCAACTTCTAGTCAACTTATTTTGCTGTCCCTCATGCATTTTTAAAAATCTTTGTATGTGGAACCAGATATATAAATGCAATAGAAAGCCTCATAAAATAGAACGCATGTCTATTCACTGGATACAATATTAGTTATCTTGCGAGCGTGAGTGGAACACGGAATAATGTAGTGCGTCTGTGTCCCACATGCCACGAGGCCGAAGGCCGAGTGGTATGTGGGACACAGACGCACTACATTTTCCGTGTTTCACGAGTGCGAGCGTGATAACGAATTTATCTTCAAGCAAACTTGACGCAGAGTAAAGTTGGAACACGCATGCTGTGTAACCTACGCGCAACTTTTGAATTCACAGTGAATTGTGCAGCACTAATCGCGTCACGTAGGCTTAGAATAGCGCAATACGCGGAGTGCGGTATGGACCGTGGCCGTGCGGTATGGTTATATGTAGCACGGCTTGTTGCCATGGATCGACCAATCAGGATCGAGGAATCAAGTTTGCTTGAAGATAAATTCCAATGTAAAGCACGTAGCCCACCCCAAACCCCCAAAAAAGTAAACAATGAAATTGAGAACTGCACAGTACTTGTCACACAATGCAAAATGTATACCGTTTCACAAAGTCTAAAGATGGATGTTGACATGTTCCCAAATAATGTATTGCAGGGAAAAACAGGATTTTGCACAGCCAAAGACAGCTTTTCAATCTCGTATATTGCAGTGAATGTTCACAGTCATCATTTCAGACTACAATTATCCAACAAAAATTTGGAAAAGAAAATATCGTAAATCAAGAACCAAATGTAAGAAACCCACCTCTGATTTTCTGCTGATGTACTCCTTGAAGAGATCTTCCCGCTGTGAGCTGTGATGGACAGCTTTGTAGCGGGGATCGTGGTGGATACTGTCCTTGACCTTTGACCAACGTGACTTGCTGTCCAAGTTTTTTAGTTCATCCAGCAAGGAGAAGAAATCTGATTTCAACTGTGTGAGTGGAGCAAGGGAACAGACAGGGGTGGGGAAAGGGATGGGATATGCAGATTATTAATCAGTGAACATCAACTCGTCATTATTAAAGCTACGTGTGCAAATAAATAGGTGGGTTACATACATGTAGGGGGTTTACATAATCTTGGCTTTGTCTGGCTTGGGCTTTAGGCTCAAACGTCACGGTTTAAGTCTCCTGACTTGACACTCTCCAGTACTAAATTGGTTTATTTTCTGCCATAGAGACATCAAATCCTGTTAGGCAAGGCCAGTGGTTGGAGTATATTTATTAGATTTGAACATCTCAGGATTCTTATGAAAGATGACGCCAAAGCCAGAAGAAAGCTGAGGTTTTGTAAACTCCAACCAAGAAATATTTTCACACAGCAGCCATCTTGGTTGGTTCCATGCACAAACAGTCTCCAATTACCTGACTATGATCTGAAACTCACATAAGAGTTTGATTGGCACAGATATCTGACCAAATGACTGCCAATTGATGAAATAGCTGCAGGATGTTTGAAAATAAACTTCTCATTGAATACATGTCTTCATGTGGAAGCACTGGCTCCAATTTTCAAGAAATCACAAAGTAATATCAGGTAACAAATGTTTTTAGCACATAAGCTTTCAAAAAGATGCTTATTTTGAAACATCCAACTGGTAAAATTCATATCTACAATCATCATGTAGTATCAGAGTGTCTGTCACTGATACATGCTATTTGTGATTCTGTCCACTTGCAATGCTTAAATACATCTATTTCTGGAAATGAATAAATTCAATGTTACCAGAAGATATATGCATATGTATGTACTGACAAACTTGAGTTGAAAGTCATGTTCAGATAACAAGCATGGGCTCTATAAGCCCTCGGCAGTAACAATGCATTCCATTGTAGCTACAGAAGGATCCAGTGCCATTTTTACTGCAGACAAATATTAGGTGTGTTCCTCTCGAGCAATTAGTCCTGCACAGTGTGCGCCATAACGCTTCCTTCACTGCTTTCTGTGAGTAGTCCACACAGCGCCATATACACATTCATTTCTATCATGTTGTCCACTAATGTGGCTTTTGGCCAAGTGAAGCATCTCTCAAAAATAGTCATGCATCAGTGACTGACACCATTTGCATACAACTGGTATGAATATTCAAGACAGGAGGAATAATTTGTGGAAACTGTTCTGGACTCAGTGAAAGGAAACACAGCTATTCAACTCTGCCCTTTTCTAAATATGTCACAAATATAAATGTAATCAAGGAATGGGCTTTATTGCCCTGAATCAGTCTATCAACTGTAATAAACAGATTGTTCAAGCTCCGAGAAGTCCAAGAACAATGTGTACGATACTTCTGCATCTTAAATTTGAATTATACAATATCAATTAAGATTAGGAAGCATTGGAATAAAAGGAAAATTTCAAATTGTTGATGTCCTGGATCGTCCAAAATATGATGATTTTTTGTGAGGAACCAGTCGCAGTTCAATATTTCTAAGTCTTTACAAAAGAGAAGAAATTTATTTTAAAAAGTCCTTGACGTGTCATTTACTTTTAAGCACCCCCCCCCCCAAAAAAGTCTTACCAGATGATGGAAGTTTTTTTTTCCTTTGAATAGTAAAAAAATGTGAAAACATACATATGCGCTTGTTTACACTAGTAGAAATGATCCCAAGCCTTCTTAAAAAGCACAGCCCTGATGCAAGTGGATACATTTTGAATATAATGCTGATTATTTTCATCACAAGTGGTGCCCTAGCTTGGATACTATCTTCCTATCTGTAAATACAACATTTGATTTCAATGGTGCATAATACCAGTCATTAAACCTTGCGCGCTATGTGATCTTATCTGTTTGGATGCAGGGTTCTGAATCCAAATCAACTTTGTTTTTCCATATCAACTTGCAATAAACATGCTGAAATATCAAGTTGATGGAAAAAGATTGCTCCCAGAACCAACAAACTTTCAAATCTCTTAAAGCAACTGATACAGTCAAAAGTGCCATTCAATCTATATAAAGAAATACTCCCAATGGTTCATGTTGGTAGTAGTTATACATTGTATATTAACTGATCCTACCAATGGAATTCCTGCTCAAGGCCTTGTATTTGCATTATCTGCTTATGGCATCAAATGTTGGAAATCGTTGATGTGATCGTCATGGCTACCATCGCTATGGGAACAAGTCCTAATCTTGAAGATGCTGCAAACACAAGACTCTCAAAGTTTATCTCAAACGAACATTTAATTTTTTTGTTCATTATTTTAACACGTTGCAATGAACTGTGAAATCCAACACAAAATCACAAATCATGAATTTTTTCCAATATGAATCATCAATTTGATTTTGAGGGGGGGGGGGGGCGAAATATATTTTATCGCCATGTTTGTGTTTTGCAAAATTTAACTTTGAGAGTCTTATGTACAGAAATATTAACGTTAGCACTGTCAACAATCAAGAAGGAAAACAATCAGTACCGGCTCAGATTGCATCATATGCGCTGAATATGATGAGGCTCAGACAGAGAGGGGGCAAGAAGCCTTAAACACCCACAATGCATTGCACGCTTGCTTTCTCCCACAATGCACCTGGCAAGAGCAATCCACTGGGAAGACTGTATACACAGGAAGGTGGCAAAGCTCTTTAAAAAGTGTGTTTGGATATAAAATACACAAATGAGAGGTCAAATGGGTCAAACTGACAAGGGTCAAATAAGTGGGGTTAGAATCTAATTTTTAGTCAGAAATTTTGATTATGATGGGGTCATTTTACTCTTGTTGCAAAGGGATTAAGGGAAGGGAAAACTTTATTCAAATGTGATATGGGCCAGGTTTAGTTTGCATAAGTGGACGAAAAGTTTTGTTCTTAATATGAAAAGTACATTATTATATGAATACAACTTGATCAAAATCTTGAAAATCTTCCACTGCAATAATATGAGTTACTGACTTTACCATAGAAACAAAAACTGTGCATATTGTGCAGAGTATAACAATTGTTATTTGGCCAAATTTGAATATACATTTTTCAACTGGAAATACCTTCTAAGGGTTTCAACACATTAAATGCATATTCTAATAATTTTGCAACGCCTGTTCACAAATGGACTGAGTTTTGGCACTAGAGAAGAAAAAATGATTGATGCATTTGAAGCTGCATGAGAAGTTCAATGTATATTTTTTTGTTTCTATGGTATTGAATAGAACCTGCAAAAAAGAAACTGGTTAAATGGTCAGACATACACATCAAATGAATCACAAAAGTATATTATATTATGAACTGTCAATGTAAATGACCATCAATGAATTCATATATTCATAGATTACAAATAGTTCAGGAGTGATGCATGACATTGACATTTATACAAATAAAATCAACAATCGTAACCTGGATATGTAGAGTAAAAGAAAATTAGTTACATAATGTATTTTTGTCAATGATTGTTTCATAACATTTGCACAAAGATCAGAATAAACCTTTGATATTTAAGCCTAAACAATGAAAATTCATAGTTAACATTGCAATAAATTATTTATGAATAGGAATGGTTCCATGTCAAACATGATATATTCAACCTGCAACAAAGACAGCGTTAGTTCTATTATCCTTTAAAAAAAACTTTCAACAATATCAGATAAAATGCACATTTTCCAGCTTTCAATTCCAATGTTGTTTTCAAGTTGTAATATTCAAACAACTGGTCAACAAATGGGTCAATCAAATTGGCAATGATCCTGCAAGGAAAATGTGTTAATAAAATGGCACCAGATTTCCTCAGTGACTTCACCTGTCCAATCAAGCACACATTTGGTAATCAAATAATTCAATCAATGCCACAGTGATGAGGGAAAAGTAATTGAACATCAAAAAGGTCCATTCCTAGTTGTTATTAAACTTAACTTTCTTTCAAAATGTTATATCACTGCGCAAGAAGAAAAGTGTTATCAATTACAAGTTGAAACAACTTTTTTCCAGCAAAGATCTGTTTTTTTTCCTGAGAAGAAATGCATTCTTTGTCAAATTTGGTTATGAATGAAAACAAATATATATGCTGATGGAATTCTGTGTGTATGGCATTTACACTTCAAATCCATTCAACTTAAGCATCCAAACTTCAAAACGTTTTGAGGTAATCTTCTATGGAGTATGGATGACAATTCAAATCCCTGCACTATTCTTTTGTGTAGAAAGCTCAGGGCAAGCACGTGAATTCGGCAATGCCTCACTGTTCTTCACATGGCTGTTAATTGTGCAGTGACTCTCTGTGTGACAGTTACTTTAGCATTTCATATTCCTTCACTTGAAACTAACCTGCAGGGTTTTATATTGCTCTAAATATTGACTTCTATTAAAATACAATAGCATTTCAAAATCTTCTTCATGGCAATGACACTTTACAGACATGCAACAAACTTGTCAGGCCAAACACAAATACATGTACGTCCAAAACTTGGCAGGCAGCCAATGCAGCACATGTAATTCATAACAAACCTGGTGCTGCAAGGCACAGGATAATACAGTATGAAATGTTTCAAAAACGGCATCATTTTTGTTAGAATTGGCACAACTCGACCATAAAGCAGCACCATAAAATGATTCATATTTGTCAAACAAGGTTATTCACTGTAATTTTAAATTTCAAACAGGAAATGCAAATTCTGTAAAAAATAAAATCCAAAAACAAAATGTCCATCATTAGCTTGACTTCACAATTCTTAAACAAATTCTTTGGTAACTTCCATTTAGATTGTTGTTGTGTCCACAAAACTCTTAACACTGAATTAATTGTAAGAATATTAATAACTTTGTTTTAAAAGGAACTGCATCATGTTTTGCTGGCAGCACACCAGTACAGGGGGCCAATCTATAGCCGCTTGATCAGTGGCTGGCAACACAAACTGTACAGCTTTGATATTAATCTTGGCACAGCGAGGTTGTTATCTTGCAATGTACATCAGATAATAACATGTCGTCATTCATTCAAAGCTACATAGGAACATTGCAAGTACCCGAAAAATGAACACAACGATTTAAGAACAGCAATCTTGCTGAAAGTTATGCACCCTACTTAAGATTATGAGCAATTTTGCTGCTTCAAACAAAAAACAAATGCACAAACAGCAAAATGATCCTACGTACCTTTAATATCAGTAAGATTGAAAAGCAAAGGTGTATGAGCATATTTTGGACCATTTCAGACATTCTGCTTCCTGAGACTGAAATTACGGTCATTTAACATATTTGTCTGAGCAAAAATTGATGCAATCAGTCAAGTTTGTTCTGTGAAGTGCATTCTAAGTAAGTGAGGAAATGTTGCATGTGACAGATCTAAATTGAGTGTGAAACTTTTGCCTTATGTGCTTCATTTGTCAGAACTAGAATACAAAAGAACTTGACTGTCTCCTTTTGCAATAAATCGTGCAAACCAAAAGAGAAATGGTTTTGAGAACCATAGGTATGATGTTTTGGTCAATATGCGGTGAGTGTCATCAGAAGAATGGCAAAGCATCAAATTACATGTGTTTCTTTTAAATGCACACACAAACACAAGCTCGTTAAAAGCCGAGGCTAAACAAACCTTGTCAAAATTTTAACAAATTTAACTCTTGCCTCACTACACCCCCCAAAACACTTCACTTCTTGGTTAAAGAGAATACCCCATGCTAACTGCACCAGCCAGTGAATGTTATGCTCTGATAAGTAATTGTGCACCCGGCAATGCACTCAATGTGAGGGTACTAGCATATAGATTGGCCCCCTTTGGTTTAAGTGCTGCAATACATTGACCACCACACAAACAGAAAAAGCCCTGACCACGGACAAGGGAATGGTTACCTTCTCAGCCTTGTGTGTGCTCTGCTCTTTGACCTGTTTGCGGACCTGCAGCATGTACTCGTTGAACAGGCCCTCACGCTCACGCATCTTGTCTATGCCCTTGAAACGGGCATCCTTACCGTACTTCTGGGCAAACTCACTGAAGGAGGTCCTGGTGGGAAAAAGGAGTGGGAAAAGTGACCAGTAATTCACCCATTCCTGACGGAGGAGAAGTTTGGGGATATGACATGTGAAGTGAGTAACTAGAAAAGAGCTGTGAGACTCTAAGCAGACCCTAATCGATGTTAAGGTCAGTATGCTCTGACTAGTATCACGAGACTGCAGATAAGTCTCGGCATAAAATGCCTAAACTTCTTGTAGAGTAAGTCATTTCATGTGTAACTGAAAACATATCCTAAAGAAGGTGTCTGAAAACTGGATGAATCTGTCAAAAGATAGATGGTGCCTTTTTTGGCCAATCAGCCAGATATACCATTATCCTCCACACAGTGTGCATTGGTTAATGTCAACCTCAATCAGCAGACTTCAAGTTGAGCGATTTGAAGGGTGCCTGTTTGTTTATGGGCTCCATGCGCCAACAAGAGAGGGTGCTTTTTTAACCACTTTTGAGAGCAAAGGCCACATTACGAGTACTGGTTCGCACACATAAACCGCGAAGTATACACAACTAATTGTATTCTGAATGTGCACAAAGCCATAGCATCTCCGCGTGAGTGTCAGGCATCGTCGTTACTGTTGAGGGGGTACCTGTGTACAGAGCCCATAAGAAGATAGACTTGGCATTCCTTATATATGGCTGTTAACTTAAGTAGTATCCATACAGTAGAGGGAATTTTCTTAAGACCAACTTTGAAGCCTTTTGAAAAGTGAAGTAGAGCCTTAGAGTTTTAATCAAGTCCTCACAAGTCAATCACAAGCTATTCACAAGAAACGAGTGAAGCATTCCTTTGTCATTTTTTATACCCTGCTGTTTGTGATCTGACCTTCAATTGAACTGAGATGTGACTTGTGATGAACTTCACACCTCTGGGTATAGCAAGAGTCTAAATGCAGATTTTGTGCCAGGAAAACAGACCAGGACACAATTGGAAGAAAAGTGAGCAGAATGAGGCATTAGGAGCATTGCTGAACTTACTTGGATCCTAGTTTGGCATCTTGCATGAGGACCTTGAATTCCTCCTTGCTCTGCTTTGTCTTGGTGGCCCTCTCCTTGCGTTCCTCTTCAGCCCGGTTCTTGACAAAGTTCTCAAAGACCTGCTTGCGCTCCTTGGGGCTAAGCAGGAGGTAGCGATGATCAAAGACTATCTTGTGAAGTTCCTTCTCCCAAGTCGAGAAGGCTGACACCTGACAGCCAAACAAACAAGAAAATAAGTTAAAAATTATCCAGAAATGCCCTTGGTGTACAGGCACTGTAGTTCAGATTACTAAAGAAGTCTCAGGACAGAAGATGTTGAAGAAATGTTGATTTTAAGGGGTGAGAGGAAACTTTGTGGAATAACATTCCAATTAAAAGTCAGGCAGGGACCACAAACCTAATTGCTAAGTCTACTTGAGTGATATTTCAATACAATTCCTCAGAAGTGGAAGGCGAGGAAAGCACAACTGTGCCAACCTGAACTCCCAAATGTTTATTACATTTCTACATTTCCAGGGTATGTCCAAACAGTTATAACTAGTTTCCATCACATCTGTGTAGTTAAATACAAATGTAAAAACACAGAAACTTGATATCCGCCTTTAAAATGTGCCTGACTTACCCCTTTTTCTAGCAGCATGTCCATGAACTGTTTCATGCGTATCTCTAGCGGGGTGATGGCTCTCTCTCTAGCTGCTTTGATCTCTGCCTCCAAGGCAGCTTCCTTGAGGGGATCTGTGGGCTCTGGGGAGGACTCTGAGGTTGACGCTTTCTTCTTCTTCTTGGTCTTGGGCTGCTGCTCCTCCGATGTTGAATCCTCTGCTCGCTTCTTGGCTGTGCAAGAAGATACAAAATCACTCTTTAGAGAGCATCTCAAAACTCGTATTTCTCGTGGAATACCTGAAGCTGGAATGATTCCATCTTCCAAGTTCACATACAATTTATTCAACAGTGACGTGGAGTCATCCCAGCCAATAACATGCTTCATTTTGCTCACAAATATACTGAACAAAACAAATGTATTCCATATCAAATTAGGTTTTGCCCTTCACCCCGACGCAAAATTCCATCTTATGAATAGTACTCCATATCAGACATTATACAAATAATGAATGTTTATGAGTACAATGGTAAGGATAATTTCATGAGGCAACAGATGTTTTGTTGCATTCACTGAGTGGAATGGAACATTCCAACTGTCACCAAATGAAATTATTCTTTCCACTTCACGAATGTGAAACATTCATTATTTGTTTTATACAACACCAGAATAAACCTCATCTTATTGGTAAAAGTGTGGCCGTGCAATGGGTAATTCTACTTACTGTGGAATGGAACTTCTGTTTTGACAGTGTGGCTGGGCGGTGGGTTGGAACGAATAATTCAATGACATGTGATCAACGACCCACCAATCAAATGATGGGGATTTATGCAGGCGTTGTATAAAACAATTTAAAGAAACACCAACAGTGGTAATAAACCCAGCCAAACCTTAAAATTTGAACCACTGTAAGAAAGGCTTACCTGTGGTCTCCTCTTGCTTTTCTTTTTCCTGTCCTGGTGGGGGCTCCAGGATCATCCTGTCCACATCTGCACGGTTGTAGAGGTCATCGGGTCGTTCCCATAGTGACATCCTGGTGGACGGATTGAAGAAGAACACCTTACTGTCTCCCGTCCAAACAAGACACCTGCACAGAAACAGACAAGTCTGGTTATGCGTCATGAATAATAAGCATCATGAATATTCAAATGTCCCTTGGCCAAAGAAAAAAGGCATGTTTCTAGCAGCATGCAAGATAATATTGGAAAAGTTGGTCCAGGTATTTACTATTTCATATTTAACCCTGTACTGACCCCACCTGTCTCACTGCACAACGCTGTATGCCAAGAGCATTTACAACATGAAGCAAAATTTGTGACAAAACAATAACAATAGTTGACGTTCTTGAAGCACCTTGGGTGTTTGAACTTCCTGATGACGACCAGCTTGAACTTCTCGGACCCGTCCACTTTGGCACAAAGTAGGACGGGGACGCAGTCTTTGCTTGGCTTACTGCCGTGGCACTGCTCGCCCTTAAATGATATGGTCTTATCGGGAGTCAGGCGGAAGAACAGTCCCGTTTCAAATGTGTTGAAAATGTTTCTGGGCTGGAAACCACAAAGAAGATGGGGGAGGGAGTCCTTCAACCAGTCATCAACTATGCCATGGTCTACGCTGTTTACTCTCCCCACACACTCACTTAAACATGATGCCATGGCCCTCCTTAAAATGGGATAGCCAGCCAACCAATAATTCAAGCTGTTGCCAACAGATAGTCGAGAAATTTCTTGTGGAACATATACCGTAATTTTTGGAACATAAGCCGTGGCTTATACGTTGAATTTGCCCTTGAAAATGTTTACTGCGGCTTATACACAGGGCGGCTTATAGGCCGAGCCTTGAAGAATAAAGATGAAATTCAAATGTGTATTTGATGTATTAGTATAAGAAGAGATATGTTGCTGAAATGAATTGTAAATTAAGAAAGTCATGAACAAACCGAAACCACGTCCCACGTAAAGGTACCGAGCGGTAAAAGCTGTCAGCGTCAGCAAAATGAAATAACTGACATGACAGACACCAAATGATGACTAATGCTGCTTTCAAATTGGGTTAGAATGAAATAGCCATGAGCCAGGATTGGTAAACATTCATTATAAATGGATGCCAACAATGTTTTTTTTTTACGCAACGGGATCACCAAAACTTTCGTTGTAATGTCCGGTTTCGTCTAAAGTGATTTTCTCCCTATAGAAATATGGACATTTTTGCCGGGACAGAAGATATGTTTGTTATAACCGGAACTCTGTCCTATCTGATTTTGTACTTGCTGGAGCCGACTGTAGTTCATCTAGTGGGGTGTTCATGAGAGTTAATTGCATCCTTGGATGGGGTTCTATGGAAGCTTTACTCATGATAAGACCCCAATCAATAGTACTCACCAGGGTGTGCCAGGAATGGGCTTGGTAGCAATGGGTTTGGACTTGTCCACTGGTTCTTCCTCTATCTTCTTTTCTTCAACGACTATTTTTTCCTCCTTCAAAAGGGAATCAAACAAATGTTGATGGTTTCAATTAATGTCATCCGACTCAACTAATCACTCAATGGTCCCTGGGTGACCAACCTACAAGTATAGTGGCATCCTTTATAAAGGGTTCACTGCGTACTTCAAAATAAGCTGGTGGGGCAGTGGTGGGTAGGGTGGTGACTGATTCGGCAGTGATGGATGGGGCAGTAATGGGTGGGGCTCTCGTGGGTGGGGTAGTGGTGGATGAGGGCACTGGTGGGTGGGACAGTAATGAATAGGGCAGTGATGGGTTATAAAGTAATATGTGGGGCAGTGGTGTTGGGACAGTAATGGGTAGGGCTCTGGTGGGTGGGGTAGTGGTGGATGAGGGCACTGGTGGGTGGGACAGTAATGAATAGGGCAGTGATGGGTTATAAAGTAATATGTGGGGCAGTGGTGTTGGGACAGTAATGGGTAGGGCTCTCGTGGGTGGGGTAGTGGTGGATGAGGGCACTGGTGGGTGGGACAGTAATGAATAGGGCAGTGATGGGTTATAAAGTAATATGTGGGGCAGTGGTGTTGGGACAGTAATGGGTAGGGCTCTCGTGGGTGGGGTAGTGGTGGATGAGGGCACTGGTGGGTGGGACAGTAATGAATAGGGCAGTGATGGGTTATAAAGTAATATGTGGGGCAGTGGTGTTGGGACAGTAATGGGTAGGGCTCTGGTGGGTGGGGTAGTGGTGGATGAGGGCAATGGTGGGTGGGACAGTAATGAATAGAGCAGTGATGGGTTATAAAGTAATATGCGAGGCAGTGGTGTTGGGACAGTAATGAGTGGGGCTCTGGTGGGTGGGGTAGTGGTGGATGAGGGCAATGGTGGGTGGGACAGTAATGAATAGGGCAGTGATGGGTTATAAAGTAATATGCGGGGCAGTGGTGTTGGGACAGTAATGGGTGCGACAATATTGGGTAGGGCAGCGGTGGGCAGGAGAGTCATGGGCAGGGCACTTATGAGTGGAGATGTATTTGTTCGGGCCCTGTGCCGTACCTTAGTTTCTGCCTCCATAGGTTCTTCTTTCGCATCCTCCGTCTCCATCTTGCTCTCATCATCCTTTTTCTCCTCCTCATCTTTGGTATCCTCTTCTCCATCTGCTTTATCAGCTTCCTTCTCTTGGGCTTTTTAAGTAACAAAGATAACAAAACACTGTGAAGCTTTTAAGATAACTAACATGTACATTATAACAAAGTTTCTTTAATTACTCGCAAGAAGTTTGAAACAAACACATACAATATGATTTTGTGAATGAGGTGCAGAGTGGGGCTAGGACCTTCAGGATGCATGGTACTCTCAGGTCATACTCCACTGAGGTGAACATAAATGATCTTACCAGGTTCCTTCTTGGGTTCTTCTTGTTCAATCAACTCCTTGGGCTTCTCCCAGGTGGACTCCATGGTTCGGGTGTTGTAGTAGTAAGGCCGCCCGTCAGCAGTCTTGAATTCTGTCCAGATACTCTTGGGTGCCGTCACAGCAACCGCGGGGCCTCCCCCTGGGGGCTGATTAAAAGGCGGTCGAAACATTGGATTGCCACGGGGTGGGAAGCCACCAGGCATACCTGCCGAGAGAGGTGAAAATTAATTGAAGCAAAAATCTTGTCACCACACAAGCCACAACACACTTAAAATGACTTCAATTTTATGAAGCCCAACACCAAGAAGATGGAATTGATTTCAGAGCTGTCCCCAGACCCAATGGATCCCCTCAAAGGAAGTGACCTTAGTGATGCATAATGCATGGTTATGGGAAAAAGAAGCTCAACCTTTTGGTTTTGTTTCCATTCGAAAAATGAGTCATCAGGATTAACAGATATAAAAGCCAACCATAATGTGTTAGTATTACTGCAAGTATAATTTTAGATTTTTAGTAATACCTGGCAAGGGCATCATCGGTGGCATTCCAGGCATGGCACCAGGCATACGCATACGAGCCATGTGTGCCTGGAACAGATGGAATGGTGGGGGTGGCATGCCTGCTGGACCTGGACCTAGCCCGGCGCCCGGCACTGGGCCCTGGCCAGGTAACACAGGCGGGATACCAGGGAAGGGCATCAACATTGGCGGATGCTGCTGTTGTTGCTGCGGTGGTGCTGATTGCTGTTGTTGTTGTTGCTGCTGTTGTTGTTGTTGCTGCTGTTGCTGTTGTAGCTGTGATTGTTCTTTTGGTGTAGTCGGTGAGGCAGCAGCCACAGTAGCTTGAGTTGGAGTAGTGACGCTCGGTGCAGCCTGTGTGGTAGAAGATGGGCTAGCCTGAACCGGTGTGGCTGTTTAGTTGGAAAAAAATATATAAATTTAAGAAAACTTGCATTTAACTCAAATCAACATAACAGAAGTGATTTTCACCTTATAAATAGCATGTTGTTGGCTCAGTCCTTTGTAAGGTTTTCAGCCTCAAGGAGTAAAAGCTTTCTTGACTTTTTGACCAACCCCAGAAAGCACATACATTGATTTGGATAGATAAGACGTCTGCACTAAAATTGTCAGTTTTCAAGTTTAAAGATAAACAAAAGAAAAACAAAGAAAACTAATATACAAATATTGAATGCTTTGAGTGGTGTAGTAAAACTAGCCTCCCGAGGTGATCCATGGACATTCTATTTTCCCGAGGCGAAGCCGAGGGAAAATAGAATGGTCCATGGATCACCGAGGGAGGCTAGCTTTACTTCACCACGAGATAAAGCATTCAATATTTGTTTTATAACACTTCACCCACAGATTCTGCTTGGTTTCATATTTTAAATTATTTAAATCACAAACACAAACACAATTAAAACTAGAGATCTATGTCTGTTTGTAACAGAACATAGGGCTTTTCCGCATTATGCTTTTTTTTTTTTATCAATAACACGTCCCAGACGATGCATGTACAATGTTTCCAGGTATACGGTACAAGAATTTTCTAATTTATTACGTAGCGTCTGTGAGATATTATCGTCAAAAAGAAATAAATCCATATTAAATCAGACATATCGGACTTTCTTCACACGCAATTTTGACCCATTCAGACTGATAGTTTTCTCAATATGAGACTTTAAAATTGCACATTTATGATGACGTCACATACCTTACGATGATGTCATCTTGATAACACTTGTCAATGCACAATTTTTGCATTGTGGTTTTGGTTTGTACCAAGCTTGAAGTTAATCCAATGAAAGGAAGTGTTAAATTTGGAAGCGGAATGAAATTCTAAATATTAAAAAAATCATTTAAAAAAATCATGCAATGACGTCATGGTGACGTCATTTCGGATTCCGCATACTAGTACCATTATCTAGCTATCCACCAAGTTTTATGATGATCGGACTTTCCCTTATGTGTGTTTTCAAAAATTGCATTTTTGATGACATCATCAAAATACAAAAAGAATTTTGAATTTTGCATGTTGCGCTTGTGAGATATGGTTTAAAGGTCGAAAAATTCAAAAAATCATATAAAATCGCACGATGACGTCATCATGACGTCATTTTAATTTTGACCTATAACACATCCTGGTCTACCTACATACCGAGTTTCAACCCAATCAGACTTACAGTTCTGTAGATATAGGACATCAAATTATGCATGTTTGTGATGGCGTCATGTGACCCATTATGACGTAATCATGATGTCACTCTTCGGGGCACAACTTTGCTATAAGGACTATAACTATGCTTACTTTGAATGATGTACGACAAAGATTAATGCCAAAAGTGGCACTGAGAAAAAACGTGTACAAAGTCAATGGGATTTAGGGGCGACAAAAAGAAGAAGCCAAAAAAAGAAAAACTAGAGCTATGCCTTGTCGATGAACAGGACACAGGCTTTTCCGCATTTTTAAAATAATACGTGTAAAGAAATACTTTTAAAGAATACTTTGTCAACTTTTGTATTTGAAAATGAAAAAAATTTGATTAATTAATAAAAAAATAGGTGATGATGTCATCATGACGTCACTTCAGATTTTGCATACTATTAACACTATCTTCCCACCCACAAAGGTTCAAGACAATCAGACTTACCCTTTTAAGTGTTTTTAAAAATCGCATTTTTGATGACGTCATCGTGACGTCACACATTTTTCAAAAAAATTGTGTAGATACCTATTACATAACAAACCTTATTATTATACCAAAAGAATTTTGAATTTAGCATGTATGAAGCCAATCAGATGAATAAAAGTATTAAATTTTGTAAGCAGAATAAAATTGTAAATATTTAAAAAATCCTTAAAAAACTACCGATGACGTCATCGTGACGTCATTTTAGATTTTGTGTACTAGTAGGCCTACTATTATCTACCCACCCAACAAGTTTCATGACGATTGAACATTCCCTTAAAAAATTGCTTTTTTGATGACGTCATAATGACGTCACACAATTTTCACAATTTTGTGAATATACCTGTTACCTAACAAACGTAATACAAAAAGAATTTTGAATTTAGCATATTTCGTTCGTGAGATATGGCTTAAAGGTCCAAAACTTCAAAAATCGATATAAAATCACACGATGACGTCATGATGACGTCACCTCAATTTTTACCTATAACACATCCCGTTCAACCTTCATACCGAGTTTCAACTCAATCAGACTTACAGTTCTTTAGATATAGGGTCTTCAAGTTTGCATGTTTAAGATGACGTCACGTGACCCATGATGACGTAATCATGACATCACTCTTCGGGACACAAACTCACTATGGGGTCGTTATATATTGCAAGTTTCATCAGAATACGAGTTTGTTTTAGGTCAAAAGTGGCGTGGTTAATAAACCGTGTACAAAGTCTATGGGATATGGGTTAGAACAAAAAGAAAAGGGAAGAAAATTAAAAAAAAAAAAAAAAAAAAATGAGAACAAAAAGAAAGGCTTTTCCGCAACTATGTGGAAAAGCAAATAAACTTCAATTTCAATACAAAATTGGTTGGAAATGTATTTCCCTCTTTCAAACCACCCCTTCATGAAATGTTTGAACCCAACTCTGTGGCGCGCTCTCTTGGAAACAATACGCACTACGTGCTACGCTCAACACGCACACCAGCATGCATTTGCACACAAATACCGCGCCATGGTATAGTACTTTGGTTGCTAATGGTATAGTACTTTGGTTGCTACGGGTATAGTACTTTGGGCCGTGCACTGACAGCAAAAATAGAAAGTACCATGTGACTCGCTCTCGGCCAATCAAGACACAGAATCTGTGGGTAAGGTGTTACAATAGGATTTATACTAAGTCAAGACAAAGCAGTTATATGTTCCACAAGAAAGTTTTGGTTACTCTGTTGAAACAGCTTGAAGTGTTGGCAGCTTTACAAGAGGTATCTTTTACCTTGTAGGGTATCAACTGCAGAGCTCGCTGTCGCTGCTGCTGTCTTTGCTGCTGTTGCTACTGCTACTGCTGCTGCAGCTACTGCGGCACTCAGATTACCTGGATTGGCTGAAGCACCTGCAGAAGTCTGTTCTGGTGCACTGGTGACAGCAGCTGCACCTGCTGCAGTTGCTGCTGCCCCTGTTGATGTGGTTGTTGCAATACCCGCTGCGGCAGCAAGAGCCTGTAGTTGTGTCTGCTTGACAATCTTAACATTCTCTGGCTTGGTCCAGACGGACTCCCTCTTCTTAGCATGGTAGTAGTACGTCTGAACAACAATATACAAATATAACATGGTTTGAGGGTGGATAGTCGATATTTGCTCCCCGAGGTACTGGAAGTTAGTTTGTCAACTTCCAATACCAAAATACCGAAATTACCAAAATAAACCATGTTTTATTTGTTACACTATACCTCATACATATTCAGTTGTCATTACAATTTCAGGAGCACCTTGGCATAAAGTGTTTAGACAAATTTGTCCAGCTCACCAGAAGAATATTGCTCAACCTCAGAAAAGTTCAGTTCTTTTGCATTACAGTAACTCCCACGAGTTTCTACCACATTGTGGACAACTTTTTTAGTAGAGGAGACATCTTCATTGTCCATAGTATTCTCCAGTTTGGCATCATTGAGCTCGGGAAAATGCTGATTAACATTTACTTGTGCCGCCAACTTTCAGGTGTAGCTAGGGCGATGTTCGCGTGTGCTTACTACACCCGTGCGATAGTTCCACAGTTGCTTTGTAAATCGCATGCGTGGTGGAGTATCGCACGTAAAACCGGTGAGATAGTCTACTATTTAACCTGTGCGTGAATACTCGCTTGGTAAACAGCAAAATAGCGGCATGTGACGGTGAATAGACCAGTGAGAATTCGGCTCTCGATCATGAATATGTATGAGGTATAGTAAAATATTAATATAATAGGATGATTATTATTATTTGCAGTAATGAATTGACAGATTCATAAAACACTGCACCTAGAAAGGATTCAGAAACCTGTAGAGAGGAAACAAGATCACATACTAACAACTGCCTGACTATAGAAACAAATCTCTGCTCTGTTCTATTCATATAAATGAAGTAGGTACGTATATCAACCATCTCACCTTGCCTTCTGGTGTGACATGCTCCACCCAGAAGTCCTGGTTGGGATCCAAGGCAGCAACTGCAGCAGGATTTGTTGCGGGTGTAGCCTGCTGATTACCTGCTGGTGCTGCTTGCTGCTGCTGCTGTTGGACGTTTGCCATCATGGGTGGTGGCATCCCAAAAGGTGGCGGTAATAAAGGGGGTCTCTGCGGCAAAGACAAAAAAAAAGATTAACATAGAGGCAACTTGCTAAGCTTTCAACTCGGGCCATTATCGGCATCCAGGCCCCTAGCCAATTTTAAACGTACTTGTTTAAAACCAGCCAAGCGCATATTTATTCCCTTATTAAAATACTCCGACATTTCAGCAGTCAAAATGGGGTCTGTAGTAGTTCATCAGCCAAATTACATGTCTCATTACAAATTTTTAAGTGGAATTTGTTCACTGTTTGCACCAGAAAAGTAATGCCAAGTTATTTTCTGTCTCTCAATAAACATTACTTATATAGAAACGCCCAAATTCCTAAGATTACTCACATTCATGAATGGAGGCATGCCCATGAGACTCTGGGGCGGGGGACCCCTGGGCATGTTCTGATCAAAAGGAGGCGGGCGGTCCGGGCGGAACATCCTGTCTGGGGGAGGTCTGCCAAAAAATGGCCGTGGGGGCAAGTTGTTAGGGCCACCTCTCATGTGCTGCCCTGGGGGGCCCTGAAACCTGGGTGGAAAGTTGCGAAATCTTGGACCAGGGCCAGGAAACCTATTCAACAGAAATAAACACATTCTGATTATTAACAATGTATGCTGCCAAAATTGTGACCCTCACAAGTCAATCTAAATGCACAAGACATAGCCATAGTACCGAAAACCCGTGGTTTTTCGTTGTTTGTCATATTGAATTGCGATTGATGGCAGCTGCTGCCACTTCATGTTGCAAATGTTCGAAAATAGGAGTTCTAGCACCCCAGGGTTGATTATATGCTGCAAACAAAGCAAGTACATGGTCATGTTATACATTTGTAAGTAATAACGGTTAAGATCTCACTCTCTCAGTTACACTAGGCAGTGCAAGTTTTCCTTATCCGGTCGAAGTCTCCCCCTTTAAAGTGGGGTTATATTTGACAGGAGGCAGAATCTTACCAGTCGTTACTACGCAAAAACCTTGAGTCCAAACTAGGGTTGATGCAATGCTGCAAACATCACGTGCTTCGTGGACCCCATGGGGCATAGTTCTAGAGGTAGTTTACGGGTCTAGGGCCTGGTGAGTGTTTACTTCATTATGAATGTCAGAAAGAATGTAGTATTCAGATGCCATTTTAGCGGTTGTGCACAAAGTCTATGGAGAGTCGTTTTCAAAGTATATCCCTTAAACAAAATTGGAAATGTTTCTCAATCTTTTCAAAATTTCTACAATGAGTGACCTTCACTGAGATGATATAAGATGAAAAAAGTGGTGTCCGGATGCAACATTCTTTCGAATGTACGTTAATTAGGCTTGGACGGTATTGCATTTTACTAGACCGCGGTATACCATGACAAAAAACTGCGGTATTCACTAAACCCGCATTATTATGTTAAGTGGGGTATTACGTCATTATCCAAAAAAACCTAAAAAGTAACCACCATATGCTTTTCAGTTGGTATCTTTTATCAATGATTGTGATTCAATAGGCTCATTCATGCAGGCCACCCATAAGCAACTCCTTCAGTGCCTGTGCATGCGCAGCAGCAGCGCCCCGTGTCATGTGATAATGGGACTCCTATTTATTTATTTATTACATTTCTTTACCCAGGGTATAAAAAATCAGACTCCCTCTCACGTCATTGGTCATTCTGATAATCATCGCATGTTAGGCATGCGCAATTCTATTACCAATGAGTCCGTATAGAGTCCTAAATTCACGCTATACACCGGCACACCGAAAGTTAAAAAGATACACTTGGCTGGTACATAATCATGCCTGGGCTGAAGTCTTAACTTACAATCAGGCCATCAGACCAGACACTAACCATAATGAGGAGGCCCTAATATGGAGTTGTCAGTGCCGACGTTATTAACCAATGGACCAACCGTACCAAAACATGAATGGAAAATAATCAGAACAGCAAGCCGATCACAGTGCACGCATCTTAATTATAATATGCTAAATCGAGGCACGTGGCACTGTGATTGGCTGGCTGTTCTGATTACGTATGCGATGTTTTTTCGGATATGATATACAGTAAACTCCGGCTAAACCGACATCGTATAAACCGTCATATCGCTTAAATCGGTCATCTGACGAAAGTCCCGATTGCCTCTAATGCATTTCCATTGACATTTTCATTTCTAAGTCGGCTTTTGTAAGCCGCCATTTTGCCTATGTCGGCGTGTTACTTTCAGTCCTATTTCCTCAAAACCACACGAATTCCTCTGAATAAGTCGGCATCGTGCTCTGATGCGGTTTGCAAGAAGTGTCGAGTGAAAAGTCCCACACACTGCTGATTGACATCTGTTTATCAATGGCACGGCCCGTGATTGATGCATCGGCCAGCACGTGTACACTAATCGCATGTGTACACTGTTTTATGAACAATCTGTACATTGTGTGCATCGTTCGTTTACACGTGCGCGATCAAAAAGGGGTTTTCCCGATAGCACATCAATACCAGTACCCCCTCTCGACTGCACGCATGCGCTCTGTTCATTTTGGGGGTTCCCTTATTGTACCAGTACCATGCACACATTTAATTCATGACTGTACACGTACGTACGTGCACATGGACGTACAGTATGCAAGCGATCTGTATATCGTACCACTGTTAACGTACGTACATGCATGACTTTCTGTGATCAATACCACAGCCTGTTTGTGATGATAAACATTGAGGATATATTTGCTGGAGTCAACCATGGATGTAGAAATACACCAGGGTAAATCAAAGCCTTTGAATTTTAGCCATGAATCTTGTTTGCATGATCCAGATACAGATGCGCATAGGCCATTAATTCAATCTTTTTTTTTTCACTCCATGATTCAATTGGTGTATTTTTGTAGGTCGGCAAAATGACAACTTGCAGCAGAAGCCGACATTCGCGTACGTCGTCACAAATTCTCTGGTCTCGAGAGTGCCGTCTTAGCCGGAGTTTACTGTACCACGCGCAGTACCCTTCACGTGTGTACATTAAGGAAAGGGAAATATTTTGGTCAGAGAACCAGACTACTTGAACTCAGCTAGCTGCCTGTCATGAACTGCCACTTCGGTTGACAAATTAGTTTTTTTTAAGAGACGAATTTCACCAGAAGGAAGCACGGGGAAGTCATAATTTTGGGGAAATGTTGAGAGGTAGGGGTAAGTGAACCCGTCTTCTGAGTATGAGTTGGATTGATCGCAATACATTTTTGTTTTAAATTCCGCACTTTTGGGAAGCAATATCCGTTTGGCCCAGCATGCAGAGTCTACTCCAGTGCGGGCCATAGACTAGGGCTAACTATAGCCATGATAGCTGGGTTAATTTTCTGCTGACAAAATAATTTCGATCTTTAATTAATTTTCGGCTCCCCTAGCAACGGGACTATCCATGCACATACCACATGTGGGATTTGTGACGTTAATACGGAGTATCCCTAGAACTATTTGGCTCAAAATCAATAGGTCAAACATCTGAAAGTTGCAAATTTCAGTTCAAGAAAATTTGCAGCCATGTTGCTTCAGGGGCAGCGCGGACGATACTATTACGCAAAAGGGGTGATAGCGTTATACAATAAATCAACAAAGGGCGGCCATTACGTGTGAATCCGCATACAACATGATAATTTTATTTAACCTGCACACCCATATCTAAAATGGTGTAGTCCAAGCTCCGTGTGAAGGCAAGATGGCGGACAACGGCAGTACTGCTTAAGAGATATTTTTCGCGTGAAAAAAAACTCCATTTTCATAAACGAAATGTAACATCTGACCCACCAAAAATCTCTTTAAGTCTAAAGTTTACAATTCTATGCCTTTTTTGTCAATTTTAGAATGCATTTTGGCAGTGTTGACGGTGTGTTGACACTTCTATCATATGTTGACGGTGTGTTGACGCTTATTAGTATGACCCGTACTGGGCATAGTCTAACTCTTGGGGTACAAATATACAGCGGCCGCTCCAAAACTCACTTCCATATTATTTGTAGAGTATACAGCATGTTCGTGTTGATATTTTGCAGGCACAATTGCAGAATACCCTGCCACTCAATCTATCCACCTCGTAGCCGGCTACGGAGTCACGGTTGATTTTTAAAACGGCATATCGTGAAAAAAATATCGGATATCGCGATATCATCGTGATGACGTCATTTTTCCATTCATGGAACAATGGAATAACAAAAAAACACAACAACAACAAAAAAACACACGACCGAAGTCACGATCCACTGCCGCGAAAAATTAATGGATCAGTCCAATTTCTTGTGATGCATTTTCTGTTCTGTGAACAAAATAAAAGGCACGACTGAACAGTTGGTTTTCGACGTTTTTTTGTTGCTGAAAATATGAACAGATTTCATAAGTTTGGGACAGTTTTGGCATTAAGCAAGTGTAAGTGCCCAGGCACAACCACGGAATTAAGAGAAGGAACGAGTCAGGAAAATACGTGCAGGAAAATTTGATCTAGTTCGCCTGCGCGGAGTCGGCCCAGCCCAGTGGCGATTTTTGTTTTCTCTCCCAAACGACATCCGCAATATGCTATGGTGTTTTGGACTATACTTTTCTAAAAACATGAGAAGAAAATCAAAAATATAAATATATGAAATTCGGGCTTTATTTCCCTTTTTAAAAAAATCCTCCAGAGCCTCAGGTTAGAAAATAAATATTAAAAAAAATCATATGCAATACCGTGATTCGAACCCGCAACCTCGCGGTGTAAAACACAATGTATTATCAACTGAGCTGTCGCACTGCTCGCTTCAAAAGTGGAAAACTTATAAATATATAGTGCCCACGTATCATAAAAATATCATAGAGGGCGCTTAACGTGCGTATGCGGATGTCGTTTGGGCTGGAAAAAGAAAATTTGCGGGCTCGGCGTGGTCTCCTCTTGCCGCGTGCCGAAATGAAACAATCACTTCTCAACGTCGTAATCTACAATTCAAGTACAGTCGGCTCCCGTTATAACAAGGTCCGATGGACTTTCACAATACTGTCGTTATAGCCGGAACCTCGCTAAAACCGGAGCGCAGTTTTCCCCATTCGTTGTGCACAAGGTACGGTACATGTGCGTGCGTGTTTTAATCGTGTAACGCACGTCCGAAGACATGAAAAGATGGTCATTTGTTGGTATGTATGTCTGTTAATAATGTATATTAAATATTTAACTGATGGTGATGAATAAATGAAATAAATAAAATACCTTTGAGGGAACATTGTTCAATATTTGAGGACCTGAATCCGGAGGAAAAGGCATCATCGCTGAGAAGAATCAGGCAAGTAGGTCACTCGCACAAATCGTGCCGAGTGACATTTTGCTTTCATTTTGCATTTGCTGGAATCGGGCAAGAGAGGGCGCCAATACATGCATTACTTCCGGGTTTTAATGACTCCTGATCCTTAGATGCCTTTTGGTTGTTGACTTTTTGGAACAGTTGGGTATTATTGTTTCTGAAGGGATTCTTTGAAATTGTAATTATTTCGGTTAACTATAGCGCACATTCGTGCCAAGTGACATTTTGCTTTCGTTTTGCATTTGCTGGAATCGGGCAAGAGAGGGCGCTAATATTACTTCCTTGTTTAAGTGTCTCCATGTGTAATTTCGCAGCAATTGGTGATTATTGTTTGTCGGGAGGGATTCTTTTAAAATAATAATAATAAATAAACAAAAGTAATAATTTTGGATTAAAATTTGTACAATGTATATGTGGTGGGGCGTTTGAAGATCTTGGAAACCTGTTTTCATTGGGATTGTTTTTTCGGCGGGGCCGGAGGGGTTCTTCATTTGTTTAAGATTTTTTTTTTTTTATTCTTCGGATTCTTTTTTGGGGGTGGGAACCACGGTATGTTTTAAACTTTATTTTCTGAAGACAGACTGAATTATCTCTTTTTGGAAGTTGTGGTGGCTCTGAAAAGAGCCGTTTGTTTTGTGATGCTGTGTTCTATACTTCGTATTTTTTTTTATAGCCACAAGCCAACAATAGGGAGCAATTACGCACCCGATGTTCGGGCGGTAGTACTAAAGGCTATTCCTTACAATGTTAACACTTAACTCCTGAGCGCCCCCTATTGTTAGTTTGTAATAAAATAGAAACGTGGTACCGCAGTCGTAAGCAAACTTCAAACCTGGTCACGCTAAGGGAAACCGCAGCGGGGGATGAGCGTCTAGACCAGCGGTCCACTGCGTCGATTATCACAGTCCCATTGAATTTATTTATAAAGATCGGCGAGATGAAATAACGTTGGGTTGAAGTCTTTACAAAGGTACATTGATGGGTGAAGCTTAAGTGTGTTGCTTGAATTGGAAGACGGGAGCATGATACCCGTTTCGGGACAAAAGGTCTGTCGTTGACAAGCTGCAATGCCCGTAGTTTTGAAAAGATGTCGTTGTAAATGGGTTGAGAACAATGCTTTTCCTCGCATTGGGTCAGCCAAAATGTCGTAATAGCCGAAGTCTTGTTATGTCCGTGCACGTAATAACCAAATATTTCCCCATAGTAATGTACACAAATTGATCGGGACTGGGAGATGTGCTCGTTACATCCGGGTTATCGTTATGACCGAGCTCGTTATAACGGGACTCGACTGTACATGTATTTGAGGTGTTTTGTCTGTACAACTTCACATTTCCGTCAAAACAAAACAGGCACCGTATTTTCTTTGCGAAATGTCAGAGACTTTGTTTCCCTTCGGTTAACTCCACGCACGTGATTACGATTTTGGCATGTGGGGTGAAATTGTGTTGTTTGTACTGCCACGTGCAGCGTGGAAGACGCAAAATTGAATACACATGACGTTAGTCAGTTGGTTCCGCCCCTGAATAGGTAAGACCTCGCGGTACAATGCGGTAACAGTGAATTTGTGGTTTGCGGTTTTTCATGGGAGCGCTTTAGCGACAGTTTCCATCTTTAAGGGATTGACTTTGGTTACAAAAGTCAGAAAGTGCTGCCTTTTTTAGATGTCTAATTTTTGTGAAATTTCATGTTGAAATTTTGATACGCAAACGTGTAAAAATGAATCTGGAAATTTCACGAAAAATATACATCTGAAAAAGGCAGCACTTTCTGATTAGCCTATAAAGAGGGTGAGTATGCTTCTAAAGCAAAAAAAACCTACAAACTAAGCCTAAATGTGAAAATCAAAATTTGGCAAAGTCGACACGATTTTTGTACATGTGGATGTGTGGCCTATGTTTACGGAGGCAGTCCAGTAAATAGGCCACATTTATGGGGCTAACCGCGGCCAGACTAGCTGGGCTAGCCGGAGAAGTGAGACCTAGCCCCATAAATGTGGCCTATTTACTGGACTGCCTCCGTCAACATAGGCCACACATCCACATGTACAAAAAACGTGTCGCACTTTGCCAAATTTTGATTTTCGCATTTAGGCTTAGTTTCAGGGCTCGATTTACAAAAAAAAAGTGGCATGCACTGGTGCATGTAGACCAAAAAACCTACATGCACCAAGAAAAACCCACATGCACCATAATTGACTTGCACCCGTCTGCTTCTCTGAAGGCATTCTTTCTCTTTGAAATTTATCGAACTTTCGACAGACAGTACAGTACATAGCCTTTTTTACTCTATCGTGCTCAAGCCTAGACCCGTGAACGTGGCGTTGTATACAACGCCACGCTGTTGTGGCATTTCGAACATGGCGAAATCGATCCGCCATACATAATTTCGTACATATGTTCAGTACTCGCCTAGAAATCTAAATTTGCCTTACCGCGTGTTCAGGATGTGTCATTTTGACGAAATTTGCCGTCGATGAAGACCCATACGAAAGTGTAGAAATTAGATTTTAACCTGACAAGTGACCCTGACAAATGACCCTGGACAAGTAGCCGGGGTCATTTGCGTGCAAAATTATCGGAGCCCTCCGAGCTACCCGTCTGCTTCATGTGGCGCGGCGTCAGATTGGCCAATAATGAGACCACGTGATAAACGCAGCTACTAATTTGGAATCGCACTTACGATCCGGACATAAGGAATGCCCGGAGCGTCAGTGCGATACCAAATTATCTGCAGCATGTATCACGTGGTAAATCACATGCATGATCGGAGGAGGTTGCAGGACGTACGTCGAGACCTTGAATTTTACCTCGTACTCTGAATCTGCTGCGACTGTGCGAGCATGGTGCGAGGAATAATTTATGGATTTATAAAAGAAATAACACGTTTGTACACTACAGGGCTCGATTTACCCGGGTGCACACATGCACCAGTGCATGTAGGTTTTTGCTTGTGCACGTAGCTTTTTTACTGAGCATGCACAACGTGCATGTAACTTTTTTAGCCGCCAAAATACTCATTTCATGCATATATATACTGTTTACAAAATGAGTGAGAATAAGAATAAAGTTTGTTGAATACTTGACCAGATAGTGTACAAACGTGTTATTTCTTTTATATATCCATAAATTATTCCTCGCGGCAGATTCAGAGTGCGCGGTAGAATTTGGCAAGATCGTCCTGCAACCGCCTCCGATCATGCACGTGATTTACCACGTGATACATGCCGCTGATAACTTCATATCATCGCACTGACGCTCCGGGCATTCCATATGTCCCGATCATAAGTGTGATTCCAAATTATTAGCTGCATGTATCACGTGGTCTCGTTATTGGCCAATCGGACGCCTATCATATGCCCCACATGAAGCAGACGGGTAGCTCGGAGGACTCCGATAATTTTGCACGCAAATGACCCTGGGTACTTGTGTCACTTGTCAGGTTAAAATCCAATTTCTACGTTCATATGTGTTTTCATCGATGGCAAATTTCGTCGAAATGACATATCCTGAACACACGGGAAGGTAAATTTAGCTTTTTATGTGAGTACTCAACTTATGTACGAAATTATGTATGGCGGATCAATTTCGCCATGTTCGAAATGCCACAACAGCGTGGCGTTGTGTACAACGCCACATTCACGGGTTTAGGCTTGCCTTGAGCACGATCGAGTAAAAAAAGGCTATATACTGTACTGTCTGTAGAAAGTTTGATAAATCAAAGAGAAAGAATGCCTTCAGAGAAGCAGACGGGTGTTACAAGTCAATTATGGTGCATGTGGGTTTTTCTTGGTGCATGTAGGTTTTTTGGTCTACATGCACCAGTGCATGCAACTGTTTTTTTGTAAATCGAGCCCTGGTACACTATCTGGTCAAGTATTCAACAAACTTTATTCTTATTCTCACTCACTGGTAAATATACGCATGAAATGAGTATTTTGGTGGCTAAAAAGTTACATGCACGTCGTGCATGCTCAGTAAAAAAGCTACGTGCACAAGCAAAAATCTACATGCACTGGTGCATGCGTGCACCGGGTAAATCGAGCCCTGCTTAGTTTGTAGGGGTTTTTTTGCTTTAGAAGCATACTCACCCTCTTTATAGGCTAGTCAGAAAGTGCTGCCTTTTTCAGATGTCTAATTTTTGTGAAATTTCATGTTGAAATTTTGATACGCAAACGTGTAAAAATGAATCTGGAAATTGCACGAAAAATATAGGCCTACAAAAAAATCTACATCTGAAAAAGGCAGCACTTTCTGATTAGCCTATAAAGAGGGTGAGTATGCTTCTAAAGCAAAAAAACCCTACAAACTAAGCCTAAATGCGAAAATCAAAATTTGGCAAAGTGCGACACGTTTTTTGTACATGTGGATGTGTGGCCTATGTTTACGGAGGCAGTCCAGTAAATAGGCCACATAAGTGAGACCTGACACCGCCACCGGCAATGCATAAAATGCAGTGCAAACAAAACCAATTTTTCGGCTCATGTAATCAAGATTTTTTTTTATACCTTGGCCTGTTACTCTCCTGTGATACTTCTCTGCTCACCGCGTCATTGTTCATAGACGGTTGGTGTTGATTTGATGACAGATTTGAATCGTTTTCCGCAAGATTCTCGTTCTCCAATGCTTCGCTGTCCGCCATGTTGATTTTCAGTGGCTGGTAATCGGCAGCCAGTGTACCGCTGTCCGGGGGCCTAGCTTACCGTATACACAGCAGGGTACCAGCGCAGAATGTGCATTTAGCCGCGTCCGAATTATGTATTTGACTACGGCTTGAAATTACACACGGTTCAATGGGAAGTGGCCGAGCCGCTTCTATAGGCGCGTGTGTGACTGATTCGAGGCGTAACTTAGTATAATCATGGAGCTATGATATAATATTAATAGCCAAATCTATATCTCATATCATGTTTTTTTCTTCGCTAGCTAATGATTTTGTGGGATGGGGTACATCTTCTTTCAAAAATAAGACTGAGATTATTAAAAAATATTATCAACTGAAAAGTTATTTTATACATTGTCAGTGAGGTTTTTTAAAGGGGTCATGCGATGAATTTTTCTGAGGAATATGGAAATAAGTAAATGTGCATTAGCATAAAAACAAAACAAACACCAAAATACCTTTGAAAATTGGAAAATGAAAATTGATGATAAGGTTATGGATCAATGTGGATTTCAAGGGTTGGATTAAAAAAATTCATTGCATGGTCAGATTTAAATACACAACTTTTATTCTAATTTTTATTATCATATTATCAAACTACCTCTTCATTTGTTGTTTGCATATTTTTAGTTAACGTACCCGGGCCCTTACCCTTTACTTCTCTCGATTTTTCTTTTGACAAAAATTGTTTTCTTTTTCTATATTGGGCGTCTGCAACTCTAGAAATGAAAAAAAAATATTTTTCAAATGTTTCAACTGAATATAAACTCTCTAGCTCTACAAAAAGGGCTGCCATGGTAAATGATGACTCTCTAGTAACGTAGCATGGGACTTGTTAATGGTGACAATAATAAGACATATATGTTGAAAGAGAGCCATTTACAGCCCGGTTTGTAGGGCTAAATGAACTCATGCTAACTTTTCTCCATTACAAAAATACCATTAATTGCCCATTAACTGCCGATTAAAAGACTACATGTATATGGTTGCAAAAATGGTTTGTAATTAGGAAAGTTATTTTGTAAACATTTGCATCAAACAAATCAAGCAGTCGTGTTAGAATTTGACACTTGGGTGTTTACAAGATGTACAGATTTCAGTGAACAATGAATTTCAAATAATTTATATCCTCTCCCCCCCCCCCCCCCCCCCCCAAAAAAAGGTGTAATTGCATGAACTACACGAGACAGCTTGGTACGTCAACTACTTGTTAAAATACAAGGGCATGACCCGTAGTCTGGTTACCGTCACATTACTTTGTGTTCGCTCTATAGCATTCAGGACGCGTCGGTAGCCAGACTTCGTTCACACGGCTGCGAGCTGCGGTACTAGCTGACAGACGGAGGATAGGCCAACACAAAAATAACTAGGTAAATATCTCCTTTTGTCTTGTCCATTTTCATTTTTGTATCAAATTATTGGATATGCTGTGAATTTGGTGTCATGGTTTTGAGATTCTTGGCTGGGGAATTGTGAATAAATAGTCTGTTATTGATTTATTTGGTCGCCGGACCCTGCCTTAATTCTTTTGTAATTCTTCACAATGTCAATGCATATTTGTGGGTATGCATCACCGGTCGTGCGTGTTGTGCATGCGGTAAGCTAAGGACTTGTATTTTGATTGAAATTTTGGGCCGTTGTGCGGAAGTGGGAAAATCTTCTCATTTCGAGAAGATTGGGATTTTGCAACTGTGTCATTTTTTGACATATTTACCCCTACTTTAAAAATGCATCCCCCTATTTTCAAGTTTCATCCCAGATTCAATTACTAAAGTTTAATATTAGTTATTGAAATATTGGTAATCCTTACTTTAGGAACCCTTTCCTATATAAGGTTAAAAAGACTCACCAAAACAGCTGACTATGACACTCAAAAGTGACATTCTGATATTTATTGACACATTTGAACATTTGGCAATGACACCTCTTGAATATCTGCAGGTTTAATTTTGTAGAAAGAGTGCAGGGTTTTGATTTATGAGGGGTTAAAGACGACGATGACAAACAGAAAATAAATTTAAAAAGCAAGATGGCGAACTGCAAAAAAAGGTAGTAAAGTCACATTTTCTTTGAAAGTGCTTTCAAAATTATAACTAACATGAGTTTGTCTGAAGAAAAAAGACTTCTTTAGCCTGCAAAAGTCACTTTGGTACTGGACAGTCATCTGCAAAAGTCAGTTTTGAACAGAACTCGTACAAAATAGAGGTGTCCTAAAAGTAAGGATTACCGAAATATTAATGCTTTACAATTTCGGATTATTGGCTGCCAGACAATAATTCCACCATGCTCACAAGGTAGGCTGGTTCCCGTCCCACAATCAGTATCAATAATGTATAGATAGGGAGCCAGTCTGCTCGCAAGTGGATCTGTTTACAAATGTATGTGCCCAAAAACAAAACCGTTTTTTTAACAGAGGGTTGAAGTGTCACTGTGTCAGAATACAAGTTGACAATTTATTAATAGAAAACAATCTGCAATTAACCTGCAACAGTTAATAATAATAATAGAAAACAATTTTTAACAGTCGAATCAACTTTAAAAAATGATTTCTGGTCTAACCTAATTTAAGTGTGTTGTCCTATGTTCATACTTGTTAGGGTGCTTTTGTATATAATATGATCGTAAGCTTGTAAGTTGTATTAATAATAGGTAGGCATGGACATCCGGGAATTTTTACATTGGCTTATATTTTTCACATTAGCTTATATTTTTCACATTGGCTTATATTTTTTTCACATTGGTTCTTGAGTCCGGATAGCCCCATAAATGTGGCCAATTTACTGGACTACCTCCGTAAACATAGGCCACACATCCACCATGCACTGAAACTACTCGGACATGTTTGCAAAGTTATTTCCACATTCCGACTTCAAACCCAGTTCATTTATGCTTTGAAAATACACTCACCCTCGCAATAACAAAGTCAGAACCTGCTTCCAGTGTCAGTTGCCCAGCTGCTGCTTAATTTACGATACTTTCTGGAGGCTTCTTGGCAACTTTTTTGGTCCAACTGAACAATGACCTCGCGCAACTACCTGACGGGATACGAAACAATATGCAGGGATCGTTCACCTGTCAATCATGCGTGCACGAGGCACGCGCGCCGCAGGCCCGGTGATAGTCTGGTTCACAGACCTGACAATTATTCCTGACGCTGACGTCTATATTGATTCATCAGGAATAGTCAGAATCTTTTGGTCTGGGAACCAGACTACGGCGTGCCTCGTGCACATTTATGGGGCTAGAGTCCAGAGTGCTGAATGGTATACAAATAATGAATGTTTGTGAGTGCAATGGACAGAATAATTTCATGAGGTGACAGATGAAATGTTCCATTTCACGAGGCAAAGCCGAGTGGAATGGAACATTTCATCTGTCACCGAATGAAATTATTCTTTCTATTGCACGAACATAAAACATTCATTATTTGTTTTATATAACACCTGAATAAATCCTCGTCATCTGATTGGTTGACTTTTAATAGCCAATTTATTCAGGTTAAAAATTGTTTACAAGTCTGACAAGTTCAGAGTTATCATATTATGCAAACTGTTCAACAGGTTGAGACCTATAATATTCAATTTATCTCACCTTAACACTTTTCCATAAGTTTAGAACTCAAACAGTTCAATAAGTTCAGAACTTTTATTGCCAATTTAAACACCACAGTGCCACCATCGACAACATGTGCAGTGACAGTGCAATGGTACTTCTAATCACAGTGCAATAGTACTACCATTGCACTGTGCGTTGCGCACCACGCGCGCGCCGTGCATTGGTACGAATAATTCAAGACATGTGATCAACGATCCACCAATCAGATGACGGGCATTTATTCAGGTGTTGTATAATAACACATAGCAACTGATGAAAACACAAAAATTATGTAGACCTAGAAATTCACTTCCACCTTATAATTTTATGATGGTTTAAACTGTTGCAAAATAAAGGCTAGTACTCCACAAGGTTAGAGGTTGACATTGGACATTCTCTAACATCTCATTTGACTTTTTCTAACAATTCATGTATCATATTTTCATGAACCAAAAATTGTTGTGTTATGTTTGTTTTCATCCAAGCAGTTTTTGTGTCTAATTTCACCTTGTACAAATAGCCTTCCTCCCCCCAAAAATACTTCTGCTTCCGATTACATGGCATTTAAAAATAGGGTAGGTGGGTAGGGTGGTTTTTTTTTTTTTTGGGGGGGGGGGGGCAATTTTGTGTGTGTACGATCATAGGGAGGCGTCTGCGTGTAGTCAAGGGTAAAAGGTAGTAATTGATGGTTTTGGGTGTTTTTGTCTCATTTTTCCCATAAAAAAAATTAGGCCAGGGGTTGTCAGAATAGGGTAGATAGGGAAACTGGAAGCAGAACTACTTTTTTGGGGGGCTTATCACAACATATTCAGTATGTTAACAGCTCATTGGCAATGACAGAAGCTTGCTCAAAGTCAAGATAGGACTGGTTAGCAACATAATCCAGTTAACATACCCCAACATTGTGCATGTGTTTTCTGTTTTCTTAATACACAGTGAATTAAGAAAACTACTAGAAAATGTACATGGTATCCACTGAGCCGAAAGGTCAGTGATCAGGTGTTATGCACCCTACTTAACATTTTGTGCAATTTGTTGCTTCAAACAAAAAAGCACAAAAAGCAAATGATCCTGCGTGCCTTTTAAGTTTCCTGCCATACACATCCATGTGCGTGGTGTTGTTTTTTCCAGAAAATGAAAAATGTCTGTTTTTTCTTAGTTTACTCTATCAACTATATTTGACATGGCTAATAATGCTTTCTTGGAAAAAATGCTAGTAGGTTAATAAAATTGTGAACAGCATTATTAATTAATCAACCATTACAGGACATCATGACTAGAGCTGTGTACATGTACATGTATCTGTACATCGTTTAAAGGGGTCATTCCCAACTTTTGTGGGGTGTATCAGTTCAAGGAAATCCTTGTTCTAGTATTTGATAGGAATGTTCTTGTGTTACACATACACACCATAAATGTAATAAAAATGACTTGAGGCATGTATTGGGTTAACATTTTAAGGTGTTTCGTTGTTGTTGTTTTGTTTTGTTTTTGTGAATACCAAAACTGAAACAATCAGTCACTGTACTAGTATGGTATGTACATGTACATGTGCATATATTTCCAACACTATAAATGTCCAAAAGATATGGTGTGTTGTCAACACACCCACACGGTTGGCCCACTACAAATCTATTGCATGGGTTTGCCCAGACACTGGTTGATTGTCATAAATAATGTGCGGTCAGGTTGGTTGACTAGTCATTGAAAAAAATCATTCAGGTATGTGTATGGAATTGACTATCGCCCACGTTTTCTGCCTTAATAACTGACTTCTGACTACATGTACATGTTTGTTGTCTGTCAAAGTTGTAAACAACTTTGTGCTTAAATTACAATAAAACACTGTAGGCCTATTGCACTTTCAATCCCCCCCCCCCCCCCCCCCCCGGTACATATATCAGGCATCAGGCATGGAACTTTTCGTCGGATCCGCTGATTTCCTCATTATGTTTTTACTTCTCATGAATGCCATTACAAATTGAAAAATACTATACAAAGTCTTGTGTGGTTTGGAGTTTCCTCATTTTTTCTAAAATCCCAGTTGCATGCCTGATGTACTTGTACATGTAGGCTCTGTGGAATGTTTTTCACATGTAAATGTAATTGTGTTTTAGTTAATTGTCTATTGCGTATTTTGTACAAGATAATTAGGTGTGGTATCATTATGTACAGCATAATTTCAGTTTTGGTTTTTATCAAAATATCAATTTTCCCTAACCAGGAAAAGGTAATACGTGCACTTTCCCTGAAATTGTTAAAGGGAAATGATTGACTTCACGAAGCTCTGTGTGTTTGTTTTCGCTGCAATGAAAAATCTATTATCAGGATTATTCCACGGAGTAACAGTGTACAAACAGCATACCCAATCAAACTTCAGCTTTGTAGCTGAAATACTTATGGTAGGTTGAATTCTGTTCTCTTTTTGTTCAAGTCTGATATGATCCACTGAGTGAGAATGTAAAGCACAGCATCTGGGTGTTTTTAGGACCGTGAAACATGACTGGTTGGGTGCCAACCGTTGAAGCCAAATATGCAGTGGGTGAGTTCAATATTGTGTCTGATTTTCTAGAATTGTCAAGGTTTATTGGAGCAGTTGAATAGGTTTAAGAGAGCAGCCATCTGTAAAAAATAAAATAATATCCATGTCTGGCTTGGGTTGAGTGTGCACCCTTGATTCAATAAAGATGCCAATTCACTTCGTAGAAGAGGAGCTCCTTTAAATTGATCATTAATTAGCCAGTGTAGTATTTCTAATGCGCATGCGCTATTAAGATGTACGTGTAAGCATTTTTTTTTCTTGTGGTATGAACAAAAAATATAAAATTAAGCAAAATTTCTTGGCCTGAACTTAGTTTTTAAAAAATTGGACATGTTGGACAGCACCCTTTGTTCGGGGTTTTTTGTATGCTCCTGCATAGTATATGTACATGTTCTTGTGCGCAAAAGTTTTAAAAAAAATTTAATTGCATGAAAAATGGTAGAATGTGGGTTCATTTTAATACCACATCCCCAATAGACTTGTGTGCATTTATCCCTAAGTAAAAATCATCAAATCTTGTAAAGTGCACATGCACAGTTGGAATACGGAACTGAGTTATTGACATGCAGTTGTAATTGAGGAAGTCATAGGGACTTGAAGAAAACATGTGACTGAGGTTACCATGTGTAATATCACTACTCAATATACATGTAGCTGCAGTTATAACAACATTATCTGGAGAAATACTACCACCAAATCTTTCTCCTAACCAACTTAACCATCTTTCCTTCCTCAACAGCTATTTATAACTTTGAGGGAAGTAATTCCTTTGAATTGAAGCTGAGTGTAGGGGACACCGTGCAAATTCTGGAAGAATGTTCAGGTCAGTTGTAAAAAAAGATACATTGAATCTCTGATTATCTCTGTCTTGTATTTTTGTCCTCTTATTTCAATGCAATTGAAATGCAGTTCTTAGGAAACAGTTCAGAGTACATACAGTATAATGAAAGTCAGTCAAGATGTATAATTCTTTGTAACTGTAGTATTTATATTAACCATATAATTACACTGTATGCGCTTACTCTCACAGATCTTCAGAGATGCCACTTTTCCGGTTTCAACCGGAATTCCGTTTTTTTTTTAAATCTCACAAAATTCCGGGTATTTTTTCGGCCATCAAAATAAACTGGAAAAAGAGAAGAAATACTGTGGAATTGCGTTGATTTTTACCTCGTTAGCGCTCTCGATTTTAGGCGCATGCACGGCACAACGTGTCTATCATTTCAGTTACCGGTGGTTTTTGATCGTAGTGATATATGTGAATACAAAAAAAGCCGGGTACCATACCAACCATAATTTCGTCGAACGCATCGCGTAAATGCAAACAGCAGCGTTGTGGATGGAATCGTGCATGTTTTGTGTCGAATATTATGTTTGAAATTCGGGTAGGCAGAATAAATATTAGAAATATGGAAAAGTCAAAGTGATTGAATGAACCAACAGCTTAAAGGCCATAGAAGCAAATTTTAAAAGTAAACGGAACTGGGCTTGGCTACGAGATAAAGATGACAATGGGAACATTGTGTCGGACTCGCAGTGGCTTTTTTACACACACAAAAAGTTCCGTTTTTTTTCTTTCAAGCAGCCATTCCGGTATTTTCAAGCAGACCCAGTTCCGTTTTTTTCTTCCAAGCCGACCCTGTGGCATCTCTGGATCTTTGAAAATCACCCAGGATAGTTTCTGGGGAGGATTTTGAAGGATTGAGGAGTGTGTAGATGCCAGCCACTTTCACATGGGGCTTGACATCACTTGAACACCTTCACAGTTGAATTTTGTACAAAGAATTTGCCAAAAAAATTTCTTGCACCCTGGAAAAGTTAAACAATTCAGAAAGGTTCTTAACAAAGTTAAAAATTGTTGCTCAGTACAACTGTATGCTCCATGCTTATAAATAACTTCTCCAACTTTACCTATCAGTGCATACTTTTAATGAGAATTCCATGCAGTAAGTAAACTGCCTGGGGCATGATGCTGTAAAAAAAAAAAAATCATATCTGTGCAGTGATGATGAAGAAGATTCCTTGAAATGAATTTATTAAATACATTTGGACAAGAAATCAACATCTGGACAAACTGCACCATATGCATACCGGTACCTGCCAATTACACACACAAGTTTTGCAGATGCACAGTTAACATTATTCGATGCCATTAAATGCATTACGTATGCATATGAACAAAGTTAGAATTTCATACTGGTACTAACATGTAAACACACTACATGTACATGTAGATTGGAAATAGTTTTGTTCATCTTGGAATATTTGATTTATTCTCCAGCCCACTGTGCTCCCGGTGTCTTGCTCACACTCACAGCTGCAACTCATTTCACATGATACTTGTGTCATGGGAATAATACAATTGGTTTATTGTGCACTTTAGATTGGGTTCTTTGGTTATTCTGTTGATTCGGTTGTCGTGCCTGTGCCTAGGGAAAGAGTACACGTACTATTGTGTTTTTGTCAACAATATTTCTGTGGTCATAAATACTTCAAACCATGTACACTATGTGATTATTACTTGGCTGAGGCTGAAACTCCCTTCCACACAGACACAAATCTGTATTTTTTTTTAAGATTTAGAAATTGAAAGAAGTTGTGAAATATGAACTGAGGATTGTTATTTCAGGTATTCATTGGCTGTTTCGGCAACCGGCCGAAACAGCCTTTGTTTTCGTTAAGGTTTTTTATTTAATATAAGTTTCGGAAGTTTAAGCCATATCTCACGAACCCAATATGTTAAATTCAAAATTCTTTTTGTATTAGGTTTGTTAGGCAATAGGTGTATGTACAAAATTTTGAAAAATGTGTGACGTCATGATGACGTCATCATAAATGCGCTTTTTTGAAACACATATTTATAAGGGAATGTCTGATCGTCATGAAACTTGGTGGGTGGGTAGATAATAACACTAGTATAGTAAAGTACACAAAAATCTTAAATGACGTCATGATGACGTCATCGGTAGATTTTTTATATTTTTTTAATATTGCCAATTTTATTCTGCTTACAAAATTTAACACTTTTATTAATCCGATTGTTTTCAGACTTGGTACAGACTAAAACCACAATAAAATAATGAGCACTACCAAGTATTGTTACGATGACGTCATCATTAGACATGTGACGTCATTGTTAACTTGTATATTTTATGTCCCTATATATCTCATGAACAGTAAGTCAGATTGGGTTGAAACTTGGTATGGGGGTAGGCCGGGATGTGTTACAAATAAATATTGAGGTGACGTCATCATGACATCATCGTGTGATTTTATATATATTTTATAATTTTGAAGACTTTTGTCGTATCTCACAAACGCAATATTCCAAAATCAAAATTCTTTTTGAATTAGGTTTGTTAGACAAAAGGTAAATGCACACAGTTTTGCTCAAAACAGATAAACATGACCTCAATTTAAAAAAAACATTATGCAGAAAAGCCGTATGTTCTGTTGGAAACAGACACAGACCTCTAGTTACTTTATTATTTTTCTTTTTCAGTCATTTTGCCCATAGCATTTGTACACGTTTTTTTGTTCCCGGCACTTTGGGCACTAAAATTAATCCGATTGCCTTTATACTCAACACACACTTAGACCAGCATCTGAAGATGTGTCCGAACATTGACATCATCGTGACGTCATCATGAGTCACGTGACATTACATTATATGCGATTTTTCTGTTGTGACCATTTTCTAGCAGAATTCGGCTAGATCTGACAGATTGGGCTATATCTCCAGAACTACAAATCCGATTGGGTTGAAAGTTTATATGTACATATAGATTGGGATGTGTTACAGATGAAAATTGAAGTGACGTTATGATGACGTCATCACGTGACCTGTGACGTCATAAGAAAAATTGCATCTTTTACCAGCCTATATCTCCAGAACTACAGGTCCTATTGGGTTGAATGTTGGTATTTGCCGAGACCGGGATGTGTTATAGATGAAAATTAAAGTGACTCATGATGACGTCATCACACGACATATGACGTCAGCGTAAAAATACATTTTTTATAGGCCCGTATTACAAGAACTACAGGTCCGATTGGGTTCAAAGTTGGAATATACCTAGACTGGGATATCTTATAAATAAAAAAAAATTGATGTCATGATGACGTCATCACGTGACATATGACGTCATCACGTGACATATGACGTCATCACGTGACATATGACGTCATCACGTGACATATGACGTCATAATCAATAAACATATTTTGAAGGCATATATCTCCTGAACTACATGACTGATTGGGCTCAAAGTCGGTATGTACCTAGACCGGGATGCATTGTAGATGAACATTGTAGTGGCATGATGACGTCATCATATGACATTTGATTTTAAGGCCTATATCTCCAGAACTAGGTCCGATTGGGTTGGAAGTTGGTATGTACCTTTTTGCGCGCCGAACATTGACGTCATCATGACGTCATCACGAGTCACGTGACGTCACATTATATGCAATTTTTCTATTGTGACCATTTTCTAGCAGAATTTGGCTAGATCTGACAGATTGGGCTATATCTCAAGAACTACAGGTCCGATTGTACCTAGACCGGGATGTGTTATAGATGAAAATTGAAGTGATGTCACGATGACGTCATCACATGACATGTGACGTCATATTAAAAAAAGCATATTTTGAAGGCCAATATCTACAGAACTATAGGTCTGATTGGGTTGAAAGTTGGTATGCACCTAGACCGGAATGTGTTACAGATGAAAATGTTTCTTTTTAAATTTGTAAGCGAGAGTTTACGAGAGTACACGATAATGTTCTCGAACATTATACGACTGTCAGTATTTCAAATGGAAACCTTTTTCAATTTAACAGCATGTTCATATTCCATTTTTGGAGCATAATTTTTGGGTTACTAGCCCTTTAGTTTAGTAGATTACACACTGGAGTTTGAACTGTGCATTGTAGATGTAGAATTGTACAGTATGTAAAATAGAATAATAATTCATTTATATCTGTTGTCTTTTCTCTGAACAGGCTGGTACAAAGGTTTCACAAGGAACCGAAGGCTCAGGGTAAGCTTCATGAGTAATTTCTCTTTCAAATGTTGATGTGTTTGGTTTTATGCATAGGTAGATCTGCAGGTATTCAGTCTCGAGGTGCAATTTCACCAGTGTGTGGTATTTTCTAAAGTGCCAGCAAAATACACATACTCTCTCTTTCTGTCTATACATTTGTTGAGTATTATTTAGTATCATTCATTGGTCATAGTGGTTCATGTAGCTTGTACATTTTGTATTTGGGCAAGTGGACACGGCTGAAAAGTGGAAAATGTATGAAATCTTCAGAACTACAAGCATCACAACCTTAAGTGTGGTATCAAATGAAAGGGGACAACAAGGCCTTTTGTTTGAGCGGTGTGCCAGTGAGAATGCGGTTAACTCTATTTTTTGGGCTAAAATTATTGGTTTCAGGAAGTCATTTTGCCATCTTGTTTTCACATGCAAAATAAAAGTGTTATTTTGAGTTTTTGTTTTTATAATTTATATAATCATAACTTGAACAGAAAGTTTGTGCCATATTTTTTTCCATGTTACATGTGCATGTACGTAATATTCTGAACATGTCTTAAATATACAGTTGTCTCAGTTTTTACAGGTAACAAGCATGTAGGGATAAGGTCAAGAAAAAATCCCCAATATACATGTACTTCCGAAACACATGCATTTCAAAAATAGGGTACATGTAGGTAGGTCGGAAAATGTTTTTATTTTGCCCAATTTTTTTGTGTTGATTGAATGGGGTATTCAATTCTTTGCGAATTTCGGCCTGAACTATTTTCATTTGTACCATTAACCCTAACGTACCTGAATCCATCAAAATCCACACCCTGTTTTGGGGGATTTCGGCGGAATCAGGATACATGTACCTCCATATTGAAAAAGTTTGGAGATTTTGATGGATTCAGGACAGTAAGCCTAGCAGTACTGCAGGATTTTGATGGATTCAGGATACCTCCATATTGAGCAGTTGGGGGACTTTGATGGATTCAGGATCTCAACAGATTTACTCCCGGCTAACTGGTGGATTCTGATGGACTCACTACCAACAAGATTTTATTGCATGGCAGAATCTGATGGATGGATTTTGGTGGATTCAGGATACTTTCTAGTAAAAATACCCAAGAGGTTAGGGTTAGAGATATCAAAAATGGCCATAAAAAGTGATTAAAAAACTTTAATTAATTGATTTTTAAAATATTTACGGTTGATGATTCTTACATATAATGGAGAATTCAGGTCGTGCACACCACTACATGTATGCACACAACATTAGTCATAATGGGAAACTGGCCAACAATGTCCGTATATTGCGTAGTATACTATCAGTGTGCGTGACTGCACTGTGAAGCGGTCAACGAACCACATGCTGTGGCAGGAAATTTCGGGGAAACATGCTGTGCTGTGCTCAAGTACGAGTGGTACAGCCTAGAAATAAATTCATGAAAATGGAAAATACATACACAGAAAAGAGAAATCAAGTTCTGGGAATTAACTCCCAAAACTATTCTTTCTCCATCAACGTTTACTTGGTATTTTTACGATGTCAAATTTGACCTGTTAGTGTAACGCTATGTTGGCCATAAACTGGTTGCCACCCTTCCATCATGCCTTTGGCCCTTTTAGTGCGTGGCGGGAACCAGTCCACCATTGCTGGATTGAATTCATGCATTACGCATGTGTTTTTATCACCGCGATAGCGAATCGTGAAGGGAACTTGCTGATCACAAAACAACGGTGGTTTCCTTTTGAAAATAGGGAATGTAAATAGGCAAACAAATAAATACAGACTATTGACGTAAAAAGGTTGTTGAGAAGCATTTTTGTGAAGACAGAATTCCAAAAAATGATTTCTTTTTTTCTTTTTTACTTGCTATCAGATTAGGGTAGTTCGGGTAACCGAAAGCAGAACTATTTTTGGTGGGCCTAAAAGTGTTAAGGGACAATATTTGGGTAACATACCAGTACATTTATTGTAGTTACAACTTTCTATACATGTATACTTAACATACTGAGGATGTACAAAATGTATCTTGTAAAATCTGCCAGGAAAGTCTTAAATTCTTTAAAATCACAATCCTCAACAATGGGGTGGGAATGTACAAGGGGAAAAGAGGACTAACAACTTGATGTTATTATCCTGCTTCATTTCCCAATCCCATGTCACACTTTTGTACCCCTTTAGTGTGGAAAGACCCATTTGTTGACAACACGTAGAAAACTTGTCAGATTTTGTTCCCACTCCGTGCTGAGTTGCAGTACCTGTTGGAAATCACAAGTACCTTTAATCACATGTGGGATCCATCAGATCCCATGGAACAGTGCCTGGTTTACAGGAAACTGAGTGTTACAAATGTTCATACATGTACGTACATGTACATCGGTGTACGTTTGAAATACTGTACATTATCATGCACTTCAACTTGGTATAAACAGAACTGTTCTCTTGTTGATATACACATTAAAATGGCACTCAGATTTTCAGAAATTACATGTAACTTCAGAAATTACATGTAATAATAAAGCTTAAAACAATTTTTCAGAATACGTATTGAACAGAGGTATGAAATCATTTTAAGACGATTATAAAATGTGAATTTGTGTGATGCACAATATGTTTCTTTTAAAGCTGTAGTCCATCATTTGCAACTATCCAAAAAGTAACTGACGTAATTACTGTTGACAAGCATACTTGGTTGAATGATAGTAAGGAGACTAAACTCCCTGTGAAATTATTCTCTCTGGCAAGCTGTCATTTTGAAGAAATCAACGAAAGAAGGCCTTTCCAATGGTGCGTCTTAATTCAGGCCCAATTCAAAACATGATTCAGCAACTTTTGATTTGAAATCGAGATCCTAGAATGCTGTTTAGCTCAAAATATACAGCTGAAGCTGAGCTGAAACTTCATCAGGTTAGTTGTTCAGCACCCTTCTTTAGATTTCTAATACTTTTGTTGCTTCAAACAAACAAAATGCACAAATTACAAATGATGGACTATATCTTTAATTACAGTTTGAGTGCATAGAATTTTCAAAGTTGTTACACATAGTACATGTCAACAAGAAATGGGCAATGTACTGTACAAGTGCAATGCAAATTAGGAAACCACCCCTGGAGGTGAATATTTGCTCATAGAGCCCAACATTTGACAGTTTGTTATATACACATACAAGAATTTCTGTTATCTCATGTATGTTAAATTCAGTGAATTACCTGAGCTGATCAGCTGATGAAAATCTCAAGTTTTGCGAGGTTTTTTTTTGGCTTTGTTTTTTGTTTTTTGTTAATATTAAACACTCAGTAATTATATGTAGACCTCAAAGATTCAATTCGCAAGGACAGTGGTTTCAGAAGTTCACGTCATCTGTAACAACATTTTCTATTTCTGGTGATACAGGTACCTGTCTGTTAAGAGTAGTTGTTTTGTTGGTTAAAACACACAAAAAATCTGTGTTTCCCTTTCCTTTTCCTTCCCTGTTGAATCTGCATTACTAGTCCATCGGCCCAGCATGAAGATTTGAAAATAACTTTGAACAAGCCTCCATGTACATTATACCTACTTTGTCTAAAAATGGCCAAACTAAGAAATAATTTGCAGTAGTTTCAGTGTTCACCCGATTGTACTTAATTGAGAGATCTAGTGTTTTTCTAGGTAATGGCACCCCTTGAAGTTATTGATGACTACAGATGTATCCATTGTATAGTTAAGATCTGGGAATCCCAAATATTGCTGCCGGGGCTGCTGTTATACACAGGTCAGCCTTGAGAAATGGACAGAGTTGATTGAGTAGTTTTGATCTTACATTTGTTCCTGGTTTTTGTTTGTTTATGCATTTATTGTTTGCTCTGTTTTATTCTGGCAGGGGATTTTTCCAAAGACTTATGTTCATGTCAAGGAGGCATCCGTGGAAAACCGAGGGTAATTATATTTTTCTTCCAATTTTTAAAGTAATATACCTGCCCTGCTTTTATTTGACTGAGATAAACTATTTATATCCTTTTTTCATTACCTTTCTGGTAATGAAAATAAGGGTAATAGAAAAGTTGCATTACTTTCGAGGCATGGAAACCTAATCACAGAAAACGGTGAAGAAATGTATAATATGGGAGGAAACTCTGGAAATGAATGGGGTAGGCTTTCCTGATATATATCGATATCACTCAATCAATTTCAATGTGATATCGATATTGCCAATATCCTTTTCAATGATATCGAAATATCGAAAATTTCAAGATAAGAAAACGAGACGCTGCATGACTTCTGAACTACACCTCGGAAAAATTTGTGTTTGATTTCTGTTCTTCTAATTCTTCAACCTAATGATAGGGATGTGTTGGAGACAGTTACACCAAAAGAAACGCCGGTTGTTCATGAGCTGACAACGGTGATCCGAGAATGGGGAGTGCTGTGGAAACAACTCTATGTGGTAAGTCAGGACCCATATTGTCTTCTCTGTTATTTCCGTATTGAGAAAAGTAACGCCTAGTCACTGTAACTTTTTGTTGGGGCTTGATGCCTCTTGAAGTTGAAGTATGAAGAATGTGTCAATGGTTTCTTGTACATCCAGAACTGTAAAGGTATTACAAACTTACAGAATGGCCGATTGAAGTTGCTACGGTGAAACATTTTCAATTTTATTTGTAATTTATAACTCTCCTGTCATGATAGTTTCAGCCCCAGTATTTCATATGTATTTTCTTGATATGATCAGGTACCTACCGAATTGGTGAATTTATGACAATTTTGCTATAAACTGAGATCAAATGAATATCCACTGGGCCGTCTGTCATCGTTGTTTGTTGATTGTCTCTAGATCTTGGTGAGCAAAATTGTTGTAAATTTCACCAATTCCTGCGACAGTTCAGGGATTTTGAACTAGCGCTTAGGTACCTGATCATATCAAGATAATATATATGAATATGGTTGTGGATTTTGGAGGATGTATGTTTAAGGTTTCCTCTCAGAAATGCCAAGGGAGTTACCCTGGAAAATAGTTTTGGGCCAATGGCTTTAAATAAATACAATCAGTACTTATTAGGTTACTTAATATTTTTGTTTAAAATTAGAGAGTGACACACTCAGGGAATCCTAAGTTCCACTTCAATCATTAGAGAGGTACAAATTCCCTTAAAAATGTATTGCAGGTATTTCACACTGAACAAGGACATGGACAAATTGTTGGAGACAGCCAACATAGGGCTTGATACATGTAGCTCATGGGTAGAGCAGCAGTACATTATTTCAGAGATTGCAGGTTCAGATCCCACTCCAGCCAATTTCTTTGTACACCCTGTATTGATATTATCCTATGACGTCTTGTTATTGTAATTGTGTACATTGTGTTTCTTGACCCGTTGCAGAAGGTGAACAGGGAACTGTTCAACACCATTCACAAGATGATGTACGAGCTGATAGACTGTCAGAAGCAGATTGTCTCAGGCACCCTCCCTGTAGATGAACTCAAGGATCTCAAGCAGCAGGTTACTTCTAAGATAGACTGTGGCAACAGGTAAAGCTAGATGAGACCTGTGACTCAGTCAATATTATATGTGTCTTTCCAACATAAACAACATGTTTATCCATCAAGGTGGTGGGGAAGTTGCAAGTACAGTTCCACATAGAATACTTTAAAGGGGCTTATATATTTGAGACTTCCAGACATAGTAAACATGTTTCTTACACAAGAAACAGTCCTCAACTATAGCACTGCTATACATTTGCCTAACACTGGTGCCAAGTCAGATTTAAGTCATCTGCATGTACTGATTTTCAATTTGTGTTTTACTTTTTTCCCTTTCATTGTTTCCCGTAGGGCCCTTGGTCTTGACCTGGTGATTCGGGACGAAGAGGGTGGTATACAGGATCCGTTCTCAGTCAGCACTGTGGCCCTGTTCAAACAACACGAGATGGCGACGCAAAGGATAGGCCAGCAGCAGAATGAAACGGTGAGTATTCCAGCACCTCAGATCTGTGTTTCACCCTCAGCCACTTTCTGGTATCCATCACTAACAAAGCTGTAGCATCTTTGTGTGGGGGCCTGATGTATAGTGGAATCTGGCAACCAGAATTAGATGCTGTTACTGCATGGGTGTCACGCTCACGCGCATGCTGCATGTGTTCTTAAAGACGTGGCGCACGCACATTTTGGTATTCCTATTTGTCGAAGGAACCCTGGAGTACGCGAGTACTCCCTGAGTGCAACTCGCGCAAGCCTTGAGCCACCGCAGAAAATGACTGCCGCCGGATTTGTCTATACAATGTAGTAGCAAAAACCTGTCTAAAGAGTTGCCATTACCTGTGTGGAACATTCGTGGACAGAGGTTTTCACGCTTTGGAGAAATTGACTAATTGATTCTGTCTCCTTCTCAAGCTTAATCTAGGAGTGCCCAAGAACATCAAGCAAGCCAATGTGTATTCCTACAATCTGTTTGTCAACCTGAAGAATGTCGTCTGCAGAATTGGTGAAGATTCAGATGTCTTGATGAGTCTGTATGATGTCAAGGAGCAAAGACACATCAGGTACAAGCCTGCTGGGTGTAACTTGTGTCATTAAATGTTTAGACTGTCACACTAAGGGAGCATCTTAAGGTGTATAGGTTCATTATTACATATCCCAAAAGTAACCTACTGAATTATTATCAAAAAGTTTACTTGGCTTACAGATCGTACTGGTACTAAACACCCTGTGAAATTATTCCGTCTGGCTTGCTATCATTTCTACTAAATGTAGGTGATTTCCAACGAGCAGCCAGTTGATCAAAAGGTTGTGCATAATTTACCACTGTTTCTTCAAAAAGTGTGTTATCAAGTGAGCTAAAACTTGTTAGGTTTTAAACATTTTTTGGATTTTGAGTAGTGTTATTATTGGAAACGAGCAAAATGTATGAAAAGCAAAGGATCCTATATTCCTTTAAAAGTTGGAACGTGGAACAACAAGTTGCTACAATGGAAGGTTCTGCCATTCCACTGAAGACACGGACCATTCCAGTGGAATGGCCCAAGCTCAGTAGTTGGTTGGTCTAGCTGGAAGACACGCAAGGTGCGTCCCATTGGACCATTCCCAATGTGAAGTGTGGTACATTGCCCATTTAGTAATCTTTGCCCATTTTCAAATGGAAAGAAGTATCCGTTGTCACTATCGATAAATACCTTCACTGTCGATGAGGTTTTCTTTGGTTGGAATGAAGTTTAATACTTGGTAATAGCTTGATACCAAATGTCATGTGTATAAAAGGTATGTGGTAAATGCTGCTGCAAGTCAATCATTGTGGAATAGTCTGATTAGGGAAATTCCCTATTGTGGTGAAAAAACAACATACCTTTGAGTAGTGGTATCCTCTTTGTTAGTGTATGTCATATCACTTACATTATTCAAGTGCTTTTTGTTCCAAGATGACATACTTTTGGCTGCTGTAAGCCATCCTTCTTGATTACTTCTTGAAACATATAATAATGTAAATGACATGAAGAATCATAGGCCTGCTGGAATAGTGTACAGTATATTAAAGCCAGCTGAATTGTATAAGATTTCTAAAAGGTTTTCACAAAATAACATGAAGAATGGAGAAAATGCCATTTGCAGTGTGAAAATCCTGCAGAATGGTTGTGGCAAAGATCCTCCAGTCTGCAAGAAGCCAATAGTACATTATTAAGGTGATAATAGTGTGATGGAGTAGTTGTATATGTGTGGTGTAAGACTGGTTAGGGGCCTGGCTGCTGATATTCGGCTCGGGCCATTAGCGGTTTTAAACATCACGTTTATAACTGCTCCATCTCACTATTATCTCCATTCATAAATACCTTTTAAACCTTATAAAGTCGAAAAGTTGACAAACTTCCAATATGTTTTTTTTTACTGCCATTTTACTCTGCATCCGGACTTTTCTGTGGTGTGTGCAGCATGTGCAGGCACCTCTCCTTACTATGCGCATGTGGCGCAGAGCACAGGTGCTAGCGACTGGTTTTGAACATCTTTGTTTAAACACTAACTGGTGCTTTCGGTGTTTTACCAACGGTTTAAAACCACCCACGTGACGGGCTCCAATAGCAGGCATGCAACTTTTCCTCGGATCCGCTGATTTCCATGTTGTTTACTTCTCATGAATGCCATTACAAATTTTAAAATACTGTACAAAGTCTTGTGTGGTTTGGAGTTTCCTCATTTTTTCTTGTAAATGTCTAAGGTATTTATGAACGTTATGTAAAATGTTCACGGCAATCAAGTCTTAGGTAAGGCAATAGTGGCTGGGTTCTTCATTTCCCAATCCTGCAAAATCCTCTCAATCCTGCTGGATTTGAAAGAATGTGCCATTGGGTTCCTGCACAGTGATACACTGTGGAGCTTTTAGGAAACTTCCTATCAATTCCATTTTATGAAGTTATTATTTCCCTGTTTCTACATTTTCTCTTTCAGCGAGAGTTTTGTTGCCAAATGGAGCAGCAAAGGCATCCCCCGGGACATCAGTCTCCTGTACAGCCTCAAGGCAATTTTCACGGTAAGAACGTAAAGCACATTTGCTAACCCTAGAGATCTTGTTGCATTGAGCAGTCAACATGAGTTGCATCAAGTGCCAATTCTGACATGGGTTGCGTTCTCGTGGGTCACTCTTCATGCTCTCAAGAGCAGGAAAATGTGTGCGCATTGCACTCGGGTCACATCTCTTGAACAGTTATGTTATAAAGCATGCACAACTATGGCAGCTGTGATAGCAGATAATAATTCTTCATAAAAAGAACGAAGTTTTTAATGTGTTTCAGAATTGTCCTTATATCAAACAAGAATTTACGAGAAAGGGCTTTTAACTTCAGAAATGTTTACCCTTTCACCATATTGAAAGCATGTGATTTCGCCGGGTGCAAGACTATACTCCCACTCTGAGCGAGGGTATACTCTCCTGTATCCCCGGGGCATACTCTTGCCATCTGTGCGCTCAGGAGGATACTCATGTTATCACGAATGACTCGCACAAAAGCAGCCAATGGGAGCTACATTGTAGTTGCATTGAACATTGTCACTGTTGTATCCTGGCTAGCAAGCTCTGAGTTTGAGGTTTTGACCTTATAGAACAGTTAGTATGATGGCTTTTGTTACACTGGGCAGGCATGGCAGTGACATTTTACAACTGTTGAATGTTGTTGAATGGAGTAGAATGTCTGGCCAATATATCAAGGGGGTTAACCAATACAAATTGACAATTTCACAGCAAAAGGTTTTTGGGACAATTATTTAAGAAATCAGCCAATAAGAAGATAAACCATTGTACTATTCAATTATTATTTACATTTTGTTTCATTTTGACTTTGCAAGAGTCATTGTGATGATTTCTCAACTTGTGTTTTTTTTTCCAAGGATCTTGGTGCGAAGGATCTACAGAGAGAGAAAGTGTTCCTAGTCTGCCAAATCATTAGAATAGGTGAGATATAGTCAGAATGAGTAATGTGCAATGTATGTGCACACTTTGGTGATTGGTTGGTTCAGTTGCTAGTTTTATCAGGATTAAATGCATTGTTCCCAAATGCTTGGGAAGAAGTTGGTGTGGTTTGACAATGGTGGATATAAGACTGAATAACGTTGTTGTATGGCAAGCTTTCTAGAAAATTCTTTGTACCCCTGTTTGAAAAATCCATGTTTTGTCTGCATGTGGCCATCATATTTGTCTCTGTCCCCACCCCTAGAGGAGTTTGAAACTTGGTTTTGTCTCCAGTTTTAGCTTTCAAGACTCCTGTGATTGGGGACTCTGGCTCAATATAGATCCCAGCCCCCCCCCCCCCCAGCCCGAAAACATGAAATCCTATGATAAGTAAAGTCTCAGATGTTTTCATTCGGTTTTGACATTAAAGGCTATTATTATGCTAAAACCAGAGATAAAGCTGATGCTCGAGACAAAGTCGACGTTTTTAAAAAACATATACCTTCCACCTTTTTATTTTGAACAAAATTTTTAGGTAAAATGGAGCTGAAAGAAGGAGACAATAACAAGAAGTATACCACAGGGTTGAGGCGGCCATTTGGTGTGTGTGCCATGAATATCAGTGATATACTGTCTGGTCGTGTGGACACCGATGAAGATAAACAACACTTCCTCCCATTCCAAGCGTAAGTCTGCTGAAGTTGCTTCATTGATCGTATTTGATAGTAGTATTGTGTGCACAAGTACGCCCTTGGTGATAGACCTGCAAAACAGATACAACATGTTTGTTCTCTTTCGGAAAGTTGCATTTATTCCAAGCAGTAATGGCATATCCAGCAGATATTTAAACGGACCTGAATGACATGATTGCTTAAGCAGTGTTATATTATTCGTACTCGGTACTTGTACTTGAGTACAACTCAAGTACTTTTTGAGAATACATTTATTTAGATATCAAAATACTCTGACTCGAATTTGATTCAAATTGGATTTGACTGTTCAAAATCGTACTCCATCATCAAAGTACTCGTACTCGAATATAAGGACTCTGGGAAAAATTGAGTAAGTTAGTTTTGAATGAAAAAACTCTCCTTACTTGGAGATGCACATGCTCCGTTTTATCAAAACTTACTGAATAATACTGAGCTGTGGAGAGGATCGATTTCCTTTGTGTTGGTCTTTGCGCAGACTGCATGTACATGCTTCATCTTTATGTACAATATGCGACCGGTGTCTGCGTGGAATCTCTCATAACTTGAGATTTTAATTGTTTTCACTTGAGTTCTCCATAAAGTACTCATACTCGTACTTGTACTCAGAGGTCCATGTACTTGGACTCGGCTTCACAAAATTTGTACTCGAAAGTCCAAATACTCGCACTCGGATACCTGTACTCGTTGTAAAGGGTGAAAGTACTGGGATGTGAGTGGTACTTGTTAGCGTGGTACTCGACAGTACTTTGTACTTGGTTAAAAGTACTCGACTACATCACTAGTATAAAGCTTCTCCTGAAAGTGCGTTTGGCCTTTTGTAATTGCAGGAGTACCGGGGAAGAGTCACTGGACAGTATGGTGCGCAAGGTGGTAGTCGCCAGGGAAATCAACCACAAGGGCCAAGGGATCTGGGTGGGCCTGAAGATGGTGCCAGGAGATGTCAAGCAGGTACTCATTCAGACTTGAGATCAAGTCTATAAAGCATTTACAGACATGTCTATGAGTAGTGGATTCAGCTGTCTCCATAAACACATGTGTAATAGCCAGCCGTAGCTTGCAAAGTGTGAATACAACCTTTTTAGATGTAATCTCAAGTCTGATACTTAAAAATGTCTACAAGCTCATTATCAAAATGATCAATAAAAGTTTTGATATACGTGTGGCTTACCTGTTTTGGTAGTGAGGTTGATGACTTTCATATGTACTTGCAGTAGATTTCTATTAGATTATTCTTGGTTTGTAAAGTGGTTTGTAAAGTGATTGGCTCTTTTTTTTTGACCTACAAGGTTTGGAAAGACTATCCACACCTGATGGACAGCAGAACGGCCATTGCCAAGAAGATGGGCTTCCCAGAGGTCATCATGCCAGGTCAAAATTGAATCTCTCAACTCAGTCAGTATAGGGCAGGTTTGATCAAGAATTGTGGTTAATCATACATGTAGTTGAACTGATGCATCCTTGACAGTGATGGTTATTGACTAGTCTTGTTACCTGTTGTCATCATTACCCACTGCTCAGTCCATGGGGGCTGGTGACGGCTAATCTCTCCCCCTCTCCCACTGTTGTGAAGGAAATGCACAGCATGTACATTACGCGTGCACCTGTCTTGTACATGCCGATGTGTTATTCCAGGTCAGTGGTTAAACGCAATCATTATTGTTATACCTCTGTCTTGAATACTGTATGTTCATTGGCCTGCAACGATCACGTGTTAAGTTTATAAGAAATCATGGCACACTCGCCTTGAGATATCACATACGTGATATCCCACAGGGAGTGTGCTATGACCCACGCTATTTTCACCATGTTTTCACACATGAGTGGGAGCAGCAAACTAGCAGACGATCAGCTGTTTCGAGCACACGACATGCATGTGAGTTGACGTTCGATTGCCATGATTGTTGTGCTTACTGCTGTTTGTTACTGTAATTTTTACATCAAAATCCAAAGAATCCAAGACGGAAGTGGAGGTATAACAAAACAATTGTTGACTGCTGTGATGTGGGATATGACGTTTTAAACACCTGAGGGGCGCATAGCACCCAAGGCCAAATTAGCTGTTATCAGGAGCCTTGGCTGGAGCATTTGTATGAGCAGAGTTTGACATTTAGAACCAGCCTTTATGGTGCTACTCGCACCAACTTCAATTTTGTTTTATTTCATCATACTTCAATAAAAGTTGTAATCAAGCCATTACAAGTCAATCACAAGTCGTCCAGTCTAAAGTCTCATGCTGTACAAAAGTACTATGGCACCGGCATTCCTCTTTCATTGTCCATCCCCTTAACCTGACTTGTGATTTGACTTCTGTTAACCTGTAATGACCTCTGAACTTTGACCTTTGTTACATACAGGCGATGTCCGCAATGATGTCTATGTGACTTTATTACAAGGGGAGTTTGATCGAGGCAACAAACCCAAGGCTAGGAATGTACAAGTCTCCATTGAGGTCTGCTCAAGTGATGGCTCGGTGCTAGAGGTGAAACAAATCAGAAATGTTCTTTATACCAATGTCCCAATATGCACTACTTCATCCATGACCCCATTCACAATACATTGTCCATAGCCTTAAATCATGGTTTGACATTTTTTCTATCAATTGAAACCGAGCACTGGACCACAAACATGTTCTATTAAAAAAACCTTTTGTACTGATGTGGAATCTCATTTCATAAGCATTTGTGTAATACGTTTTGGAAACGAAGTTTGTTGCACAAACATGAGCCCTCTTTGATCAATGCCATTGATGCTTTTGAATCAGGATGTTATCTACACAGCAGCAGGGGAACCTCCAAGCAGTAAATATCACTCTGTCGTGTACTACCAAATCAAGTCCCCCAAGTTTTATGAGACAGTCAAGGTAGGTTATGCATAGTGGTGGGATTACAAATCAGAATTGTTCTAATTCTGTTTGATTTGCACTTTACCAGTTTGGATTTTGGAAACAGGATGTTCGAAATCAACCGTGAAAAAATTAAGACTTCAATTTTTGTGTGACACAAGCTAAAGAGAACAACTAGAACATCCCATAATTTGCTCCACCGTCTCTGATTGTAACTATATTCACTTGCTAGTGGTCTTTTTGGTTCATAAATAGCCTGCCCATTTCTGGAGTGTTATTGTGAAAGCCCATACTAAAACAGACTCTTAACTAGCTTGCGGGCATTTTCACTAGCTCGCATGATCACTTGTGCTGAGCCCTATTTTCTGCACAGTTTTATGTGCAATTTTCAAATGTGGCAAGAAAAGTCTTCAGATTTCAAAATCGGATTGTGATTGCTTTTGATTGATTGGTCTGCAGGTTGCCATACCCATCGAGGAATTCTGCCAGCCAGACACTCATGTCAGGATAACATTCAAGCAGAGATCCTCCTCAGAAAGTAAGTATCTTGTTCTTTGCCTTTTAGCATTTTTTCAAGGTCAGTGAATGTTTGAATTAGCTGCATGGAGCTGCATACTTGGAGGGAGCTGAGGTGATCATTGGCGATATTGGGCTGGATGAGCTGATATAGACTTCATGGGAAAGATTCCCATATCTGGCCATCAGTAATTTTTCCCTTAAATGACCTATCAACCATTAAAAAGTGGTTATACAGTCGACTCTCATTATATATAGCACATTTATAAAGAGGTTCTGCTTATAAAGAGCAAATTCTGAAATCTCAGGTTCTCTTTGTGTTTCTTTGTTTCGCTGTCCTTTTATAACAACATTCCTGTTATAAAGAGGTAATTTGGCTAGTCCCATTGACCTTGTTATAACGAGAGTCGACTGTATGTCCTAAAAAGTCAAAATTAGCAGGGACAAATTTTGAAGTTTTACTGAGAAAACACTTGGACATTTTCAGACCAGTTCCATAGGGTTTGTGCACAGGGTGATAAGTGATGGCCAGATAAGGGAATCTTTCCGACTTCATGCATGTACTTCCCCAATGCTTACAAATACAGAGTTCGATAGACTCTTAACTACATCGCATCACTGGAAGACATTGAGATTTGAGCACAAGAAGAATAAATGATGCCTTGCCTGTATGCACGCACAAGTGTATTCTACTATTAGAGCTGTCATAAGTGATCAAAATCTAATGGTCATGCACAAAGTCCACTAGTAAAACGAGTGCTAATACATAGTAATATGACTGGATTGAAATGTTGCCATCAATTACAGCCAAAGACAGACAAGAGAAGCCATTTGGTGTGGCCTACCTCCGCCTGATGACAGACATAGGCACTACAATTGTCAATGGAGAGCATGAGCTGTTAGTGTATAAGGTAAAGAGGTGACTCTCAAATAGTCCACAGTTTGTCTTGGTGTTATTTAGAATTGTTTCCCTCATGAGATATTACTGGTTTTCAAATCTAAGATTGTCTTGCTTTATTTAATCTTTCTTTTGTGGCCATTTTAGCGTTGTAGTAGAGTCCTTTTCCAAGTCCGTAAAATTATACCAAAATATATATAGATGTGTTATAGGAATTAATCCTGCAGAACAAGGGAATATGATCTGAGCATTTGTGCTCATGTAATGATAGGTATGGATCTGTGCTAAAAATGTAGTATTTGCAAAGTGCTCTGATTTGAAATCTAATTCCTTTTAAAAGACAAGTATTTACAAAAGGACAAAGACTTAAATCTGAGTCCATTTGCATTTACTTCTACATTTTCAGCCTACATTTTCAGCCGTATCATACATGCGTCAGCTATCCATCCAAACATCCATATTCCTTCAAATGAAAAGTATTCAGTCCAAATATCCTTGATGCTGACATTAGTTGGGATTTACCCAGCAAAAAAATGACTTAAATCATCACATTGTATCCTTTGATTACTGTGAGCAGTCTTGATAAACATGTATACATCGGTGAAGGGCAAAACCTTATATTGATTTACATCACCCCGACGCAAATTCATCTGATGAATGATGTCACCGTTACATTACAAACTTGACAAGTAACCGTTGTAAACCAATGAATCATTTACCACGACAAGATTTGATGATAACGGTATCTGACCCCTCTCCACCCTAGTGTGACAAGCTCCAGGACGTGATTGGTACCCACTACCTGGACCTGCCCTCCACTAAGCAGGAGCTGGAACGCAAACACCAGCACCAGACTAGTAGTGGCAGCGGCGGCAGCTCAAGCAGCCTGGGCAGCACAGGTAGCCTTTTCCGCAGCAAGAGCTATGGTCTGAGCACCAAGGACTCGCTGCAGATTGCCACACTAGTCTGCTCTACCAAGCTGACACAGAACGGTGAGTGTAGGGGGCGGGTAAGGCAGGGGATGGGAGTGGGGTTAAAACCAGCACCAGACTAGTAGTGGCAGCGGTGGCAGCTCAAGCAGCTTGGGCAGCACAGGTAGCCTGATTCGCAGCAAGAGCTACAGTCTAAACTCTAATGACTCATTGCAGATTGCCACACTGGTCTGCTCTACCAAGCTGACACAGAACGTTGAGTGTAGGGGGCGGGTAAGGCAGGGATGGGAAGGGGGGTTGACACCAGCACCAGATTAGTAGTGGCAGCTGCAGTAGCTCCAGCAGCTTGGACAGCACAGGCAGCCTGATTCACAGCAAGAGCTACAGTCTAAACTCTAATGACTCATTGCAGATTGCACCACTGAACTACTCTACCAAGCTGACACAAACAGTTAATGGGGGGGGGGGAGCTTGAGGGAAGTGGAACCACTGGTTACCTTTAGCTGCCTGTTGTCAGCTGTTAAATGTTCCATGTCACTTTTACACTTGGGGAGTAAATGGTAACACATACGAAGCTGCAGTTGCCATTCGTCCAAAAGACGTACAAACCACTGAACCATATCACAGCTGACCTCAGCTGACTGCAGACAGTCTTGTAAAGCTTGGAAGTTCCTCTTTTTTTGAGACTTCAAAATTCCATGCTTGTGACTCCCAGTTGTTGTTTAACCATGGCATTGTCTTGATTAAGTTTTGAGTCTTAGAGAAGTAAACGGTGGCTGAGCTCAACCTTTGTCATTCCTCCAGAACCACTTTGGGATTTTGAAGGATTTTGGAATGTTAGAGTTGATTTTACAGGAGTATTGCTGAGGAGCATTTGCAACAGGAGTCCTCATTCTTTTTCTTTGGTATTTGATTTCTCACAGTTGATCTGCTGGGCTTGTTGAAGTGGAAATCTGATCGGAGTAACCTTCAGGCTAACCTGGAGTCTCTCATGAAAGTGGATGGAGAAGAAGTGGTCAAGGTTTGTCCATAAACTGTTTAAAACAAAACTGTGTTTGATTATCCTTTTATGCACCATTAATTTCAATACTTATGTGCATCTGAGTCCAAACATTGCCTCAATAGTGCACTCAGATATACAGTTTGAGAACGGTCAGTGCATTACTGTCCTTATGACCTCTGATGTGAGGTCAAGTTATTTTAAATATACTCTGCATGCACACATACTTAGCTAGGCCAACATGGAAGGCAGCATAGTCAAGGAGGCTATCAGCAATACAATTTCACCTGCTTTGAAGGCGTTACCTACCATCTGATCAAGTCTCCAGTCTAATTCAGACTTTCATTTTTGAAATTTGTATGATGTAAAAACATAATGATACTTTGCATGATGCACGGCATGGCATCAAGATTACATGTTTTCAATCAATGAACTTTCGAACCTCTAGGACCGATATACAAAGTTTCAAATTTCTTTTTGTTGTTGTATAGTTTCTTCAAGACACCCTGGACGCATTGTTCAGTATCTTAACAGAGTCGCCGCAGTCCAACGAATATGATGAACCAGTCTTCAATGCCTTGGTAAGTCCCAGTACACTCAAATTGTAAAATTCTTCCTTAGGAATCATTCCAATAATGATCTTAGAAAGGTCATGTCAAATTCCCTACAATTGACCAACTGTATCAGTTGCAGGATGCTTAACAAATGTCTGTCAAAATTGATGCAATGAAGCTTAGATATGCGTAAATATGAGGACAAGTCACTGGCCAGTCATGTTTTGTCTGTCAGCGCCCCCAATATCTACTAGCATGGTGTTGTGTATCATGTTTATTATCATATGCCGAGTCCCATGTGTCTAGAGACTTGACTAAAGTGATTTTGGACAGATATTCATATATGCTTCCAGCGAAATGTGCATAACCTTTCCATAGAGAGGGCCAATGATAGCTCACCTGTACCACTGAGGAAGCATCCATTATTAGAGAGGGGATGTCTTTGTGTAGATCAGTGTACTTTTCTCTCGTTGTTCGGAAGACTCTCATTAAAATTTTAAACTCAATGCTATAATTATAATAAAACTAGAAAATAACATATACCATTGTTTTCCAAATGAGAAAAACTAAAGGGTTCGGGTATAAGCTTTTCACGCCTAGAAGAATGGGAATGCTCCTTGCCCCATTCCCATTTACCACGCACAAAACATGTGTACACGTGTATGCAATAGATGCATATGAAAGGTGTAACATGAATATTTATAGTCTCTTGAATCGTAACCATCCAAATCTGGTACCGTCCCTGCATAAGTGCCATATCGCATGCTACATGTACCGTGGGACAGTTTCTGTCCATATCGCTGCGCAGTTTGTAGTGGGTAAACAAAACCTGGCCAATTACTGACTTGATTTCAAGTCGAAGATATGCCATGTTCCCAATGTAACAAGAACCCTGCTGTCTTATGCTTGTCATCAGATCTTCATCATTGGGCTGATAGCAGACCGCAAGTACCAGCAATTTAGACCCGTCCTGGATGCATACATTAAGGAGCATTACAGCGTCACTTTTGCAGATGTGTAAGTAATGCATGTCTTGTTTGTTTGTGCCTCCATTAGATGGATTCTGCATTTCTGTTTGTCAGTCTAAATGTTGGGGTGTCTGTCTGTCCAACTGGCTTAAAGTCAGTCATTGTGTTTTCATCATTTAGAGCTTTCTCCAAATTCAGTTTTACCTTTCCCATTTGCCTGGTTGCATCAAGTTTTTAATATCATGACTTTGGGCGTGATCCCTTCACCACCGGTCACCAGGCACATACAAATTCATTGCTCGTGACTAGCAACACATAGAACAAAGACATTGACAAGTTGGGAGACATTCAATATAGGGCTGGATACATTTAATTTAGTTGCCAGAGTACCGGAGCGGTGTTCTGGAAGTTGCAGGTTCAAATCCAGCTCGAGTCAAGTATCTTCTTCCACCTAACAACTAGTCAGTCATTCTTTGTAGTTAATTTGATGGTATGCAATTTGGTGATATACAACCTTTTCCGAATCTGCTTAAGCCACAATTGTTTGTGTTTTTCAGCAAACTCATGAGAGTTTTCAAGAACTACTTGGACAATGCTGGAGAGAAGGGAATGCAGGATCAGTTGCTGAAAACAATGAAAGCGATGGAGTACATCTTCAGATTCATCATGAAATCAAGGATGCTGTTCACTGCGTAAGTTGCTGATGAACAGGGGGTTCATGGGTAGGAGATGGAAGATAAGCAGGTAGGGATGGGGAAAAGTTTGGGTTTTGAAAATGCTTCAGGCAATGGAGTATATTTTCAGATTCATCATGAAATCAAGGATGCTCTTAACTGCATAAGTGTCTGGGATGAAGGGATTTGGGTTAAGATAGGCAAGTGGGGACAGAAGTAAGACACAGGGTAGTCAGTGCTGAATATAGATTTTTGACAAGTTTCTGGACTGACTGGAAGCAGTGAGGGACTTTAGATCATCATAAACCAACTCTGATGGCAGTGCCTCAAACTGCCCATCAAAGGGCTGATACATGACCCATATGCAATATGTTGACATTCCCAAACCTTGGCCTTGTCTTTGGCTTTGTCTTTGGCTTCTGTATCAAAAATCGTTACTCCATGATTGTCCACAGTCTTCTTGAGGGATATCAAAAGCTTCATTCAGATTTCCTTAACCCTAACCGCCTGGGCCCTTTTGGATAGGAACCATCTCCTCAATCATTCAAAATCCTCCAATTGCCACCATGTAAGAATTAGATACAGCCTCAATCCGCCCAAACCGCCTGGTTGACTTTGGAGGGTTGAAGCCAAAGCTGTATTTTCATTTTTGGAAATTCAATGCATAAAGGCCGGTTTATACTTCATGTGAATGCCAATGCGCTGCGAATTTGACATGAAACATTCGATGCGAAATTCGCCAGAGTTAAAACGTGTTAAATTTTTGCGAATTCGCAGCGCGAAACTTGCCCTGACGTCACATATTCACGTTTGCATTTGAGTATGAACCGGCCTTAAGAAAAGTTAATATTAAGCCCATCACAAGTCATATCACAAGTGAATCAAAGGTCAAATCGCAAGTCTTGACCACTAACGGGATGACCCAGCACACGAGCATGCCTTTGTCACAGTTCATTTCAATATCTTGTTACTTGACTTGAGACTGAATCACTCCTGAGAGATTGTGAGGACTTGACTCCAAAGTGTGGCTGACGTATCATGAGTGCGTTTGATTTCTGTGCAGGTTGCATGGTGATAATACTGACAGGAACCAATTTGAAGCCCTTCTGAAGGATGTGTTCCTGTCTCTCAAATGGCTCATGACCTACACGTCTGACAACGTCCTTCTGTGCCAGGTAACATTTGATTCTCTCAAGTTTCCTTGCAGTATTTCATCAACTCACTCAACAAATTGTTTTTTAGTGTTTTTTTTTGTTGCTTTTCTTTTCTATTCTGGACTCTATTCTGTACATTTCCAAGGCAGTTTCCAAAAACAATGATAACGTGCCTGCCAATCAGGGTATTAATCATTGAATTGATCTAGATAAGTTGCCTCATTAAAATAAGGAGTTTTAACATCACTGCTATCAACGCTATATTTTAAAGAAGAAAGGGTATATGGTGCAAATCGAGGACACGCACGTGAAACATCATTTCATACTTTCACCAAATCGAGGATGTCCTCGATTAGAAAATCTTTACAAAACCAATGGGAGCTGTTGTAAAAAAGTTAAGGTGTGAAGAAAAGATGGATGATGAGGAACAATAGGAAATCCTTGGTATATTTTGGTATGTGTGTGTGGGTGGGCCGTCACTGCGCTTTTGGGAAGTTTTTTATTATTAGGCAAATTAGGACCTAGTTATGGGGACTTGCTGCTGTCCCCACAGTGTCTTCGGTCCCCAAGTACCATGGGACAAGTCATCACAACTACGGAACAAGTATGTGTGTGTTCACAAGTTGTTCACGAGTTGGTGGCAAAGCCGCCCCCCCCCCCATGTTAATTAATTGGTCACTAACTCAAGGAAAATAATTACACCTCTCTTCTTCTCAGCACACACCATTAGAACTGTTCCTGCGCATAATCCAAATGTAATCTAAAGAATTGTGGAACTTTTCTAACCATCTTTTCCCAGGGAGCTGCTATGAAGTACTTGCCCTCAACACTGACTGATACCTTGACCATGCTGGATCCAGAGGAGCTGGCTGTACTAGTCAAGGATTTCCTTGCCAGTTTGCCTGCCGACCGTCTGGTCAAGCAGAAGATGGATTGCATCAGGGACATTGTGCACAGCGATCTCTTCAAACTCAGACGTGAGTTATGCCCTTTTGAGAAGATTTAAATGGGGGAGAGTGTTGTTGAATGGTTAGCTTTCGTCAAATTGATTCAGTGGTCAAGGGTTTGATTCCAGCTGCTTGTCATATGTTTGTGCCAGAATTGGTGCACAGTGATCTCATCAAACTCCGACATGAGTTTTGTTCCTCAGGGGATTGAAATCGGTGAATTATAGTGAAGGAGTGTGCCTCTTGGTTGGGGTCATGACTCCTGATTAGAAGGGCAGGGGTTCAATACCATGTGTTGGTTGTTCAGAAGCTGGACTGCTACAGGGACGTTAAGCACAGTGATCTTTTTACACTCAGATGTGAGTTTGCCATTGAATTTGCCATTTGAAAGGCTCAGCATTGTTTATCATTTCTCTATAAAGCTTGGGCAAATCCAAGACCACTGTAAGTTTGTGATAAATCTCAATTATTCTTCCTCCGTGGTGAGATTCAGACCCGTCAGAATTCACCATGAAGTTTGCAATGGGTTTATGAATTCCGGGTAGAACCCAGCAACTTTTATCTAAGCATGGATGTCTTAAGGGAAAGCAGTCACTTGCCGCCGCCCCCTTCACCAGAAAAGGGAAAACAAGGGGTACAAAGTTGGTTGAAATCAGTACTGTTAATGTTTGACATTTTGAACAGTAGAAACTGCTGGAAAACAGCCTTAAACTCTGCTGTGTACATACATATATACACTTTTTGCACAGTACCTCCCAAGTGACATCCAGCACATCTCTCAGCTCTCAAAGCACACTACTTCAGTTTAGCTTGTATCACTACGGCATAATTTCTCTTCCTCAAATTGTACATTGGTATTTGGTATTTGGTATTTGTTCTTGTTTGTTCTACTCTTACCATAGCACCATGAGCTCCTACCTTTAGATGGGTTTGGGAGCATAATAAATGCTTACTATTATAGGCAGTGGGCACTGAATATGCAACCTCACTAGTCACCTCTCTCATGTAGGTGTTACTGACTTTTCCTACGTCTTGTTTCCTCCCAGACTGCCGAGTAATACTGGTTCCCATGGTAACACAGTTCCTCAAGAGTCTGCTGACTAAGAAAGAAGACATGCGATTGGTTGCTGACGTCCTGAGTGAAATCCTGGACACCCTGTGGAGGAAAGATATGGTGAGTGCCATATGCCCTCCTTGAATTAACAGTGGATAGCACTCCATGACCACTCCTGAGTCATCCAGTGGACAAGATAACACTGACTGTATACACTGGTTCCTGCACACTTGGTGTGATGGGGCAGAGTAGACATGACTTCATTTATTCTGAATAGTCACAAGCCTGTAGCTTCTATGTGTGAGTATCAGGTGTAGGCCTACAGTGTTCTACCTAACTATCTCTTAACCTTCGTTGACAGGATACTTGTGTACGGAGTCCAATGACTGGTCATTATGACATCACACATGCGGGTTGTCATCAGGCAAACCAGCCATCATATTATGTCTCACAATTATGTAGTATAGAATGGAGTGATTTGCTTTTTTCATATAAGCAAGTTTGCACAACGTGAAAGTGTGACTGTGTTTATTTTTAATTTGTTTTGTATTTTTTGTCAATTAGGGACCAACCCATGGAGACATTTCAGAGGTGATGCACACGTTACTTCGAACCGTCATACAGTCAATCATCTTCATGTACATCGAGAATGATGATACGCTCATTGTAAGTTCCTTTGACTCTTTTTATGCAAAACACAACAACCCACGTTGGACTTATCTGAGCCACCTACGTAGATATCACACTTAATATACGACATAATGGAGCCGTAATATACAATATTTAGGTTGAAAACCTGATTCTCTTGCTAGAGTTGCTGCTTAATCAAACCTTTTTCCTTTTGCATCTCTGAAGGGGAAGTTTGTCAGTTGTATCATCTCCATCTTGAATCAGATGACTGAGTTCCACTACCAGGAGTACATCAACTCCTTCCCCACTAGGACAGACCTGCTAGATTTCCTGATGGAGATCTTCATGGTCTTCCGTGATCTTGTCTCCAAGAACATCTACCCGCCTGACTGGGCTACCATGATTGTCCAGCAGAACAGGTTAGGCAGTCAGGACTTGGATCCAGACACATTTTTTCCAAAGACTTTTTTGAAGAATTTTAGGCAATCCAGATTCATGATATGTTTTGAGTAGGGTGACTATATCAGGGTTTTCCATAAATGGATATTTGAGGAAGAAAAAATTGGACATTTTAAAACTGATTTTTAATCTTGTCTAAAGATTTGAGACTCTTTTGTTGTCTAAAGACCAGTTGCAAATTTCAATATTTTCCTGGGAAAAACTTGTCCTCATAATGATGTAGGTAATGCTAATGTAGATGGTGTGTTTGAGTCTAGCCATTTTGATTGTGGTGCGTGTGTCCTTCGACACCCTGCTATTTGGATTATTATCTGACATTGTTTTTGTGTCATGAATGTCCTGTACCCATAGTGTCATCCTGTTAGCCATGAAGCAGTTTGCCCGTGTCTTACATCGTTCCTTTGTCCGCGTCGATGAGTTTGAGTCCCAGCTCTGGAATAACTTCTTCCATCTTGCAGTGGCCTTCGTGACGCAGGAATCGCTGCAGCTGGAAAACTTCAGTTCTGCCAAAAGGAACAAGATCTTGGAAAGGTTTGTCTCCAGAACACAACAGAATCTCTCATTTTTGTGGGTTTTTTGGTATCATTAAATGGTTTACAGAAATAAAAGGAGGAACAAATTCTACAAATGGTTCTGAAATAAAGACAAATGTTTTGTGGGATTTTTGTGTTCCAGTAATTTAACAAGATTTAGATTGTGCCCTCACCCACAAAAAAATATCTGTCTCTCTCTCAATGTGACGTCATTGACAAAATCAGATGTAGCTTCTCTGCCTCTGCAGACACAAACACAATGAGTTTTGTACAAGGCTCTGGACATTATGGTGGGCAAACTTACCGATGAGGTCACATTGAAAAAAATAGGTGTATTTCGTGGGCAGGAGCACTAGAAATATTGTTTGTCTGGCCCAAGTTCTATATATCACTGAAACACACAAATCCTGTCAAATCTTCCATATTCATGTATTAATCTTGTTTTGCAATCATTTGCAGATGTTTTGTGTTTCTTTTTCTGTAAACCTTTAAGAAGTTGGGTGGATTGTTTGTTTGACTCGTTAGGGGAGAATGCAAAATTAAACAGGCGGTAACTCCCATTTACCTCGAGGATTAACAGGGTTTTGTGGGATGCCTCAGGGTAAATGCTAGAGTTACCCCTTTAATTTTGCATTCTTCCCTTAATTCACTGGGCTTTTGTGGTGCTGTGTTGGAATCAAGTTATCACAAATTGCAGCTCTAGTCGAATATCAATGTAATGGTTCGAGTTATCTAGCATACTGATCTTTCTGGACAAACTTGATAGATGATTTAGCTAGTTACAACCACATACCCTGTTATCCCTACTGAAAAGGCACCGAACTGGCAAATAGTCATTCTATTGGGAGATGGGTGTCTGGGGGAAAAAAGAGTAAGTGGCCTTGTCTGTACCAACAAATGCAAACAGGAGGTTGCTGTAGGGAACTTAATCAGTAAGGCGTAATATACATTGTACTAAATACACTGTTCTGGCATCTACCTTTGGCAGATATGGTGACATGCGTCGGGAGGTAGGCTTTGCCATCATTCGTACCATGTGGAACTACCTGGGCAAGAACAAGATCCGTTTCATCCCTGAGATGGTAGGACCATTCCTGGAGGTCACCTTGGTACCTGAGACGGAGCTCCGTAAAGCCACGCTCCCTATCTTCTTTGACATGATGCAGTGCGAGTGCAACATCCGCGGCAACTTCAAGGAGGTAAGACAGGGTTTATTTCCCGCACTGGAGAAGAGGTTTCATTTTTGTGTGTAATTACTCAGCAGAGTTGTCATCCAGCCAAATACATGACAATCAAAAATAAAGTCACATCTGACAGAGGATAAGCAATAACGAGCGAGTGCCTCGGTCAGAGTTCATTCACTTGACTTGGAACTCAGTGACCTCGTATTGACTTGTGAATGACTTGATTACAACTCTGGTGAGAGATGGGAAAGAGTTTCAGTTTTATTGGTTCTTGCACACATAACATTGCTAATAAGGAAGAAGCTGAACTGAAATGACAGGCGGGATATCTGGATGTGATTAGTCCCTATACCACCCAAACGGCCCTACCCATTGTACTGCCTGATACCGCCCAAGCACGTCCTATGAATTCATCAAATACAATGTACTACAATGTAGTACTGGTGCGTGCCAATTGGCGAAAACACGTCCAAGCATTGGTAGAAGTTAAGGTGCTTGTAAAAAAAGTTCATTACTTCAAATATTATCTTATTTTCCACATTGAACTTCATGATTAAGACAAATAAGTCAGTTATGTTATGCAGAATATGTGTTCAAATAGAAAGATTTTAGGCTTCTTTTTGCCCTGCTGGCATCCTGACATGTCAAAAACAATAACAAGAAGTTCTTTAATAACTGTATTATTTTCTCAATTTGTAGTTTGAGCGTGAGATCATTAGTCAGCTAGATGCACTAGTTGAAGGTGGTCATGGTGATGAACAATACAGGGAACTCTTTGGACAGATGTAAGTAAAACACAAAACTCCTCATTTTGACTAGTATTAATCCATGTATTAATCCTAACAGAACTCAACCCATCAAACCCCAACGGCATGTTTTGTTGGAATCTGTCAGGATGGGTACAGTACCCCTAAACTGACAGTCTTTTACAATGGGTTGGCACACCTCCAGAATCAAAGTCAGAAATATGTGTGTGCGGTTTTCCCATATGGTGTTGGAATTTGCCAGGATTTGTATGGTTCCTAGTAAATCATGCTAGGGAGTTAGGGTTAACGAGTAAATAAACAAAGACGTTATTGTGTGCTCTTTTTTTAATTGTCACTGGCTTTTTTGTAGCCACGTTATTACTATCTGTTTATTGTTGGATATATTTTGGTTCAGGATCGGTGAATACTGCAAGCAGAACACGACCAGGTTTGGAAACGAGGGGCTGACTTTCATCAAAGTGGTGCAAGACCTGATGGGTCGGCTGTTGGAATACCGTGACGTAATCCATGATGAGAGCAAAGAGAATAGGATGAGTTGCACTGTCAACCTGCTGGTAATGTTAAACCCTTAACACGGCCACAGAGCTCTCTCACTTAGATAAAGAGTCTGAGCACAGCCAGATAGTCATTGTCCTTATGCGCTCTCATGTATGGGTCAGTGTAATTGCAATATGCACATGTGCTCAATGGTCGTTGAATTGGAATGAATGCGCACTTAAAGCTATAGTCCATCATTTGTAATTTGTGCATTTTGTTCGTTTGAAGCAACAAAAGGGTTCAAAATCTAATGAAGGATACTGAACAAATAACCTGATGAAGTTTCAGCTAAGCTTCAGCTGTACATATCGAGAAAAACAGCATTCTAAGATCTCAATTTCAAATCAAAAGTTACTGAATCATGTTTTGAATTGTTTTGAATTGCAGCCATACGCGACGTAGCGCACTGATCCGACGAATTACAACAATCGTTCCAATACTTGTGCGCGCTGCGCTGAATAACAAAACGAACTACTAATTTAAATTTTCCTACGGTGCTTCTTAAGAATCACCGTTGGAAATGCCTTCTTTCGTTGATTACTTCAAAATGACAGCTTCCCAGAAGGAATACTTTCACAGGGAGTTTAGTTCCCTTACTATCTTTCAACCAAGTTTGTTTTTCAACAATAATTACGCCAGTTACTTTTCGGATGGCTGCAAATGATGGACTATAGCTTTAAGTACCTGAGATCAGGATGCGCTGCATTGTCAACCTGCTGGTTAAAAGTTAGTCTGTACATAGCCTCAGTATCTCGCAGTCGGAGTTGGAGTCAGAGAAGGTCCAGTGTGTCATATGACCTCTGACATAGGAGTCAACATAATTTAAACACGGACAAAAAAAACAGTGGTCGCTGAATGGACATGATAGTTGAGAGCTAAGGATTCTATAAGGATTCAAACACCTCAGAACAAAGTTTTCTGATATGTACCCTGTATTTTTTCCCCCAGAATTTCTACAAGGACATAGACAGGCAAGACATGTATGTGCGGTACCTATACAAGCTGTGTGATCTGCACTTGGAATGTGATAACTACACAGAGGCTGGCTTTGCACTGCAACTACACGCAGACAGGCTGCATGTGAGTATACCATGCAACAAAAACCAAGCCTTATTGTCTCTGTGCATGAGTGCTTGAGGGCGCTGTCACAGAGAAAAGATACGGAAGCAGCTGAAGTGTCATGAGATGAATGTTACTTGTGGCTAATTCCCAGCTGATTTCAGCTTAGCACAGAAACATTCTAAGCAATGTTTTCTGCTAGTAAGGTCCATTCAATTTGGACCAGAAGAAGTGCTGACAAATATTCTAGCTGCCTTGATATGCGCAATTCAAAGGACAGTGGGATGAGGCCTTAATCAGTATCTGGCTTATTCTCATATGGAGAAGGCTGGCTTATTCTCATATGGAGAAGGTGGTCAGTGTGTTTCCTTTTTGGTTTGTCACTCTTCCCATGTCACTATTAATCGCAGGGAGAGCTTCGGCTGGGATCAAAACCTCAGGCCCTCAATGTTTTACAATAAGTTTTTCCCTTCACTTTCAAGATTATTGTGTGAAGCGTAAGAAAGATTTGCTTGATATTCACACTGTCTCATGATGACTTTGCTGATTAGTGGCTTAACACATAAGGTGCTTAACATTGTTCACTTTCAGCAGTTCCATTAGGCTGGGCCCATGAAATCAGGGGCCTGTCTGGGTGCTCCCTGATGTTATAGACATAGTTTACAGCTAATGTGACCTCTTTTTGCTTTGGTTGCAGTGGTCTGACAAACCCCTGTTGACACACAGTGACAAATACCCTGAGGCACTGACAGAGAGGCAGCTGAAGGAACTCCTGTACTACGATATTGTGGATTTCTTTGACAAGGGAAAGGTAGGAGTAACACATTGCTAATGCAGATTTGAGAAAAGCAAAGCAATTGGTTTATTGGTTTATTGCTTTGAATGTATTACAGTGTGTTTGATACTTGTTCTGTGCGATGGCATTTGTAAAGAAATGGCTATCCCAGGTTCAACAGATGCTTATGACTGTACGTTATTTCTTTTTCTTTTGATGCTATTTTCCAGATGTGGGAGAAAGGCATTCTCCTGTGTAAAGAGTTGCAAGTCCAGTATGAGAAGGAACTGTTTGACTACATCCAACTCAGTGAACTGCTTGTAAGTTGATATTTTGCATTAGCAAGCTGCTTGTCTGTGTAGTTAGTCAACTCTGTGTGGGAACAATTGTCAGGTTATAGGAGTTTTATTGAAAGGCATTTTAGAAATTACAGTAGGGACTTTTAGTTGTTGCATTTTTAAAAGATACTATTCATATTTTTTTTTTAAAAGAATGTCGGTGTAAGAGTGGAGGGACACAGTTTTTGAAGGGTTTGTACTCTCTCTTCTGGCTTCCTACAGTAAAACATGAAAAAGTTACTGTGTGCATTTAAAATGTGTGGTTACTGACTAAGGTGGGATTGGAACCTGGGACTTTGGTAATAGTGTAGCGGCACTCTGCTAACCCTATCTAGCCATATAATGGCAGTCCTTTACTGTCTCTTTGTCCGGGGCCTTGTCAAATTGTTCAAAGTTAATACCTCAAATCATTATGAAATGAAACGGGAAATTTGTGTCGCAAAACATGCCGCTGTGAAAATGACCATATGTGTAGTGTGTTCAATTTTTGCAATCTCGCAGTGTGATGACTTGCAGGGATATCATAAAGTCAATACACACATTGTTTCTGAGTCAAGTTTGTTTTAGCCCATAGAAGGGTCTTGCAGTTCATTTCCAGTAGAATACTGAATTGTCATGACTAATTGTGCCTTGCCTGCATGCAGCAAAGAATGGCCCACCTGTATGACAAGATAATGAAGATCCCCCGCCCAGCTCCCGAGTACTTCAAGGTCATGTACATCGGCCATGGCTTCCCATCATTCCTCAGGGTGAGTTTATGAACAGATAGAGGGCGCTCTAATCAATAGCAAGAATCATATGTCGATTCAACCCTAGACACCCTCCATTAATTCCTGCACCAATGTTTGGCAATGTGTTTGATGGCTTCGGACTGTAGAACCCGGAAAAACAATGGCAAACAATTTGTTTGTTGTTGGAGCAAAATTTCTTATGGGTATTTTTATCTGGAAAACATTCGTTTTGGCCAAATAATTTCAAATCAAATGAACAAATCAAGACTTGGCTTCAAACAAGGGGAAAAGCGATTAGCATAATCAAATTACAAGTACCTGAAAAAAAATAACATCTACAGATGAAATATTTCTGTTTTTGCTCAGGATGAGGCTTCAATATAAACTATGCAACCAAACATATTGCCAAGCACATTTAAATGACAAGCCAACATCAGCTAGGAACTACTCATGAGTGGTATCCATCATTTGACATTTTAGCTTACAGTCCATTGCTTTTAAAGGTATAGTCCATCATTTGTAATTGGTGCATTTTGTTTGTTTGAAGCAACAAAAGTGCTCAAAATCTAAAGAAGGATGCTGAACAACTAACCTGATGAAGTTCCAGCTCAGCTTCAGCTGTATATTTCGAGAAAAACAACATTCTAGGATCTCGATTTCAAATCCAAAGCTGCTGAATCGTGTTTTGAATTGGGCCTGAATTTAGCGTCCGTGACACGTTCTGACTAAGCTGATTGCAGCTCTATGCGATGTCGCGCACTGATCCGACGAATTAAAGCAACTGTGCACGCGTGTGCATTGTGTCAATGCTTGTGCGCGCTTCGCCGAATAAGAAAACAAACTACTCACAGAAATTTCCAACAGTGAGTCTTCAGACGCACCGTTGGAAAGGCCTTCTTTCGTTGATTTCTTCAAAATGACAGCATGCCAGAAAGAATAATTTTACAGGGAGTTTAGTCCCCTTACTATCTTCCAACCAAGTATGTTTTTCAACAATAATTACGTCAGTTACTTTTTGGATAGCTGCAAATGATGGACTGTAGCTTTAAGCAAAGACTTTTCTATACTTAACAAATTTGGACTTGCCCAAAGGATTCCAACTGCTCAAAGGATCTTTTCGGTGCATAAGTGGTAAAACCAATTGATTATCTCACTTTCTTGTTCATCCCTTGGTCGTCTGATTGCTTCACAGAACAAAGTCTTCATCTATCGAGGCAAGGAGTATGAGCGGCTGGCTGACTTTGTTGCCCGGTTACAGCAGCAATTTCCCAACGCTACAATGATGAACAAAACCACGCCACCAGACAGCGAACAGATGCAGTCCAAGCAACAAAGTATCCTTATCTTGGTCATGGTCCTTTTGTCCTTGGGCAAGCCATTTGACTGCAATTACTTACATTTGCATTCAGATTTACCGGATCAAGTGGACTCCATGCTGGAACAGTGCTGTGTGGCTTACACATGCTAATTAGTACATTAGGATATATCATGTGCGCACACAGGTTTGTGTGGACATGCACTGCAGACATGAGTGCAAATGCCTATTGACATCTGTGAAATGCACTAACCTGTAGTGGCTGCAATTTGGCCCAGTTGTCATTTGGTTGTCATCATTGAGGGAGGAACATGAGCACAGACTCCACACCATTAGTTACTGTATGAGTGCTGATCAGTGAAATGGCTCATTGTATGAATGCAGATTGATGTGTTATCATTGCCATTAAACTAAGCAGTGCTGAGGGTCAATGAATCTCATTTGCCAACCTGTAGAGTGCCAGAGTTGATCAAATAGGCACAGAGCACTATCTTATAATTCACCGGAAAAAAGTTGTGTTTGTACCTTCAAATTAATGTGTCTATTTTTCATTAATCTTCATGTAAAAGTCAAAATTATATAAGTCTCTCACATTTGATTGTTTATTTTTAAAACTAACTATTTACTATATTTACTGCATGACACCACTAGGGTAATGTTTGTATCATTCGCATCTAGAGAAATTTCCTTAACCCACATCTCTCTAGTTCTTCAAGTTGTTCCCGTCCAGCCGTTAAGAGAAGAACGAAGGGAGTTCAAAGGCAAAACTATCTGTGATCAAATCCTAAGGTGAGAAAACAGTTATGGGGAGGAAGTAGTTTCCAGACTTCTCATCCAGTCAATCACAAGCTGATCACAAGTCCAATCACAAGTCTAGTCATAAGTCAAGTCACAAGTCATAAGTCCAGTCACAAGTAGTAGGGGATAAATGTGTTGAACAATCATTTTGTTTTGTAATTGTTTTTCAGTTACTATGCAGTGAATGAGTTGCAGAGATTCTCCTACTCAAGAGCCTTCCACAGGGAAACCAAGGACAAAGACAATGAGTTCAAAGCAAGTACCAAATCAATGTCAATTCAACTTATAAACTTGAACTTTGACCTAAGAAGGTTTTTTTCTTCCCTCTATTATGAGAATACACATTTTACAGATACAAAATAGTCTGGGCTCTCTGTTTGCTTTCTCACTAAGATTCCTTAAAAAAAGGAGTTAGAAGTACCTTCTTTAGATTTCAGACAGTCTGTTTGTTTCTATCCATTTAGGCATCCTGCACTGCCTGCCACTGTTCATTATATTTATCAATCTTTAATTTGCGGGGTGTCTGTTTCCGACTTACTTTGACAGATCTGCCATTGTTACATATATATTTTTTGTGGCAGACGATGTGTATTGAGAGAACCTACTTCACTACAGCCTACCGGCTGCCTGGCATTCTCAGATGGTTTGAAGTTCTCAAAACAGCCTCCGTAAGTTGTGACGCCCTTATTATCAAATACAATGTAGTGTGACTCGGCTCAGTAATGGAATATTTTGTCCATGGCCAATTTTATGGTGCTTTGGTAATAGCAGGAAAGTGATTCCATATTGATCACAAGTCAATCACAAGTCAGTTGAAAAGCTATTCAATGAAATGTGAGGAAAACATTCAGTTCTAATTGTCATCTCATGCTACGTGTACTTGTAACCTGACTTGTGATTGACCCAGCTAGAAATTTGAGTTGTGCTGGCATGTGACATGCTAATGCGTCCTCATGCTTGGAGATTTCTACTGATGATTTGCTGTTTAAGCAAATACTTCAAATAAATGTACTCTTTGCTGTGTTATTTGCTATGGTCTCCATGACATTGATGGCAACTTGGTTGGCTGCACCAAGCAATATGCCCCTGTTATGTCTGTATGGGACCTGAACCTTGACCTGTGATCTTTAACCTTTGACCTTACCCACTCCAGGAGGAGCTGACCCCCATCCGTAATGCCATTGACAGTATGGAGGATGCCAACAGTAAGGTGAAGCAGATGATTGGTCAGTACCAGGCTGACTCCAGCCTTCCCATCAACCCTTTGAGTCTGCAGCTGAATGGTGTGATTGACTCGGCCGTCATGGGCGGACCGGCCAAATATGAGCAGGTCAGAACAATAATGGGGGGGGGGGAGAGAAGGCTTGGGGTAGTTGCATACTGACAAATTGAAGACTGAGTTTGGAAGATGACTGTCCATGCCCTTAAACAGACTTGAGACAAATGTTCAACTTATTTTAACGAAGTTTGTTTCAGTTTGGGCGTGTACAATCCTCTGAAGAAATGCTTGAATTCTGGGTTGCTTTTTGCACACAAACAAATCCACCCTGCGAGTAGACTGCTTCCTGGTCCCTACATTATCAATTCTGATAAGGAGGCGGGAACCAGTTTACTCAGCATCTGCTGACTTACTGTCAGCAGAAAAATATTCTAAATTTGTAAAATATTTATTCCATTACTAAACGTGGATGGAGTCTTTTCCTTCCATATCTCATTCAAAAGTGAATAACTTTTGTACTGTCGGAAACTAGCCAGTTGAAAATGACATCTCCTTTTTTAACTTAAACTCCCAAATAGCACTGACAGTTCATCTTGAAGCATCTTTCCTAAACTAAACAGCTTAGGCAGAGGGACATTTTTTTCTTTTGAGCTTGACTCTTCCAAACCCTTGAAAATTTGGAAGTGGATTTTTAGATGATTTTGCAGGATTAAGGAAATTTGGGTCCTGTCTATTATTTTTTACATGGGGTTTGAAGACTCTGGAAACTTCCAAGTTCAAAGCAACTGCCTTGGATCCCTGCAAATTGGTGGATTTTAAAGGAATCAGGAAGGCTCAGAACGATTATGTCAAGGGATGAAAGGGTCAAAGACCTATTTTCGAGTAAATTTTTTACGTTAAGGGAATTGTTATGAAAATTTGGGCAATGTTTGGTGTGTTGGGGAAAAAGGAGCAACATTTTTAATTATCACAAAAGAATTTTTTTTCGGGGGGAGGGTTTAGAGTGTCACGGTGAAATATGGGATTTTTATCCAACCGAACATAAGTTGAAATACCAACTGAAGTTATTATTACCCCTGCTGTTAAAGTCATTAAAGCCATCCCAAGATACCTGAGTGACTAGCGAATTGTTTACTTGACTCTAGGCTTTCTGCACTGATGAGTATGCAGGGGAGCATCAAGAGAATGGCATCCACATCACCAGACTCAAGGAACTCTTTGCTGAACAGGTACAGTAGTGGCTGCTTCTTTTGTTTAATACATGTATATATTATTTAATTTCTTTTTAAAGGAACAGCCACTGTGGTTAGGACACCTGAAAAGAACTTGAGAAAAAGATGACACAGACATGTTTAGTTTGAGTGCTGGGGGAAGGTGGGAAGCCTTGAATGATATTCTAGGGGGGAACCCACAGAATCAGATAAAAATGAAAACCCAGTCCGTGTTGGCGCAGGCTGTTTTCTGATACCGTATATGATTCCGTATGAGATATCCAATGGTAAATAGGCACAAACTCTGTTTAAATGAACTATCACAATCAAGTTTGAGCTTCCGTGTGTAGAATGTAAAAACGTCTCAACTACATTAGCTTGAATGCACTTACAGAACACATTTTGACTAGTATAAGATGTAATTTTTTTGTTTGCTTCGGGGTGATATAAATCAAATTAGGTTTTGCCCTTCACCGACACACAACAGTTTGACTAGGCTGATCTGCTTTTTCTACCGTCAAATATAATTTTTGCAGAATGTTCGATGTCTGTCATCATTTCACCCACTGGATATAGGGATAGTGTTGTCAGATCTTATGGGCTCCGTGCACGAACAAGAGAGGGCGCTTACTGAACAACTTTGAGAGCCCCGTGGAAGGGACACACTGCATGCGCGTTCTGGTTCGCGCTCATATAGCGTGAAGTACGCACAACTTTTTTTTATTCTGAATGTGCACAAAACAAAGCGTCTTCGTGTGAGCCTCAGGCGTCGTCAGCAATGCGTTCAAATGTCACTTCAAGTGGTCTCCCCCAACTCTCCCTTCCTTACCGTTGAGGGGGTACTTGTACAGGGAGCCCATAATGAGCAGCTTTGCAGACCCAAGAATCAAGTCCCTAATCAGTTTTAACCAATGCTAGTTGGACCATTCCTTCAAGAATGTGCCAGGTTTCCCACATGGAAAAATCCTGGAAAAGTTGGAATTTAATGCTATCATTGAAAGTCATGGAATTCGGTTATTTTACAAGGAGTCATGGAAAGTTGATATTCTAAGAAAAAAAGTCTTGGAATCCTGCACAACCCATATGTGATCATGGGTAATATTTGGCTATGACCTTCTTCCAGTTTGCATTCCAGTTTACTATACTTCCTCTTTATGCATGTATGCGCTATTCTTGTTGCATGTTCAATGCACCATTGTGATGCCTTTGTGGTGCTCAGTGGTCTTGTGTCAAACTGGAAGGCTGAAAGGGAGTGACGTCCCTTGCCTCAGTGTGATGACTGGCCAATGTATCGGGAATAATTTTCTTAGATGCCAAAACCTCGTAGGAATTGGTTATGGAAATCCCTAATTTTGTCCTGGAAAAGTTGTTGAATCTCATTTTAAGATTTCTGTGGGACGTGTACACCTGACCATCTGGTTTCCCAATGATCAGCCACCATGGCAGTAGCCAGGTGTTTGGTTAGCAACCACGTCATGCACTGTAAACTAGATGGTAGGGCGGATTGTCATGTATAATAATTGCCAATTCTTTATCAACTGGCATAATGGACACTACCTGTGCAGTGTATGGTTGTCATAATCCAGCTGACCCAGCACTGGGTGTTGGCTCCGCAGTATACTCACAGTTTTTGCTATCCATCACAGCTTTGCAATGTGCTATACAATCTTGGCCTACTGTAATGGTGATGCTGACATTCTGGTCATGAGAGAGCCCTATTGTGTGATTTATACAGACCCCTGAACCTTTTCATTTTCCTAATACTAGGTGGCATTGGTTGAGGTGGGTTTGATGTTACATCGCAACAAAATGAAGGAGGATTTGCGGCCGTTCCATCAGAAGATGGAAGTCATGTTTGTCAAGAGAAAGGAATTGGTGGAGGAACGATACGGCAAAAAGGTACAGTTTGGAAATCTTTGTTAGGTTACATTAGCCAGACATTTAGATATTTTGGCCAGTTTTCTTCAAAGGTAGCAACTCCAGAGGTTCTTGAAAAAGTGTTTCTTTGTGTTTTGCAGAGCTAGAAAAATGTTCCACCGGTTATGGTATAAAAATGAAGCTTGTATATCTTTGATCTTAATGAGTTCGTTTACTGGCATTGATAGTACTTTTTCTCAAAGGAATGCTGTTAAGACAGTCATTTTGAAAAAAAATAATTATCAAATAAACCACAAGGAGGAAAGACTAGGTTCCCTTTTAGTCAACAGTCTGTTAAGCAAATAATTCACTGGAGTGGGAAGTAAACTTCTGACCTCTGGAACTGTATCATTCTCTAACAAATTAGCTATCCAGCCATATAAGTAGTCTTACTACAATACAGTTTATATCGGTGCAATCCGTTTGTTTTGTAGCTTGTGGAAGGTTTTGCATTGACCCCCAATGATCGCATGATCCAGTCCTACGCTCGGCGTTTCTCACGAGGTCAGTCAGACCGGCCACTGTCTGCCATGTCCAACTCATCCACATCGTCAGACACTCATGGGTCTCGGAGTAGCATTGTCTCCAATCCAGACATGATGTAAGTCCTCTCTAAAATACAACTAGTAATTGAAGCCAGTATTAACTCTTTCAGTGCCCACAAAATTTGAAAAGTTTAACCCTAAAGTGCCCAACTTCAAGTGTGTTTTTTAATTGTTCAAAATTCTGTAAAAAAAAAAGGAAATAAGTTTTACTCACTAAATTTGTTGTTGCTCGCTGGTATATCCTTGGTACATTGAAAAGTCAATAGTAGTCACGTACATAGTGATACACCCTGAAACACTGTCCTGCACACAGGGGAATTCTGCACTTTTTGCAGAAAATACAAGTGTCAGTGCTGCGCTCTCTCGCAAGAACTCGAATGAAACAAATAACTACAGGTCGTACCTGAATGAAAATGATATTATTAGAAAGAGCAAGAGCACCCCCCTTGTGATAACATGCTTACTCTACCTCGTACATGTACGAGGTTTTGCGATTTTAAGTATGAACATTACAAAATACTTCGAGTTGGCACTTCGAACTAACAAATATACCTCGTACATGTACGACTTTGGCACTGAAAGAGTTAACTCCTTGCAAGAATAGCAGATGACGCTGTGTCAGCAGTCAAGAGCAATCTGTGTACAGGACACACGGTATATGGCTTGAAGTTTGCATTACCAATTTTTATCAAAATGTGGACAAACGCTGTAATGTTGCATTTGGTCGCAATGGCATTCAGGAGTCCTGCCTAACTCATTCATTGTCACCATTGGGGGCGGGGGGGGGGGGGGGGACTTGTGCAATAGGCCCATAGACCAATCCGTTGAACAATTGTGCCGCATGCTGCAGGCATGTGCACGTGGCATGTGTTCTTTATTAAATAGAGGCAGCCCAGCATTTTGGGAGAACCCCGTCAATCCAAAGAGAATTGAGTGCTTCTTTAATCTCATGTCATGTAACAAAGAAAAGTGTTGTTTTTTTCCCCTGAAAGTTAGAATTTCCTCTTATCAATTATCCTTTCTATGTTGTACAGAACGACAGAAAATGTGAAGTGAAATTGATATTGATTCAATGTCTGTTTACATTTATGTTAATGCTGTCTCTATTTTACCAAAGAAGGTCAAACAGTCTAAATTACAAGTAAGATTTGAGGCTTTGCATGGTGGAGATACTAAATAATGAAAGGTTTGCGGAAACACCTTGTGCGAATAATTTCTCAACTAAGAGAATGGTTCTGAAAAGAACCAGAGGTATAAACTCAACAAGTGTAATCTAAATTACACTTGTTTCTTTCCCCCGTTCAGTTCCACATACAGGCACACAATCAAATGTTCAAATATTTTCAGTTGTTTTTTTTCTGAGTCAAATATCCAAAATCTCGACATCCAATTTTGAATTAATAACTATTCACAATTACCCCAGTTGGTAGAGCACTGAAATGCTACTTGAGTGGTCTCAGGTGCACATCTAGTCAAAGTCACAGAATTGCCTTTAATCATCTTCAATTTCAAATGTATTCTTCTCCACATACACCAGGAGCTACTTGCAATTAGTCAGTTCCACTGTGTCCCAGCATTGGAACTTTAACTTGACCACACCCCGGCGCATGAGTGACTCTGCAACCTATTCCAGGGGGTAATACAGATATTATCAATTCAACACTAAATCTGCACCACCCAAAAAAAACACCCAAAACATCAAATGCCAACTACTTGTCATGCCGTGCTGTTCATTCACAACAAGCTGAGTAGCAAAGACCATCAAAGGCACTGATAGAGTTTTTCCATTTCTTGACAAGCACACTTTATTTCTAGTATCATATCTCACATGGTGTTTTTTTTTTCTAATCCAAGAGTGCAATAACAAGCGTGTTTTGGTTGGGAAGCAAAATCCAGTAAAAACCCTCTTTTTTTAATGCGTTTCACCTGTTTGTTTCAGCTGCGTTAGAAGAATTCTTGATTTCTTTCATTTAATGGAAACGATTTTTGTTACCTCCCTAAACTTGCATTGAGGAAGTGCAAGGATTGATTGGATTCACCCCAAAGCGGCGTCTGTTGACCATTTGGAAACAGGGACATTTGAATGGGAAGATATTAATATAAATTCATTATAGAGTACTGCTAGCCTTCACGTCTTCTCTTGTTGAAAGTCTGCAATCACACCTAACATTACCTAATCAATGAAAAAGTTAAACAATTTCTGGGAATTTTTGGTTAAAAAAATTATGGAAGTCGGAACACCAAGAGATGTGATGAAGTGATGTGATGACGTGGCCCTAAAATTCCCGACAAACGACTCATTCAGCTTGATCGCATCACATTTGGTTTCAGGGTCTAGTTGGTATTCAACTTTAGAAAGTAAAAACAAAAAGACTTTTCACCACCTCTGCTTTGGTCTCTGAAACTGCAGTGGTTATTTGTGACCATTTTCCCCCTTACCCATAAAGTGATTCTAACAAGACAACAGAAATGGTCATTCTGGAGTGCAGTAGAAGAGATTCAATAAAAGCAATCAATGGATCACCCATTGGGATCTTTCGGGGTTTTTTGTAATCATCGCTTCTTTTTCTCACTATTTCATCACGTTTTCAGCGATACACCAACACCGAATGGGTAAGGCAGTGATTGACTGATATTTTTATTAAGTCTTGCATGGCACTGGGTTTGTTTGGTTTAATATGGACTCCGTGCGGTAACTGTAGATGGTGATTTCAGGTTGCTTTACCGATGCCAGTTTCAAGTTTCACCCCCAAAAAAGAAATTTTGTTTTCAAACTGCTATTTTACCGGTAAAACATTCACTTTTGAATAAGATATCGGACCCAAAAAATCCACTCACATTTAGTTATGGAATATTTACTTTTCACAGTTTGAATTATTTGCAGGCCAACAATAATTCAGGAGTGTCTTTTGTGGACTACTGATGCAATATTAAAACTTATTTTCAGAGGGTTGAAAGCATCCAAAATAGAACAAAAGTTTCTCCACTTGGATTATACAAATTGAGGATTTCTTAGGAGAAAAAAAAATTGAATATGTTGAAGAGCATGGGTAGAGAAACTTTAAGGAGCAATCATAGTGTCAAGTGGAGGATACATTGTGTACATGTACACACAATGGTTTGCAGCACGCATGGTGCAGAGTGTTCATGACCAGTTATTAGCTGTGACCATAGAGACAGCCCATGAGAGACAATGCCCCTGAGGGTTGCATCAGGGGGTACCTGTGCACAGAGTCCATATTGGTTGGCATTTCCAGTTCAAGTGGAAGTTAGGAAACCAGCAACGGTTCTAAATAGCAAGACACAAGCTGTAGAAGATTCATATTATGATTTCAGAATGACATCATTGTAAAACATGGCTACCTATGTTATTTTGTTCAAATATGACTTGGTCAATAACCACCCAAAAAAATATCAATCAAGGAGCAAAAGAAAGTAGGACTGCTTGTAGATGAAAAACAATATAATTTTGTTTGTTTCTTTCAGTGTATTACATATCATGTTTTTTTCCCTTTTATTTGATGCTTCATTTTGTTGGATAGAAGAAAAAAGAGAAAGTACATATATGGTACCAGGCTGGTAGACTGCTGCCAGTATTTTTCTTTTACATTAAGAAACTCCATTCTTCATTATTACATGTCTACTTTAATTAAACCCTAATTCTTGCTCCACACGCAATCATGTATGATTACTATGATTGTTTTAGTATTCATCCAATACAAAAATTCCTAGATATCCATGCAATGTTTCGCTCATGATCAGTGGCACATTTTCATTGCTGGTTTTTATCCAGGTTTTAGTGGGTGAAAAATTCATCGTAGTTTCATGTTCAATGAAACTTAAGGTATTGAACTGTCATCGTATCATTCAAACATTCACTGTCTTCAAATCCGAAAGCAAACATTTTTTGCAGCACTTTCATACTTCCAGGCATGAGTCGGTTGTTTTGGTCCATGCAGCATTATCATTTGGATGTTGTTTTTATCAAAGGTTGCAATCGTTTTTTTATTTCCATTTGTGAAATTTCAAGATTGTTCCTTTCTATCTCAGTCTCATAGTTGCCGTGAAGATTTGGTTTGTCCCTTTCCCCTGACTGGTTTCTAGGGTTTTATGAATGAGGATACACTTAAGCATCAACCAAATCCACCCAATCACAGCGTTCCATTCAAGGTCTTGGGAAGTATGCAACAAATGCCGTCAAGCTTCAAATTATCCCACTCTCAGCCTTCTCATGCTTTCCATCATTCCTGAAAGAAATCACATCCCCATACAAATCACTTTAGCCATCTTCCATAGTGCATATACAAAAGTTTGGTCTTGTTGTGTATTTGAGTTTCAGGCCAAACATCCTGTAAGCCACTTGGAGCTGTGTGCATGAACTGTTGTGGGTGGTGTCAAAGCCTAGATTGAAAATGAACCAAAAGCATTCACGTTCTCCAAACCTTGACTTTGCCTTGGGTTTTGAAATCTTCTAAAGAGGGAGACAAAGCCGAAGTTTGGGGAAACTCCTTTTGCAGCACCGAAGGCGAGCTTTATGCATGAACAGCACAGAATACAGAACTGATTGCCTATTGAAGGTGTACTCAAGACTGTCCCAAATGTAGAAGCAATTGATTCTAAGCTGTAGTATAATGCGCTTGCGCAACAGCAAACTCTCTCATTTTAGCCACTTAAGGGTGTAGTCATGTAGAGAGCTCATTATTAGAGTTGTAATCATGTTCAATCACAAGTTAAAGGTTGATAGCAAGTCAGGTCACAAGTAGTCACAGTTCATATGAATAGATTCTGACTTGATTTGAGATTAGCTGGTCTGTGATTGACTTATATTTATGGACTAAGCTGCAACTCTGCCCGTAAACCTTACCAAACCAAACCTTAATCAAGACCTGTTTGTTTATCTTCCAACGCGTTCCTGTATCATTTTTTTTTCAGACAAGGTACCCCCAGCGGCAAGTCGTCAGGCCAACACAAGGAGAAGGGTTCAGGCAGCCCTGCCAAGAGGAACAGCAAGGATCTGTCAGCAGAGGACTCAGGCTCCAATGCCAGCACACCGTCTAAAGAGACAGCCAAACCAATCATCCTGGATGAGAAGGTAGGATGTGACAATTGTTGTATGTAGAGTGCTTACTGTGTAGAGACAAGCATGCTTAGGGCTGTCCATGTTTGTGTACAACCTATAGAAAGCTTGTATTTTAATAGGTTTTGGTGCTACTAATTACACATCTCTGTTTGTAATCCATTGTAATGCATTATTGAAGCCAATAGGCCTGAAATCAAAAGGCAAATGAATGTTTTGTTTTGCTTTGTACATGGAGTGTCATGGCCTAGCGGTTAAGAGCACCGGACTCATGTTCTGGTGTTTCAGAGGCAACAGTGACGTGGGTTCAAGCCCGCCGGCGGACATTTGTGCTCTTAAGCAAGGCACATAACCATTATTGCTTCGTCCTTTGGATGGTGTTGTATAATGCACGTAAAAGAACCCAGTAAACACTTATCGCTATTAGAGAAGGGGTTTGCCCCGGTGTTTCTGGCCTCCTGTATAAACTCCCACGTGGAGTATTTAGGAGAAGAACCAACCAAGAACCAAGAACCATGGAAACATACTAATATTGTGCTGCATAGAAGTTTTCATCGTACTCCTAGAAAGAGCCCATGCAGCCCAGTTTGTTGTACTGTCACAATGTATTTAGAAAACTTCATTCCCACAAATTGTTCACATGTTTTCTGAGCATGCAATTGAATTCAAAACATCTGCCTTCTGGACACCTTCAAAAGCTGGTGTGATAAGGTACATCTTATGTGATGCTTGCAGTGATTTTGTTTCTGCAGCTTTGTGTCTTGCAAGTCCCCAGCTAAAAATAACCCCTAAACCATTGAAATTGCTGACCTAAGAACTTTCTTGGATGCTTGGATAGAATATGAAGCTTTGCAGAATACATCAACAACAGGAGTCAAGAGTTTGCAACCACTTTTTCTCTTAACCACCCACATTCACAAACGAGATTTGCTTTGACATTGTGTAACCACACACCTACCCCTATTTTTGGCTACTGTCTGCCTGTAGATATCAAGTGCCAGGCCGCTTCGTAAGGACATGAAGAAAGCCAACGCCTCTCCCTTACCTAGGCCACTCAAAGCCATGTCTATGCATGTCCGTAAGTATTTAATACACTTGCCATTTCCTTATTGTTGAGACTAGATGGTGTTCTTTAGTGTGTAGAAGAAAAAAAAAGGAAACCCAAATGTCAAGATCATTTTTTTAATGAAGTTCTGCATGTAGCACTTTGAAAATCTTGGATATGAAAGCCCAATTAAGAAGTTTTCTTTTAGTACAAGAATCATTAAAAGCTCTCATGTACTTTTCAAGTTGCAGAATTTTAAACACAACCACCGTTTTAAAGTTCTTTCCACGGATCACAAAAAAGGCAAGTGTTCGATCAGCAAAACGAAAACAATTCACACACATCCTTATGTCAATTGTTTTCGTTTTGCTGAAAGAACACTTACCTTTCTTGCTAAAAGAAAGCTTATTAATTGGGCTTTCATATTTTAGATTTTTAAAGTGCAGAACTTCATGAAATAATTGGTTCTGCCAAATGGGGTTCCATGGTTTTTTTTTACTCCCCCTGTATACACACCTGATTTTTTCAGTCAACATCACGTATTTGTGCTGCTAGAGGCTTTCCGAGTTTGGGCCTCTAAACTCGGAAAGAAAACAGTACTTCTAGCGGTACACTGTTATGTTGTTAATCCCTTTGTCAACAAACCAGCCCCTGTTATCAGATAATGCTGCTAATCCCCTGCGCTCTTATCAGCCGAGTGACAGCACAGTTTCATCACACACAGAGTACACTGTTTATTACAGCCCCACGGCCGCGCCGGTACGAACATACATGTACTTCCTGGCATGTAATGATTTTGTGGTTAACAATGGAGCATGTTTGCTAAATATAAATACACTTGTATTTTAATTTTTAGAAGTGTTTGCAGGTAATCTTTTGGTTTTTACATTTCCTTGCTGGATTACTACTGTTTGTATTTTTTGTTGATCATAACCAGTCCTTCATTTTTAAGGAGCGCGATCGCGCAGGCGCTCCTACTGCGCTCCTCGACTGTCTCGAAGGAGCGCCAAAAATAGCGCTCCTCAGAAATCCAAAAGAGGGCTCGTCAAACACGGGAAGTTTAAAAATAAGAAGTGATAAAAACGCAAAGGATTATAAGTCTTAAGCTACACGTATTTTTCGTTGGTATAATGCCCAAACTCACGTTAATATGCCGCTGGACATCGCTAAAAATGAACGAACACCGAGCTCGTACGTACTGCAGAAGATCGTGTGTGTACAGCGGTTGTATACTGTGCGTGCACAATCTGCATATCGCATAGAGCTGCATGAAAACACGTGGGCCCGTACATACGAGCGAGTGCAGCAATGACTGGTTCCCGCTGCGCCGCGCACTAAGTCCCAATGAAGGCATGATGAAAATGCGGTAACCAGTCAATGTAATAGTCGCGCGCGGTGCATGCAATGCACTGATGCCGTACAGTGTTTTGCGTGCAGGCCGGACGGAATAGACATCGTAAAAATGCCAAGAAAAGAACGATTGAGAAGGAAGATCTTTGCAAGCTTATTCACAGAACTTGATCTCTCTCGTCCGTGTATGTATTTCTTGTGTTCATGAATTTATTTTGAGGAAGTTTTACAGGTATGTGAAGTGAAACGATGCAGCGTGTTTCACCGAAATCCTATACCGTGAAACGAGTCTCATTGCCGGCCCACCACACACAGTGCATCACAAACGCTCGTACTAGTGCGAAGTTCAGATGTTGTTAGCCAGTTTCTCGTCGTGACTAGCATTGTGTATATGGCAAACTTGACCTGCATTTTCCATTATTTTTAAGATTATCGACGGCAGATAATTTCGATAAAACTTAAGGCAAGTTTGTGTCATTTTGAGTCCACGCACAAGACCGACGCCACATTAGTCCAATAAAATCTCTCTCCCCGCCTAACCAAAGAAAGGCCCCTCAAAATAGGTCCGATGCCTCGTGGGTCCAACACCTCATAGCCTCGGGTCCGACAATTAAATGTACATGTATGTACTTTTTTTCCGTCCATAATTCCGACGCTACATAAGTTCCATGCCCCATTTGTCCAACAGCCATCATGAATTAATACAAAACATTGCGTCAAATGTCAGAATGTCCCCTGCCAGTCGATCCAGGTGGGGGGGGGGGGGGGGGGGGCACCCACAAGGGTCTCTAAAATAAAAATTTCCATACAAATTCATGAACAAAAAATGCACCCCCCAGCCATTGAAAGTATGGTACGAGCCCCCCCCCCCCCAAAAAAAAAAATTCGGTGAGTTTTAGCTCCATTAAATGTTTGCAACTTGTATTTAAAACAGCCCCCCAAAAAACAGCCCATCTGAAAATGAACTACATGTATGTAGGCCTACATCTTTTCAATTTCAGACCCAAAGTAAAACCAACATGTGTATTAAAAGTCAGATATTTATTTTTTTTGGGTGGTTTTATGCATTAACAATTGAAAGATACAATGTGGATGTGCACATCTGCATTCTCGTACAAGTGTGTTTAGCCTTCAATCGGGGAACCACCATTGTCCCTCTTTTGCTTGTACTCAGAAAGACTCCCCCCATTATGTTTGGTACACGAATCCAAATCTTTGGGAACTGGGGACCCTATTGTCCTCTAATGTTCAACTTCCCCTACTGAAACGAACTGCACTACATGTTGTACATACATGTGCATGTACATATGCACATGCCTTAATTTTCACAGTGTTTTCACGCCTGAGTGCTTACATTCACAATGAATGAGTGACAACCCCCCATGGTGAGGTGTGTTTGTAGAATTGTTAAGGATTATTAAGCCTCTGTTTGGGCAAAGGATTAAAAAAGATAAGAGTGCTGGCCAGTTGACAGTTAGATCTACTGTTTTCTGTAAGGAGTCTCTAGTGGAGGAAATACGTAATGAAAACTCTCCTCTTGGAGCTGGTCAAAAATAGGTTTTTCAAATATTGTTAAAATGTAAATTGTTTTTGCGCTAATGTTGACACTAGAATGCAATGACCGTCATTTATTGTACTTGCACCTGAGTGATAGTGAGCCATGACCGTCATTGCTCACAATATACTCCCACTATTCCTCATTAGCCATGATCACAACCTCCCCTGGTGATGAGCCTGAACTCCCTCCTAAGCTACCCCCTAAGCAGGCCTACAGTGACTACTCCAGTTTGCCGCTCTATGATGGTGCACCCAATCCCCTCCCACCCAAGAAACTCAGCCTGCAGCTAGGTGGCACGCCGCTCAGGGATAGGGTAAGAGAACACCAATCATTCTGTACAGAGAAAACCATACCTAAGTTCCTATTATTTAAAGGGGTCATAAAATGAATTCACACCAAAATATGAATTCCTCAAAGTAACATGAAAATAAAAGACACCCCCATTTGTGGTTTAAAAACTACACTTATTTAAGAGAGAAAAAGTAAATTTTAAAGGGAAAAGTAAAATTCAAAATTTAAATTCATTTTTTTCACTGTATACAATGTCCATGCCGTTTTCTGACACATTAGGGCACTGTTGCTGTGATAGAATCAGAGCCATATATAGAGAGTTGCGACAACTTCAGACAGTTGAACCATAATGGCCGTTCATGTTATGTGTGCAGTGCAGCGTGCAACTATTGTGTGAGTTATATAATGTGCACTGAAACATAATCTGCCATTTTGGTTCCAAACAGTGCGACCCTTATGTCGCAACTCTCTCTATATACGGCTCTGAATAGGATTTTTTTGAAGAAAATATGAACCAAAACGAGCCATGTCCAAGTAAAAAAGAACACCAACAACTGAATTGACTGCAGCCTGAGGCAGTTTCTGGCAACGTGATCATGCAGTTGATTAGATGGAATTGGTGTCAGAAAGCTTAGTGGTTGAGTGGTAAGACGTCTAGTACTAGTAAGCAGGTGGTTGTGGGTTCGAGTCCCACCCGAGTAGGCTTGTGAATTTTTCTCACAACTCCTCAGACAACACTGAGTATATGCAGTGTGTAATTCAAATAGTATGTGATCAAGCAGCTTGAAGAGGTTTGAATGCCAAGCCTTCTCAGGTCACCTGGCTGATTCAAATCCAACGTCCGGTTTTTATGCCCCGCCAGTGAAGCCGAAGGGGCATACTGTTTCCGCCTTGTTCGTCCGTGTGTGATCTGATACACCGTGCCCTGTGGAGACGTACACACAATAGGGAACAAAAGATTGTATATGTCTCCACAGAGCAATTTCTATAGATGAATACGTCTCCACAAGATTTTCACGAAATAGATATATGGATTTTACTCAAAAACTAGTAATTTCCAAGGTGGGTTGATTTGTCGCAAATGGAAGAGTTTAAAAAAAGGGATATTAAGTCCAAATTTCAGCCAAGGAAATTAATTCTGGTTAAAATAGGAGCATTTTGAAACTTTACTTTCAAACTTGAAAACTTTACTACACGAGAACAAAGAAATGTCTCCACAGTGATACAAATTTCAGTGTGTGTGTGTGTATGCGTGTACAAACACTGCCTTGTGGGGTACTGCAACAATGGGAGGTACCCCACAAGGAATGCCCACCAACTTGCGGGGTACCCTTTTGGTACCCCATAAGTTTTTCACGAAATAGATATATGGATTTTACTCAAAAACTAGGAATATCCAAGGTGGGTTGATCTGTCGCAAAACTCGCAGTCGATATTTGACAATTTTGGAAGTTGACCAGATCTGCACACTGGATTTAGATTGGTTCTGTTGCCAACAGTCTCATTCAGTTTAATACCAACTTTTATGTCTCGTTGAGAAGTGAATTAAAAAGTAGAAACTTTACACTAAAAGTTAAAGTCGTGTAGAGTTTCTTTTCAAACGATGTAGCTGTAAAAAACATGCTAAAATAGCACCACAAGAAGTAGTCACTGAAGATTATGTACATGTACAGTGAAATTTGGTAAGCCATTTTGTTATTCAAATTCGTAATGTTTTAGCATATTGTTTTTAATTGTCACAAAGTGGTTCACTTTGTAATTAACACTGAGGCGTCCGTTTCTGTCTTATCTTCATGCTAAAGGTTGACTAAGCTCATAAATGTGCCTAACTGACGAGGCACCATGGTTTTCAGAACAGTACCGGTATTTAATATCATGTGAATTTTCTGCGTAACATTAAGTGTTTCTAAGTGGTTTGTTTTGTAATTTAGTACTTAAGCATCAAAAGCCATCAATCTTTCTTTCTTGTTGAGATTAATGTGAAGCGCCTACAAATCTGCAATGTAAATGTGTCTAAAGTGGAGAGCACTGTGGAATTCTTGAAACACTAGTGTTGAAGAAAATACTGTAATATATGTATACAAGAGGAGAGGTCTTCATGTCTGTTTGCAATATTTAATCCCTCTGCTGTCAATTATGACACTAATAATGTCTGGAGAATTTGCAATTTCACTAGCTTACATGTATGTACGAGAACTCACCGAGACAGAGACAGGATGAACGAGTCTGGTTATATCATGTGCCATATACATGTACATTTATTAATAATAATAATAATAATAATAATAACAATAAGTCAAAATTTATATAGCCCCCGTCCATGAAAAATACAATGAAGTGTAGACTTAAAAAGATTAAACCCAGTTCATAACCCACACAGATAAAAATACAATGAAATGTACATGTATACTTAAAAAGATTTAAGATTTAGGATTTAAGCCCGGTTCATATCCCACACGGAAACAAGTGCGAAGCGAAATTCATTTCACCAACAATGCGCAGTGTACGCATCGCTGACGTCACAAACCCTGCCCCGCCCAAGCACCAACCGGTTTCAAATGATGTAAAAACATTCCATGCAAACAGTTTGCTATAATAGTATACCACAAATAATATAAGATAGCAATAAGCAAAATAATACACATGTATAATAGCAGTATTAGAAATCAGTTTACATAAACCATATGCAAGGACAAAAAAGGTGAACAAGTTAAGTTAAGTCAAAAAAGCTTGCTTAAAAAGATAAGTTTTAAGCCCTGATTAAAATTTACCGACAGATTCAACTTCTGTAAGGGTCATATTAAGCTTATTCCACTCCTGTGGGGCAACCGACGAGAATGCTCAGTCACCATACATGGACAACTTAGTCATTGGACAGTGCAACCTTGTTACATCTTGGGACTGGCGAGTGGTTCTGAGGGAGACAGATCTGGTACTGCAAATTAATTCATTCAAGTAGTCAGGACATTGACCGTTAATACATTTATAAACAAGCAAGCACAGTTTGTAAATAATTCGATACTTAACTGGGAGCCAGTGAAGTTCCATGGGTTAGAGACACAAGACAAAAGGGTTAGAGACACAAGACCAGCCAAAAGACCATCCACAATACCAGCCACAATACCGGCCACAAGACTGGCCACAAGACTGGCCACAAAACCAGCCACAAGATCACTAGCCACAAGACCAGCCACAAGACCAGCCATTATACCAGCCACAAGACCCACCACAAGACCAGATGCAACACAAGCCACAAACCAGCCACAGGACCAGCCACAAACCAGCCACAACACCAGCCACAACACCAGCCACAACACCAGACACAACACCAGCCACAACAACAGCCACAAGTACTATCAGGGCATGAACAGTGACAAAATAATGCTGTTGTGGTTCGTTTGAGTGCGATGTAGCTTGTGACTTGAATTGAGCCCGGAGATCTTGTGTTGGTCTTCTGATGGTCTTGTGCATGATTGGGTCTTGACTATTGTGGATTACGTTAATTAAATAGAAGACGCAATTCTATGAGACATGGTCAAAAGGAGAGCACTGCAGGCACAAAGAACTGTAATGACCATATCTCATACAAGGGTTTGGGCAAACTGGTTTTTTTACCATTTTTTAGTAAATGGCCGCCATTTCTTATTTAGAATCTTCATTCCCCACCCCGCTTTCACCATATAGCGCCAAGATCGTGTAGTTTAGGAATATCTTAAAACAATTTCAACATGTCACCCCAATTCAGAGAAATTTGCATCTGAAAAAGTGCAAAGGTTTATCTGGACCAGTCTGTATGTTGAAATTTTTAAGCCATTTTATCTAGCCAATTAACAAATCTGAATGCTTTATTTAATGTTTGTAATTGTGTTTACTTTGTAATAAACACTTTAGTCTCCATTTCTGTCTTCTATTAATGCTAACGGTTGAGAAAGTGAGCTTAATTGATGAGGCACCATTTGAAGAGGATGTAAATTTGTATGAGTATATGTTAAGTGTTTCTAAGTGGTTTGTTATGTAATTACCACTTACGGGTAGCATCCATTTCTGTCATTTCTTAATGCTAAGTGCCCTTTTCTGAGGAAGCATTCTAATATTCTAATAATGCAAATAAGCATTAATTGATGAGAACAAAATGAAAGATTCTCATTTAATGTCAAAGTGACATGAAGAGATTAGTTTTGTCTGTTTGCGGCTAAACTACTCTGCTGTCACTTAAGGCACTTTCAATGTTGGCAGAGTATACATGCAGTCTGCACAATTTGCAATTTCACTAGCTGATGAGAACTTGCCAAGACCACAGCACAGTTATCAGAAAAGGGCTATGGAGGAAGGAATCTCATCGTATCATGTACTATGTTCTTTTAAACCCTCAAGAATCTTGTCTCGGTTGTTGTCCAATGCTTAATTGGGAAATAACCAAAGCCATGCATCAGGTTTTCCTTTGGCAGCTGTTGCAAGGCGATGTTAAGTTGATCACACAGCAAAAATCTTCAAGCATGAACAATTGCAAGAAATTTATGTTAAGTGACTGTTATGCTGCAGCTGCATTTAATTGTGAAACAAGGAAGCCACGTGACAGGTTTTTGCAGAAAGCTGTAGCGAGACGATAGGCTGAAGTTAGACCTTTATCAAGTGAGATAACCGTTCCTACTCATGAACTCCAAATGGCTTTCATCAGTAATTAGTGTTTACAGAGCAAGCTCTGCCGCACATTACCTTAGATGAAATCACTGCATGAGCAGTATGCAGCAGGCCTAATACTGACTCTGGCTTTAAGCACTTGATGAGCCACTTCGGAGATGCGCACAATTTTCATCTCTACCCAAACTGACAGGTTTGATTGCCTAAGTTTTTTATTGCAGCAGCGCAAACACTAAAGTCTACTATCAAACTTCTTTATTAGGTTCAATTGTGCTGCTATGTGAATGCTACATAGACTAAAGCATGCAGAAACTGATCTTGTGATCTTGGAAGAGGGTTGAAGTTGATGCCAAAACAATGTACGAGAGTGAGCAGCACAAG